AAAACCAAAAAGCAAAAAACTATAAGAGTTACAAAATTGTGCTTAAGAATGCGTATTAAAGAGATGCCACTTCAACTTGCCACGAGGTTTCATCCGGCTAAGCCCATTCTAACGCCCACAAACCGCGGAAAACTGTGGCGTCCGTAATATTATAATGAATGCCTTCGTTTGACCTTGTATAACTTATTTCTGTTAATATCTATCAGTTTACAAAAGATTTTTTAAATCGGAACATTATTTCGCTAATTATAAAGAAATTTATGTTATAGGGTCTTAGATGGTTCGTGACGTCACTGTCTGACGAGATCTGAGATCTGACGAACTATACGAGATACAGAGTTGAGATAAAGCATGAAGATTCTTGAGATGCCTACGCAGCGCAAGCTTAGCATCTTGCCACGCCTACTCTACCGCCCATAAATCAAGAAAAACTGAAACAGCTAAAATCTCAGGAACTATTAGAGCTAGAAAGTTGGAATTAAGTAAGTATAATCTTGAGATGCCAGCGCATCTTATGGTGGTAACAATTCTCCGGCCACGGCCTCTCTTACGCCCACCAAACTCGAAGGACGATTTTCGCTTTTTGTGGAAAGGCTGATATTTCGGTAACTATAAGTTTTACGGTAACTATAAAAGCTTGAAAACTCCCGATCTAGCTTATAGCTTGAAATATAGCTTGCTTTAAAATTCATCTAGCATATTCTAGCTTTAAATGTATTTATGTCATTAACGCGTTGTTTCGATATGTTGGCTAAAGTGTTGCCAGCAATGTGGAGTTGTGAATTTTAATAAAGCGAGTGGTAAAATGCCGAAAGTCCAATATAAACAAAGTTTTCGCGATGCTTGGCTCCAAAGTAGTGAGTTCAAGGCGTAGTTACGGAAACTTCCAGGAGATGATACAAGAGCTTATTGCTCCTATTGTAAGTCAACAATTTCAGCAAAAATCTTTGAAACAAGGCAGCAAGCAGAAGCACGTGCTAGAATGGGCTCAATTGCACAATCTCAGATAATAAATTGCAAAATAAACTGCAACATGTTGCAATGGAAATTTAAGGACTTAATCATAAAAATAGCCCCCAATGACTATTGCCACCCATATTTGGGTGTAGCTTGTTTTTTAGCATATTTTTTTTTAAATTTTAGCTTCTTCTAGCTTATTTTTTTCACAAATGTAGCTTATACGTGCGCTCATCACCTGGCAACACTGCTTAGGAATTCGCATTCTAGAGATGCCACTGCAGCAAATATGATAGAAAGTCAAATAATGTTCGAAAATGTGTATTTGAATCCCTTGTGTTTATCTAACGACTTATTTTTTAGCTATCCGATTTTAATGTAGTCAAAATATTTGGTAATAAAGACATCATCGCCATAAAACTGATTGATTAAATATGATAAAAGCTTGCAAGCTAAAACAAGAAACGATATAGGCGAGGGCCGCGAACTAAAATCGATGGCTTTATCGGCAAGGGAATAACATTATAACAAATAATAGCTTTATGCAGTTTGGCCTTTATAAACCTATCAAGGTTAAAGTGTACCGTCCTTTAATCCAATACAACAAGTGTTGTTGACAGCATCACTTTCCGCATTTCATTTTGTGTCATTAATTTTGGAGTTGGAGAAACCGCATTGTGAAAAATAACAGCTGATCCCCGTTTTCTTTTCGATTTTGTGCTCGACATGCTTGTTCAAATCGTCGACTGGAACTAAATTGTGGCATGTGATAAAAATTTTCTGATAAATCTCGATGACTCAGGCAGATGTGAGCAAATGTCCCAGTCTGGTTTATCTTGAGCCATTACTAAAGTTAATTTATTATCACGGTATTAAGATACAAAAACTAAAAATCGCCTGGAACTTATTTTATTTTCTGAAATCCTTTTGTGGTACATACAAATTTGGTGTCTACAGAATTATTCATGGGAGTTGCATCACTTGTTTCTTTTTTTAGGTTGGACCAAAAGAAATTGAAATATTATATTAATATAATATTGAAACTCTTATAACAATTATTTCCAGAAATGTAAAATAAATAGATTAGATAGTTTTAAAAATTTAAGCACACTATTAACACTCACACACATTAATTAAATAAAAGTGCACTGCAAACATATGCATTGCTAAACATATAAATGTGACAATGTAAGTAAACCTATAGAATATATTATAGTTACTGTAATATAAATAAACATAAGAAACAGTGTTTTCCGAATATAAAAAATACGTCTTCTGGCTTCAATTAAGTTTAATTTATAACTTATGCTTATAGATATTTTACAATAAACCAACACAATAATAAACATTAACATTTTTATACCCGTTACTCGTAGAGTAAAAGGGTATACTAGATTCGTTGAAAAGTATGTAACAGATAGAAGGAAGCTTTTGCGACCCTATAAAGTATATATATTCTTGATCAGGATCAATAGCGAAGTCGATTGAGCCATGTCCGTCTGTCCGTCCGTCCGTCCGTCCGTCCGTCCGTCCGTCCGTCCGTCCGTATGAACGCTGAGATCTCAGGAACTATAGCAGATACAAAGCTGAGATTAAGCATGAAGATTCTTGAGGTCCCGGGACAGCGCAAGTTTATTACAGCATCCTGCCACGCCCACTCTAACGCCCACAAATCGCAAAAAACTGAAATTGCTGAAATCTCAGGAACTATTGCAGATAGAAAGTTGAATTTCAGAAAGTATAATCTTTAGATGACAGCGCATCTTATAGTGGTACTACTATCCGGCCACACCCACCCATACGCCCACAAGGCTCAAAAGACCGTTTTCGGATTTTCTATAAAAGCTGATATCTCGGTAACTATAAGAGATAGAAAGTTCGGATCAAGCATGTATGTTTCTATGATGCTCCCAATGCGAATTGTTTTATTCCGATCATGCCACGCCCACTCTAACGCCCACAAAACCCGAAAAACCAAAAATGCAAAAATCTCGAAAACTATAAAAGCTACACAATTTTACTTAGGAACACGTATTTAAGAGATGCCTCTGCAACTTGCCACGAAGTTGCTTCCGGCCACGCCCACTCTAACGCCCACAAACGGCGGAAAACTGTGGAGTCTATAATATTATTATGAATGCCTTCGTTTGACCTTTTGTAACTTATTTCTGTTAATAGCTATCGATTTACAAAAGATTTTTCAAATCGGAACATTATTTCGCTATTTATGAAGAAATTAAGGTTATAAGGCTCCACATGGGCAGTGACGTCACTATAAGCATACTCAACATACTTCCTCTGACAATAGGTGGCGCCTTGTGAATTTCCACTAGCAAAATTAATATTTTAAAATTGTGTAAAACAGTAACGGGTATCTTATAGTCGCGGCACTCGACTATAGCGTTTCCTCTTGTTTTCTATAAAAATGTGTATACAAATTAAATCATGATTTTAAATGCAATCAACTGTGTTGGTACGTTTTAAACATTTATACATATAACATACATATATTATACATTTATACCATAACAAAAAATCTACGTTTTTTCACACATTCCAGAAAAATCAGATTCGTCACCTTCACAATGCGCCATGAAATTTTTGGCACACGCAATTGGAATGACAAAAAGTCGATTCAAGAATGTCCCCCTTTAAAGAACCTTAACACACTGGATGCCGGCACTAAAATAATGAGAAAACTGGGATGAAGGAGGAATGGATTTGTTGGTGCGTGTGACTTCAAAAATCCAAAAAACGTGTCGGACAGGATGTTGAGTGCAAGTAAGCTCAGTGGTTGCTTTTTGGGGGTGGATAAATTCTTGGACGCATTTACTTGGTGTATGTATCACAAATGTAAGTGCGAGCAAAAGACTACAAAAATTAAAAAAAAAAACAGCATTTATAAAAAACAAGATGAATTGCGATTATGAGCCACCCGTTACTGTATTCTCTAATTTTAAAATAAGAATTTTGTTAGCAGAAATTTAAACAATCTAACTAGCGACACCTTTTGGCAGAGAAAAACATCTTTTAAAATGACAGATTGTATCACATTATGGTTGTACAAGGTCAAATTGCAACATAAATTGTAATATTATAGACGCCAAAGTTTTCCACTTTGGTGGGCGTTAGATTCGAGGCAAAACGCAAACTTGCGCTGAGTAGTAATTTTAAGAATTTGTATGTTTAGTCCAAGTTTTTTAGCTCTTATAGTTTCCGAGACCACAGCGTTCATACAGAAAGTTGCAATAGTTTTCGCGATTGGTGGCTGGAGTAGGCGTGGTCGCATAGTGGTACCACCTTGAGATGTACCTCCATCTGAAACCTCTTTTAGCTCTTTTAGTTATTAAGATCCCAGTGTTTTTATTTTTCCTGTTTTGTGGGCGTTAGAGTGGGCGTGGTAGGACGGTGAAACAAGCAAGGGTATTGATCCAAATTAGGAATATATATATAATAATATTTTATAGGGTCCTTAAAGTAGTGATATTTAATGTTTGAATCTGTACCTATTAATTATTTTTGTTTAAACATTGTTTTAAAATTCGATTTAAAAATTAAAGTTGACGATTTTTGTAAAGGCTTAAGCCAAGAAATGCAGTAAAGCTGATAAAAACATCATCATAGGCAAGCATATGCATATGCAGACAGACGGGTATATACAAATATATATTTATCTAAGCTTATATGAATTCATTTTTATTTGCCACCGTTATTATCACTGAACTCATAAAATGTAAGTTGCCTTCGTTTTAAAATCCAACCAACCAACACTTCAAAAAGATTTTCGATCGAATAGGGTGGACTTTTCTTACATTGTCCGTCTCTTTTTTACTTAACTCTCATTCGCCACCCTAGCGCGCGATGTATTTTACACTTTCTCATTCTCATTTCTCAAATATACCTCTATGGTGCTATCCCGCTTTCAGTCACGCAAAACAGAGACGACGCTGTGCACCCGAAGCCAGCAAATAGAAAGAGACCGCAATATCCACTCTGCCAAAATGGCTGGCCGATGTTTTCGCTGTTGCGCTTGCCAGTGTTTTTTCGCATGAGAGCTCATTAACGTTTCGCTTGGCTAAGTGCGCGCCTCGTCATTTAAACCAGTTGGTAAAAATTTTTGTTTGAAACTAAGACCGATAGTTACGTCAAATTATTTGATTATTTCAAATTCAAAATATTCTCAACTTAAAAAATTAGGTCACCATCCGTGGCGCTGCCGCCGGAGCTGCGGTCCGTATTATTGACGGATAATATAGAGAGCATTATGTGATTTAATAACTATGACACATTAGTTGCAACACTCGGGCTAATCGGGCGAATCCATAACCAAACGTCAAAAGTGAAAACAAACGGGAAACCCAGTAAAGTGAGGACATTTTTAAAATCTATAAGACAGAATAAAAGAATTTACAAAATAAAGTAATAGTCCAGTTCTTGATTTTTATGTGAAGCTAAAATATTCCTTAAAAGCTAACAACGAAATCTTCTAACAGAATGACAATGGCAATAATATTGCTTGCATTATACCAATTTTAAACAATTAAAAATACATTTTTAAACACGCAAAATACCATCGAAGTACCCGAAGTCACATTAACTTATTAATCATGATGCTAACAACTGAACATATAATGCATGGACATCCACATTCATCGGTCGGCCAGAGTACTCTATTTGGGTGCTCCACGGCGGGTCATAGTGGAATAAATCAACTAGGCGGCGTTTATGTGAATGGCCGACCACTGCCTGATTCAACGCGCCAAAAAATAGTCGAGTTGGCTCATTCGGGCGCCCGTCCTTGTGATATTTCGAGAATTCTGCAAGTTTCCAACGGATGCGTAAGCAAAATTCTAGGCAGGTGAGTTATAGCCAATAGTTCGGATTTTATTTTCTGATAAATCAAGAAAGAACGCTGAAGTCAGGCGTATGCGACTAAATTCCATAAAGTATCTGTTTCAAAGTGTATCTTAAGAGATATATTTATAAAATCATATATCGGAACACGTAAATAACGACTACGATTGCAAGCCTTTTTGGGAGTTTTTCAACCAATATGATAACTAGCAAAAAAGGCTCGGAATAAAGTTTATTTTTTAAAACGGTAACTTTATAATATAAGTGGTTTTAGGTAAAATTCTCCGACTGCGGAACACAAACAACATTTCCTAAAACGGAGATTTGTGCCCATATCGAAATAAGATTTTTTAATTATTAGGAAATGAATCCTTAGATCTTAAAGTTTGTCCAAAAAGAAGTGGGTTAACCATTTTATTTACGATTAGATGAATTTTTTATCGATTTCAAAGAATATACTACCAACAGATGGCGCCGTGTGTTTGATTAACAACCGCCGGTGTGATTTCATATATATATATAGTTACTCCTAAATTCAATGCAGAGCGGGAAAGTTCAAAGTGTGACAATGAGATACTTGGTACTGAGTGAACCATTTCTAAAATAATCATTTTAATAGTAGAAATTGACTCAGTGAAAAGAATGTTTAATAACTGACGCTACCGTCACTACCCACCTACAATTTGTAACACACTGTAAAGTAATGTTACGATCTGAACATTTTTTGGTAAATAGTAAATCGTTTGTGGGTGCTAGAGTGAGTGTCTCCCATGAATAATATGAAAATGTATGCTTAATCCAGCGTTGCCGGGTCCATATCCAGCGCCCATATAAGCTAGATTTTTGAAAAAGAAATAAGCTAAAATAAGCTAAAGTTAAAACAAAAAGCTCAATAACAAGCAACACCCAAATGAGTGAAAACATGAAACCTTAATATGTTTATATGTGGGTGGGGGCTATACTTATGACTAGGTCCCTAAATTTCCATTGCGACAGTTTGCGAAAGAAAACATATCAATTCAAAGGTGATTCATGATTTTTGTATGTGTGAAGAATAATATTTTAATAATGTCTTATTATTAGAGCTTTACTTATAAATATATTCTTTAAGCTTGCAATTAAATTAAAATATAATTCATTTATTTTGCCAATTTTTTATATAAGCAATGTATTTTTCTGACAAAGTTTACGTATGGCAACATTTCTCAGGCCTGCACAATCCATATATAAGAAATTAAATAGAAGTTTTTACAACTCAAAAAGATTGGTGGTAAAACTTCAGTCAACGTGTCGATCTTCGATAACACTATCGATTAGAAATAAATTCACGATCATATTAAAAGCACATAACCATCGGAAAAAAAGGAACAAGGTATTTTCATGCCATAAAGCATATTTTTCTTACAAAACAAACCATAGTTGTTGCAAAAACATTTAAAACTAAAAAATGCTAGATAAATTTTAAAATAAGCTATTTTTCAAGCTATAATATAGATTCGAATTTTACAAACTGTTCCAGTTTCAAATATGCTAGAACTAGCTTATAATAAGCTAAACGTGGAACACTGGTTTAATCCTAACTTCACAACCGTATTACTTCATTTTATAACATATAACCAAACAATTTTCAAATCGAAACATTATTTTCCGATATATTAAGTAGTGTATTGCGTCACCATTAGTTATTAAGTTATTTATCCATTTTCTGACAAAAGGTGGCGCTACGTCAGTTTCTGCTGGAAAAGGGGAGGTTTTTTAATTTGATAAGATCTTGCTCTAGAAAATATTTATTTGGCTATTGATGTCCTGGACTAAACAATAACCAACTGCGATATATTCTTAGTAAATAGCAAGTCAATCAAAATGCATTATCCTAACTAACTATAAGAATTGTTGAAAGTTGCTAGGACTATTCAATAAATATTACAAAAAGCCATGTTTATAAATTAAGTTTGAAGTCAGCGATGCCATAAAGCATAAATTTATTGCTAATTAGGTCAATAAATTTATGGTATATCTATAGTTATTGCTAAAGAAAAGGAAAATATTAGTCTTTTTCTATTGGATCGTAGAGTCCAATAGCGTATAAACATTATGATGACTACTCTATTTTTTCCTTATTAAGAGCTTGGTGTGGTCATAGCCTTTTTCTGCTTATCTTAAAACCGTGAAACAAATGAATCCGTTTTTCTCGACCTAAAATATAATTTACCTATTAAGCATTGTAAAGTAAAAGTGAATCGTAAGTGTAAAAGTAGCATGCAATATAAGGCATAATAATACAATGTTTCAAGATTCATAGTTTCACAGAGCATTAATAGAATATTCCATTGTATTAGAGAATACCTCAAATACACGTAACTTTGTTATCCTCCAAAGGTCTCAGCGATTATACAGACAGAAGGGCTAAATCGGCTAATCGACTCGTTCTTTAAAGGGTCCGAAAATAAATTTAGTGTCTTTAAAATTATTTTCATCAAATACAAAACACTCCACACGTAAGGGGTATAAAAACTATCTTTGGGTGGTTACAGTCATATCGATTTCCTCAGATTACATTTTTTGTTAATCTAAATAAAAGTGTTTATATTGAATGCATTAAGTGCATAATACTTTAAATATTTCTGGAAAGTGCCCTAACTGCTTCTTTTATTTTTAGATATTATGAAACGGGATCAATAAAGCCTCGCGCGATTGGTGGTTCAAAGCCGCGAGTAGCTACAACCCCGGTCGTACAAAAAATTGCTGATTATAAACGGGAATGTCCCAGCATATTTGCGTGGGAAATACGGGATAGATTGCTTTCCGAACAAGTTTGCAATAGTGATAACATTCCAAGTGTAAGTTTATAATTTTCAAGTACTACTTTCGTATTGTTAATTAATAAAAAAAAAATAAAATAAGAAGCTATATTGGAAATATAATACAATATATATAATAATATATACACCATATTATTAAAAGACACACATAAGCAATTTCAAAATAATTATCTTGCTAGTAGAAATTGACGCCGCCTACGGTGATCACTGACCATGTGGGGCCCTAAAAACTACATTTTTTATAAGTTGCAGTAGCATCTCTAGAATCTTAGTCTCAACTTTCTAGCTTTTATAGTTTCCGTTATCTCCCGTTTTGTGGGTGCTAGATTGGGCGTGGCTAGATGCTGAAATCTTTCTTTGCATGTTTTTTCATCTCTTCTTATTATTGAGCTTAAGACCTCAATGATCATGAAAATAAATACTTTAAGGTTCGGAATCTCTTTTTTTACCTGGCGAATATATATTATATATATTAACAGCGAATATATATTTACTCTCAAGTAACTGTTATATAGTAGAAAGCCGTTAAGTAATGATATGCGTTACTTTGATAACGAACTTCAAAAAACGAGTAATTATAGCTTTAATTAATAATCTAGCCTACAAATTTGTTATCGGCTTATGGAAGTTGTTACAGTGGGCATGGCCGGATGTTAAAATAAACTTGAGCTGATCATGGATCTCCAGATACACATTGCTCGCCTCAGCTTAAAATAATGCACAGAAATATATATACTTTATATTCTCCGAAAAACATCCTACCTGCTACACATTATCAACGAATACATTTATCTTTCCTTTTTAAAATCTGTATATTTTATTGGCGTTTAAGTTAAGTTAAGTCTTTGGTCAAAATCATTGAAATATTATACGTAAAAAAACTTTAAAAAATTTATTAAATTCTAAATAAGAGTAATAAACAACAACAAATTATTACTGCACTTACACTACTGTATGATTAACATATATACATATTTGATGGAGTAGTAGTATCATATGCAGAGTCCGCGCATAATATGACTGTAATATATTCAAAATCGATAATCAAGGGAGCACAAGGGATTAAATAATTTCGAAACAAACCCATCCTGGATTATGGAAACAATAATTTCAGTCTATGGACCCTTTTGCTGCATTGTATTGTTTTCTCGATAATATAGCCGAATAAAAACAATTACCACATTCAGGTAAAGACAAAGGTATCTTGCATATTTTTCTCCAAGTCCTCAAGAAAAGAGAAAACGAATTACCTGGGAATTAGGTTAGAGGTTTTAAGAGGTTTTAATCCAGATGCATGTAAACCTTAAAAAGCCTTTAAGATAACCAGAAATATAAACAAAAGTATGGAAACAGTCTATATTTTATTATTTTATTTTTATTTTTATCGGGTAAGAAATATAAACTTATAGTAATGGCGACTTCTTTTCATTTTATTCCAGTTTTTAAAGTTTATATTTTTTGACTTTTTAATTCAATAAATATATGCATGCAATTTTTTTTATAGTCAACAGAGACTACTCATTCTCATTTGATTCACTTTTTTGCGTCTGGTGGTTCATTTTATTTGATGTTCTTTGATGTTTTTATTCACAAATATAATGGCTGAGTAATTTCTTATGGCTATATTTCTTCCTAACTTCAACAGGCTTGCGATAAGTGAAGAACGCATGCCTGAAAAAATGCACGTGCCGGCACTTATGTCAGCCGTGAAAGTGGCCATGTTTCCTAATGACGCCGTTCACATCTATATAAAAAACTGTCTTATCGTGTGATGACATTCGCAACTAAGCTTTTCTTGAAAAATTAAATAAATACATTTATAATATACACATACCCATTTGTGTCATAAACAAGCCACGATATTCTGATACGCGGGACTCATAAACCAAGGTACAAAGGCATATATCTCATATAGGATCTTTAAAGGCATTTTTCTCATATAGGATCTTTAAAGGATCCTTCTTTCTGTTACATTCTTTTCAACGAATACACTATACCCTTTTATTTGAGAGTAATATATTATCATTTGCTTAATTTTATGTTACCTGCGGACATGTATATAACTTACAATCTTTATTGATTCGCTTTTTATTTATATCAGAGAAAACGAATTTAATATATGCAAGTTATGTTGTGCGGAGTGGGTACAGGAATCGATAAACTGCGAGAATATTAAAGTAGTCTAATCCCCTTTTGCTGTGAAACTTTGTATGTGATTATATATCTCTCCCGCTCTGAGGAGCGGATTGGCTGAAACAGTCGTTAGCCAATCGTATGGCAGATATGATTCGGGGAGGGTTGGTTCATAAGGACCGTTGAGTGAAGTTTCCTTAGAAGACTTAATGAAGTAGGAAATTTTTTTGGTATCTCTATTTATTAAACATCTCTAAAATTGTCAGTTAGTTATTAGTTTAGAACACAATCCAACACTTACGTGTGTCCTAATCTAACCTTATATATGTTTGAGTACAGATATTAAAATTTATTTTAATGTTGTAAATCATTTCCCTATATAGGTATTTAAGTATGTGTTTATGTATTTTATTGTACGCAGTGATCTGGGATTAATTGCAGGTTTCATCAATTAACCGAGTTTTGCGTAACCTGGCCTCACAGAAGGAGCAGCAAGCGCAGCAACAAAACGAATCTGTATACGAAAAGCTTCGCATGTTCAATGGGCAAACAGGCGGGTGGGCCTGGTATCCGAGCAATACAACGACTGCACATTTGGCCCTACCGCCAACAACTTCGGTTGTCTCAGCTCCAACAAATTTATCAGGACATGTGAATCGAGACGATGTTCAAAAAAGAGGCAAGTACAAATCGAAATAACACTTTGATGAGTAACGGGTATCTCATATATCCTTTAAGAGAATCTCCAAAGATATTTTTTAATTCATCAATTTATTTTGATCATGACCATGTTTTAATAAAAATTAACTAAACATTTTTTATGTATTGTATTCGTTGAAAAGGATGTAGCAGGTAGAAAAAAACGCTTTCGAGGGTAGGCATAATATATATTTTGATCAGAGTCACTAGACTATACATGTCCTAATAATTAATAATAAAGATTGTTGGTATGCCTGCCTATCAGGCCCGTATGCCTTGCAACAACGGCATCCCTTGTATTTTTTCAAGCTATTATGACAAGATCCATGTGTTCGATTTTATCTTAACCTCCTTTTTTATAAAACAAAAAAAAAACGTAATGTACTCAAACAGTAAAATGGTATATTGTTAAAGGTTTCCACTTTAACAAAAACTCGCCAAATTCTGTATCTTGTCCCCCTTCTTGTTAGTAGTTGGTTTTTGGTACTAACAGCACATTAAGAGCATTTACTAGTAGGTTCAGTATTTACATATCAACATAAAAATTGAAATATAGTATCACTTCGTGCTGCCAATGACTTGTTCCATGTTCGAATAACGCGTAACTACTTGCTTATCAGTTGACGGCTGACCAGAGGGGTAATAATGTCAAAGCACAATTTGGTCCTCACCACTATTTATTTCGAATGATTGTGTTTACAACAAAATAAAATGCAACCCTCTTTATTGCTAGCAATCGAACAATTGCTACTATTTTGTCACAGATGATCAAACATTAGGGTAAACAAATATTTAATTTGTTAGTCATTTGTTATTTGCTATTAAGTCTTATTGAAGCAGCTATTCTTTTCCAACTTGTTGTTTTGGAGTTCCTTTTCTTTTTCATCAATCAATAAATTGAGCTAACATATGTCTTCATTGCCAGTTGACATCCTCAGTCCTTTTAATGCCATTCAATTTAATCTTTTGCCATCCCTTTGTCTTGATTACAACCTCAACTAGTCATTCAAGAAATGGAATAAAATAATGCAAAAATTTAAGACAGTATCACAAAGAGTACGTCCAACATTAAAGCGCTTTTAACTACCACCTCCGGCTTAGAACTTAGGTAAAAGCTAATTAAATTCAACTAAGAATTTTTTATAGTCTTATAAATGAAAAAATCGTTTAAAAGAAACATATTCATCAATGGAATGGAATCTGACCGAAGGAAAGTATACCCACGAACCACGACTTTAATGCAGCATTGCTCTCCTTACTAAACTCAAAACAAATATGCTCGCAGCAATTTACTCATTATATAAAAACATATACATATAATGGTAATGCTAAATTTAACAGCGCCATCTGTTGGTATTAGTATAATGAATTAAAGTATTGAAGTCAATAGTCGATTGTTGCAATAGCTTCAAAGTGTGTATGCTAGCACGGTATATAACTAAAACACAGTTGTTACTAAGCTACTGAAACTGTGCGCCCTTAATATTAATGTTAATTTTTTATAGCTTTTTTGTGCCTATAGCTATTTAATAATAAATTGGAAAATTGTTTAAAAAGTTTTTAGGATATTAAGATTCTGTGTCAATTGAGAAACAAAAAATAAATGAAATAAATGTAAAAAGTTCCTATGCAATCTTAAATATATATTATGATAAGTTTAATATTTCTTAACAGAGTAAGAGCTATCCGAGAGATGAAAAGCTCGGCTATAGCGGTTCTTCTTGGTTTAAATTAGCGAACAAGCTAACAAGTACTATGATTAATGAATTCCTTATTTGTTATTCATCGTGAAGTTTCTGTAAGTTAATCTTTTGGTGAAATAGGTTTTTCTTCATATTTTACTATTTTAATTTTTTAACTGATAATTTAATTTTTCAAAAATATCTAACAAATTTTATTTTTGTTTTAGATTTACAATATTCAGCAGACGTTTCACATCCAAACTCTCACGATAGTACATCGGATGGCAACTCTGAACATAATTCATCTGGCGACGAAGACTCACAAATGCGTTTGCGCCTGAAAAGGAAATTGCAGAGGAATCGGACTTCATTTTCTAATGAGCAAATTGACAGTCTTGAAAAAGGTAACTTAAATTAAAATCGGGGTTTAATTCCGAAATGAATTAGGCTTTTTATAACATTTTTGGAAATACTCTTTTTTTAACAAATGCTAAATTATGCATACTAGTTTCGGAACTTATTTAAGATCTTCAGATGTTGAACGGTTACTATTTCTATCTTCTCTTATAGTTAATTAAAATTTTTTAAAATATTGGGAAACTCTTTCTTAAGTCACGATTTCCTTATTACGAGTTTCTTTTTGTACATTCTATTAAACTTATAAAAATTTCTACCTATTAAACCTGCAACAAATATCCAATATCGAATACGTATGTAGTTGAATTGGCAGCAAATAAAATGTAAGTTAATATGATCATATCTATTCGGCCGGTAATGGTGGCCAAGAATTTTTACTTTATGTCTTTAAAACTTTTTCAAAAGTATAATTAAGAAAAAATGTCATAAAACGAAACCCATTCTTATAATAATATAAAAATAAGTGTAATAGCCAATACCAGACTGGTTCACTCGTATAAAAAGCTCGTACTTCTTTCCCTTTTATTTATATTCGATCAAGGTCACACAAGATATTTCTATGTATTACATTTTTTGTTATAACTGCATCAGTTTATACAGAAAACACTCTGTATTTGTGTATGCTCGAATAAGGTGGCCCTTTTTATTTGTGGAGTAATATGGAAGAATGTAATATCCATTAAAAATGTATCCATTAGATAGGAACATATATATAATAAAAACGGCGATCCAAATTTATACATTTTTAATAGTTCACATTTTTTTTATCCGCGAAGATGATGGTTAACGGGCATGTAAAATATTAGAATGTTTCCGAATTGCGTCAATATGTAAGCAGTAAATTTTGGTACTAATCAATAATCTAAATATAACTCGCATCTGTACCTTTATTTGACGTACATTACAGAATTTGAACGAACACACTATCCGGATGTTTTTGCGCGAGAAAGACTTGCAGATAAAATTGGTTTGCCAGAGGCACGTATTCAGGTTTGTCTTTCAGTTTTGTTTAATTACATTCTGTTTGTAGTCATATTTTTCAAGACTCAATTTTGATTTATTTTTTGAAAATTTTTTTAGTTTAATAAGTCAATATCTTAATTGGAAATCTTATTTACATTTATAAAAAAAGCCAACAAACTTAAAAGTATTTCTAAACACAAAAGTGGTCGAATTGTTAGTTGTTGTTGTATATAAAAACAAGTCAAAAAAATATGTTCCAAGGAGCAAAAATTTGGAGTTTATTGAATTTGTATTCTAAGAAGACGTGTAAATGCGCTTTACTTACTTTTCTACTTAAGCCCATTACTACTAGAATAGTGGCTTACATTGTGTTCTCTCATAAGTATACAGGATCTTTAGCAGTGTTGTCCTTTAGACTACATGAACAATATCAATTTTAACCACTTACACATTTTAAAGTAAACAAAGTGCCAGTCTGAAGCTGTGCGAAAATTTTGTAAGTGCATTTTATAAGGAAGTTTTGAATCATTTTAACTTCTATAGTCAGTTCCAAGTTGCGGAACGGACGGCTTAGAAGTCATCCCTCAAGCTTGCTATTCACCCCAATTGCTACTGCGCTTTATAATAAAAAATGTTGTTGTCGTCAAAGTGGAATAAAATATTCATCGTTACGCTCTTGATTATTTGTTTAAGTGAATAAAAACAATTTGACTGTAAAAATACTTGAAACTCCTTGCTATTCTCATTGAGTAGAAAAAACGGGGGCGACACTATATATTGAGTTTGAAGGACTGAAAGGGAAACGTCAGCTGGGATGGGAGCTGCAACAATAATGCTGAGCAATAAATGTCATGGTGAAAAATATTAAAGCATAAAAGTATTGTAATCCCTTTTCACCCCTTTGTCATTAGTGAAGTTTTAGATCGCTCGATTTTGCTTTTGCTATATTGTAAGTAAACCACACATAAAGGGTGTCTCTGTTCTTAAGCTTAACTGCGTGACTAAAGTAATGTTCATTAAACTGTTAGTTTTTCTTTAATAATAATAACATTTTACGTATATGCAATTTTATTTTCCTGTATATCATGAGATAAAGTTAAATATGAAAAATAAAAAACAAATATGTGCAATTAATAGACACGGAAAATATAATGGATATATCGCAGAATATATTTAAATAGAGAAGCTCTATGAGTATTTATTAATTTATGTACATATCCAGAAGTATGTACGAGTATACGATAATAAGAATAAAAGCTTGTTGCCCAGTGCCACGATTATTAACTTTTACTGGCGCATCTTCTTTACGTAACGTTCCGATTTGAGGATTTTTGAGGTCTGCAAACAAGTAGTTGGATAAGTTAATTCAAACATAGAGTTATATGGAAGGAAGACTTTCCACCCTAGTAAAATTGTCAGTATTATTAGAATTAAAAAAGGTAGAAAGTTGGAGTTAGGCGTATTCTTAAGATGTCACTGTTGTTTCAACGTTCGCCGGCGCCAACCACGAAAATATTTACTAAGTGAGTGTGCGCTGAAATCTATGGAACTGTAAGCAAAAACACTTGGATCAAGCTAGTATATTTAAAAAACTCTATCGCTGTGACAGTAATATTAAAGCCTTAGTTTTGGGTTGACCTTAAATTTTAATATGTCAAATTTCGGTTAAAAGACTTGACATCAACGCTTGTTATTTTGAATAGCTATTTGTCTACACTTTTAGCAACTGACAACGTTTCATAAACGGGTATATAAGTAAACAAAATATTTCTTTAATTCTTAAATAGTTTTCATCGATCTGACACATTTAATATGAATCAAGTTTTGTTTATTCCTCTTTTTGTTTATTAAGCTTTTTTATATTTTATCATTTTGTCTATGCTCAGTCTAAATTAGCTACAACGATTTATAAATTCAAATGTGAAATATGTTAAATAGGTATGGTTCTCAAACAGAAGAGCTAAATGGCGACGGGAAGAAAAAATGCGAACTCAGAGACGGTCTGCCGATAATGTCGTGGAAGGCAGCGTTCGACCCAGCACAGCAAATAATCCATCAGGAACAGCTGCACCTTCCTCCGTCACAACGTCCAATAACTCGACACCAGGCATTTCTAGCTCAGCTATCAACGTGTCGGATAGAGCATCATCGGTTCTAATTAGCAGTAGCTTACCCGATGCCCCAAATGTACCAACTGTAAGAACGATTCTTGTTACCTTTGCATTTGTTAATATTATATTAAATAGGTTCTGGGCGGAGACGCTAATGCTGCGCAATCAAACTCTGAAAGTCCACCACTTCAGGCAGTTGCACCGCGACTACCATTAAACACCGGTTTCAACACCATGTACTCGTCTATCCCGCAGCCTATAGCAACAATGGCTGAAAATTACAAGTAAGTGATTTAACAGAGTAAAATTAATAAAAGGTATTTAAAAAACTTAAGTAAGACTTGGTAATATATGTTTCAAATTATCATACTTCAGATTTTCCCGAACTAAATTTTGGGTGTATTGATATGTATTGTCAAAAGAAATGTATACAATGTCAAAAAAAAATAAATTTTAATATTACACGCCACAGATTTTGGCAGTTTGTGGGCGCTAGAGAAGGCATGCCCGGATTGTAAAAATGTATGCTTAATCCCAACTTTCTAGTTCTTATATATAGTTCAGGACATCTCAGCGTTTTAAGTTGTTCGTGTTTTACGAGCGTTAGCGGAACTTTAAATCGACACAAATTTTTTTCGATGTTATTCCAAAATGCTTCCATCTACTTACAACGAATACATAATACCCTTCAACTCTACGAGTAACGGATATAAATAGACTACGCTATTATATAAATACCTAACGCTTTTACTGCCGAAACTACACATTTGCACTATATATTCTAAATAAATAATTTTGACGTTGTTATAATGTATAATATGTAATTACCGGAGTATATTTCTAGACTAATTTAAGCAAACAGCTTCTCTACTTTTCACCTCGATATGAGGTGTTTAAGCTTGAATACCGATGTTGTCGTTATTGCATAACCATAACTTTTACTTTTTAAACTGTTATATAGCTAGTTATTATACTACTTATTAGAAAAGTTTTTTATATACATAAGCTCATAAATAGGTATATTTCATTACAGCTCATCATTAGGGTCGATGACACCGTCATGTCTACAGCAACGAGACACCTACCCTTACATGTTTCACGATCCCTTGTCACTAGGATCTCCCTACGTACCACCTCACCACCGTAATTCAGCTTGCAATCCTGCAGCAGCGCACCAACAGCCACCACAGCATGGTGTTTATACCAATAGTTCCCCCATGGCATCGTCAAACACAGGTAAAACTGTGAATCTATATTTTCTGGGGAATATATATAACCGATTTTTTTCAGGTGTTATTTCTGCAGGCGTCTCGGTGCCTGTTCAGATTTCAACGCAAAATGTATCTGACCTTACAGGAAGTAATTACTGGCCACGACTTCAGTGATCGTCAATCTTCAATTTTCCATCAGATCTTCTATCAAAGGCTACAGCCGTTGCAGTCGCTGCTGCTCATGCAGCTGAAGAAAAAAATCAACAGAAAAAATCGCAGTTAGTTGATAAGATGCAAACTACAAATAGCCAAAATAACCCACCTAGTTTGAATAGTCAGACATTGTGCTGTTCATCAAAATATTTAAACTTAAATGTAGGGCGGGGAAGGATGTAAGTGTTGTCCCAGCGAATGCTGCGAAGGTGTTATAGTTCCCATGTCACACCGTATTGAAGGAGAATTGGAATCATTTTAAGGTCCAAAAACAATCTATCATCGAGGCTTACAAATAAGTTAACAAGGAAAGAAGTCAAAACTCACTTTTTTGTAGTTTAAAATAAAAAAAGATCGAAGTTTATTTTAAATAAAATTTATTTGAGTCGATTTGATCTTAATAATTTGCCAATTCCGCATCTGCTGAGTTCTGCAATAATTGTGTTTTATTTCTGAGATAACAAGCAAAGAACGATATAACTTGTGTTTTTAAACATTTATATAAAAAGTTTACCTAACCTAAAAACCTATCTAAAATATTGCAATTTAAATTAAAATGATTTTTATTAAATTTATACAACAGTTGTTTGATTATTATTCTTCGTAGTTACAATTTCAAAGAATTCGGACAAGTATGACTAGATCGACTATGCTTATGTTCCTTATCAATGTGGAAAATAGTCCAAAAAATATTCAAGTGCACGTTTTTACCCAGGTCAATTCCTAGAAGCATATGGAGATCATATAATGAGAATAATCTAAAGCTTTCTAAACAATATGTCAAAAAATAATAGAAGCGGTTACGGACAATCTTATATATAAATTTATTTATTTTTAAATAGTTTCAGTTATGTTTAGTTTATATATACAATTCAATTAAACTTGATCCGTAAAAATATACTATTTAAAATGTATAAACATAAAAAATTTTGAAGTATAAGTACAAATATAGCTTTTTACCTTATAACGAAACTTTTTACAAAAATCATATATTATTTGACAAGAATCTTCTTCGGTATGCCGATGTTTTTATACTCTTGCAGTTGTTAAAAAAATGATCTTGTCAATATACTTTTAATATTTTTGAAGTATGAAATGAACCATTAAGTTATCCAGAAGAGTCCCTGCTTATCTAATAGAGAATAAACTTACTTAAGTAATACATTCTTACCTAAATTTATATCCTGCAAGTGTGTAAAAAATTGCACATAACGAATTCAAATTACAAATGCATGCACTTAAATCTATTTACCTACATTGGACATATATTTGACACAATATATTAGCTATTAAGCAATGTTTCCAGTTTTATCGCATTTCTTTATGGAAATTCGTATAGCTAAATTACTTTGAAAATAAAAAGGAAATTACTCAACGTTACGATTTTCAGTAAATGATTAAGAACATATAATAGTCATGGTCGTCATGTAAATTTCAATATTTTTTAAAAATGTATTATTTAAATATAACATAAAATCGAAGAGAAGTGCAACGAACTTGATTCCAATTAAGGATATACGCGAACATCTCATCCTCATAAACAAACCTCCCCGAAAAAGCCTTCAGGTTTTTATAAGAAAAGTCGAATATAGATTACGTATGGTTCAAATTTAAATGTAGAAAAAATTAATGTAACATTAACGATTATACAAATACTGATACTGATACTCTTAAAAATGTTTAATAAAATCGTACATCAATGTATAAATTCGGTTTTTATTTTTTATGGAATGAGAAATGTTAAAAACAATATTTGGATTTAATTAATTAATACCGAAAATAATTATATATGTTTCTTATCTAATTAGAAATTGTTTTTTAAAAAATTGTATACTCTTGATAAAAGGATAAAAAGTGCGCTGCCCACATATTCCGAAATACAAGAAAATTATTTCAGGCTAATACTAAATATGCTATAGCCTTGCGAACGATTTCAAATAATACCTGCTAGGCTACGGAAACCTTTAGCCTATGCGACGTATTTTACTGCCTAGGTGTGTCAAGATGTTATAAATTTAAATCGATATGTCTAAACATAGATTGTAGCGCCACAGTTTTTTATTTTTGCGGGCGGTAAAGTGAGCAAATCTTGAATCGGTATGCATAATCCCAACATTCTTGTTCGCAACACTATAGCTTCTGAAATCTCAGCGTTTACACAGCCATACAGGTGGATACGAAAAGGTCCTGAGCCGTTTTTAGAAAAAAAGAAGAAATGAACCCAAATGATTATCCTTGAAAAATGTACGCCTCGATAAGATTTTATTTAAGGTCAGTATAAAACATTAAAACTAATAAAAGTTTTGCGAACCAATTCTGAAAAACCCTGAGTTGTGCAGGCATCTCTAGAATTTGCATGCTCACTATCTCTTATAGTTTCCCTCAACCGTACTTAATTATAAGTGATTTTTCTGCACGTTAAGGAGACGTGCTTATTCACTGTCCTAACAACACTCACATAATCATATTTTTACAAATTTAATAAAAACCTCAATTAGACTATATATTGAACACATTAGACTATATAATAAACATTTTAAATAGGGAGATCAATATTATGGCGTCAATATGATCTTTATTATTAGGACCGGATGCTTCTCGTTTAATGTACAACATTGCTGTTGCAATAGAATTTAGTATCGCTTGAATTTCATCGTCTGACTACGAAAAGTTTGGATTTCGCTATTTCTGTTGCCAAATAATTGTGTCCGTAAGACTGCGAAAGGTGCCTTATTTATGTATGAAAGACATTTTTTCACCGTTTACAATTGTATATTTTTTTAAATATATTACACGCACGTATACACACGAAGATTAAAATACTATAATTATTAATATTAATGTTATCTAGAGAATACAAGTAGTAAGACTGGTGCAACATTTCGGTGTCAGACCTATTCTTTTAAATACATGTAGGTTACACATAAACATAATAGTGGTTAGTACACGTTTATACCCTTCCAAAATATATATAGACAGTACAAAGCTTAGAGATATTAATTGTTTGATCTGTTTTTTCATAGCCATAATGCAATAAAAATGTATTTTATTTTTTCGTTTCACTCTGCTTATTGCATTTTAGATTGCTTTTAACACATTTCTACGAACATATATACAATGAAACTTCGTATTTTAAGAATTGATTTTGGAGCAAGGTTATTATTAAAATTCGGCTTTTCGAGCTTTAGGCTTTTTTGTATATAAACATCAAAAGTTATACATTTTTATCGGAGGCATTGTGGCCTTTTTTTTTCTGTTTATGTTAATACTGATTTAATAAGGATATATTTTTACTTAATTTTTTATATTTCAGATAGATTTGTGCAATATTTTAAATAAGTAATGAAATCTCCCAATCAAAGATACTTATTAATCATACTCACTGAAATAATAGTTTTGAGCAGTCACTTTCTTGCACAACCATAATAAAACTAAAGTATCTTTAATTAAAATGAAAACATAAAAAAATATGTAACGAAATAATACTTAACGTGACGTTTTGAACTTAATGACGATAATTAAAAAAAATCGGAATACATAAAACTAATATAAGATAAGCATTGGACTAAAATATTTTTATCCGACTGTTTTCAGCTGTAACTTTCTGATCAAACAAAAATTTTAATATCCTTTTTAGAAGAGAAAAAAGTGTTGTGTAAGGTTTATAATAAAGCTATTTAAAAATAAATGGGGGTTATTATTATTAATTTATATTTAATTAAGTTATTTCGAAGTGCACTTCGAACGACATCAGGAAGGACGAAAAGATTACGTGTTGTAAAACTATTGGCGTTATCGAAAAACGAATTATATGAATTTAATTTTTTGTAACATGCCAATTTATAATCGAGTTTACACCAAAATGGTTTTATTATATTATTATATTTAAACAAAATTTGTATATTAAGTCTTCCAAATGCATAGTCATGATTATAAGATAGATTATTCAAAGAGGCGTTAAATAAATAAAGAAAACGGTTTAAAGATACAATTTTAATAGAATGTTAAAACTTTGCTCCGTTAAACTTCTCCAGCTGGTACTTTTTCGACATAATACATATTACTTATATAAGAGTTTTGTTTCTAAAAAACTCCAAATGGTAGAGAAAACTGAAAAACCTGTCAAAGTCTGTTACAGTTTTAAAATAGTTGAAATTTAGTTTAAAATTTTATTATCTTAGGAATTGGCGTTAGTGTTTATTGATAGCATGGATAAAAAATATAACGATACCGAAGGTACTAAGCTGCTTTATAGGTAATGTTAAAAGCAATAAGTCATTATATTGATTTTTAAACCGTATGTTTCGTACGATAAAAAGGCAAAAGCAACAACTTATGCTCCAAATTTATTTTATCTGCAAAAGGCAAAAAATTAACAAATGACATTAAGCAAACGAAAGAGCAAAATTTCAAAATAATGACTTTCCTCTTGGACTAAAGAATTTTTAAACAAATAAGTTAGTAAAAAAAACCTTTATAAAAGCCTTGCACAACATTTAAGACAGAAGATTTATGCCATTTGGAGGAAGGGTGCATTTGCAACACTATATGTATAGTGCCATACACTATGGCTTATTTTACCTTTTTCTGCTGGAGGAAAATTGGGTTCTCTTGTAATAAGACATAAAAAATTATCAAAAATAAATTGAAAAATAAAATACGATTACAATAAAAATTTAGTTTTTGCGGTTTGAAATAAATTTGCGCTACCCTGGGATCTCTTTTATCTGTATGCTTAATAGCTTTCAAGTGAAAGTTATTAGTTTGAAAAATCTATTGAAATCCGAGAAAATCGATAAATATTGATACTGATTAAAATATATGTATTTACTCTTACCTATTACAAACTTTTCAAAAAATGTAGTATACTCCTTGACTATAGATACAAATAAAAAAATAAAACTAAATCAATTAAATAACAGTTTTGCCATTAGGCAAATCAAAATTATCATGTTATCATTTTGAAACAAAGAGCAAAGCTTGTTGCAGTAGGAACTTTTATTGCAGAAATAAAAATATCAAAGATTTCTAATGGATAATTTTATATTTGCAAGGGTATGTAATCATCATCGGCCTTCCGAAGCTAAAATTTAATTATTATGCATAACTTTATTGATTTTGATTTGGTGGGAATTTTTTTGTGCATATTAGAGTATTTAGATTATTTTTTTATTTTTTAGTTGCCAGCTGTCTCTTAGTATACATTTTTATTGAAGTATGATATTGAGTTTTCATACATTTTGTATATATTTACAATCTATACTTTATTAAAGTATAATTATTATTAATACATTAATTTTAATAGTTCATTTATACATACATACACAAATACATTAAGTTTATAATCTAAAACATTTACTTACTACAATTCTATTTCGTAATGGTATAAGTAAATTTTTATGATAACGGTAAATTGACCAGATTAAGTGTAGAAAAAAAAATCCATTAGTTTAAGTGGAAACTTTCAATATTGAAAAAAGAAGAAAATAATTTTTAAACATTTTACATTTGTAAGTATAAATTAACTTTTATTGATACTGTTATACATTAATACAATGAATACTAATTGCGTTTAGCAATAGGCTTACTTAGGCTTGCAAAATAAAACAATAATGCACATAATATTGTAATATTACAAATCAAAAATGTTCAACAAATGAATTAATAAAGATGATTGTGAACATCATGAACATGATTTCATATAGAAAGATACTATGTGATTTTTGTTTATTTAAATATAATAAGGTTTTTTATTGAAATCAACTTGTAGGTTTGTGCTGAAACAAAATTAATCTTGTTCCGATATGGTATAGAAAGAAGTGTTAAAGTGTTTTTTTGTTGACAGCAAAATTGTACTTCCTGTCGCATTTCATATGTTTCCAAATATTGGGAATTTTCCTACAAAACTTTGTGTTATCACTCTTAGATAGAATGAAATAAATGAGATATTTTTTATCTATCAATAGGCTTTCGGTTAAATTTATAATAAAGTTATTTCTTGTAAACACATAATGAACTTAAATTTGTTTAGCTTTTATGAGAAAACAAAGAAATATAATATATAAATCATTGCCTTCTAATGTTTCTGGAAAACTATCACAACGCATAAGAAACATTGAAGTATCATAAAAACTCCGGAACCAAAAAACTTATAGTTTATAAAAATAACATTGTGGCTTGCATTTATATTAAGAGTTAATTTACATTTTTGTTTAACTTAAGAGATGAATGACATCGGGGGATTACTATTCACATAGAATCATTCCTTGACGTGGAAATGTATTATCCGTGAAGGATCACAGAAATTAAAAAGATATTATAACTCATTATTGAACCATTAGGAATGTGACTTAGTACCATGAACTCTAGATAAAAAAAATGATTACATGAATTTCCCTTAATCTTTAATCTAGAGACTATAAAGATAGCAATCAGTTATTTTTGTTTAAGCTAAAATTAAAGTCAGTCGATTTATCAGTTAAAATATTTTATCTTGGTTATTACGTCTTACATAATTTTTCTTATTGAAATACGTACATACATACAATACCATATTATTTAAGCATTAAATGAGCAAATACTACATTTACAAATGATTTTCATAAATTGTATCTGAAAAAAAAAAAAGATTGTTAGATATTGTTTGGTATTTTCCAGTGAGCATTTCCTAATATCAGGGTCATCCATGAATAGACAAAGTTATTAAAGAGACTAAGATTTTAATCATTATTGGAAATATTTAATTTAGCGTAAAAAAAGGATTTTATGGATTCTCAAGAAAACAAAAGTTAATCCAATATTATGATATAATCGCAAATAAACTTATAAAGATCACAAACGTCTTGCGGCTATATGATGTTTTTGTGAGGAAAGAAGCCAGAATTGTAACCAGAGGCACCATAATAAGGCACCTTCAGACAGTGCCATTATTGAAATTACTTTGGAGATATATATTTAAATGAAAACCCTTCGCAAAAATGTTGATATTGACATGTTGAGTGATTTGTCGCATTGTTTTAATTTTAAAAGATAATAAGATTTTCATCACCGCTGCAAAGTTAAAAAATAAAATAACTTATATATATAAAATATATAAATATAAGAATAATATATAAAAATATATTTTTATATATAAATACATATACATATATATGTTTATATTTAAATTATAAAAATGTTTAAAACCCTAAAAATAAATTTTTCGCGGTTTACATAAATTGCATAAAACAATTACATTTCCGTATTTGGTAAATAAAGACTCTCCTGTTTAATAAATATGGTTTTATGAAAAAAGCGTATTTAAGCTCACTTTTTGTATTTCTCTCTCAGCTTGTAGGATAGAGACATTTTATTCTGCCGACATTATGTTGTGAACCTGCTCTAACTTAAAAGCCAACCTCTGCTTTTGCGAAAATTCATCCTCTTCAAGAGTAACTGTTAGCTGTTCATTGTACTTTACAGCATATGTATATAACTCATGTAGAGCACAGTTTGTATTAAATTCTGTTGTGTGCAGCTGAAATTAAAAGAAAGGTAAGAATTATATAGATATTCCATAATTTATGTTTGCATCATGTTATAACTAACCCTTGATTCTTCTGCAAGCATAGCATTCATGTCCTGATCTGATATTGGTGACATATCGCGTATGTCTCTATAATAGCGATCTACCCACTTGCGATATTCTGGTATATCTTTAGCGTATAGTAGTTTCGAGCTTGGTGAGTCCTTGCCTAAATGAAAAGAATTGAGTTCAGTCTATAAGACCGACCGAATTGTTCTACATACCTAGCCGATGATCAGAAGTTGAACAAGAGTCCATAAATGTTTGGGCCACAACTGACAAGCACGAATCCACTATATTTGACTTATGTATGTCAAAAACAAAATTTGGATTTTTAATTAAGTTTACCCAAAACCTAAAATGTACATACAATTTTTATTTAATAATCTTAATTTAATCTTAATTACTCACCGCAATGGTAAGCTGTTACTTTTCCAAGTATGCACAACTTCTGGATCAGTTATGCCATGCAACTGAGCTTGATCGTCCAGAAAGTCAAACATGTACTTTATAGCTAATGGCAGTGCCGAACCACGGTGTGCGGTGCTAAATATTGTTTCAAAGAGGTCGTCAACAAATTTTTGAAGCGTACCCTTGGTAGCCAATAGTCTGGTTAAATAAATCTCTGATACCAATTTGTTAACCCGTTCTCCTTCTTTCTGCATATCACTATCATGGTGTTTCACAAGGTGCCAGTATCTTAGACCATTATCATGCAAATCATTATTAAGAGGGCTACCGGCGCGACTAAATGTCGGAGAGGACGATGTGTATTTCGATATATTAAGCGTTTCATACCTAAGAATGACGATGAATATATGTTACGTGTATATTTACTTCACAGTTATGAAAATATCTTACTTATGAGATTTTTCATTTTTATCCGATAAAATGCTAAAATTATAAATCGAACTTTGCTTTGGTACTAAGCTCAGTCCAGCACCATCTGGAACATTATAGTGTTGCAAAGTATTAAGTTTCTTCCATTCGCTCTCGGTTTTTGATGTGACGTCCTCATCATACAGAATTACTCGGCCCGTTGCTCCTGTTCGCCATTCTACAAAAAAATAGGAAGGACTGCTTTAGCCGAGTACTGCGCCTATTAGATAAAAGTTATTCTACATTTTTCAGTTAGCCAAATTTTAAATTAATTATACTAGCTGAAACTGGCTCCGTAAACAATTTAACCAAAACCATATGTTACAACCATGTAAGGCACGTTTATTAACTAACGATGACGTGACTGTCCATGTAATGTATATTTATTTTAGCAAGAAGTTAGAAAAATATTCAAAAAAGTTTAAACGTCCAGCTGGAAACACTAACCGTTAATATGGGGGTGACGTCAACTAAGGCCTTGTAACCTTAATTTCGTAATTACGAAATAAAAAATATTAAAAATAAAGCTAAATTAATATTGACTAGTATGAAAATTTACATCAAGATAGAGGTAAATGTAATTTTACTCTATTTTACGTGTATCAGACGACCTTACAAAGAAATAAAATACAATGTTTTATATTTTAGCTTTACTTACCTAAATCTAAGTCGTCCTTACGGGGTCTTTGGCTTGATGGAATGTTTCTATAAATTGTCTCTAAGCATTTCTCCTTAACTTGTCCAATTGTATCGCAGTCCAATACCTTTACGGATACGTTTTCGGTGTGAGAAGGCAGCATATCCAAGTTATTGCAAAATATTGGCTGCTGTATGATACTTGCATAAACGTTCATTGGTCTGAAATCAATGGACTGCCGTATAAGTTTTTCTTCACTAAGGGAGTATCTTGCTTCATGTGTGCAAGCGTCAACAGGACCCTTATCGACTTGTCCTTTCACCGCGCGAAAAAGCATATATAAAGGCTCTCCAGCACACTCTTTCAAAAACTTGTAAAGAAGAAAGGTGAACCAAGCACTTAACATCTTTTCTGCCACACTTTCCGTTCGGCGTAACAAGAGTTTCGGATGACTCTTTCCTTCTATACATTTTTCAATCAAATCTCCCAATAATGTTTTTAAAATATCTGTACAATATTCCAATTTTGATTGAAGGGTGACCATAATTAATGAGGCTACATTAACTCGTTCTCTCATTGAGAAATAACGATTCGACTCTAACGTTCGAATAAAAAGTAGCAAGAATGTTTTATTCATAATAAGTTGGCCGAAAATTCGCAACCCTTTTTCCTTCCGGAGAAGCTCAGGCCTTTCCCATTGCAGAACAATATGGTCTTCGTGATTGGGAAAAAGAATCTTCATTGCATATGAACGATAATCTAAAAATGGGATTCCTCCCGACGTAAGATCCCCTGTGAGATCAGTCATCTCTGTTTGAAGTTCGGCAAATGCCTCCTTACATTCAGCTGCGACACGCAACTCCAAGATGTCCATCTGTTCCTGCATGTTTCGAAGTACCCGATTCGATTCAGAACTTTTTTTTTTATAAGCTACCAGCAAAGCAACAAAAATCAGAAGTAAAATAACAATTGTAGCTATTACTGCAAAAAAGACATTTTCTCCCCAATCCAAAATAATGTTAGACGATTCATAGCTGAGAATACCAATTCTATACTCCAGCGATGTTCCAATTCGTACAATAACTTCGGGCCCATTAAGGCTTTTAGTTGCTGTTGCTTCAGGAGGAGGTCTACATGTGAGTTGTTGTCTTGAAAGTGACGTAATATTGCAAAATCCATTACCTATCTTTACTTCCACATCAGTCTCTTTGCAGGCGCGATCTAGATTCCGACCATTTATTGTTAAATATTCACTCTTAAAGTACTTAACTCTTTCTTCAAATATGAAATACTCGGGATTTGGATAAAGCTCAAAATGGTTTTTATGAATCTTTGATAAATTTTGTACGCGCAATACATTATCCATTAAGAATCCATATTCAAGAAGCATGGGATTCTCTGCTTCAATATTTTTGCTATCCACATTAATAACTGGAGATGCACATTCCATTTCTGTATCCGATTGAACACGACATTGGCTTTCATAAATCTTTCCATTATATATCACGTAGATATTGGGAGATTGTATACTGGTAAACTGGGTACCAATTACCGAAATACGAATTCCGCCGGATGGTATTCCTTTCGGTACTTTTATTTGCCCACTCGGCCCTGAGCTAACGTGTTCAATTGTGGGATCGAGAACATATTTAAAATTGTAATCATTAAATTCTCGAGGACCATTATCAAACGACATTTTTAGTCGACCCTCGATTATACCAGGAGAAGGGGACGTCCGACATATAGCCTCAGAAGAATCTGTTTTTAGAATTTTGCAAGGTAAATGATCATTAATAGATGCTTGTATGCGGGAGCCGGCATTTAAGTGTTTCCCAGTTATATGTATCTCAGTCCCGCCGGAAGTTGGACCAAACTTTGGATTAAAATCCAAAATTTTCGGGTCAACAAATTCGTAGTCCTCTTTAGACTCGCCGCGGTAGTCCCCTATTTGTACAACTATTTTTCCATTTCTGTACATTTGTTCCCCGGGGCTATCAACCGTACACACAATTTGTTTTGTATCGATGTAAAATTGTGGAAATGGCATACAATTTATACCAGCTATTCGAACTCCTGAATAAATGTCGTTATAATTTTTCCCTAAATTAATACCTCGAATTGTTATGTTTGTTCCTCCTTCCCAAGGACCAGTTTTGGGTTCGAAAGTATGTATTTCAGGGTTGGGGCAAATTTCACTTCGATTCAACCAATCAGTTTTTCCCTCTTTGTTCTTATTGCACTGTTCTTCAACTTCACATGTGTTAGTAGATGAACACCATCCGCAATTGTACTTTTCGGCTAAAGCCAAACAAATACCACAGCTGTCGGCCATTTCTCGACACCGATAAATAACAACTGTAAAACAAAAAATTAAAAACTATAATTTATAATTCTTGAGTTATGTTGACTTACCATGTATATTATGAGGATTATCAAGAGGCTTGGATCCGCCCCATATAACAGCGAAAGTGGCTGTCAAATTGGGCGATCTTGAGGTGTACTGAAATTCCATACTATCACAGTAAATGGTGTCGCCCAACAATTGAGCGTTTAAACTCGTTACACGTCCCTCAATATTAAATTGGCAAACAAATCTCGTTTGGACTATAAACTGCCCTATTATATGAACCTTAACTTTTATAGATTTGCTTGTTCCACCAGCCACAAGTACTTCACTTCCATCACCTGTAGCGTTAATAGTTGGACAAAATCCAGGACCTGATCTATAACTTGGGCCTATACGGCTGACGCCTGTGACCAAAATATCATTGCGACAATTTTCGGCAGTGTCGTGAGTGCAGCGGTGAGCTTCAACGCACCAATCACATGGAAACTCCGAGGACACACATCGTGTACACGATGAGTGCGTACTGCAATCAAAAAAGGTGAAATCCGTGGACACCAAGTCAGGGCCGTTTCTTGTGCGCACAGACAGTTTGGCTGTAAAGTGGTGTTTTCCTTGTTCAATTTGGGGCAGCATGTCTGTCCGCGGTGTAGTGCAGTTCACACCATTTCGTTTCTTTGTTGCATTAGTAAAAAGGGCTTTATCCTCTGTGGTAAAAGCACATATTAAATTTTCCTTTAGTTGCGGCAAATGATCGATGATAAGTTCTAGAGTCCGAGCGGTAGTACGTTGTAGCTGGTGGGGCACAACACTTGTTATCGTTGTACATTTTCCAGTTTTATAACTGACCCAGTACAGAGGATCGTTTGCGTCATCCTGACAGTTCGAACGTGGGCTACATTTGTTTTCCAATGAGCACCAGCCGCAATACGGATCTCTAGCACCTAAGCACTCACCACATGTCTTATAATCAGAACAATCAAACACTTTTACTTTTGCTACTTTAGTTTCGGACATGACATACATGTAAAGGTTTTGGTTATCAAACTGCATGTCCTGGTTAATTGCAGAACCTAAGTCCACAGAAAAACTAGAATACTCATTGGCAACAGATGAAGACTCAACTACAACTTTTTTGAGGTATCCATCTGTCGTGCCCACAAACACAACAGTATATCCGCTTGTACTCGTTGCAGCGACTGAAGTTATCTTTGTGTTAAACATAGCCACCGGCACTGAAGTAATCGGATTCTCCCCTCCTAATGGCGAATTAACATCTAATCCACAAAAATCTTCTCCAATAGTTTGCAATTTCTAAAATGAAAAAAATATATATCGATAAATTAACTTTTATTTTATTGCGAAAATATATTTTAATTCCCCAGTAGTGGAAATGATCATTAAACTAGATTACCATGTAAAAAAATCCTTTACAGAAACACAATTAGAAAATTTGGAAGCTACATGTTAAATAACTAAAATTTTAGTTAATGTCGTAAATACTCGAATGTGGATTTGGGGCTATTTGGTTTAGATGAATAGTAGAAGAGAATAATAATTTTAAAAAAATGCCGATAGCTTTACTAGCTAGTTTGCTTAAGAAAGACAAAAGGCCACAGCCAATCAATTAAAGTGAAATTCATATTATTCGCCATTATTATTGCAAGGATATAAATACATTTCAATAAACATTACACTTTACACATATGCTTTCTTTTTATAAAATATCTACCTATTTAAAATGACGTAGGTGACTTACCGTTAAAACACATGGCATGCTGGGTGATATGAAATCCAGTCCCCTCATTCCATTTCCGTTAAAGCAGGACTTTATGTTTTGCATAAATTTGCGACGAATAGATTTTAATGAGTAAATACAAAGTGCAGAATTGTTTGTTGGTGTGTTTCCGTCACCCTTTGAAAAAACGGCAAAAAGAACATCATCCTGAATGGATATACCCAAGCTTTGAGCCAGGTCCGAGCTGGGCTTTCCTAAGTAACCGGCCTGAACCAAATTAAATTTCGTACCGCCTTGAGCATCACTAATACATTCGACTGGAATTTCCGTGTATGAATAATAGTTTGAATCTTCTTGGCATATTCGCACAAGCTTCGTTATATACTCTTTAGTGGAAGATGGGTGACTGTGCTTCAACTGGGTAGTAAGAAAGTATGAAAATCTCTCGGAACTGAATCCATAAACGTAATTTACAAAATATGTTTCTCGGGCATACGAATTAATAAAAGTCCTTGTTCCGGTTGTAACCGCAGAGGACGCAATCTGGAACATCTTCGTCTTTTCAAGGGAGCGTGAAGCTACTGCGGGAATTTCACTTCGGTATGGTGAATTATTAGTATAAGTAACTCCAACGTACATCACATTTGTCACTGGGTGCTGTGGAGGTCCCGGCGCTATAAATGCGACTGTCGATGAATTTGCATCATTTGCGACAACCGCATCCGGCACTTCATGCTCAACTATGCTGACATTTTGAAGATTTCGAACTGTACATGTCCCTTGGAATAGTGATCCGCACGCTATAAGTCGAGAGGTAGCACGATCTATGAGCAAAACCTTATTGTAATTGTCCGTCGGACTGCGAACTGCATTCAAGGGGCAGTCGAGTATGCTGCATTCTACCGAATCATTTTGAGGTCCCGTTTTCACCGTTTCTGACAGCTCTAAATCAGGAGACAGCTGATACAACCTGTTAACACCACCAACAAACACTCTTCCTGTAATGGTGTCCACTAACAGGTGATTTAGTTTTGTGTCAAAGGTAGCCAAATTTGTGATGGTTGTACTTAGGTTCTGTGAATCCTTCATCTTGGAATTTGCATCAGTCGAATTAAGGGGTATATTTGTAAAAGCCGTATCATCAGACCGAATATTTGCTGCCAATATCTGACATCCTTTTCTTGATTGCAGCCAAAAGTCATTTTTATCTCCCAGCGTTGCTAATAGCAGCACACTAAGAATAAAATTCATTTCCACAAACGCTCCTTTAAAAAGCGACCCGCTTCACTTTTTGTATTAAAATTTTATTTGATGTTTTTTTCTTTATAAATTTTCACCGTAACACTTAATACTCGCTTTTAATTTCCGACATTCTTTGAAATTGCAATATCCGTTTACTTCAGATCTACTTTCATTTCTTCTTTATATGTAGTAATAAATATCTTTACATAGGTGTATGAAATGATGGCAACATCATTGAATCTGGAAAATGAAGTTAATCAAAAAGCAAAATAGTTTTAGTAATCCATAAAAGATATTAGTTTTTAAATTAAAATTTAATCTAAATTTTATCACCACGTTTCAGTCACATTATCACAGTCTTAAAAAAAATCTTTTAAAAGATTGCAAATGCTTTTGAAATCATACAAAATGTTTCCCTAACTTACTCGCTTTTGGAAGTGGAAGAAACTCCCAAAGCTAAATAAAAATGTAAATAGAGGAGTTAAAAGTTTAATTCAAATTGTAAAAGACCCTGTATTAATATTTTTAAAGATTTGTTTGTCTCATAAAATATGTTTTGTCCATACTTGATTACGTACAATATATTCTGGGCAATGATTCTCCAGCGGTTCGAATTGTTTAATTGGGGTTCAAAGACATATTTAATTTGATTTAAATGAGTTTCTAGGTTTCCATCTCAAAATTAATTTACACAATAATTTGACTGGTGGCCAGCGCCCAACTTCTGTTTTCCTTGAAAACTCTTGACTTTAGAAATTTGGAAAGTTAAATCATTGATATATTGTACTGCCGTAGGGACAATTCTTTTAATGTAATAAAGGTTGATTAAAGCAAATAGTTAAGCATTTTTTCTTTCCTCCTTCATATACTTACGACATTTATAGAAATTTAAAGTTGCTTATTAAAAGAGACAATAAATTTAGTATATTTGTTGTTGCATATTCGTGTTCTCGTGTTCTAAAATATACTGGAACTACTACATATGGACATACACACATATGATGTACATATGTTTATTTTGCTGTAATCTAGTCTATACATATATTTCCTTTTATACATATGTACCACGCCCCTTTAATCTTCACCGAAAGTAATACTTTTGAATTAAACACAAAAAGATAATATTAAATAACTTTAAAAGTAGTGACATTTGAAAATGAATAGAAATAAACTTAGGTATATAATGTACATACATAAACCAAAGTAACCAAAGGGTTGAAAATATATATTTTTATCGCTCAATTTCAAATATATATATGTGTATATGCATATAAATCATGCAACTTCACAACAAAAACATTTAATTCTTGTTCATATATTTTATTCAATACATTTCAAATAGAAGCAGACGCTACAAATGTATCTGTAGTGGGGGTCTGTTTTTGATTTTGTATGTACATCTGAATCTGCTTGCGGAGAGCACTTTTTTCAAACTATTTAGAAAACACAACTTACTATTTTCTTTTTTATAAAGCATTCAATAAGTACAAATTCAATACATAGCAAGACACTAAACATAGTTTCTTTTTATTTCCGTATTTCACTACACAATATATTACATTACAGTATGAAAGCGTTATCGTTTTACGATATGCGATAAGCAACAACTAGAGATGAGCGTTGTTCTAAAGACTAGATTTATCGATCAATATTGATACTAAAATATGGTCTCCTTCATATTCAGGATAGTGTAGTCACGATATTTCCTGTTTTCGGAATTAATTGTTGAGAGATTCAAATACAAGGATTGAATGTGTTAATTTTTTTCAATAAAATGAAAACAAGGAGGAAAAATGTATTACATTTTTATTTTACTGGCGCCGTAGAGATTTTAGACCATTTCATAGATTTTTTAGGACGAAAAACTGTTTTAAACGGGTACAAAAACTATAGAAGTTTATAAATAAGCGTTAATAAAATAGATGGAGAGAATAAAAAATAAGCAACATCTGAAAATTTTTTTCAAATTGGTTGATCAGCTAACGTGTGCAATGAAGCGCTGTCTTCTAAATAATATACATACTATATTCCTATGCTGAAATAAACCTGGGTATGTATCTCTGTAATCTACATGCTTCGTACGAACTTTCTATTTCTTATAGTTCCTGAGATCTACCGTTTATAAGACCTGCAGATATGAATAAATCGAATCGGCCATTAATCCTGATGAAGACTAAATTCATTTATATATTAAAAATTTGTGTTTATCTGGAAACTACGCATAAAATAAATAATAAAAATGTCCATCAAAATGTATCTACTTGAGTTGTCAAAAATTATTGTCAGTATATCCGCTCTTATTTTATTTGTATTAGTCTAAATCACTAAGTTTTAGGATCTAAATTTAATATAAATATATAATAGGTCTTACATTTACAGAAATCTTAAAATTAAGATTACTCTTAACAATGTGGCAACATCAATTTTCAGTATATATTTTTTAGTATAAATCCCAAAAACAATGATAGACTTCCCAGCCCTAGCAAATAAAAAAATCTTATCGAACCGATTCATTTACCACACGAGAAAAAGTCACCCTCCGAGAAAAATGTTCGCGTTCCGTGCTGCCTCGAAAGCCGATAAGAATTTGCTACCATTCTTGGGGCAGTTGTGTAAGTATAATTAAAATATCCCTCATTTTTAGACGGAACCAAATGGATTAGGATTTAATAGAAAACTTTCGAACAAAACGCGTATAGACATGACTTAATTCCTTAATTGTCGAACATAACCTTACGTTAAAAAGATGTTACGAGCGAAGAAAAATGATTACATAACAAAAATTAAAAAATGATTTAAGGTTACCTGAGATTTTTAAAAAAGGATTCAAAGCGTAGTTCTTAAAAAAAACCTTTATATTACATAATTCAATAAAAATTTGGCGTGGTTCCTTTTTAGAAGATATTGGAAAATGTTTTTATTTCGATATATGCACATACACACATACAACCTTAGCTATAATCCTATTGTTTCATTGACAAGAATATGCATAGGTGAAGATCAGAAAACCATATTTTTTAATGTTTAAGGATAATGACAAACATTTTATAACAGTGGGATTAAAATAGTTACAATTTTTATTAATTGTTCTCAGAAATAAAGAGGAAAATAATACGTTTTTGGCTGTTTAAAAATATTAGTTTTTTATGTTAACTATTACAATTCGTATTTCATTTTAGCTCGCTGCTATGCTGCTAAGGCTGCAAAGGCTGCGGCTGCCGCCAATGGAAAGATTGTGGCTGTAATTGGTGCTGTCGTCGACGTGCAGTTTGATGACAATTTGCCGCCAATTTTAAACGCATTGGAAGTCGACAACCGGTCTCCTCGACTGGTGCTCGAGGTGGCACAACATTTGGGAGAGAACACCGTTCGCACCATTGCCATGGATGGTACTGAGGGCTTGGTCCGCGGGCAAAAGGTTCTTGATACTGGGTACCCAATTCGAATTCCTGTCGGTGCTGAAACTCTGGGTCGCATTATCAATGTTATTGGTATGGAATTTATTATTTCATTTATTACAAAAATGGGTTGATGGACTTTTTCCAATAGGTGAACCCATCGATGAGCGTGGACCAATTGATACAGATAAAACCGCTGCCATTCACGCTGAGGCTCCTGAATTCGTTCAGATGTCTGTTGAGCAGGAGATTCTCGTCACTGGAATCAAAGTAGTCGATCTGCTGGCTCCCTATGCCAAAGGCGGAAAAATTGGTTTGTTTGGTGGTGCCGGGGTGGGCAAAACTGTGTTGATCATGGAGCTTATAAACAACGTGGCAAAGGCTCACGGAGGATATTCTGTTTTTGCCGGTGTCGGCGAACGCACCCGAGAAGGAAACGATTTGTACAATGAGATGATCGAGGGAGGAGTCATTTCCCTCAAGGATAAAACATCTAAGGTTGCTTTGGTCTACGGCCAGATGAACGAGCCCCCAGGTGCTCGAGCTCGTGTTGCTCTCACTGGACTAACCGTTGCCGAGTACTTCCGCGATCAAGAAGGACAGGATGTATTGCTGTTTATTGATAATATTTTCCGGTTCACTCAAGCTGGATCAGAGGTGTCTGCTTTGTTGGGCCGAATTCCCTCTGCCGTCGGTTACCAACCGACTTTGGCCACTGACATGGGTTCTATGCAAGAGCGTATTACAACCACTAAAAAGGGATCCATTACATCTGTCCAGGCCATCTATGTGCCCGCTGATGACTTGACCGATCCTGCTCCAGCCACTACATTCGCTCACTTGGACGCTACCACTGTCCTGTCTCGTGCTATTGCAGAACTTGGTATTTACCCTGCTGTGGATCCCCTCGATTCCACTTCTCGAATTATGGACCCCAACATCATTGGGCAAGAACACTACAACGTTGCTCGTGGCGTGCAGAAAATTCTACAAGATTACAAATCCCTTCAGGATATCATTGCAATTCTGGGCATGGATGAGTTGTCTGAAGAAGATAAGCTCACAGTCGCACGCGCTCGCAAGATTCAGCGTTTCTTGTCGCAGCCATTCCAAGTTGCTGAAGTCTTTACTGGGCACGCTGGTAAACTCGTGCCGTTGGAACAAACCATAAAGGGCTTTTCGGCGATTCTGTCCGGTGACTACGATCATTTGCCTGAAGTAGCCTTCTACATGGTCGGCCCTATTGAAGAAGTTGTCGAGAAGGCTGACCGTCTGGCAAAGGAAGCTGCTTAAAAACTAAATCTTCAAATGCGTATTACCAGCAATAAATAATCGATTGGATTGTAATAAACTTTGTAACATTACATTGGAATTCAATACACGTGAAGAACTCAATAAAACTTATTTAAATATCATTATACTGTTTTTAACTACAAAATTATAATGAATTAAAGGTTTTAGTATGTTCAAGGCAAGGTGTAAAGAGATTCAAAAAATGCATCATTCGGCTAGCATATTGAGCTGTTCTTGTTTTTTGTTTGATTCATTGTGTTACCGTATGTACGGGTTAACAAATATTTTTGTTTTGTTGTATTCTTTTTTTTCGGGCTATAGAGTATTACAGTAATATTTTACGGGTTCTAGGAAAAAATTTAACAAATGAGATGTTAAAAGAATGTCGAAAACAGTTTTAGATAATGCTAACAATTGTGAAAGTGGAAGGAAGCAGTAGCTGTGACTTTTTATAAAAAAAACCTGAATATTCTTTTCGTATCCTACTAACTACGTTATCAATCAGGAAAATTAGAGAAGAAGGCGCATTTCGCCCTGTACAGCCAAATAAATAAACTTGTTTTAGTCAGTTTTCACAAGTCCATCTTATATTACAATATGCATTCCGGGTACCTTTCCAAAAACCTTTCGATCGGCACTACCATAATCTAAAAGGATCAAAAACGATTAAAATATATGTTTATTATCATTTTTATTAGGTATTTATTTTATGTTTTATAAATCATATATATGGATTAAACTATTTAGTAATTGGAATTGTTAAATTTGTTATGGACTTTGCATTATGGACTTAAAATTGCATTATGCTTATCTTAAAATATATGCGACATCCAGTAAGAAAAAAGTTGTACGGCCAATTTACATCCTTGCTTAATTTTTTTATTTTTCAAATTCATATTTTCGAGAAAATAATAATGAACTAGTTCATACTCCAAAGTCGTTTAGCTAAAATGCTATGTTTTTAATGTAACATGGTTTTGTTTAGTTTGTTTTCGTAGCCAAAATATTACAAATTATTACAGAAGATATATAATTTAAAAGAATTTTGCCAAAGGCATTTACATTTCGAAAACTATGTTAATAGGTCCCAGTCCTAAATTGACTATCAGTACAATAAAAAAGAATCATAAATGCATCCCGAGCAGAGTGAATATTTAAATCTAAGGGAAATTCAAGTAAGAAAGTAAAAAAGGAACGATATTAAAATATTTTTCAAAACGTTTACTATACTTGTTTTTAGCTTTTAGGTACAAATAAACGTGTGGCGAAATGGAAAGATGTAGTAATTTATCGATGCAACAGTCTCATTACCCACAATATACTTCGCACTTAGGCTCGTTACAACGGATATGCAATTAAACACAAAAATATCCGTAGAAAAGGTGAGTAATCTTATATATTTTGTATTTAAATTAAAAAAGGAAAGTAAGGAGAATTGTTATATATTAATTGTGACTTTCAGCAACGGATGAATAATGTGATTATTTTTTTTTATTATTGCATTACAAGATTGTTTAATATTGTAATAGGCTTATATTATTATGTTTCATGTTGTGTTTTTATATTGCACAAATCTTGCCAGCTTTTTATGTGAACGTTAGAAAGAGAGTTCCATAACTTACAATAACTTTTAAAATTCTCGGTAAACAGATTTTTATTTATCCTTAAGAAATGTAGTTTATTCTTAAAATCTTAAAATTAGACATAGAAATCGAAAAGCTATTGCGACAAAAAATGTCCCTGCAACAGGAAATATTAAAAAATTGCAAAATATAACATAATAGATAAACATCGAAGAATTTAGACCAAAAAATGTTACGCAAGACAAACTTCAGCGTTTTACATATACATATATAAATGTATACATATTTACACAAAAATATATATATATTGCCCGAACACTCCAAATGGCTTAGTTAGAAAACGTGTTGATAAGGTATAGCAGATATAAAAGCGAAGGGGATATACATACATAAAATATAAGTTATTACGCAAATTTAAAGAAATCGCATACTTCCAATTATATTGTTTTAATTTTTGGTTTCAGTTAGCTAATTTCTAATTGGTTTTGATGTACTAAGTTTTTCAAAATTTTAAATGCTACATTGTAATTACCTAATGATTTACAGTTTAATAAATCGTTAATGCTTACTTGAGTAAGTTATATTCGCCTGTATTCACACATTTAAGTATATATGTGTGTATTACAATATTATAATAACGAGAGTAAGCGGACCAAAAACCAATGATTATTTGTATCCGATTATGTGATACATGCCATTTAAATTGTTTGCAATAATTTATCAAAGATTAAGTAAAGTTGGAATTTTGTATTCCAATAGATACACAGTTATTAATTTTATTTTAAGATAAATATCAATAAAAGGTAAATGATAATCTAGCTTCTTCCCCTGGCATCATTAAAATGTACAATCCTATGATTGGTACCACAACATTTACATCAAAAACTCCATGCACCAATAATATTTTTGTATTTTCATATAAGTGCTTTTTGCTCTTTAAGTTTATAAAGTGACCATATTTCTGTGGGATATCTGAAATGCGATATATGCTTTTAAATTGTATTGTATATTTTAACATAGAAAACATGGGACACAAAACGCATTAATTTAAATAATTAAAATAACAAAATTCGCACTAACAACTTTATTCGCAAAATATTATTGCGCCCTCTAATATGAATATAGCACTTTCTTTAACATGTGCAAAATGACAGTTCATATTCCATTAACTAATGTCCTTTACTTTTGTGGTATAAAATCGAATGTAGTAGCTCCGCTTATTTTGGCAGATGCACTTCGATGAAAGTGAACATTCTGCCATTTGCTATCGCGTTTGTGCCAAACTCGTGTCTCCTCAGACTGATGGGTGTGTGCATGTCCTTGCCTGCATATTGAACAGAATCAGTTTGGTGGATGCTGATCGGATAACTTTATCACCTGTACTTACTTATCAATGTATTGGGTAAGTCTGACGTAGGCAATACAAGCAGCTTCTTCACCCAGTAAGTGCACATGAGGATTTAATATAGTTGTGTTTATAGCTTTGCAATTCTTGCCGAGAACTAAATAAATAATTATTAATTCATTATGCTGCGAATAAATCGTTATCAAATTTACCATTTTCAAAATAAAATTTGTGAAAATCAATTCCTTCAACAAGGTTTCCCAGTGCTTCTGGCTCAAAGGCTGTAAGATGAGGATCACATATTTTTCTGAAAGAATAGAACTCAATTTATATTTCGATTTCGATTTTAAAACTTTTTAATATTACAAAAAGTATTTTTGTGTTTTAATTTCAAATCAGACTCTTGGTGGTTAAAAAACAGTATTTTATCGACAAGGAGAGACTTTGTTAACCACTTTATTAAAGTAAATAAATGTAAAGATACTAATAATGGGTTTTAAATTTTAAGACTTTTTTTTTTCATTGAGATCACATATTTGTGTGCAACCTAATTTTTTTCACTTTTACTTACGTGTATCCATCAAAGTCACCACTGTTAATCGCTTCAATCAACTGTTCAGTTATCTTAATTATTTCTTGTCGTCTAGCTGCTTTGTTGATATAAAATTTTTTAGTAACTTTATTTAATGTTTAAACCTTTATGTTTATTAAAAGTAAATTTGAATTTCGTTTCATCTTTATCCTTAATACAGCAACATAGTCTCAAAATTGTTTTTCTAATACTAAAAATATTTATTTGTGTAACAAGTAAAATTATCAGGAAGTAAAATAAAACTTACTTAAAATTATTTTTCCTAAGGGCTCGATTTGTAAAATCTTATATTTTAAGATTTTTCAAAAGTTATAGTATGCTTTGCTTTGCAGCGTGTTTAATAACTGCCTTGCCGTTAATATAAATTTGTTAATTTATTTCTTAGATAATGGTTTTAACTTAGTATTTGTAAATTTTATCAATATTCAAAGCTGGCCCTTTGACCTTCGGATTATGCTAGAATATTTTTCGTATATCTATATTAAAAAAGCAGCAGAATGTTGTTATATATTTGCCAATAAATAGTACAATTAATCATTATTTCAACCTAATTTTTCCCTTAAAAATAATTTTTGTCCACGAAATAATTACAAAAAAATTTTAAATGTCAAACATCTTATGTAAACCCGAACCATTTTGAAAATTTATTCTGTATACATTCAATTTTTAAGAAATTGCTGTCAATTTCTGATACTTTTTACGTGTGTGGGCCATGTCTTTCCGGGTAATTTATTTTTTTAAAGACCAAATTTAAATTTAAAGAAAATAGGTTTTAAAATTATATCCTTTTAGTCAGTGGTCAAAAGCAATTGGCAGACCGGCAGCATAAAATTATTCCAATGTTACTTAATCTGCATCAGCAGCTGAGTCGATATGAATGTCGTATTTGTGGGAGCGCTAAGAGCTTAAATGCAGTTACAGATATGGTGGTTAGGTACTAAACACATTATTATAATTTACATTATTATTATATCTTTTTATAGGTGAATTTTATATTACGAAACTGAATTATTAAATGCCACGTCCTTGTAAGGGGTTTCATCTTTTCAAGTATTTGAACATATCGTTTAGTGACCGTGAGCCATTTCGAATTTCACAACTTTCCCACAAATTTCGAAATCCTGCAAACTGCCATGCATTTCTTTATCACACCAACAACCTTTTTAAATAATTCTAAGGCAGTTAAATATTAAATATTTGTGTTGCTAAGATACATTCTACGATTTTATTACTTGAAGTTAAAACAGAATAAGTAATGTGTAATAGCCTGTAAACTTATATTTGTTGTTGTGTTGCCTTATAAAATAAAAATGGGAACAATAAAAACTTTCACGAAAGCTTCGTCATTTCGCAGTACAATTGGTTTGATTCAAAAACTATTTTTAAAAAACAATTAAGGTTGATAATAAAGGTCGTTGCTTATAATTAAAACATGGTTAGCATGCACTTATACAAGCATATTTACAAAAACATAATTTTAAGTGTGTACTCATACCCTTGGAAGTGCTTTTTGAATAAGTAAAAAAAAAAGCCAAGTAAAAAACCCTCTTTCTCTGTTAAGGAAAATGAAATATTTCTATGATTGGTTTTGCTTGTCTATAGAAGACCGAATATAAGTTGAGCCCTCGAAAAGTATGCATATTATCTTTATAGTCATTTTTGACGCGGAACTCTAAACTGTGTTTGGTATAAATACATACCTGACGAGCACTGGGAGTTTCCTGTATTTTGATGGCACGTTTTTGCAGGACACAGTATCCTTATATCTAAAACGCACATTGTGTTTTGTATAAATTTAATGTTTTACACAAATTGTGTTTTTGTTAAAATGTTTACAGGAGAAAAGTTGTTTTTAATGAGACTAGTGTAAATCATTCCTAAGCGATTAGGAATATGAATGTTTAATAAGCAAATGCTTAAATGAAACAGTTTTGGCTGTCATTTTATAAATGTCTAACAGAGTTCTCTGCATTTAGACTTACTTTTTTTAGTTTTCCTGCTAATAGATACTCGGATGTTAAATGTATTAAAATAATTTAATACATTAAAAAAATATATATAAAAACACATTTTACAAAGGGAATCCAATACTTCTTAAATGCGCTCCTAATTATACCAACTATTAAAAAACTGTGATGCTTGTTTGTTATTTAATAATTTATTTCGCCAACAATGGAAACATACCTATTAACATATCGCCCAAATTTTAAACAGCTTAAGTCCAATCGCAATTTGTCTGATAAAATATTTCAAATGTTTTAATGTAGACCTTATATTATCATAGTCTTTCATAAACAAAAGTTTAAATTAAAACAAGACAAACGCTTTAGAACCGTACTGCGACTATTAAATACCTGGTAATCTGTCAAAAACGTCGTGTACAACTTTACTAGTGCCCCCTGGTTTCGCCATTATAACCTTAAGTTCTTAAAAATTACGAACAAAAAATTTACATTATGGACAGCACAGTTTTATAGTTAATGTTTTAGTTCCTTATAGATTTCAGCATTCAATCGGCTACTGATTTTCATAAATAATATCTATATGATAGAGGGAAGGTATTGGGTATAGCTATTTCTGATTATGAGTATGTACCGAGAACAGGGTTTTTAGTGGAGAGGTTCGCAGTATAAGGCAAGTTTCTTAAAAATTTGAAGACTCGTACCTTTTTTCGGTTATTTCCGTAATTTTTTCAGTTTTGGTAAAATTATCAGATTGAATTCTATGATGAGGACTTTTCCTACATGAAAATATATGTGACTTTTGGTAGTGGAAACGGGCGTTCTGACTTACACGCATTCAATTTCCCAACTTTAAAAAAATTGACAATCTAAATAAAATTCTTATTTAAAATTTTTTTTAAATTTTAATTGAACGAATGACAAATGGTTGTCAACGACGGAAACTAGCTTAACCCTTGGAAAGTTATTTTGCATAAAATGTAGTTTCAAAAAATGATTAAAATGATCATGTTAGTGATTTAAAAAATTTCTTTTTATTTTTTTTTTACTTTTTATCTTCTCTACTCTTAACTCTGTCATGTTTAGTTTAAACAAGAGTTTTACGAACACACTTATGTGATCTTAACGTGCCTTATATTTATCCCAAAATATTTCACGACCGGTAAACCTTAATTGCTAAATTAATTGGAACTAAAACAATTTTATTATAATTTTTTGTTGTTAAAGCATTTACTCCAAATGCAGAAGGTTCAAAGCTGAAATAAAGACCGAAATAAGACTTTTGGGAATATAAACTAGTTTTTTGTTTGTTAGCTGTCACAAATGGCAAACGTTTAAAGTTTCCATTTTAATAAATCGCTGGCAAAATGAATTAGTACTACAGAAATAATGAAATGAAATGTAACCTATGCTAATTTATTCTTCGGTGAATTACTTTGTGTATTGTGTTGTGTTTACATAGCGCTGTGCATAATTGGTGATTTTTATTAAAATGAGAAAACAAAAAGATTGTGTATTACAAAAAAATATTAGGTTAACATTTACCTTCTGGCTCTTTTGATATGACTGTGGTACTGCGATCAACGACTCCTTTTTTATCTTCTAGGAAAAACAAAATAAATTTACAAAAAATTTATAGTTGAAAATGCGATTGTACCAATATTTCCCTTACTGCAATTTTTTAATGTTTGGATGATTATTTTCCAAAATACACTGAGTTAAAGTTGAAAAAATATATTATATTAGATTCTCTAAGATTTACAAAAAAAGAACATAAGCCGGGGATTTATATTATAAGCACTTTTCCAAAGCCTGGTAAAGCCAAAATAACATGACGAAAATAAGCAGTCTGAATTCTTGAGATTATTTCGTTGGGATAATTTGGGCGAGTACTAACTTTTAGTCAATAGCTTATTAAAAGAAAATTTTATTAATTTTAATTTTTAAAAATCGTTATATAAATTGAATTTTTTGTCGATAATTACTTTATAATTGTTACTAATCCGCAAATTGGTCAGAACTGGTTTAATAACAAGAGTAAAGTATTTTGTAAAATTGTTTCTAAAAAATTCTCGTTTAATGCCAATATCTTAGAAAAAAGTTTTGAACAGTGCTATTACTTTCAGAAAGGAGTGCTAATTTAAAGATAAAATAATGCAAAAAACTAGAGTCGCAAAAATGAAAAATATTGAAAAAACTTGTGGAAACATATTTTATTGTGTATTATGGGTTGGCGTCGTTAGATTATTATTATTTTATTAAAATTTGCTTAATCGACTTTCTTTCTTTCATCGTAATTAAAGCTTTCGTCTGCAGACTGATACCTACATAAATTACAAAATATTTTAAATATATTTACAACATACATACGTCGACATGTATGTAAATATATTAAAGTAAATATGTGAATTGAATGAGACTTTGCAAAGAACATGCAGTCAATAAAAGAGGGTAGACAAATGACAAAACAAAGCTTTTAGGCAAAAGGCATACGGGACTCTGATTGCTAAAAAAAGAATAATAAAATTTCACTTTGGCTCACGGTACATGTACTATGTAAAATTATCTATTAACGCCCAAGTACCTACTTCCCAAAGTAGCAAAAATAATAATTGTATATACATAGTAATATAAATTAAATTTAAGAAATCTATATTGAAATTTAGTCTACAACCAGTTTTTTGAGTTTTATGAACATGAGTATGAAATATGTTGCAATATTATAATTGTATAAATTAGGTCTACTTCCTATTATGTCTTGGTTAAAGCTCTATCTTTTTATTGTAGCCCATACATACTTAATTAAATTTCCAGATAACTATTAATGAATGCGAAGCCTATATTTATATTTAAAATTTACCTTTAATATCATCATCTTCAAGAGTAGTGCTAGAAGAATCAGTTGATTCCTTGACCTGAGATCCGTCACCTTTTTTGGTAATCATACTTCTGCCTAAAAAAACGCAATTACATTTTCGTTAAAATAACTTTAAACTTTTAAAAATAAATATATATAAGATATACATAATAATATATGGGGAAAAATAGGGTTATTTGTTTAAAAAAAAATTCAATTCAATTAATAACAAATTCATTCTTCAAAATAAATTTTATCGCCTTCAAAGGAATCCCCTCCCGATAAAATACACTTAATCCAAATTTTTTTTTCAAATTCTCGAAACATGCCAAATAGTTGCTTTATGGTAAAGCCAAAAGTGTATTGTTCGCATGGCCCCGGAGTGGTCTCTTGAGTTTTGAGAAAGAAAACATGATTGCAGAACGATATCCGTCGTAGAGTAAAAAGCTATATTAGATTCGTTGAAAAGTATGTAACAGTATATATTCTTGATCAGGATCAAAAGCGAAGTCTAAAGTGAACGAAAATCTCGGGTTCGTTTGACCTTGTATACATTATTTTTGTCAATATCTGTCGATTTACCAAAGATATTTCAAACATTATTTCGCTATTTATGAAAAAATGTAGGTTATACGGCGTCACATGAACATTAGTTAGTAAACATGCTTTTTTGACAAAAGATGGCGCTTTGTCTATTTCCGCTAGTGAAATGAATATTTTAAAATTGTGTAAAACAGTAAAGGATATCTTATAGTCGCGTTTTAATAGTAGTGTTTCTTTTTGTTTCTTTTGAAAAGAGGATTTTTTACTGATAAATAATATTATAGAAATTCTAAACTTTCTTATTGTTTGCATAACTGCGCACACATTTTAAAGACGACATTTAGCAGTACGGCTTTAAAAATATTGTTGATCATGATTTATATCATATGAAGAAGATCATTTAATTTTTTCGTCTTGATTGAACTCTTTTAACCAAAAAAATTTGGATTTTGTATGTATGTAATGGTGATAATATAAAGTTTGCTTGTGCAAATTACTCACTTGAAAAGTTTCTAGTTGCTAACATTGTTGTAAGTATGGCTCCCTTTAGCTTACGACGTGCATTAAATTTCTTGAGACAGTCGACGGTTTCTTGGCGATGTACAACGGAAGCAACACGCTCTCGTTGCTGTAACAAAAATTTTGTAGAGCTAAGTAAAATTAATATATTTTATTAATATTATCTCTACTTACACAAATCCAAGGGTGCTTTAAAGCCTCGGCTGCGGTTATTCTTTTATTAGGATTTACCGTGAGCATTTGATTGATAAGATTTTTTGCTTCTGGGGTGACTGTATCCCATTCTGGAGACGGATACTTAAATAAAAAGCATTTTAAGTATATTAAAAGAAACAAACTATTTTAGATTCCGTACATCATAAGCCCCTGCTTTAATCTGGGAGTACAGTCGGTGCTGATCTTCGTCCCAAAATGGCGGATAGCCGACCAGAAGAATATAAAGAATAACACCTGTGAAAAAATTATTTAGTTACTGATTTGTGTATTTTTATAACATGTATATACAAATATACAAATTATAATTGCTTACCACATGCCCATATATCTACCGATTTTCCATAGGGTTCCTTTTTTAATACCTCTGGCGACAGATATCCTGGAGTCCCGGCAAATCCGAACCAAGCCTGATGATCGCCTTGAACTTCAATGGCTAGACCAAAGTCAGCGAGTTTCACTGCTGCACCCTTTGCCTTACTAGCTAATAGTAAATTCTCTGGTTTCAGATCTCGATGCACCACACCATTTTGGTGACAGTGATTGACCGATTCCAATATTTGTTGAATACAATGTGATGCATCAGCCTCTGAATAAAATTCGCGTGCAACAATATCTTCGAAAAGTTCACCACCAGTTACACTGCAAATGTATGTATGCATATTCAAATTGTGTTGAATGGTTGTCATAATTTAGATTTTTCTTATAATTTGAGGAACAATAACGGTAGGAACATCTTTATTATAATATAGTGTTTTTATTTCGGGAAACAAATCATATTCATACATACGCATGTATGAATGAACAAAGGGAAAAGGATGAAGTATGAATCTCAATAAACGATAGTCAAGTCATTGCAAAATGTATAAAACACGTTTGTTAGAAATTCATATTTAAAACAATGTTTAGAATAGACAACAGGAAAATTTTGTAAGGTTGTACTATGCAGATTGTTGCTTACAGGTCAAAAACAAGGTAGTGATAGTTTTCCTCCTGTATACTGTCATGCAATCGTACTGAAATAATACAAAAGTCACAATTAATAATTTTTAATTTTTGTTTTTAATAATATTTTGAGAGGAAACATTGATTGTAGGCCTAACGTTGCATTAAAAAAACATGTGTAAACGCTATACTTAGATGTCCCAACTATAAGATATCTGTATCCCCCATGCTAACAGAAATTAAAGGCTTAAGTTTTAGTTGCGCTCTGTTTTAAAACGATAAGAAGCATGTTTTAAACGGACTTCATTGCCTACGCAACGGCTTATAATCAAAATATGTTAATACATTTTTTGTGGTTCGTGGCTGGATGCTAAAAAAACATTTTCGGCAAGCATATATCCCATCTTTGATCTCTTATTGTTCCTGAGATCTCATCGTCTATACGAACATACAAAGTACAGCAAAAAAAATTCTAGGAAAAAAACATCATAAAACAAATATTATTATTATTATTATGCGGTATTATTACCGCAGGGACCCATTCCGACAAAATGCAACGAAAACGTCATATTTATCAATTTAAAGAATAAAATTAGACACAGTTTTTATAAAGTGTATAAAATATAATATATTATATATATAAAATATGTATAATATATTTTATACACTTTATAAAAACTATGTGTCTAATTTTATTTATTATATATATATATATATATATATATATATATATATATATATATATATTTATATGTATATGTATAATATAATATATTTTATACACTTTATTTATGGTTTTCTAAAAACATTGACTCGAGCCGCCAGAACTCGATCTATTATAATCTAAGTTGGCACGATACCTTACCGATTAAATAACATTTGCTTGCTAAAATATATCTTCAAATACATATTGATATCATACGATATTTTCGACAAGACCTATAATCTTTATTCAATTTTATAGAAAGCAATATGTGTACAAACATTATATTAATGCAGTGCACATAACATACCTATGTTGGGATGGTGTAATTTTCTGCAGATCCTTGCTTCACGTTCCAGTTTTTGAAAGTCTTGAAAGAAATAAAATATGTAGGTATGTTTTTAGGTGTATATGGAAATAGTTGTGTTATAAGCAATATTAATGAATGACAGTCAAGTTATTACTAACAAATACTGTAAGACTTTGTGCATATGTAGACTAGTATTGCTATGCAGAAACTATGTACATTACATGGCAATTCGCTTCTTACCTCTGGCCGTTAATTTTTTTGTATTTATAATTTTTGCTGCAAATTCAAATCCAGTAGACTTTTGGACACATCTTTTTACTATTGAGAATGCCCCTCTAAAATATCATGAATAAACATTTTTTAAACATCTTAATTATTGATTTCTGTTAAACTTACTTTCCCAGCTCTTCTTTGATATCGTAGTTGTCCGAAAAACGCGTACAGGCTGCTGGTGCAGCCATCGCGATGGCACACTTAAGAAAATCTATTGCGACTAAAAATATTCAACAAGTTTGCAGAAATGCCTTCTTGGGAGTTCTAAGGTTTTTTTTCTAGAAATATTCAACAAGGTAATTTAACTTCATTACTATTGGGATTTACAATAAAAGCAGAATATTATTTAGCCCACATATACATATACATAAATAATTTTAAACGAGTTATCGAGAAGATTCCTCAAAGTCGCTAAACTACAACTATATTTTTACATTGATTTTCACATTTCCCGAAACACGACTTTAATCATTTTCTGAATCAGAATATGCCAATGATTTTATGTATGTAATTATATATGTATGACTTTAGGTTATTCTTCGGTGGGCTTTGGTATGAAATCGATAATTAATTCATCAACTTAACCATTATTGTTCTGCAATTTACCATGCATATTATCTTCCTAGTTGGAACACATTAGACAAAAACAGCTGCAAACCATTCTATCCCAGGTTATAAGCAAAAATTGGACCTTTATGTCCTTTGCCGCGGTTCCCCTGTTCTTAAGTTTATCTTCCAAGAGTCTACACTTGTGGACTAATTTTCTTCCATAAATGCAGAAGTGTGTGGCATTAAACCTAATACAAAAAGTATGGAATACACTTCAGTTTTTGTATATGTAATTTTATTCCGACTTGGTCACATACTTTACCAATACTCTTTACCACACTCGTAGCGGCGTTTTGAGCAACTCTCGAAAAAACTTACGCCATTATAAAATATATGTAAATGTATATTTAAAATATTAACTATTATTAGACTGATTTTAATGAATATGGGTGATAATAAAATTGCGATATACGGGTGTCATTGCCATTTATTACTTTCTTCATCATTCATCGATGTATTATCAAATATTTATATACTTATGTACATATGTATGTACATATCCATGTTTCCGAAAACTGAAGAACGTAAAAAGTGGGATAAGGTTCCAACGTGTACATATATTGACGATACATATGCAAGTCGATGATTCTTACCATTTATAAATCTCGAAACTGACGGAAATTTAGGATGGTTTACACGTTTAACTAGCAAAAGTGGTATATAAAGTATTGAAATTTTCCCAAGTGTTCTACAGAAATCCATAGTCGATAGTTTTTCAATACAACTAAAACTTGTCTCTATTAACATAATTAAGTCTATTTTTCAATAACTAATGCTTATAATGATATATATATGTACATATGTATGTATGTACATACATACCCTTTTTTTTCACAGGAGTGTCGGTGGGAATTGGTTTAGAAAAATGTTTTAGTAATTTTTTTATTTTTAAGAATGTCTTAGGCATGCAATAATAATAAGCCGGACGTTCACTTACGCTTTATTGCCAAACAGATTAAACTATATTTATATATTGTATATATTAATTTCCAATTAACGTATATTAGCAAGAAGGGCGTGACCAAGTTTTTGGTTTTGACTTAAAAAAAAAGTTTTAATTTAATTGCAAAAGTCAAAAAGTTATAAAATAAAAAGGCTTTTAAAAACTGTATTTACTTGAATTTTGATTAGGATGTACATATTTAAGACGTTCATCATAAATAACTCGTTTTTAAACAACATTTTAGTAGCTTTATGTTTTTGTTAGCGGCGTACCGAACTTATAACGCCTTTTTTATAAGCTTTATACATATGTATGTATCTATATACACATATATGTAGCTCTTATTATCTGAACATTATTAAATGGTTCCTATTTGATTAAATGATTTTAAGCACTGAGTTTTACAGCGTTCTGTAAATTCACTAACAGCGACAGGTGTTTTCATTAATGTTAGTTTCTTTTAAAAACAAAAACCATATTAAGAGAATTTATCTGGAGCGCTGCACTAGGCAAGTACGTATGTATCCTTTGCAGGTTCCATTACTGGAGCTTTTTTATTTAGCGTAGACGCCCCTCCCCGTTCAATAAGGATCTTTCAGGGGCTTAGGTAAAACTTGTTGCAAATAGTCAAGTTTTTAAAAATTATAAAATCTGTAAATTAAGAGATTTATTAAACATTTATTTTATCGTCAATAAAACAAATAAAGAAGTTAAAGTAATTTGCAATCCGTATATATCAGTGGTTTTATAACATATATAAATATGCATATCTGTACATGCTTTTATTACACATATATATATATTTTATAGGCGAGTGTATACATACATATATAAGTACATAGGAGGATACATGCAAACGTTGTCCTTTAAACAGTGGGGCGCGGCGTGATAATATGCCTATTAACTTTTTATTTTATTATATTAACTAAATTTCAACGTTGGTCAATTTATGTGTCAAAACATATACATAGTTTGGTTATATGTACGTATATGCACAGAAAATACTATGATTGAAAATTTTTACGCTTGTGTATATTTTTGAATGTGTGTTGACCCAGAATTGTATCAGGAGAAAATACGCTGTTATAGATATTTATATAAATATATGTGTAAGTGAGTATACACATAAATACATGTGTGTATATAAACTTATTTTATCAATTTATTTAATACATACGCTATATTTAATACATACGCTATGCGTGTACACTAAAAATCAATGTTTTTAAGGATTTGGCAATCAATTGGATGTCTCTGAACTTTTGTCAGTATCTCTTGGAATGACAATATGGTAAATGTATTTTTTTAAATGCACATACAAATATATACGTATGTATTTTTATGTTCTTAGCGATCTGGGAGAACACGACGCGTTAGATTTAGACCGAAATTTTAAAAATGTTCTGCTTCCTTGAAAATCGTATTCAATACTGACTAACAAGATTTAGCGGTGGCGTTTGATGAAGTGCGGAAACGAAAAGCTTTTTGCCGACTTTCCCTGAGACTGTCATTCAGTGAAAAACTTTTGCCTAAGAAGGCTTTATCCAGGAGTCTGCGCATTTATATGCATATTTATACGTATTCCGAACCACCTCAATCGCATTTGACAACTTTGTGTTGCTGCCATCTCGCAAATTGTTGCAATTTTTCGTATAAATTGTCTAGTTACTTTTCAAATGTTTTGTATTTCTTATAATTTTAAATAACTTATTTTTCAAAATATTCCATAAAAGTTAAATTTTCCTCATCTATATGGTTTTTAATCAGTGCACTCTATTATTCTTTCAAAATGTAGTTTACTATTGCGGAAATTTAAATAAAAAATGAGGTTTATAGTTAAGAATTTAATTTGAAATAAAATTGTTTATTGTAGTCAACTGCATCTAATCTTTGTTTTTAGGGGTGCAGCTCATTCTAAATGTAACTTAGAGTATAGACTATGTAAATTCATACCAGTGTTTTTCCATAATTTTTCTAAATATTTTTTTTGTGAGTGGCGCTAGTAAACTTGTACACACTAGCAATTTTTTTGTTGGTTAATACTGTAACGAGCATCTTATTGTTAACATAGAGTTTCTTCTTGTTTTTATTGTTGTTGTATATTTCAGGACTTTTCTCCGAAGGATATCCCACAAATTCCCAATATGGTTAAGATCGACACTCTGTGAAGGTGTTCGGACCTGATTTTTGGAAACGATGATGCAGAAATTTCTGAAAGACGGAGTCAAGTTGTATACATACAAATATATATATATACATATGTATAACTCTCATTAAAATCAAAATCAACATTGTAACAATTCGTTACTTGTTAAGCAGATTGAGTATTTATTTATATACACTGTTTGTTCGGTAAACATTCAAATTTTATATCCGTTACTGTAGAGTAACTTTGAATGAGTATTTATGTAAAATATAAGGAATAAAAATGCCTGTGGCTAGGTTAAAAAGTTTCACATATTTTTCGATTCAAAAATAAAGTATCTTTCATTATACATGTTTCATACTGCTTTGACAATACGAGGTGTCAAATTTTACACGCCGTCAACTCCTGCTAAAAAATAATTATTTCAGAATTGCTTACAACAACAACATCCCTTGACCATAGCGTTTCTTCTTGTTTCTGACTATCAACATGTAAAGTAAAAATGGTAAGGCTAAATATACACTGTTTTTTAGAGAACATAGAGTTCATTGGCTGTCGTTTAAGACGGTCCTTGCGATCGGGCGCAGCAGCGTCAAGGGATATTTGGGTCTTTTAACGAGAAGCGGATTCAATGAATTTAACCTTAGCAGTTCGGTTTGATGGACAGTTCTTTATCAAGATTCCCATGCAGTTTGGGACTTAGTGACCGAGGTAAAGAGTCTCTAATAAAGTTACGATACGTTCGGCATTCTAGAAAACCAAACTGTAATAGTGTTATAGGAGCCCACCACACGAACACTACAGTAACACGGAAAATAGAAACGACAGAGGCATGAACTCATTCATTAACAGCTTTTCGAAACAAATTCCACAAGTCTGACCTGTCTGACTGCACATTTACTTGGATTTTACCTTTATAAAATTCCTCTTTTACCCTAATGACAAGTGGAAAGTGTTATAAACCCAGCGATAATGAAAACTATCATTGACAGAATACTAAATGCTAAGAAGCAGGGCAACAGCCGCTCTTAATGAAAGCTGAAACGCCATTCGTTATGTCTAAGCCCCAATGTACATAACTACTGCAAATTTCTGCTGCTAGCACGCATTAAATTATATTAATATTCACTTATAGATTAAGATATAAGAATATGCAGCGTGGGCGGTCGCAATGTACCATTGTAAACAATCCACACCCGGAGCAAGGGATCCCGTTCTCTAACGAAATAAACAATTCTTGCAATCCCTAAGTAGCGATGCCACTTTAAATATCCTAAGCAGTTATCTCGCTCCAAAATGTATATAAACAACGGGCAGTTAAGTTAAGACTTCAAACACAAGAATTTAGTCTTAAGCTGAGATCAAAACAATCCTACTTGTTTTACCCGTTTACTTATTCTCCTTAGCGTTGTCCTAAGTCAGTTGACCGGACATAAATTCGACTCAAATAAATAAAACGTTAATAATTTTACAATTTATATAATTATAATATATTAATATAATATATATATATTTTAATTATCTGGATTGACAACATGATTATTTATTATCCCAATTTTATTTAATCTTCTGCAAGGGTATAGGAGTAGATAACTTGGTTATTTATTGATGAAGAAAATGTTATTTGATTTGTGTATATTAATTAGTGCTTCCTGTTCAGTTGTTGTGCGGATAAAACTATTACTATAAGCTCTATTTAATGTTCCGTAGTCATGCGTTTGGTCAAAGCCTGAACACGTTGGGCATTACAGCTCTTACAAAGAACGTGATCATCTAAGGGATAACATCCGCGTCCTTCAGCTTCTGATGACAATAAGAGCCCACAATCCTAGTGCATTTAATTAAAAGTTTACATTTTCACGTATTTACCAAAAAAAAAAAAAATAGTTTACCTCGCACTTATAACACTGTAGGTGAAAACTTCGATCTAAGGCAACTACTCGAACAGTTTCTTCTTGTCCTGGATCTGGCATAATTGGTTGTTTGCAGACACAACAGCGTGGAGCAAATTTTCTTTGAATTAATATCGATTAGTATCAATGTTATATCGCCTAGTTAAAAACCTTACTTATGAAAATCTGCAATACAATAGTTTTGATTAGTAGCATCAACTGTAAATAATAAGCCATCTAAACTTTTTCCACATACAACACATGTAAAGCATTGCGGATGGTATGGTTTCCCGGTTGCTCTAAGAATTCTCTCCAAAATGGGCTCCATGCAAACAGAACATTTCTCCAGTGTTTGTAAATAATCATATTCGCAATAGGGTTTGCCATCTAATGCATAAAATGGCTTTCCTTGCAAGTTAATTTGGCAATCTGTGCATGTAAAGCAAGATATATGGTATATTTGATCCATTGCTGTACATCCACTACTCTCCCCAAGTACGCGTGAATTGCATTTCACACACCTACCTATGAATACAATATTTTTATTTACCATTTTTTTTTTGTTACCATATTTACCATAAGTTTCAAATTCTTGTGTTTGTTTAGGCGTTTTTAAAATATAGTTATTTAATCCGCCATCATTATTTTTTTGAATTAAGTTCTCCACGTAACACTTACGACGTCCATTAGGCGTATATAAGGGCTGCCTAGCTTCAATCGAATTGAAACTATTATCAGATATATTATTGTCACTGATGTATGAATCATACATATTACAGCTTTCTCTGGACAACATATCTCCAGAAGGACGAGGGTTTATAGGCTCATAAATTGAATCGTATGTCAAAGAGCTCTGTAAGATTACAAAAATTAAATGTTTTCACAATTTAAATAATTAATTAATTCATAATTTGTGTTTAATATATATTATATTAACATTATTTATATTTTTCACATATTCTTGTATATACATTTATATATATAATATTAATATTATTAAATACCTGTGATAATCCACCGTAGCAATAATAGTTGGGATTAGTTTTGGATTGGAGATTCTAGAATATCAATAAATATATTACATATTAAAAAAAAATTACTCAAAATTAAAATCGCTCAGATCTCAAGTACTCTAGCTAGTTGAGAAAGTTGTATAATCTTGAGATCACAGCACGTCTTATGCCCATCAAGCATAAAGGAACGCTAAAATCTCGGTAACTATAAGTGATAGAATGTTGTTATCAATGATGCCACCGAAGCTTATTCTTTTTCGGCATTTGGCCACGCCCACAAAATACGCTAAACCAAAATCGCTAAAAACTCGGAAATTATAAGAGCTAGATTATTCTGATGTGGTTTTAATCAGGTCACGCCCACAAACCGAGGAACAAGGTGCCAGCAATATTAAATCTAATGTCTATATGGGTAGTGACGTCCCCATCAGTTATTATACAAGCTTTTTCTTACAAAGATTGGCCCTGCGGCAATTTCTGATGGCAAAATAATTATTTTAAAATTGGATAAGACAGTAGCGGGTATGTTGTAGTCGAGGCGCTTGCGTTTCTACTTTTTGATCTTTTGGTCTTAGAGTACGGATTGTAAAAAAGCTTTTATACATCGACCAATAAAATGAGTTGAAACTAAAATATTTTGATTCAAAACTTGAGTCTAACAATTATAATTACGTCTCAGACCTGTGATGCTTTTTCTTTGTGGACTTTTTAAAAATACTTTTTAGTTGTATCAGTCAAAACGGCCGTTTTTAAAATGTACGTTATGAATAGAATAATTTTAAGTTTTAAAAGAAATCCCTACAGCAAGACTAAAAGTAACCGTTTAGAAAAACTTTCCAAGATAATGCATTCGGTACGATTATGATGTCTCAGCGATAAATAATATGTTTTTAGATAGTACAAACTTTTCAAGGTGATTAAATTTTCAGCTATAGTTCCTTGGTCTTTTTTTATTTAGCTACTCTAATCTCCTTTGTCTAGCACCGGTACTATCAAATACTGTCCGTAAATCAATGTACAAATAAATATGCTTTCAGAATTGACGCTGTATCTATTGTTAGAACAGTATGAAGTATATTTATATTTATAAATATAATATGAATAATTTGTATATTTATTTATAAAATAATAATTTGTTGCATGATTATTTCGAGCGGCATAGTTAGTAAGACCGAGTGGAATTTACGTCCCGTTTAGGGGAAAGTAAGGCGTTTAAACTAAAAATTTTCGAATGCACAAGATTTTAATAACAACAAATTGATAAAATTTAATTGCAACGAAATTATAAAATGTAAAACAAAGATTTTAAATACCTTTATCATGTCATTATGTTGCGCTATAGATTGTAATAAAGGACTTGATTTCGGTTTATTTTGCAAAATATCCATGGGCTTGTTGAAAGAGGAGGAAACCTGAAAAAGCTCGCTGTATGATGAGCTAACAGCGCTCTCTGGACTAGGAGGTGGCTGCGCTTCATCATCTATATCGTTGTCTGATAACAAATTTGTAGAGACGGAGAGCATCTGATGCGACGAATTGCCCATGGCTTTGGCATCTACATTATTAAAATAGGAATTTAAAAAAAAATTAAAGGAACGTTAACATACCATCATTATGGATATAGAACATTGAATAAGTATTTCGTATTGTCTCTTGTGTGGGTATTTCTATACCTTTTTGTAAAGAATTTAAATTTTTATATATTAAGCTTTTGCTGTACGCGCTCGCAGACGGCTCCGGGGAGCTGTGAGATTGTTTTTGATGGATTTGAACTCCTAAAAGACCTTTTTTTTCCATTTGTAGTTTATGGTAAGCCAGGGTTTCTAGTTGTTGTTGTAGCATGGCCGGGTTGTCTAATGTAGTTTTTCCGTTTGTTTGGATACCAGTTTTGTTTTGCTTTCTTGCAGACACGGACCCACTTATCTTATCGATTCCAATTAAAGGTTGTGAGTAAAGCGGTTCCCTTGAATAAGAAACCTGCTTACTTAATGGAACCTGCAACAAAATCATATATAGATTTAAGAATGTTGTTTTCGATAGTTGTGACTTTCAAAAGATACGGCATGTCCTCATGTACAACCCTAGTTTAAAAAACAATCGTTAAATAATTACAAATTTGGTAGGTATGTTTTTTTTTTGTTTTTTTACGCTTCATTAGCAGGGTGATTTAATGCAGTGTTAAAGCTTTGTCTGTTTGGAAGGGTACTTTTAAAGGATTGGAATAGTTATCTACATGTTAAAGGGTAGGTGAGTAGAATTGGTGGATTAAACTTCCCTTGGTGGTGTAAATAAGTTCACTAAGCCAGAGTTTGTATTATGCGTGTACTGGGGATTTTTTGAAAGTTAACGGTTCTAGCGCTTGTCTGATTTCTTTCTGCGGACACCTTTCCTCAGAAACAGCCACACATACTATTGATTGGAGTATATTTATTATGTTGAATTCTAAACATTCTAAACATTCACATCCCACGAATGTCGCTATCACTTTAAATTTTAAGAATTGAGTTCATGGTGAAGGGAAGTAATATGCAGTTTATAATAGCATTAAAGATATTTAGTTTTAAGGTGAAGTTTTTATCACCTCAAAAACCACTTTTAGTCATTTTAAAATGTTCATAGGCAAATACCTGAGGCATTTCATTATATTTCTTCGGTAGCTTGGGAGGTACATCTATCCTCCTATAAGATTCCCTTTGCTTTTGGCGTATCTTGTCGACTAACTCAGCCACTTTGCCGTGCTCAATGCAAACAGACGCAGAACTATTAGAAGCTTCGGGTTGTAAAAACGACAAATGTTGTAATTGCTGGTCTAAGGACTGCATTATAATTTGATTAACTCTAATAACGCAGGATAGATAGGCTTGTTTTTAAAATTGTTTATATTCAACTGATTTCATATGATGAATTTAATTGTGTAAATCAATAGAGAGGGGTTGCATATACAAATTTCAGATATCGATATATCCTAATAGTATATTCACACTACTTACATTTTCGAGTTTGTGCATTGATTCTGTAGCCAAATACTTTAGTTTGACTTTATACTAAAATCAACCTACTAAAAATTTGTTATTTTGGAATATTTATCATAACTTGTTGGGAAATTAAGGATACAGGACCTTAGATCCGCATAAACATCAATGTCACTTAATAAACTTAGCTTTAGCTATAGTTCTAGCAACAGATAGCGCAGGTAAAACTGTGCACGGCGTCAAATTCTATGATACTAATGGAATACCATTGCGTTCCCCTTTAGTTTTTATTTTGTTCACACTATAGTACCATTATAGTGTTTTGTTTAGCACCAACATTTTAAGTGACAACATGATTGCAGTGACTGACTTTTTTGAATAACTTATTTTTATTAAGGCCTTTAATTGTATAAAAATGTTATACATTCTTCGTCGGTAAATAACATGGTAAGCTAAACTTAAATTCATCAAATTTATATAATAACCAGGAGCAATATTATGAAATCATCAAATTTTATATTCATACGTACTGTTCAAAGGTTTGGAAAAATTATTTTCATTGCAGCTCCTCCTAGTTGAAATTTGCATGTTCTTTAAATCTTCTTAATTCATTTTATGTTGGTAGACATTATCTTGGATTTCCTTTTTCTTACTAAATAACTTGCGGAGACCATGCTAAACACAAGAAGATCGAGAATAATGATTTTAAAATATTTTTTGCACGTGATACTTCTAAAATATACCCACATCAGAAACTAAGTAATATTAATAAAGTAATAATTTAAAAAAATAAATGTTTTAGAACCAAATACTAAGAATTATAATAAATAACATTACCATTACTTCCCTAATTTTTCTGATATTTACAATTAGAAACAAAAAAACCATTATAGAAGTAACTTTTGAACTGTAATTTTTTCTGTCCGGTACAGCCTATCATTTTGCCCTCTTATCGAGCATCATTTTGCTTCCAAGCAACTTTTAATAAGAGATTAAAGTTTCTTATCAGGCGTTAACTGCAATTCATGAACGAACATTCGTATAAGCAGCTTTAAAATGTTAAAATACACATGCATATGAATATACATACATAGTGCATATATAATACATAAATATGTATGTACATATCCATATGTGTGCTTTTTATAGTACTTTGTTGAAATGGCATCAAGTAGATTTCTTTTTACGATTCGCACTTAATTCTTGCGAGCTTTACTTTTGCTCGTGACCCGGAACTCCTTTCCATCTTTGTACATACAATATATATTGCAACCGAGTGTCAATAGAATATTTTAAAGAAAAAAATTTAAATACCGATACTTTGGTTTAAACTTATGTATATATTGCAACAGAGTGTCAATAGAATAATTAAAAAAAAAATTTTAAATACCGATACTTTGGTTTAAACTTAGCTATGTAATTCACACGCATAAAATAATGTATGTATGTAGGTATGGTTGTTTTGAACTATTTATTACCACCGTGAATATGTTGGGTCAGTTTTTTTAAAGTGAAATTAAAACATTATGTGTCCTATTTGTATTCTGGATTTAAAGAGTTTACATATATACCTTCATATATATGTACATATGTATAAAGACAATTCAGGTAAAACCAAACTTTGCTTCTACTCTTTAAGAAACAGTTAGTAAATATGTAAATTTATTTATTTATTTATCTAAGGCTAACAATTAGTTAAAAGTAAATATGTACATAATGTTGTCTTCTTAACACAATCTTAATAAATCGTTCTCTTTTTTTATACGGGAATTCACGAGTAAAAACATTGTAGCGTTATAAGGAAACCGTGAGATTTAACTATATACGTTTTATCGATGCACATCAAATATGTTTATTATAATAACAAAAAATATAAATTTAAAAAAGTGTTAGCCGTTTTAAACTATATCTACCCAATACAATTGAGAGCGATTAGAGGCTTAGGGCTGGCAGAGGTTGTGTTGAAGTCCGTATTTTTCGAGATAATGTAAAGTACCCGGCTTTGGCATGAGCACCCTTAGCTACTGATAACGAATTGTTCTCTCATCTCATCTCTTCATTTGTTGGTATGTGTGTATTTATTTACAATGCATACATATATTTATATATACTTAAGTACTATATAGTGAAAGTATATATGTGCATATGTGTGAGCTTTAGATTTATTAGAGGTATTTAAAGTCTGTGTTTTCAAGTAATTCGGCTTAATTCGTAGTCAGCGGTCATCGTATTCGTTTCGGTTTAACTCGCGGTCGGTCTATGTATTTCTCAATTTAAGACAAACAAAGTGAATTAAAATCTGTGCTGTTTTAGGTAAAAAACACATTCCGATTTTTAACAAAAAATTTTGGATTACAAGTTTTTAACGAAATGTGTTTTTCACTGTTCTCAGGCTATCCCAAAGGGGACCGGCAAGATGACAAGGAAAAAATATTCTTTACCTCTGGTTGGAGTCTTAATATATGTGTTTTTTTACGTAGCTGTAAATGCTGGTAAGTGTCAGACTTTTAGGCAAAACAAATCTTAACCTAAAAACCTACAAATTTTATAAATACATTCTTAAGTACGTATAAAGCTGTGGCAAGTTTAAATCCTATTTAGACTTAGTCTTAATAATTAACCGTATAAATTTGCTTGTGTACAGAGTTTACATTACACACACAGTTTTCATAAACACAGAACTTTTGTCATGCAAATAAATTTGGAACATATGCAAACATATTTGATCTGAAAATGCAACTTTATAAAATTCTTAGATCAGAAAGTGCTCATGAGCTTTATAGATCACACTTTTAGCATAATATTATTCCTATGTACATAGGCTTTGAAGGACTACTTTATTATATGTATAAAAGCTTGGTTACATTTAGTGTTTATAAATTTTCGTATTTAGACCCGTTACTCGTAGAGTAAAGAGTATATTAGATTTGTTGAAAAGTATGTAACTGTTAGAAGGAAGCGTTTCCGTTTGATCAGGATCAATAGCCAAGTCGATTATGTCCGTCTATCCGTATAAGCGCTGAGATCTCAGGAATTATAAGAGATAGAAAGTTGAGATTAAGTAGGCAGATTCTGGAGGTCCCTAAGCAGCGAAAGTTTATTTTTCAGCATTTATTCAGAATCCTGCCACGCCACTCTAACGCCCACGAACCGCGGAAAATTTTAGCGTTTATTCTTTTTTTCTCTCGAAAGTTGTGGGTTTTTTTTCAACAAATAAATAAATGTATTAAACGTCAATCAACTAATTTACTGGCTATAATACGTTGAGTATAATAATGTAAAAATAACAAAAATACAAAATTAGAAGGTAATTAAGAAATGTTTATAACTAAATATGAATAATAGGTTAAGTCACTGCTTCAGGACTCGAAAAACTTGCCGTCTCTTGTCCAGAAATTGGCAGGATGCGTTTGCTTTAGTTGTTTCCCAATTGTTGTGTTGGCCAGCGATGATACTGGTGGTGTGCATTGTGTTCGTTGTACTATTCGTCGTTATCTGTTCTCTGGCAGAAGGAATGTTTAGGGCTTGATTTCAACAGCAACACTTTGTTGCCAAGGCTGATAAGTGGATGGATGCCAAACATAAATTTGAATTTACAAACTAACAATACTTTTTTGTTGTTAAATATAAGGTATACGTCTATATTTTTACAGTATACATATACTTGGGCAAATCATTAAAGATTTTCATTTTCTAGACCTGTGCTTCAAGACAAATTCTTGAAAGAACTAAGGAGAATTAATTTGCATTTACTCACGTTATGAAATCTGAGATCTCAAAACCACACAGCGTAATAATATTTAGACAAATCTTAAAAAACTGTAATCATAATAATTAGGTTAAAGTTATGACTATAAATAGATATTCATATATGTACATACATTTAATCACAATCACTAGCCGATTAATTTTCGGTGTTTGCTTAATAGAAAAGTTTTTATCTTCGAAATAATTAGAAAGTGGATGAAAACACGGTGCTGAATGGTAAAACTTATATTGAGCTTATACGAGTACATACACCGTTCATCTTAGACCTTAAAATGTTTTAAATGTTTTTTTTTAGTAAATAGATAGGCATTTACAACATACAAATGTTTCGGCTCCAAAAGCAAGAAGCAACGATATAATCGATAGTAATGAGTTTTTCGTATAAATAGTTGTATTCTATCTTATCTATTTATTTATTTTTTTATTTATCTAAGTCTAACTACAAGTTAAAACTATGAGTTATTATAGGGCTAGGAGTAAAAGCAGCTAAGGGTTCTACTCGCGGATGAATTTAATTTATGGCTTATTTTAAATTAACGTATGGTGTCGTCGTAAAAGTATGCAATAAAAATGTATCTTTTGTGTATATCAGAAGTAAACATTTACGAATTTAAAGCTGTTATCAAAATGTTTTTAATATACTTGTTGATTATATAAAATGGTAAAACCTGTTGGTAAAACCTAGCAATAAGGAATATTTTTCTAACGATCTATTCTGATTGTCCCATGTTTTTTATGGGATCAGAAATGGTTCCCTCTATCTATTACTTATTTTCTGTTATAACCTAAATCTACAATTAGGAATTACATTTGTATTATATTTATTATCAATTGAAAATAGTCAATTAGCAATCAATTTGATTTAATTTTTAAAATGTTTTCATAACTTAACGGAATTTTTAATTTTAGAAAACGCCTGCAATCTTGGATGTCCAAAATGTAAGTCGCACAAAAAAACATGTATCTATTTACTAAATAAGATTTAATTCTTCATAGCGGACAATGGATTATTGAAATATACACCTGGTAACTCCTATGATTATTCTTTCGACAGTATTTTAACTATTGGATTAAGTAGCAATGTTCTCAGTGAATCTGCTGATACCAGTCTCAAAGTATCCGGGTCCGCAAAAATATTTTCGAAAGGAAACTGTGGGTATACATTACAGCTAAGTTCTGTAAAGGTGTCTAATACAAAAGAGTCTGTTGAGAAGAAAATTTTAAGCAGCATTCAAAAACCAGTACAGTTTACACTTGTTAATGGATTACTGGAGCCTCAAATTTGCTCAGACTCTGGTGATCTGGAGTACTCTTTAAATATTAAGCGTGCCGTTATATCTTTATTGCAATCTGGGTTAAATACAGAACATGAAATTGACGTATTCGGCCAATGCCCAACACATACATCAACATCTAATGTTGGTAATGCGAACATAATTACAAAAGTTCGCAACTTAAATAGTTGTGTGCATAGAGAGCAAATTATTAATGGGCTGGTGTCCGGGAAAGTAAACGAAAAAGCTGGTATTACATCCAGTCTTCTGTTGCAAGCGACCTACATAAAGGAGTCAAAGATTGTAAACGGTCTCATTGATAATGTTCACTTGACAGAAACATACAAATTTATTGGGACCACAAAAGAAAGTTCTGATATAAATGGAAAGGTAGTAACCACATTAAAACTTAAAAATCCTTCCGGTACAAAATCGAACTCACCGTTGACAGGATCTATTGTTAAGAGCGTTATATTCCAAAGACCAGAAACCTATACCGCGAAAAATATTAATGCGCTAAAAACTGTATTATCTGATCTTGTTGACTCAACTGGCGACTATGTGAAAAAAGAAAGCGCCAAAAAGTTCGTTGAGTTTATTAGGTTGCTCCGTCAATCCGATAGTGAGACTTTATTGGAACTGGCTGCTTTTCCACATCCCAACAAGGTCTTAGCACGTAAGGTATACTTGGATGGTTTGTTTCGCACCGGTACTGCAGAGTCAGCTAGAGTGATACTAAAACAACTTGCTAAGTTTAATGAAAAGGAGAAATTACTCGCAATACTGGCATTAAACTTAGTCAAAAGTGTGGACAAAGAAACTCTTAATCAAGCCGCTGCTCAGCTGTTACCAAATGTACCTAAGGAATTATATCTATCCGTGGGTAGCTTAGTGGCTAAATTCTGTACAGGAAGGAATTGCCAAGGACCAGAAATCGAGGCCATATCGAAAAAATTTTCGGATGGCTTAAAACACTGTAAGCCAAACACCAAAAAGGAGGAAGAACGCATTATCTACATTTTAAAGGGAATAGGAAATGCAAAGAGCTTAGCTGGCAATACAGCAGCAGCTCTTAGTGAGTGCTCCTCCACAGGCCGATCTAATCGCATACGAGTTGCAGCTTTGCAGGCTTTTTTAACTGTTGGATGCGATAAAACGCTGCAAACTAAATCCTTAGAATTGCTTAAGGACCGCAATGAGGACTCAGAATTGCGTATTGAAGCCTATTTGTCATTGATTTCATGTCCGGACGCAGATGTTGCTAACCAAATCTCCGAAATAGTCAATTCTGAAACTGTTAACCAGGTTGGTGGCTTCATTTCATCTAATTTAAAAGCCATTCGGGACTCTACAGACGCCAGCCGTGAGCAGCAAAGGTACCATTTATCTAACATTCGAGTGACTAAAAAGTTTCCCGCGGATTACAGACGTTACAGTTTCAACAATGAAGTTTCCTATAATCTTGAATCCCTTGGCGTTGGAGCCAGTTCTGATTACCAATTAATATATTCGCAACACGGGTTCTTGCCAAGATCATCTCGTGTTAATATAACAACTGAAATTTTTGGCACTAGTTTTAACGTTTTGGAAGCAAGCGTACGTCAAGAAAATTTTGAAGGTGTGTTAGAATACTATCTAGGACCAAAAGGGTTGCTAAACAAAGATTTTGATGAAATCGTTAAAACGATTGAAGTTGGAAATAACGCAACTGCTGGAGTCGGTGGTCGAGCTCGACGATCGATTGCTGATGACGTTGCTAAGACATCCAAAAGATATAAGACATACGGTAGCAAAAATGTGCAAGATCTTAATTTAGATATATCTTTGAAACTTTTTGGTTCGGAATTGGCATTTTTAAGTCTTGGAGACAGCATACCAAGTAATCTTGAAGACATCATAAATGAATTTTCTAATTCTATTGAAAAAGCAAAACAGGGATTAAATTCCTTTGAAAAACAAATATCCTCTCACAATTTAGTACTTGATACCGACCTTGCTTATCCAACTAGCATTGGAATACCTTTGGAACTCGTTGCTCAAAGCTTTGCAGCTACTAAAACGGATCTAGCCGTTAATCTTGATATTAATTCAATTCTAGAACAAAACTGGCAGAAAACAAAGTATAGATTAAAGGTTGTCCCAAGTATTGATCTTAGTGTCAACCTTCAGGTGGGTTTCAATGCGCAAGTACTATCTACTGGCTTTCGCGTGGTGTCAACAGCACATTCAGCGACTGGAAATGATATAACCGTAGCCGCCATTAGTGATGGGGAAGGTTTTACTGTCGATGTCGAACTGCCACGGGAAAAACTTGAGCTTATTGATATAAAAATTGACACAGAACTATATGTATCCGAGCAAGACAAACAGATATCAGCTTCTTTTAAAGGTAACAAAAAAGTAAAGAATTCTCAGCCTAGTGAGATATGCTTTAACCAATTGGAAGTCGTTGGCTTAAACATTTGCATTGAAAGTTCAACGAGCTTGAGTGAACTGCAAGCTGGCAACAGTAATGATGCAGAAAGAGGCCTTGCTGTTTCGAACCAATTTCATCTTTCCAAGCCTTTTAGTTTTGCCATTTCCTTAACGGCTGAACGAAAATTGACATTTAAAGGTATTCACTCAATTGAGCCCTCCAGCCAAAAATGGAAACTATATTATTCTACTCCTGGATCTAAAGTTTCGCATGACACTAGTGTTGTTTTCGAAGTTGGAAATAAACCTAGAATATTTGGTAAATTATCTTTCGACAATTCTCAATACCATCTTGGTGTCGAAGCTGGATTAAAGAACGATAATACCGAATTGGTAATTTATGGTCAATTCGAACAGGATAAGGAAGTAAAAACAAGTAAAATTGGCCTAAAAAAACAGGGAAATGAATACAAGCCTTTGATTGAAATTCAAGACAATAATGGCATCTCAAACAGCATAAATGGGTATCGAGCAGAGGGAAAAATCGTTGTTAAAGAAATCAATGACAAGCAGACAAGATATAATTTTGAAAACTTCCAAGTGTCTAATGCAAATAACGTACGTATAATTGTAAATGGATGGACAGATATTGGGCAACAATTTTTAAACTCGGAGCTCCAAATTGCTTCAGATCAGCAGTCCTTTTTAGTAAAGGGAAATATTGAATTGGAAAGTGGTCAGTATGCGGCAGGCTTCTTTATAAATAATGAACGGACACCCGAAAATATTTATGGAAGCTCTGTACACTTGACCATAGCTGATCATTCCTATGCTCTTAAAATAAATGGAAAAGCTTATACTTGGAGCATAGAAAACGATGCATCCTTTGATTTCGAAGGGGACAATGATTCTAGTTCTATTCGTGCTGGTTCATTTGGGGAAAATTTGCAAGTTTATAATAAAAATAAGAGAGTTGGTGCATTAAAAATTAAGTCAAGTTTTAATGTAAATAAGTTGGACTTCGATGTTGAAATTTCACGTGATCAAAAAATTGGTTCACTTAATCTTAAATATAAAGGTAATCAGCGACATACACAAGACTATTCCTTAGAGGCAAGTGCAAAGCTCAACAAGCACTCGATCGATGTTTTATCTAAGAGCGATTTTAACGGGAACGCTTATTTAGTCGACAACGCTATTTCAACTAGTTGGGGAACTTTACTATCGGCGAAAGGTGAAATAGGCCAACGTTACACCACCCAAGATATAAAAATTGACCTTCAGGGTAATGTTCAAATTAATTCAAAGGATAAATCTACTCAATGGCTACTTAAAGTAATCGGTAGCCCTGATAAAACTATTAGCGAGCTCAGGATTAGCCAAGATACAACAGAGCTTGTCAAATTAACAAGTGAGTCCCAACATCCACAGGATAAAATATCCGCGGCTAAGCTTAATCTTATTGTTAAGAATCAATTAACTGCTAAAGGAGAGTTCCGCGTAGCCAAAAATGGAAAGGGAGACTTGATAGCAACTATTGAGACTTTGAAGACAAATCCAAAGCACAAACTTGATGTAGAATCCAAATTTCAAATATTGGCTCCTAAGTACGATATTGATACGACCCTAGCACTTGATGGAGAAAAGAAATTGCATTTTAGGTCTGAAAACACCATAGATAAGTTAAAGTTTTCTACTAAAAATATTGGCGAATCCAACGAAAAAAAAATAATGTTCGAGGCTAATGGGAGTGTTAAAGGCGATCTGCGAGCAAATGGCGAATTACTTGGTACCTTTACATTGACCACTCCCGATGGGCGAGTTATAGATGGAAGTGCTAATCGTAAGTTCTCAACAAATGCTAAAACTGGAATAGCTCAAGGTACCCTGGATGCTCAGCTCAGTGACACGCTATCTGACAGTAAGAAAAAACGTTCAATTACACTAAAGGGAAAACTTGATCGACTTAATCAAAAAACTAAAGACTTTTCTGCGAATAGTAATTTGGTATACACGGCATTCAATGGAGAAAAGTCTGAGCTGAGTTTTCAAACTAAGCAGGAACCTAACGGTGAAGCCAAAAACTTAAACATTAACCTTAAGGTCAATGGAAATCCACTACCCCAACCCATTGAGGTTGCCGTTGTCGTAGGCGAATATACCCAACAAAAAGCTGTAGCTAGTATCACAGGTAGGTATGGAGACCTTTTCTCAGTTATTGCTAATGGAAATTACAATAATAAACAAGGCAATTTACCGGCAGAATATGGATTTAAAGCTAACTTTGAAATTCCAAAATCAAATTTTAAGTTTGTTGAAATTACAAGTCGCGTAAAACTGTCAAGCCCATCAACAAGCAACAACGCTGAAATTTTTATAGAATCAAAAACTGGCCAGGATCATTATGTTCGTGTCGACACTGAGTGGAATGGGTCTCCTAATGATGGAAGTTATAAGTTTGAGGCTCAAACTCATAAAATGGAATTTCCATTCAAATTCAATGGTAACTATCAGCGACAGCAAAATGGTGACCTTAATGCTAAGCAAAACTATATATTCAACGCTCAGTACGGAAAGCAATACGTGAAGACAGATGCATCTATTTCCTATGAAGCCGAGAATGTAAATATAGTATATGCCTTAGATTCCAGCTACGAATCTGCAAAGGACATTAAAGTCAATATTCATACGATTCAATCTGATGATGATTTGACGCTTGTAGTCAGTGTACATGCCAATCAGGATAAGTCATATGGACTGAATACGAAATTATATCGCTCTGCCTATAAAAAAGGTGTTGATCTTCGCTTGAATTTATTAAAGGAAACCCCTATTATTATCAATAGCATTGCTGAAATATTAGGAGAGCGAAAGGGAAAGGTGACTTTTGAAATACAAAATTTGGCCAATTTGGACATTAAATTTAATAGTGAAGCTTCTTTTGTCAGTATTGACGACTCGTATATAGTCGCCCATTGGAACTCAAACAAATTAAAACTTGATAGTTACGAACTTGACGCAAGAACTCAAGGTAAGAACATCAAGATTCAACTTAATAATGTGAATGGCGTAGTATTTTTAGGAACGGCTACATATTCTCTTAAAAAAGAACAAAATAAAGAGATTATTGATGGGCAAGGCCAAATACAGTTTCACGGAAAATTGCATAATGGTAGTTTTAAGTTGACCCGGCAACACTTTGATATAAATACAGATAAGGAGGTTGGTTTCTCGTATACACTTAATGGTAATTTTGGAAGCAAAAATGGCCTATCAACAATTAAAATTACAAATCAGGAGTTTAACACAAAGTTTTCCATTTGCGAAGAAAAGAGACAGTGCACAAACATTCAAGTGCAATCACTCGTAACCATAGATGATCAAAAGCTGGATGCAGTGAAACTTTCCACTCTTATTCTTATTGATTTGCGTGAGCTTGGATATCCATATGAGTTAGAGTTAAAATCACAGAGTACACGTCATGGATTTAAGTACCAATACAATTTAGATAGTTTTATTAATACTGGGAATAACTTTAAGTACCAACTCAATGCCATCGTTCAGCCAACGTTGTCCACTGTTAAACTAACTCTTCCAAAACGTCAAATTTTGTTTGAAGCTGTGCAAAAAATACCAACAGACGGCAATATTTTTGGCCACTATGAGCAATCTGCTTCCTTCTTTATTGATAAGCTGCAAAAACCTGAAGACGTTTTTCGTGTTTCTGCTGTTGTACACGTATCGGGAATCGACCGCACTGCTCTGAACGCTGATGGTGAACTTAAACTGGAACATCCAACGATTCGTCCATTTACTATTTCTGGACGATTTAATGGAAACGTTGATCAACAAATCGCAAATGCTGAAATAATATTTGACATTTTTAAACTGCCAGAACAAAAGGTGGTAGGAAAAAGCGAATTGCGTAATTCACGTTCTAAGAATGGTGTCAATATTGCGTCTACTACAACTGTTAAATCTGATGGATTTCAGTTTCAGTATCAAATAAACAGCAACGCGGCAATAGATATCGAAAACCAAGAGTTCAATATTGGACTGGAAGTTAATAACGGCGATATAGATATTAAGGCGGTGACGATTTTAAATAGGGAAAAATTAGAAATGTCTTTAGGTGAATCAAATAAACCTATTATTCAAATAGTCGGAGATTTTAATAGACAAAAAAGGTATGCGAAATTCAACACAACATTCCAAATTGTTGATAAAAGTCCATTAGAAATTACAAGTGAGATTCAACCCACTTATGCTAAGATTTCATTAAAGAGTCAAGGTTTCTTTGATGGTAATGCAGAAATCAAATTGGGCAAGGAATTTAAGTTCGATGCTTCTGGCAGCGGCAAACAATTCGTTAACGGCCGTGTAGCTTTAGATCCAACCAACTTTTTGCAAACTAAATATACGTGTAATGATGAAGACCTTAATTCCTTCTTGGTAAGAATAAAAAAAATATATCTCTTATGGTTTTAAACTAATGAATTAATAATGTATGTTTTTTTAACAGCTTAACGTTGAAACGGAAATAAATAAAGATGCAGAACATGTTTCTAAATATCTTAAGGAACGATTTGAAAAATTACGACTATCCTCAGAATTAAATGCTAAATTGGCTAAAGATGCTTCTCCAGATTTTTCGAAACTGAAGGGTAAATTGATCGAAAACATAAAGGGACTTATTGAAGAACTTGAAGCAGATCCATCAATTGCACCGATTATTGACGGCATGTAAGTGCATGAATTACATTTTTCTTTCTATGAATTTTAATGAATTTTTTATTTTTTAAGACGTAACCTATTTGCGAAAATATCCAATATAGTAAATGACTTAGGAAAGGCAGTATCAGAAACTTTTGAAAAGGCTCATAAAGCATTTGATGATGTCTTTGATAAATTGCAAGCTCTTTGGAAGGACTCTCTCCTTAAAGCGTGGGAAGATTTTATTTTAACGGCAAACAAACTTATTGGTGCGCTGTATAAAGAAATTGTCAGCGTTTATACAAAGACAATTAAAATTCTTCTTTCTGAGGTGGAAAAGTATGGAACAGCACTGAAAAACTATAGCAAAGCTATTGCTGAAACTCTTAAGCCAATCAACGAGGCAGTTCAAGAAATAATAAAAGTCTTGGTTCAAACGGCTGAGAGTGTAATCGATGAAATTAAACAGTATGCTGCAAGTCTTCCATCATTTGAAAGCATACGTAAGGAGGTAAATGAGAAAGTTAAAAATCTGAAGCTTATTGAAAAGACCATTGAGTTTGTGAACAGTCTTTTTGATCAGTTAAATATTTTACCGCAAACTCCAGAGACCACTGAATTCCTTAAAAAAATACACGAATACATAAACGCAAAACTGAATCAACAAAAAATTAATGATGAAAAGACACTTGACGACCTTGGTAAGCTCCTAATCAAGGCCATACGTTCGATATGGGTCTCGATGAAAAATTCTCCTTCTAAGTCATATGCGCCAACAATTGATTTTCAGACGTGTTTTAGTTCCCTGTCACGATCCTTAGATTCTTTGGCTCTTCTTCCAACCATACTTTCATTCCGCTCAAGTATCTTAAACTATATTTTAAATGAGAATTGGGATGATGTATTTAACAAGAATTTATTAAACTCATGGATTTTCTTTAATGACTTCGAGCTACGGGGCCATGTTGTCGATGGGCAGCATATATTCACTTTTGATGGTCAAAACTTCGCGTATCCTGGAAATTGCAAATATATCCTAGCACAGGACAGTGTGGACAATAATTTCACAATAATTGGTCAGTTAACAAATGGAAAACTTAAGAGCATCACTATAGTAGATCGTGATGGTAACTACGCGGAAGTGGCTGACAATCTTGCATTGAAAATAAATGGAAATTTAGTTGAATACCCACAGCACTTATCTGGTCTTCACGCATGGCGCAAATTTTACACTGTTCACTTACATTCTGAGTATGGTGTAAGTGTTGTATGCACTACAGATCTAAAGGTTTGTCATTTTAACATAAATGGCTTCTATACAAGCAAGACACGAGGACTTCTCGGCAATGGCAACGCTGAGCCATATGATGACTATTTGCGAATTGATGGCACAATAGCCTCAGATTCTGCTGCACTAGGCAACGATTACGGAGTTGGAAAATGTGCAGCAGTTGCCTTTGGCAAAGATCAAGTCGAGAGTCCGAAAAGAGAGGAAATATGTAGTGAGTTATTTGGCATTCAATCAACACTTGCCATCAATTTTATTACCGTCGACCACAGACCTTATCGCAAGTCGTGTGATATTGCCCTTGCGAAAGTTGCTGAAAAGGATAAGGAGGCAATTGCCTGTACATTCGCTCTAGCTTACGGCTCCGCTGTTAAACAATTTAGTAATTTGGTTCTATTACCACCGCGTTGCATTAAGTGCGTTGGTGCTGTTGGCCAGCGTGATTTTGGAGATGAGTTTACTGTTAAATTACCAAACAACAAGGCGGATGTTGTATTTGTCGTTGATATGAATGTAACCCCCGTAGTCCTGTCTAATTTAATAGCACCTGCAATCAATGATATTCGTGAATCACTAAAAAGCCGTGGTTTTACGGATGTTCAAGTAGGAGTTGTTGTATTTGACGAGTCTAAGCGATATCCCGCTCTACTTACCAGTGATAATGGTAAAATCAACTATAAAGGAAGGGTCACCGATGTAAAGTTGAATGGAATAAAAAACTTCTGTGACAATTGCGTCGAGCAAATTTTAACTGAGAAGCGAATCCTAGATATTTATAATTTATTGAAGAAAATAGTGGAAGACATTGCGCCCCAATCTGATGAAAAGGCGTTCCAATTGGCATTAGATTATCCATTCCGTGCTGGTGCGGCTAAGAGCATTATCGGTGTGCGAAGCGATTCTCTTGAATATGGAAATTGGGTAAGCGAGATTTTTCTGGTTTTATTTTATTATGTAAGATTGTACTCATTTTAAATTTGTAGTGGAAATTTCTTCGTGCGCAATGGACTGGTTCCATCACTAAGTTTGATGGTGCACTTCTTCATCTAATCGCGCCAGTAAAGGGCCTTACTTTAGAGGGAGTATCAGCCGAAAAACTAATTGGTGGGAATCCTAATTTATGCCACGCAATATTTCTTCTTAGTAACCTTTTATTTTTACAGGCTTTAACTCTCGATTGTCAGCTACTATAGATGGAAAAGACAGCAAAAAGCGAACCAAACTGCAATTTGACAATGACATGGGCATTGACTTTGTCCTTAATAATGGTGGTTGGGTGTTTGCAACACAAAACTTTGAAAAGCTAAAAGGATCAGACCAAAAGAAAATGTTAAACCAGATTGTAACCTCGGTGGCAGATACACTTTTTAAAACCGAACTAGTTAGTGAATGCCGCTGTCTGCCGTTTGAAGGATTGCATGGTCATCATAAGTGCATCATTAAATCATCGACGTTTGTACCGAACAAAAAGCCAAAAGCGGCCTAACTGGTTTTAAAATGAATCTGTTATTATCTTAAAGAAAAATCTATTATATAATATGTAGGTCAACAAAATGTATGAATAAAAGCACAAGAACACAAATGTTTATAACAATAAAAAAAAGAATACACAAGTTTTTGAATATTTCTAAAGTCGTATCTTTAACTAAACTAGATACAGAGCTTTAGCCAAATTCGAATTAATTTTTCCCGATATATTTAAAAAATTACATTTTTGGAAATGGCTGCACTACCAGAAATAAACGCTTTAATATGTGTCATTTAATAAACACATTTTTGAGGAATATTAGTCTAATTTGTTAGTTTTTTTTATTGGCAAAAGGCAAACGCTACATGGGCCACCCTGTAATTATACCCGTTACTCGTGGAGTAAAAGGGCATACTAGATTCGTTGAAATGTATGTAACAGGTAGAAGGAAGCGTTTCCGATCCTATAAAGTATATATATTCTTGATCAGGATCAATAGCGAAGTCGATTACGCCATGTCCGTCTGTCCGTTTATCTGTCCGTATGAACGCTGAGATCTCAGGAAATGTAAGAGATATAAAGTTGAGATTAACCATGAAGATTCTTGAGGTCCCTACGCAGCGCAAGTTCTTTATAGCATTCTGTCACGCCCACTCTAATGCCCACAAATTGCAAAAAACTAAAATCGATGAAATCTCAGGAACTATTGAGCTAGAAAGTTGAAATTCAGTATGTACAATCTTTAGATGCCAGCGCATCTTATAGTGGTATTATCCGGCCAAACCCACCCCTACGCCCCCCAAGCTCAAAAGACGGGTTTCCCTTTTTCTAAAAAAGCTGATATCCCGGTAACTATAAGAGATAGAAAGTTCGGATTAAGCATGTAGGTTTTTATGATGCTCCCAATGAGAGCTTTTTTTCCGATCAAGCCACGCCTACTTTAACTATAAGAGCTACAAAGTTGTGCTTAAGAATACGTATTTAAGAGATGCCACTGCAACTTGCCACGATGTTGCTTTCGACCACGCCCACTCTAACGCCCACAAACCGTGGGAAACTGTGGCGTCTATAATATTATTATGAATGCCTCCGGTTGACCTTGTATAACTTATTTCTGTTCATATCTATCGATTGACCAAAGATTGTTTGAATCGGAACATTATTTCGCTATTTATGAAGAAATTTAAGTTATAAGGCCTCACATGGGCAGTGACGTCATGCTTCCTCTGATAATAGGTGGCGCCTTGTGAATTTATTCTAGCAAAATTAATATTTTAAAATGGTGTAAAACAGTAACGGGTATCTTATTGTCGCGGGATTAGAAATTCACTCAACTATAGCGTTTCCTCTTGTATTATTTCATAAATGGTTGGTATAGTTCAAAGCTTTATTCAACTGCAATTTGAAATGAATTGATTTATAAAATTGACAAACTATTAATTTGAAAAAAAGAAATCATGTTTTTTTATATTGTAAGCTGTAAATAATGATTTTATATTGAAACAAAATGCACATATTCGCTAAAGTTAATTGAAGTTTAAGTTAATTAAATTTATTAAGAGCGGCTTTTACCATATTCAAAGATAGTTATAGTTATTGATGAGTCTTAAAGTTTTACATTTGGTTTAATTTAGGCACTTTCTCAATTTTGGATTTGTACGTTAATATACAAATATTGTCATCAACCTATCTTAAAATACAATAAAATGTATTAATTGTCAATAACACGCCACTTTTATCCCGATTTAGTAAAACGTTACATAGAACATATTATTTATGTTATAAAACTTTTTTTTGACAATGAAGATAGCCGAGGACATTATGTCTATGTCTACCGGACGGAATACAGAAAATTTATAGGATATCGGGCCAGGCTGTGAAATAGAAAGCATTTTAAATTATTGAATCAAATTATATGAATATTACTTACGCTAAGGGCAACCACACTCATCTACAACCATTTTTGGCAAGTCTCTTTTAATAATTCCATCATCTCCATAATAAATCAAGGACATACTGGAGAATTTTATTGGGGCACAACAGGGTCGCATTCCATTCAAGAGGCCCATTTTTCGGTACTCCTCTATAAAATGGGCATGAAATGTTTGAAAAGTATCTGGTGTTCTGAACGACCCCGTGCAATCGCCTCTACAATAGTTCGCAAAATATCCCCTGGGTGCAATAATCCAGTCATCCCAACCGAGAGCCTTAAAGGATACATAAAATGACTCTTTGCAGCATTGCCCACTTAAAGCGCCGTCGCAATCCACAGCACGTCTTCTAACGCGCCTTGTCCTTTCTGACTCCGTATGAAGTACGAGAAATGGTCGATTAGGATTCGGGCTTAAATAATCTGATGAGTTGTCTCTAAGTTTCGAAGTTTGAAATAGGTGCAAGGAGTACCGACCTCCGCATCCAGTGCAATCAATCAATAATCGTAGTTTTTCATTTCTGCTATGATCGTACCACTCACGGATTGTTTCGGTTAAATCGAATTTTTGCCATCCCAAATTTTTAGTGTCTACTTCAAAAGATGCACGGAACAGGATAGCCTTGTCAATTCCCTAATAATAAAAATGGTTTGAATTGTTAATTAGAAAACATCATCAACTAAATATTACCTTCTCTGTAATATTGATTGCTGTTGATAACTGAAATACCCAGATTTTTATTCTATGATGAAGTTTATTTGCCCATTTCCGTTTAGTATTCAGCATATGTTCTTCCTGTAAATTTTTTGCTCTCTCGATCCAGAAACTATGTGGTTTGTCTATCCGTATGTGAATCTGAGCGCTGCGTATGGATAGTTTTTGGTTAGGAACACGGTTTTGTGGCGAAAATTCGAGTATTCGATATTTTCGATATTGTGTTCCTTTAAATAAGAATTATTATAAAAGAATAATGTTAGATGTTCGAAAAATAATGGTTTATAATTATTTATTGATTATTTTATATATACATTGAATTCAATGACAAGAAGAACCTAAAACTGTTATAAAAGGACTGACTCCAAACTATGTTTTTAATTTCTTAAACAAGTAGGCAAGTAAGCTGCAAGACTTAGGTACACTATAAATTTAGTTAAATTGCAAAACATTCTTAAGTTTTAGGCAGTTTGCCAATTTGAAATTTTTTTTGAAGACCTTTTTCCGCCGAAATTGACTTACCTTCTTCCGCAAATGTAATTATTTCCTGAGTATTTCCGAAGAAGTCTTCATGATCAACATTTTCTTGGTCATGAATAAGAGAATCGTATTTCCGCTTACGATTTTTATCTTCAATATTTCGGACCAATGGGTGATACTCATTGCTTTCATGGTATTGGTTTTTATCATCAGTCTGAGCACTGTAATCGTTAAAATAATCATAAACATTGCGCCTGATCTCACCATTTGTGCCAGTACTGGCGCTATTATCACTACTACGATTTATATCTATCAGATATGTAGATTTTCTAAACGTATTTGCATTTATTTCATTGCCGTTAACTTTTTTTGCGTCCCCACTCTTTAGCTTCTTTGTAATACTGCTAATCTGTCTTTTAAGTAGTGTTGTAGACGTCGACGCAATATAACTCATTTTAAATTTCGGCTTCTTTGTCGATCCCTTCGTAAATACGTTTTCTCTTTGGTCTTTTTGCATATGATGTCTTCTTCGATCTGCAGGACGATTTCTCAAGTCTGTTTCATACACATTGGGATTACTTATGTTAAAAGTATACTCGAACGGGGACCGAAATTGATGATGACTAGTATATGTCCTTCCACCCTGGCCGCTAAACCTACTTATTTCGTGTAATCTGAAGGTGCGTGGTCTGGAAATATGTTGATCAAAAACATTACCACCGGTCTCACTTGGGTTGTTGATAATCATTTTTCCACCATCGGCTCGATATATTGTTTCCCATATAAATTGCTTAGGTAAGGGATGAGATACATTAGGCTTGTGGCTAAGGCCAAGTTTTGTCAAAATTTGCCGTTTTATCGACTCTAAGCGAACTTGGTCGCTCAGTGCAATGTTGTTATGGAGTTCATAATTTTTTTTTTTGTAAAAATTGTTGGTATGGTATTTGTTGTAGATGTTGTAGTCTGTGTGTGGATTATCTGTGTAAATGTGATAATTGTAAAGTGTTTTGTAAGTTAAATTTCGTTTATTTTTCTTTTGATATTGTTAGGATTGTAATCGTTCTATCTATTTAGAGTTGTGGAAAATGATGTTTTACTAAATTCGTATATCAGTTTTTAATATTTCTCTCTTTAATATCTATTTAATATATTTAATGTCAAAATTAATTTAAGTAGAAGCAGAATGTATAAATATTTGTACTATTTTCTGTCTATTGAACTTTTACTTAATTCCTTTTTCATCATTATAACAAAGTAAAAATTTATAAAAACGGTGTAAGCGAAATGTGTCGCCCGGGTAGGGAAAACTGTTTTCAACAACATCTAGGACTTATATTAATAATAAGAAATGCTTGCCCCTGAGTTACAGTTAGCATCCATTTCATTTATTATGAGTGTTAAATACCGTTCTTCTTCATTGAAATAAATATTTGGTGGTAATTAGTGTTTTGTATTCCGAAATATTATTTCTTTTTAAATTCGAGTTAATGAAAGCACTCTTGAATTAAAAATTTTTTTAAATGGTTCATTTTTTATACATTTCTTATTTGATCTGCTTCCCAAAATTGTTACATATTTGCCGAATGATAACATTTAAGTGGATTTACTTATTATCTCAATATGATATACATTTTTGTAACCCCATTTATTTTGTTTGATATAAATATTGGTACATCTTTATATATGGTTTACATTTTAAAATGTAATTTTACAAAAGTATGAACATTTTTCTTATATTAAATACTTATTTAATCTATAAACATTTTTTTTTTAAATTAACTATTATTTACTGATTGGGCCTATAAAAGATTAAAACATTTGTTGTTTAATAATTTCTAGGTTAACGAAAAACGAAATAAAAATGTGTGGCTATAGTTTCAAATATGTATAAAATATCTGTGCCTTGGAGCCTTTATTTTCCCGAGATTTGAAATTTATTAACATCGACTCGGCTACTTTTTAACTAATTTAATTTGCCCTTTTGCTATACAAGCGACGAGTAAAATTATAAATAATTGAAAGACCTGAAAACGGTATGCGGGCATAAGTGATAAAAATAATATGTTTTAAATAAATGGATCAGATTCAATGTAGTGAAAGTGAACTCTCCCAAATGTACTTCCAGTTAAATTTTGAAATCTGATATCTAAATTATGTAATTAAATATCAATATTCAACATTTCTCTGAACTCCTAGAGTGTAAATGAGATGTTCACATTTTGAATCCTATTATCTCTTATATTTTAATATAATTTACATTTCTGTAACAGGAATCATAACAAGAATGAGAAATTAGCTTATCATTTATCACGAATCCCTTCTAAACCATATATGATAAAATACACTTGTCGGCATAATTATTTTGACGAAACCTCTTTTTGACTATTGAACATAGCGTAGCTTAAAAACGTCAAATAACGGTCAAATGAGGCAAGAATCAAACAATTTCTGTATGTGAGTTTGAGCATTTTAAAACGTTGTTATTAAAACATAAAGTTATTAAAAATTATTAAATAATATGTATAAAACGAGTGAACGAGTGTTTGGTTACCATATCTTTTAAGTAAAGCAAAGTTTAACGCTGGAATAGCAGTTAAAGGCATTGCCAAACAGTTTAGTGTGTCGCGTCAAACTGTGCACTACCAAATTAAAAAGTTTAAAAAGCATAATAACATGGATAATTTAGAAAGATCAGGTGCTAAGCGCAGTGCAGATCTCAATTAGTGATCTCAATTAGTGAGAACCCAGTCCGTCGACGATTAAAAAAATGTAATTTTAAGACCATATATGACATAAGCATTCCAAAACTTTGTTGTTCATATTAAAAGGTACCACATGAAAATAACTTTAGCTTACAATTCCTATAGTTCTTATAACAAAATGTTGATTTAATTTTTTTAAGTTTGTATTGACACTAAGTAAAACAAAAAAAATCATTGCGTTATATTAAATCATTGAAAAGTTACATACAAATTTGCACCATTTGTTTTTCGACAAAATAATTATGCCGGCTAGTGTAAATTGTGATATTAATTACCACCAAATATAATGAAAAACTTACCTTTATCGTTGTAAATGTTCAGTTTGCCTCCTTCATGACACAAGGTGCATCCTTTGTGAGTTTCTAAATTGGAAGCATAATAATTGCTGCTAATTCCATTGCAGTTAATTAGTTTGACTTCAAACCAGACGAGACCAATTAGAAGCCAAATGAGATTGGCTCTATTCCGTTTATTCTTTGAGCAATTACGCATTGAGCCTTGTGTTGATGACCAAGGCGATATTATTTCCCGTAGAGGAGACACTAAAACGCTTCTTTCGGACTGGCATACGAGTTTTTCTTCTGACACTTTGCCTTGGCTCACTTTAAAATTTGCCTCTAAAGATTGACACGTGTCATCGCTAAGGCGAAGCCTTTGTTGATAGACTTGATCATTCCTTTGAACCAGTTTATCAATTTGAGATTTTTTTTGTGTTGTGCGTTGTGCTTGTTGCCGTTTAGCCATATTTCTGTGCCTACGCCGTCTGCGCCTGCGCCGTCGCCGTTTTCGTCGTTGTCGCTTCCGATTGTGACTATTGCATAGTATTGTGCAGAGATTGTTGGATTTCATCTGCTGATCATTATTTATCTCGTATGAAGTGTATCCATAAAATATCTTTAGCTTTTTAACCGCATTGCTGCTGGAAGGTTCGTTAGGTGTCGTAGGAGCCGAAACATGTACAGGTCTACTACTGGATCGGCTTCCATCTGAGATGACAAACTGTCCAAGCACCGAGAAAATATCCTGAAGAATACATCTCGTCAAAATAGTTGCTAATGCAGTCGCCCAGCGTGCAAGCACAACAACGGCTCCCATCAGCTTTGTTATGCTTACAACCTCGGTTTCAAGAACTTTCTTGCGCGCTAAAGCCGGTTGAAGAAATGATTTTCGGGATCCGCTGATGTTGCTGCAGCAGTTGAAGCTAAAGCAGCAGCAGCATTTAACAACGACAACACAGCATCCCTGTCGACAGCACAGGCATTGACAATTGAAGAAGCATCTGTTGCCTTTAAAAGGCTCCTCCGATTGATTGGGGTCGAAGGCAAACCGCATCTTTGATATTTGGTAAACAATTAGTTTCGGCAGTGCGCCTCATAAAAGATGTACGAGTTATGGCAGTTTTATATTCCTGGTATACAACTTCCAATCCATTATAAATATTTTTTATTTGGGAGCGGCGTATATTCCTTTTTTTGCCTGTCCAAAAAAGGTTGAATTTTATATGGTATCTTAGTCTTATTAGCTGTTTTGACATCGAATTAACTATCAGAAAGTTCTACTTAAAAATTTAAATTTCTAGGATCAATAATACATGTTAATCAATTTAACATGTTTTCAAAAATAAATATTAGGTTATGATCGGCTTATGACCAACCAATTAGAGTAAAATTTTCAAAGAATTGTTCTTTCGTTCACTTTTCTTTAAAATTTTCCTTTAAACACATGAAACAATTTACAATCACGCCCACTTATGCAAAAAAAAACCGGATAATGATCCTGAATAAGACTATATAAATATTATAGAATCGGAATAGCTAAATGTGCAATAATACTACCAGGTAATTTAATAGCGATTTATGTTCAAATTTAAATTAAATATTGTTCTACAAATTGCGGTAAAATATTTCTCTAAGCGTGCAGAATTGTTAAATTATTTTCTTGCTAAATTTAGGTCATTAAATATACGTTTTCAAAGAGTAAAACATTTGTATAAAGCCAAGAAGCTTGGAAGGAAACATTTTTATAGTTTTATTAAGCTCTGTTTTAGAAGCATTATCCATTCGAATTTGAAAATACTAATATACTCTCTTACGGTCTTTGTTTAACATTTGCTCTATAGCCCGCGATTATTTTTATCAAAGAAAAGGATCAATTTTTCGTTGGACAAACACATTTTAAATTAGATAATTATAATATATGAATATAATTATATTATATATAATAATAAAAATATAACTATTTAATAAACATTCACCACATTTCAAACTCCTGAAGGATATCTTAAGTATAGACTCATTACTGTTGCTTACGGATTTGAAAGTTAGATTAATATGTATTTCTGTTGCAGTAATAACCTGTGTAGCTCTTACTCTTACAAATAATTTTAGTAACCAAAAAAAAGAAACAGATTAAAAAAAACGTTGGCAAAAGTTGGTTTTAACACATATACATATTACCAAAACCTTCTTGTCGTATACAATGCTTTAAAAAGGTAAAGCTCTTTGATAATGACTCAGCAAATAAAAAAAGAAAATTGTTTACTTAAAAAGTTTAGGCATAGACCCTTCACATCACCAGAAATGCCGAAGGGAACACTTATTCTGACAGACCACACTTTCAGCACCGCACACATTCTCACGTCTGCTTCAACCAAACTAAAGCTTACAAGGCGACACGCCGTCAGACAAAGTCGAGACGAGACGACGCCAGACTGACCGCCTACAAGATATCAAATAACACGTGGTTCACTATTCAACGAATATGTGGTGGTTATATGCCAATTTTGAATATTGGTATGTATATGTTGTTAAATTATGTAGAACCAACTAAAATATTCATAATTTGTTTACTGCGAAGACATTACAAAAAGAACACTCTACTTTAAATTTTTACATATTAAAATTGATTTTGCTTTTATTTTAGCAATGAAACAATATTTTGTGTCTCTGACAGTTGCTAAATGACATTGCATACTTTTTAAGGCATACCAGACAATTTAAAGCTTTTTAAAAGCTTTATATATTGATAAATACATTTTAGTGTTGCCCACTTTCTAAAGATGTTTTGTGCCGCATTTTATTACCAGAAATGATATCGATAAATTCAATGGCGATGGCATTTAGAGAAGAGTCGAAAGCCGGTAAATTTAAAAAGTAGTGTCTAATGAATAGCGAAATATATTTAAACAACACTACCATCAAAATTGTATTGGTTCGCCCTTAAACCAATTTTCTTACAGATAGCTTTAAGTAAGTGCTACACAAATTTTGACATTAAATAGTAAGAATTATAATTTGCAATAATTTCATTCAGAAGCTTAGAACGTAATCATGATGACAACTGCACCCAATGTTATATACATATTAACATATATATTAATTTATCTTTGTACTGTCGTAATAAATGTTAAATTCTTTACGATATAATGTCAGATTTATCTTTTCTTATTTACCTCCCTACAGTATTTAATGCAGTGCCGAAAAAATAAATATTATATAATTATTGGGTATATTCATACAGCTTCAGCCGAATAAATAAAACGGTTTTTATTTTTTATTTTTATTATCAGTTATCAGTTTATTATCAGTACGCTTCTAAAAGGTAACGAATTTCATCAATAATATAAATGAAATGGAAGTTAATCAGCTGTGTTTTAAAATACTCTAATAAATAAAAATTGAACTTTCATAGTTTTGAATCTGTAAATGGTTTAAAGTATAGGAATAGGAATGTATTTTGGACGAGGATCACCTGCCGAATTGTGCCTGACCATATCCGTATGAACTTTAAGGTCTCGGAAACTTCTGGTACTCTCTGCAAAAGTATAACAACATATATTGTTTATATTATAGATAAGTATATAACATAACAAAAACAACAATGGCAGTTCCACTACCTAAAGTTAGCAGTTAACAACAGCCAAAAGAAACGGCGGAAAAGCTGTTTCGGTTGGCTTGCAGACCGTGAAAAGCCACGAGCCACGATTGAAATACCGAATTTTATACCAAAAATATATGAATACCGATTGTTCATATCAAGAGCTATCAAGCGCAATTCTACAAAAAATGTTTGTGTATATTTATGTATATATGTATACATAAAGTTTATATTATAAAGTTATATACCCATAGTTACCCACAAATGTGCATACAATTGTGCTCTTTCAGTTTCAAATATGAAAAGCGCCAAGTAACGGGAAAGCTAACAATAATATTTAGAGACGATATTAAATGAAAACAATTTTACATTTTTTAATTCGTATATTTTTAAGCATAGGTCGAAAAATGGTTAATTCATTTATTAAAAAATTCTGAGATCGTTGAACTTTTTACGAGTTTGTTCATACCAGCTTTGGTATTAAGGCACATTTTAACCACGGAACTTATAAGAAGAATGAAAAAATGAACAAAGAACACGATCGGAGGGTAGGTTTTTTATTTCCCGCAATACAACCAACGCAATACAATTGTCCGGACTAACAGGTGTTCCATAGCTGACGAGCGTGCATTGGAGTGTGAGGGAATTTTCTTCGATCGAAAAATGTTTTTCTGATGGGTTTTACAATAATATATATTATACATATATTATATATTTATATTTTAAAATAAAATTATATAAATTTGAACCTGTAAATTTAGTATGCAACAATGCATTTCAGTTGTTATATATGTGCATAGCTGCATAAGAGCCTTTTTTCCACTTTCCAAGTTTCTAGCTTTTACACTAGCAGAAGTCTCTGAATTTCGAGATGGTTGAGTGATTTCTCTTCTCCTTCACGTGTAGTTTGCAACGGTAGCCAAAGATTGCTTGGCACGCGCCGTTTTCGCTTTAATGGGTGTATACCAAAACTTGTGTTGGTGCCGACTTTCAGTGATACCAATTTAACTTTTCTTGGTCTAATCTTAAATTCTGAAGCTTCTCAGAACTGTGGATGTGTTATATACATACAAAAAACACTGAATATAGTTAGGGAGTGTAGACTGTACTATAATGGCCAGACTACAAAAACATATGCATTCACTCATACGTCAGATTTTGTGCATTTTTAGGTATTTGGTAGCTCTTGTCAACCTGTAGAATGAGGTTACTCAATCGTAAGCAGAACTCGACGGAATAGCAAAATGGGGGGTTGATTTTTTACGTAAGCAGACTTAGTTTCTGTTTTATATAATTTACTATAATTGTTATATATACATCATCTTGAATAAAATATTAAAAGTGCTTTTGTTTTAACTGTTAGGTATGATATATATTTACTGTCGTCTTAGCCTACGAAGCCTTGATTTAGAGTCCATATTTATTCAGTAATTTGGACTAATAATTATAATGTATGTAGCTCTGTTTGGACTAATTCGGTTTCCACATAATTTTTTAAATGGCCTATGGGTTCGTAATTTTCAAACTAACATTCTAAATTTTATTGAATCTGCATGCTAGGTCCAATTCATAAATAGTGGCCCAGGCCTCGATGTCGGATGTCAAACATAGATAGAAAGGCTTAAAAAAGCTTAGGAGTAATTGAGATAGTAATATCGTAGCATGTCGTTTTTTATATTTTTACTGTTTTAGTACACTTAATATCAACATATTTTTTTAAGTTGAACGAGAACGAGTATTTAAGCATAACGCTAGGTCTATGGATATATTTATTTATACGTTATCAAATACAACATTTGTTTATCAGCAAAGGATTAATTTTATTAAAAACTGTAATAACAATATACCACTTTGAACATCAAGCCCGTACAAGCCGAATATTTTAGTACTATATGATTCTTTCTCCCTCACTGGCATTGAATGATTTTTTCTCCCTCACGCTCTATCACTCATTTTGTGCGGTGATCATATTTCAAGCCCAGCTTTTGCGTCCAACGAGCACGCTATGTCTCCCGATTAGTCGACAGCTAGTTTGAGTGCAAATGCAACCGACCAACCGTAAAGCCGTTTTGGGCCAAGTTTTGAGCACGACTCAAAAAATACATAAGGCACAAAAAACACTCCGGAAAGTAGTCACTTGAGTTTGAGCGATGTAAAAACGGCTTCCGCCGTCCATTGCCATTCAAATATTTAGTTTCGCTCGAGATCTCTTGGCGTACGCTTCAAGATCCACCTGATCGCGTGGACTCATAGCCAACAGGTGCAACGCGCTGTCAATTTTACCTGCTAGTTTAAAAGTGAATAGGATCTATAATTTCAGTGATCCAGTGGGGTTAACCATCGAAATTGGGAATGAGATTTGGAATTTACTTTGGAAAGTTTGAGAACTTAAAAATTTGGTTCCAATTATGACATTGTGTTACATTCACTGCATATATATTATTTAATAATATTAATAATATTAAAAATAAAAACACTTTAAACTGGATTAAAAACTTACAGGCAAAATCAGTAAGTAAACTACCATTAATTTTCATCACTTATATTTGATTAATTTAGTAAACTTAAAATAATTGTCTGATACATAATTTAACTGTTGGCTTTCGTTTTCGTAGTCCTATGCTGAGGCGTTCTTAAACATTTCTTATTTACCCATGCTTCTGACCTTGAGGTGCTTATTTTCTCCTATTTCTCAGACTACTTTGCTAAGTTTTCTGACTAGCCATCGCCATTATTCAGCTGGAGTGTGTGAAAATGCGATTATTTTCCCACTTTTATTTTTTTGAATTGAATGTGGTATGAGTAAGTACTACCTTAAAGTGAGTTGGTATTGAAAAGAACAAAGTGTAGAAACCCCAATGACCTCGAAGCAAGACCGCTTTGTCCAGCCATGACTTTTGTTTTACAGTACCAATGATATGTTTAAAACGCAGTTTGTTTATAAATTAAAGTCTATAAGATTAGATTAATTTTTACGAATACATTTATTATTCTTATGCCGATATGCATATACATAAATATTCAGAAATTCCTTCAGTTTGAGTGCTAAAAAATATATTCTTTTTCGTGCACATTTTTCGATGTCTTCAGGGTGTATAATTCGTATTCTTTCGTATATTTCATCCCTGGGCCAATGAATTCCAATTCCATTTCCCGCTCTTCCGTTAACCGACGAAATAGAAAAAGATAATGAAGGGGTCGATAGTGGTAGTAAAGATGGGTGAATCGAGTCAAATGTTTGACAGAGCGGTTTACTTCGACAATAACAAAAGATATTTTAGATTATTATAATATGTTTTTGGACTACAAACTCCGTCTCCTTTAATTTTTATGTTGACAGAAAAAAAAATTAACTGGATATTTATTTCTATAAAATTAAACTTCTTATCAAATCACCATATAAGAAAGACGGTAATATGCATAATCTTCTATTACAAGAACAGAGTCTATAAAAAACCAGATGGCCTAGATGAAACCATTTGCAATGCATTTGGCTGCTTTGATCCTTTGACTACGATGACCCTTAGGGTAGTGAAGGTCCCAAAAAGGTCAATTAACAACAGGTGAATGAGTGCTAGCAAACACGTTTAGGCGGGTTCAGTCATCATCTGGCGGGTAGCCAGTGCACATTGCAGGGTGGATTTGTCTCCATTAAATGAGCGGGAAATGTTATTACCTTCTGTTGCACATTTTAAGGTCCAATTTCATTACGTCACTAAGTTGTTTGAAGCAACAGAAATTAAAACAAGAAGAAACGCTATAGTCGAGTGCAGAGACTATTACACAATTGTAAAATATTAATTTTGCTAGTTGAAATGGACAAAGCGTTTTGTTTTGAAAAATCTTTGCTAAATTTTAAAGATATGGACAAAAATATGTTATACAAGGTCAAACGAAGACATACATTATAATATTATGGATGCCACAGTTTTGCACGGTTTGTGAGCGTTAGAGTGGGCGTTGCAGGATACTGAAATAAACTGAGCTGCGTAGGGACTTCAAAAATCTTTCTGCTTTATCTCTGTATCTGTATGTATGTATAACAGGCATAATTATCAAGAATATAAATTCGTTTCAAATACAAAATTCAGTGAAATTTGGCAAAGGCAATTGAAATCAAACCAAACAATTAAATAATTAGTATAAAAATATTACTGGCCACATCATTTTGGATATGGATATGGATGTATCGACGGGACTATTGATTTTGATCAAGTGTCTATCTTGTTCAAAATAACAAATAAAATCAACAAACACAATATGTTCTTTCATATAAGCTGGTTGTTAAAGTAAACTTCTGATGCGCAGGAATATCTCTAACTGCTGCACAAAATCTAGCGCTAAGGGATTTTGCTTTTGTTTAATCTAAAAATAAAAATAAAGTTAATACCTTTTGATGTAAAACAAGAGGAAACGCTATAGTCGAGTGCCGCGACCATAAGATACCCGTTACTGTTTTACAAAATTTTAAAATATTATTTTGCTAGTGGAAATTCACAAGGCGCCACCTATTGTCAGTGGAAGTATGTTGAGTATGCTTATAGTGACGTCACTGCCCATGTGAGGCCTTATAACTTAATTTCTTTATAAATAGCGAAATATTGTTCCGATTTGAAAAAGCTTTGGTAAATCGATAGGTTTTAACAGAAATAAGTTACACAAGGTCAAACGAAGGCATTCATAATAATATTATAGACGCCACAGTTTTCCGCGGTTTGTGGGCGTCAGAGTAGGCGTGGCCGGATGCAACTTCGTGGAAAGTTGCAAAGGCATCTCCTAAATACGTGATCCTAAACAAAATTATGTAGCTCGTATAGTTTTTGAAATTTTTGCATTTTTGGTTTCGCATTGGGAGCATAATAGAAACCTACATGCTTAATCCGAACTTTCTATCTCTTAAAGTTACCGAGATATCAGCTTTTCTAGAAAATCCGAAAACTGTCTTTTGAGCCTTGTGGGCGTATGGGTGGGTGTGGCCGGATAGTAGTACCACTATAAGATGCGCTGCCATTTAAAGATTATACTTTTTGAATTTCAACTTTCTAACTGCAATAGTTCCTGAGATTTCAGCAATTTTAGTTTTTGGCGATTTGTGGGCGTTAGAGTGGGCGTGGCAGGATGCTGTAATAAACTTGCGCTGTCCCGGGACCTCAAGAATCTTCATGGTTAATCTCAACTTTGTATCTGCTATAGTTCCTGAGATCTCAGCGTTCATACGGACGGACGGACGGACGGACGGACGGACGGACGGACGGACGGACGGACGGACGGACGGACAGACGGACATGGCTCAATCGACTTCGCTATTGATCCTGATCACGAATATATATACTTTATAGGGTCGCAAAAGCTTCCTTCTATCTGTTACATACTTTTCAACGAATCTAGTATACCCTTTTACTCTACGAGTAACGGGTATAAAAATGTCAAATCTATATATATATATATATATATGGTATCATTGCCAACGTATTATATTTAAGTTTCAACCTGACGAAATGTAACAACTTTGTAACAATTATTAATACATTTCAGTTGGTCTTTAAAATATCTAAAAACTCATTATGGATATGCAAACATCGCCGCATCTAAGCCATGGGCTCGGTACAATCTCACATCAGATCCAACACCGTATTTCACACCAGTCGCAGAATCTTCACAGTACTCGAGAACAAGAACTAAATATAAGTACAGGCCAGCATGAGCACGACCATCACCATATGCAACATCACCTTTCGCTTCAACAGCATCAGACCGTTTCACCTAGTAACACTATGCAGAGCACACCGACAGTTGATGGTCTGGGCACTGTTATCAACCCCAATCATGATCAGCATGATCAAGCCAGAAGTGGCATGTATACCTCACTACAATTGGAAGATAAGCCAAAAGGTAATCAATTTAATTAAAGGCAAATAAGGGATTAGTGAAAATCTAAGTAAAGACATAAATTCCTATTATTATATACATTTTACTATTTTTTTTTAAGAAAAGTAACCTTAAAAATTTAATTGTCGATAAATATATTCACGTTTACCCCAAGATTCTTGAAGGCCTGAACAAAAGCTTATGTTTTATTCCACTAACATTTCTAATGGAAAAGTATTCAATTTAATTAAAGGCAAATAAGGGATTAGTGAAAATCTTAGTAAAGACATAAATTCCTATTATTATATACATTTTACTATTTTTTTTTAAGAAAAGTAACCTTAAAAATTTAATTGTCGATAAATATATTCACGTTTACCCCAAGATTCTTGAAGGCCACTAACATTTCTAATGGAAAAGTATTCCCCAGCAACCGAAAGAAAACTTGCAAAAGTCTAAAACCAAAGAACAATAGCGCTTTCTGTAAGAAGAGTTGAAGAATAGTTAAACAAGCTTAAAAGTACAATGCACTTCGGACGCGATTGTTAATCTTTCCCCACCCAAGATTTTTTTCAATTCGGCCAGATGTCGCAGAAATCGATTCTTTTTCCAGTCATGCTCAAATTTTTTAAACAGTATGAAACAGAAAAGTAAATAAAAAGGTGTTTCCTTCAAGTCACGGAATATTTGGTATTAGGAAATGTCATATGACTTAACATTGGAATGTTCCACGATTTTCACCCGCGAAGTCTCAATTAGGAAGCGTATTATGCATACGTGTTTGTTGGTATATGGACCGATACATAAAAAAGAAAAATAAATGCTATCTTATCACATATAATGTAATGAGCGTACAATTATGAGATGATAATATTATAGATTATGTTTTATATATATGTTACTAATATTATAATTAGTTTATATATGTATTAATTTATATTATATTTTTATTATATTTATATTATATTTATATTATATCTATATTTTAGTTGTTTATTGTATGAGCTTAAACTTATTATAACTAATAATTATCTGACATATTGCCTAAACTACTACAACTATAGCAAACAAGTTTGACGAATATTCAAACGAGATAATGAACAATATTTCGGATACAAATACACCATCTGCGAGCAATTTCATGTCACATAATCAAGGCGTTGAATGGATTTCAGCAATTAATGATGTGCAAAACGGGGCAGGTAGCGCATTTACATGAGTGCTTACACAAAAGAATTTCTTTTCAATTGCAATTTATCTTTTCAGAAGATTCACACAGTTCGCAGGGCAGCATTTCTGGCGATGGTAAGCGAAATAGTTAAATTTTTACAAGTTACTCCTATAGTAACATGGGCAGTGACGTCACCGTCAGTTATTAAACATGCCTTTTATGGTTATAAAAAAAGTTAGTCAAGTTGACGGCTTAACCGCCGTGTTCCGCTAGTATAAATATTTAAAATTGGTTACCTCAGTACCGGGTATCTGATAGTCGCTTGACTATAGCAATCCTTTTTGATTTTAACATTCTTTTGGGAGTTCGAGTACCGTGTGACCGAGTAGTAGATATAGTTTATCTCCCACGTAACGATCCATACTAAGTTCTCTTCGGTAACATACTCTCACAGTGCTATGTGACCGCCATCCGATCAATTTTCTGTGGCTTTGCAGGAATTGTCTCAAGTAACTTAGTGCCTAATTGAAAAAATGTACTTTGACCACAAAGCTGTTTCCTGGCTATGACAGAGGTTTTTGTATTCTTTTATTCGTATTTGTATTTGTGTTGTTTTTGAATGGAGATGGTCACTGGAGACTGGACGCTGAGACTCACTACACATTGCGACGTTCGAACCCCTTAGATGAAGGAACTAAGAAACTCAGTGCGGTGTAAGATTACAACGTTAAAATTATCAGATTTTATAAGATATCGGGATAGCAACTCAGTTTTCATTGCATAACCACAAATATAACAGAATACCAGTCTCAGCTTTATTCTGCATAAAAAATATAGACAGAAATAGCAATTTTAATTATTTTTGGCTAACTTTTACTATTATTAATTCATAACTTTTTGTATTAAATATTTTAAATTTGAATAGTGGCCAACAGCAACAGCCGAACAGAAACATTTTAGTTTTTAACATTTCATATCAAATAAATTCAATGGGTGGAGCTTTGTGAATTTCCACGAGCAAAATGAAAATTTAAAAATAAAATTTAAAAACAGTAACGGGTATATAATAGTCGCGTCAGTCGACTATAGCATTACTTCTATTAGGATTAATAAGCCCTGTGGTGTACTGTCTTACCCAATTCGAAAATATTTATTTTGCAAGAAAAATTATGTTTTACACTCTGATGGTGACTTAACTTATCATGTGGGGCCTCATGACCTACATTTCTTAACAAATTCTAAAATAATGTACTGATTAAAATGTTTTAAAAGGTCAAACAAAAGCATATATTTTAATGCCAACTTCCTATTACATTAGTTTTTTTCCAAGGTTTCCAAGAAACCGTATTCAGGTGTTTAAAAAAAATCAGAAATCTATTAGCATAATTATAGAAATAAAGGATCATGTCCTCTATTACTATTGTAAAAAGGGATTGTTCTGCTATATTTTTTTTAATAGTTTGGCCTAAAAGTATGCATTACCAATTTTTTTTATTTCCATAAGCATTGAACACATGAATTCATGAACAGTAAATTCATTTTTAAGCAGACTTTGAGAGCAATAAAAATATTTATGTGTTTGTAATTTAAGTTTAAAATCAAATGTTTAATATCCTATATGTAAATATAACAACCAAAAGTATGCAATATATACTATCAATTAGGTTTTGCTTGGTCACTTAAGTCTATTAAAAATGACTCACTTAGATGGCGGTAGAAAAATGTGAGACATTAACAAGAAAGTGTGAAATCGAATGTAATCACTGGTATGAGCACCAACATACAGTGCCTAGCTGCAAAAATCTAAGCGCAACTTATTAATGGTTGGGAAGTTCCACAAGTTTATAGTTATAGTTATATTATAGTTAATAATAATAATTTGGGAACAAATCTCAAAACATAAGTGAAATTGGCGATGTAAGTTTACGTAAAACTAAATGATAATTTCCCCAGCCAAAATTTTGTATCATTTCATATCTAGGTCATTCAATTTGAAGTTTGGGCGAAAATACGAAATCCTCCAAATTTATAATTATAAATTTAAAATTACCGAATTATTGCAAAGTAAAAGTTGTAAAAATATTAAACATAAGTTCGTGTTTATAATTGCGTCAATATAATTATTTGTTAAATTCCAATCGGCTATGACCGCCTTAATGGTGCGAAGCAACGACATTCGAGTAATTTAAGTGTGTGAAAGAGATGTCAAAATACGCAGAGTGGTAGGCAGGAAGGTAAACTGTGATTGGTGCCGCTGCACACTGATGCCTTGCCTTCTTTGTGGCCTTTATTGCTATTGGTAGATTTCGAGGGCGACCGCCTGTTCTTCTGCCAGCCCAAGCTCAAAATTAAACAGTGGTGTCAAAACATGACAATCCAAGATGTAGGTAATAATTCGAAACTTTAGATTTGTAATTAAAAAAAAGAGTTATATTATGAGATCTTATTCAACGTCTATTTTTATTATTAAAAAATTAACAAACGCCAAAAATGTATTATTCTTTTAGTTCAGTTATCGTGTTAGGTCTGATAGACTCGGTTGTTTAGCCTTTTGCTGGCTGACATTAAAACCAAGCGGCCCAAAAATTAACTCCTTTGCATCCACCCAAAAGGCGTCACAGTTTGGGCAATTGGATTGGTCACCACAAGAGCAGCCACTCAATATTGTCGTTGCTGGGATGCTATGCCTTCGTCTGCCCCTTGGTTTTGCCCGTTCTTCATTGGCTGGCTGTACTAAGATAAAAACGTTTGTCCGGAGTCAACACCAACCATTTGGGGTGGGCGGCGCGGTGTCGTTGTAAGCGTAAAAAGGACCACATATTTCCAAGAACATGTAGCGCCCGCGCCTTCCCACACTGAGTAGAGATACGGATAAGCAAAATAGCAGAAGTAGATAAGAATAAGGAAACCGTGCGCAGACTCTCTGCGGCTAAAAGCAAACAGTCCGGAAAAAATGGTTAGCAATATTTTACGGTACACAATACGAAGAGAAAACATACTTTTACGTAGAAGAAGAAAAAATAATGTCAACGGTTGAAAAAGAAGCCCAGGCGCACTTAACAAGCCACAGCAACGCGAGTGCTCGGTCTACTTTACTTATGCAAAGAGGTAGACAAACGAAAATCAAGCTTCATCCTCAGCATACAGCTGATGACCAGTGCTGTTCGAGAACGTCAATCAGAACTTCGTTGTTGCAATCGGAAGGACTTCTATCTGTAACGGCATCGATTACAGGTTCGGTATACCGTTACGGTTTGCGGTTGCGGTGCTATACGTATGTCACGCTTACTGTTAACGCTCACCCTCCAACCAAGTTTAAATAAAATGGTGTTCAAAGTAAATGCAATATAGTGATTGTGCTTAAATAAAATATAAACAAATACTTCGGCGTTAGCTTATCTTCTGTAAAATGGACCTATCTACAGCATATCGCTACAATCAAAACATGATGGAATATTATACATGTAATACTTTTTACCATTAAAAAACTAAATAAATTTTCTGATTACACTAGGCCCATTAATCCCATTTAACAACAATTTATAAGTCAATCGAGGAAAAAACGTCAGTGTAAAGGTTGATTCAAAATAATAGATATGGTTTAAGGCCTTGATTTATTGAATGTGGCAACAATGCCATTTTACACATTCTTTAGATTTCAGGAGACAGAATGCTCTTTAATAAAGGACAATGGGCCTTTGTTTATAGTACAGCAAATGTCCTGCTGAGTTCTTCCAGCAATATAGATGTATAGATAGATATAGTAGATTCGTTGAAAAGTATGTAACAGATAGAAGGAAGCGTTTCCGACCCTATAAAGTATATAAATTCTTGATCAGGATCAATAGCAAAGTCGATTGAGCCATGTTCGTCTGTCCGTCCGTCCGTATGAACGCTGAGATCTCAGGAACTATAATAGATACAAAGTTGCAGCGCAAGTTTATTTCATCTTCCTGCCATGCCCACTCTAACGCCCACAAATTACGAAAAACTAAAATCTTTGAAATCTCAGAAACTATTAGACCTAGAAAGAAATTTAGTATGTATAATCCTTAGATGCAAGCGCATCTTATGCGCCACACCCACTCTTATGCCCACTAAGCGCAAAAGACACATTTTCTAGAAAAGCTGATAATTCGGTAACTATAAGTGCTAGAAAGTTCGGATTAAACATATAGGTTTTTATGATGCCCCTAATCCGAATTGTTTTTTCTAATCCAGTGGCTTGGCCACCCTAACGCCCATAAAACCCGAAAAACCAAAAAAGCCAACTTTTGTCAGAAAAAGCAAGAGTAACTGATGGGGACGTCATTATTCGCGTGAGGCCTTATATTCTACATTTCTTCATAAGTAACAAAAACATTTTCCGATTTGAAAAATCTTTGGTAAATCGATAGATATAGACAAAAATTTGTTACACAAGGGCAAACAAATACATATCCTATAATATTATAGACACCACAGTTTTCCGCGATTTGTGGGCATAGTGGGCGTGGCAGGATGCTGAAATAAACTTGCGCTGCGCATGGACCCCAAGAATCTGCCTGCTTAATCTCAACTCTGTGTCTCTTATAGAGAGATCTTATCCTCAGCTTTCATACAGACAGACGGACGGACTGATAGACGGACAGATTATTATAACATTTGTAAAAGACTGATAGGTATTAACAAAAAAATATCTGCATTCCGATTTAAAAAACAAGCGTGCACAAAAGATTTTCGCCTAGTGAAATAATTTAGAATTTCGCAGAGCTATATTGTAAATTAAGTATGGCGAGTATTTTTTCCGCGTCCTCGCAGCATGTTTATCATTAGTTCTTTCGTCTTTAATCTGTATATGGGGCGCAGTCTTTTTGTTTTTCTTCGGATTGGACTGAAACATTTCCAAGATACACATATCGTTTTCTGCTGGCAACATATGTTCATGTTTAAGCCCATTACTTGCAGATTAATAGGGTACACTACAAAAAAAAGTTAAATATATAGAGATTTTATAAACATTCTATGTTTGGATTATGCATATTCTAGGCAATTGCGAAAAAAATAAAATAGTGGAGGTTTTAATTATAAAGAAGTTGGGATTATTTTATTATCCGATCACGTCCACTCTAGGGCCCACAAACTTGATGTTTGACACTAAAAATTTAAATTTATTATTTATTCTTAAGTTGGTTGACCGTGTTGCTTTGATTAACTAGCTGTTTTATTTTTGTATTTTCTTGTACTGACCTGAACGTGGTCTAATTATACCCGTAACTCGTAGAGTAAAAGGGTATATTGTATTGGAAGCGTTTTCGACCATACAATGTAATGTAATGTAATTTGATTACAGTTACTTTTCAGTTAATAGATCCACTCATTACTGGTTAGGGAATTTGAATGATAGTTGGTTCAAGTAACCAAAAAATATCTTATCTGAGACAAAGTTTATATAATATAATTTAAGGTATGTCAATCATAAAGATTTTAAAGTGAAAATAATTATTAATATTTCTTAATTAGGTCATGGAGGCGTTAATCAATTAGGAGGAGTATTTGTAAACGGACGACCTTTGCCCGATGTCGTTCGTCAACGTATTGTAGAACTGGCGCACAATGGCGTCCGCCCCTGTGACATTTCGCGCCAGTTACGCGTGAGTCATGGTTGTGTGTCTAAGATTTTATCAAGGTAATTATCCACAAATATAAAACGATTTTTAAAAATATTTTTTTCAATAACATAGCTAAACAATATGAACAACATGTCGACAACAACAACTCTTATATAATTGTCAAATGTTCGTATATTATGCGTCAGGAGAGTTTTCAATCAAGTTAAAATAAATTTTGGAGCACAGCCGGCTGGGATAACAGCAAAGTGATCAGTTAAAACTCATGAACATTTTTTTTTAATTCTTGCTACTTTTATTGGCCAAGTATTACAAAATTCTGGTATTTAGGATATTTACATAAACGAAAAATAGCCATAGCTTCGAGCTATCAAAGAATATTTGATCGTATCTAGCAGTTGCAACTTGTGAAGTTCTGCAAACCTAAATATGGCAACCAAATGTGTGGGTTTAAAAAAAAGAAATTTAATAAATTTATATTCTTTAATATATTAGCAAATATATATTTATAATTTCCAGATTTATTAAAATATATTCCGACCAAAATCCCAATTTTATACAGAGAAGACTGTACACACTTTTAAATTTCAGATACTATGAGACTGGTAGCTTTAAGGCCGGTGTTATTGGTGGTTCCAAACCAAAAGTAGCAACTCCGCCAGTAGTAGATGCAATAGCCAACTATAAACGTGAAAATCCCACTATGTTTGCTTGGGAAATACGAGATCGGCTTTTGGCAGAAGCTATTTGCTCTCAGGATAATGTTCCCAGTGTTTCTTCAATAAACCGGTAAGCAAAACAAGCATTTAGTAAAAAGTTATAGTCTAAGTCAATACGAAAACACAATCTGGGATTAGAACGGATGTACGCACATCCGTTATGCGCTTTCTTAGTGTTCCCAAGTTTGTTTGCTGTCATGCCGTTAACTTCCGTATCCGTTTCCTCAAATTCATATATACCCCAACGAAGTATTGAACTGTGACTTTATATTTTACTGAACCTTTCATCTAATAAAAATATCTAAGTAGTTTTTAGCGTTCATAATTGTGGCACAATGCTTGACACACGACCACAACAAAAGCCACTTTCCTATCCACCATCCGGTGTGGCTTTATTGCCGACAACATCATTGTAGAAAATCTTGGCCATGCCACGTGGCAGTTCCGAAGTCGACACTGCACCACATTGCTTTTATTTACGCAGTTCCTTTTTACCATAATTTATATGATGCCGGCGAATAGCAGCTGTGAAAACCTTTACCACTTTATTTAACAAAATTAGTTGAACTCTTATACCTAATACTCGTAGAGGAAAAGGGCATTATTAGGTCGATGTAAACTATTTAAGAAGTAGAAGAAAGCTTTTTGACTTTTTTACCCTTTAAAGTACATATATTCTTCGATTTAGCCATGGGCGTGTAAAGGACGCATACTGAGTAATAATTTACTATCCTAATAATTGATAGTACTTATTACTATGATAATAATAATTGGTTTGAACATATATATTATTTTTTGTCTATACCTATGGTTGTTCCAAAGTCTTATATATATAAATATTTTTATAGTATGGTATGTATGGTATATACCCTCACATGGGCAGTGACGTCACTGTCAGTTAATTAACACGCCTTATATGCTAGACAAAAAATAATATATTATTATAGGTTAACTAAGTAACGCGTATCCGATACTTAACTACGTCGTTTTTTATTGCTAAATTCCATTTAGTATAAGCAACGCATTCTTTTTTGACCGGCTTAAGCGCGAGTGCCGCGCTATAAAATACCAGTTACTGATTTACACAATTTTAAAATAGTTGTCAAAAAAGTCTTGCATTATAAAATTGGTTAAAATAATGCGATTTAAGTCAAATATGCGCCGTTTTGTTCGATGACGCGTTCCCAACGAGATGCCAACTTCATAATGTCCTTCTCATAGAAGATCGCTTCCCTATTGGGGAACGTGGCGCATCTTCGACCACCTCTACACCAGAACGAAAACGTTGATACCATCGTTGTGCGGTGGTAATGGAAACTGTATCGGGTCCATAAACTGCACAAATTTTATTGGCGGCTTGAGATGCATTTTTGCCTTTATCGTAGTAGTACCGTAAAATATGCCGTATTTTCTCTTTATTTTGCTCCATGATAGCGACGCTATAACTCACGAACGACTTAAAAGAAAAGACAATCAATCAAACACGTGAAATGAGCTTTCCAAAAAGGTATAGTATGACCTGATGCGAAGAATAAAACAAGAACTACGCGCTTTCAGCGCCAACTAGCGAAAAACCCCACTACTTTTTTGTGGGCGTCAGAGTGGGCGTGGCCGAGTGAAAACTCGTGGCAAGTTGCAGTGAATTCTCTTAAATACGTATTCCTTAACACATCTTTCTAGCTTTAATAGTTCCCGAAATTTTTTCATGCCATGCCATGATTAGAAAAAACAATTGGGATTGGGATCATTGTAAAAACCTACATGCTTAAACCGAACTTTCTATCACTTATAGTTACTGAGATATCAGATTTTCTACAAAATGCGAAAACCGTCTTTCGAGCTTGGTGGGCGTAAGAGTGGGTGTGGCCGGATAATGGTACCACCGTGCGCTGGCATCTCAAGATTATACAGACTTAATTTCAACTTTCTAGCTTTAATACTTCCTAAGATTTCAGCGATTTTAGTTTTTCGTGATTTGTGGGCGATAAGTGGGCGTGGCAGGATGCTGAAAAGGAAACAATATTCTTGCTTACTTGCAACGTTGTATCTCTTATAGTTCCGGAGATCTAAGCGTTCATACGGCCAAATGGACGGACGGGCGGACATGGCCTAACCGACTTCGCTATTGATACTGATCAAGAATATATATACTTGATAAGGTTGGAAACGCTTTCTTCTACCTGTTACATACTTTTCATCGAATCTAATATACTTACTCTGCGAGTAACGGGTATAACAACATAAATTATAGGGCAAAACTAACAGGAAGAAGATTGTTTTCCCGATATATATAAAATCTGTTTTTATTATATTTATTACATTGTCAATAACACACAAAAATGTATTGGAAAAAATTTACGGAAATTGGTGACAAATTTTGTAAAAAGATCAGATCCAATGTCAATATATATCATAAGTAATATATTGTCCAACTGTGAAAATAACAGATAATACATGTTGCTTTTTTATCATCTCCATAAGGCATTACATTTCCCGTTCTTCTCTAATTTAGCCAAAATTTAGACTATTTCACCTTGACTTTACATGAGATTACTCAATTTTAAAAACATAAAACATCTTAATGCAAAATGTCGAAGTAATTAAGTAGCAAAAGAGGAAACTTTAACCTGATCGAAACCAATTTTGGTATGACCATATTTGGTAAAATATTTTTTTTATCATATAAATTCATATTTTAAATTGTAATTTAAATCTGTTAATATACAAGGAAAAACACCTATTATAAGAATGTTTCATACAGCAGTTGTAATAATTGTATCCCAATGGGCGATATTTAAATCCTAATAGGGCTTAATAAACGGTCAATTCAAATTAAATATACACAGATACGACAGTCATATGATATAGAGATCCTATTATGTAATATTTCAAAGAATGTGGCCAAAATAGTTTAAGAAAATTTCATTAGGACCAATATTATCTTTATAGTTAAAGTAAGTATATATACGAGGTGTGTTCAAAAAGTAAGGTGACTTTTCAAATTTCGCGGGCAACATATTTTCGATTATCGTTTTTTTTGTTTTGTTATATTGGTACACTCTTCCCTAACATCTGTACCAAGTTTCAATGGAACATCCTCTTTTGTTTGGTTGTGAGAGGCGTAAAGTTACAAGTTGTTTTGCGAGCTCGGCGATTTTTTGCTTTTTTCGGTCTTGGCTCGTCTGGGCTCTTCCATTGGGACGATTGGGCTTTGGTTTCGATATCATAACCATATACCCATGATTCGTCACCAGTTATGACCCTTTTGAGTAAATCTGGGTCGTCGTTGACGTCATTCAACAGCTCTTGAGCGATGCTCATGCGACGGTTCTTTTGGTCAAAATTCAGCAATTTCGGAACAAACTTCGCTGACACACGACTCATACCCAAAACGTTTGAAAAAATTTCATGGCACGAGCCAAGCGATATACCGACATCTTCAGCAACTTCTCTGATAGTGATTCGACGATTTTCCAAAACAATTTTCGTCACTGCTTGAACGTTTTCATCAGTTGTTGACGTGCTTGGGCGTCCAGAGCGAGGCTGGTCATTGGCATCTTCCCGGCCATCTTGGAAGAGTTTGTACCACTTGTACACATTTTTTTTACTCAGAACAGTTTCACCGTATGCCACTGTCAACATTTCAAGTGTTTCAGAGCACTTAATTTTATTTTTTACACAAAATTTGATGCAAATCCTTTGATCCATATTTTTCGATAGCAAAAAATCGCCGAGCTCGCAAAACAACTTGTAACTTTACGCCTCTCACAACCAAACAAAAGAGGATGTTCCATTGAAACTTGGTACAGATGTTAGGGAAGAGTGTACCAATATAACAAAACAAAAACAAGAGGAAACGCTATAGTCGAGTGCCGCGACTATAAGATACCCGTTACTGTTTTACAAAATTTTAAAATATTATTTTCCTAGTGGTAATTCACAAGGCGCCACCTATTGTCAGAGGAAGTATGTTGAGTATGCTTATAGTGACGTCACTGCCCATGTGAGGCCTTATAACTTAATTTCTTCATAAATAGCGAAATAATGTTCCGATTTGAAAAATCTTTGGTAAATCGATAGATATTAACAGAAATAAGTTACACAAGGTCAAACGAAGGCATTCATAATAATATTATAGACGCCACAGTTTTCCGCGGTTTGTGGGCGTCAGAGTAGGCGTGGCCAAATGCATCTTCGTGGCAAGTTGCAGAGGCATCTCCTAAATATGTGTTTCTAAGCAAAATTGTCTAGCTCTTATAGTTTTCGAGAGTTTTGCATTTTTGGTTTTTCGAGTTTTGTGGGCGTTAGAGTGGGCGTGGCTTGATCGGAAAAAAATAATTCGCATTGGGAGCATCATAGAAACCTACATGCTTAATCCGAACTTTCTATCACTTATAGTTACCGAGATATCAGCTTTTCTAGAAAATCCGTAAACCGTCTTTTGAGCCTTGTGGGCGTATGGGTGGGTGCGGCCGGATAGTAGTACCACTATAAGATGCGCTGTCATCTAAGGATTATACTTTCTGATTTTCAACTTTCTAACTGCAATAGTTCCTGAGATTTCAGCAATTTAAGTTTTTTGCGATTTGTGGGCGTTAGAGTGGGCGTGGCAGGATGCTGTAATAAACTTGCGCTGTCCCGGGACCTCAGGAATCTTTATGCTTAATCTCAACTTTGTATCTGCTATAGTTCCTGAGATCTCAGCGTTCATACGGACGGACGGACGGACGGACGGACGGACGGACGGACGGACGGACGGACGGACGGACGGACGGACGGACGGACGGACGGACGGACGGACGGACGGACGGACGGACGGACGGACGGACGGACAGACGGACATGGCCCAATCGACTTCGCTATTGATCCTGATCAAGAATATATATACTTTATAGGGTCGCAAAAGCTTCCTTCTATCTGTTACATACTTTTCAACGAATCTAGTATACCCTTTTACTCTACGAGTAACGGGTATAAAAACGATAATCGAAAATATGTTGCCCGCGAAATTTGAAAAGTCACCTTACTTTTTGAACACACCTCGTATATATAATATAATATATATATATATAATATATATATATATATATAATATATATAATTTAATTTATTTAAATTTTTTTTCAAATGCCGGACCAAATTTTTTTAATATACCTTTCCCTACTTTCCTTACCAATTTGCTTCGACCTTATAGCTAAAAAAAATTAAATTGGAAATGGACTTTTCAACCGCACCCGACACGTGCAGCTATTTATAATCGATTCGATTCGTATTACTGCTAGGTCCCACTACTTTACCAACGCCAAAGCTGACATGTGACCGATGATAATGCAAAAGTCGCGGCGAACAGGGGTAATTCGTGGTATAATCAGAAAGAACATTTCATAATGCGAAAATGTGTGATGTGATGGCACTTGAACAATGATTAGGGTGGTGGTGATTCAATCAAATCAAAATTGTGCGTACGGCGCCAGCAGGACTCCCCAGGACTGATTCCCAGGAGACTGACACTTAATAAAGTGACTTTCATAGCACTCAACCAATTTTAGTTCAGCCCTCCGATGAAATACATTCAAATGTATCTACACAAGTATAAAACAGAATATACAGCGGGTTGTGTTTTCTCGCATCCCAAACATATGTCTCAATTGTGCGCACTGTCCAAATATCCAATTGCTCATCCCGTCTCCCAAATGGTACTCAAAGAACCAAAAATCTGTAACTGTTGTCATAAGGGCATGATTTGGACTGTATTGACTTCTGTTTTTGCAACCCTCTGAACAACACTTTCAGCAATCTAAAAACCAAGCTGACAAATGTACTTACATACGTCGTGTATTAGGGAACTCAAGGTAGCTAAAAACTACCTTAAGTTTTACAATGAATGTATATTATATACATACATATATACCACGCAATACTGTCTTTTTAATAATTTACGTCAATAGTGATTTCCATGAAGTTCTCGCATTTTTGTTTCTACTAGTAAATTTTGTACTAATTTAAGTAAGTAAAGGAATTACGCGATCATAATTTTCTGTTTTACGGAGTTGAATTCCGGAGAAAAATGTTTTTCCAAGGTGTTTAAAAAATAGTTTAACTCCTAAATTTCAGGATTGTAAGAAATAAAGCCGCTGAGAAGGCCAAACATGTCCACCATCACCAACAGCATCACATGCCACAGAGTCTCGGTGGGGGGCATATTGCCACAGAAAGTCTAGATAGCAGCACAGGAACGATCGGAGAACTACAACCCACGAGTGGCGGCACTAGCAACAGCAGTGCGAATTCTGCAAGCACAAGCGCTTCGGCAATTGCTCAGCCAACGCCGACGTCCGGAACTGATTCTGTCCAAATATCAGTCGGCCATTCAAACAACAATGACACCAGAAATGGAAATCTCAACTCATCGACTGAACAACGAACGACTGGATATAGCATTAACGGAATTTTAGGTATACAACATGGGCATCATTCGCACAACAACAATAACAATAGTAGCGTCAACAACAACCACAGTAATACAGATCCTATTTCCTGTAAACGCAAAAAAATTGAAGATCACGGTAAGTTTTCCGAATATATCCCCAAAACACATTTACTCAAAAGATACACCAATCTAAGTCCTTAAATAATTATGCTTGACTAATGGCCAAACGAAGCACAGATGAGATTGATTATTATCAAAAAGTACTGTTTAAAAAAACGTCAGATATTTTGTACCGTATGTCGGAAAAGTATATAGTAGCTTAATTTAATGTGGGGGATGCAAACGTATTTGACATCTTTGCCTTAACTTAATAATAGTTTAAAGCTGTCCAAACTCAATCCTACTCAACATGTTCTAATAAATACCAGTTAATGTATCACAGCAAGTACTTAATCAGGAGATACAGATTAAACGGCCATTCAGTAGTCGCTTTTATTATGTTTTTTAATGTTAGATACTAGTATCCTAGGGCATTAGAAAAATTAAGTTTATCAGATCATAACAGAACTGTAATTTAATGGGTAATAAAAAAATTGAAATTACATTCCCTTGGGACAAACAGCTATTTACTTGTGGCAAATTTGTAAGGCAGATCGATGCAACAAAAGTACCATTAAATTCGACAAAGGGTAGGTAACTAAGTGACCAAAGTGAGCCCATGTGGCCAAATTTTTCAATCAAAAAGAATCATAATCATATATGTATATCTTTAATTTTATGTGTTTAGCCTGCAATATTATATCATATTACAAAAAACGAGATTAAGGAAAAAAAACAGAATCTATTGTACTAAGCCGTTGAAATTGCAATGAATAAACTTTTAATTAAATATCTATTAAATTAAAAGAAAATATAAATTACAAAATAACATAAACTGGGCGTCGAAGTACTGTCAACTGCTAAGTGTTTATTAACGCAAAAGAGCACTTAGGCTGCACGTGACAAACTTAGTGCGTGACCAACATAAAATGAAAAGACATTTTATATCCAAACAGTTATGAAATGAAATTAACTGATTAATGCTTTTATTTTTTAGATGAAAACCAAGACACAAATAGACACTCCGATGAGGATGGAAAACGGCAACGTGTGGGATATAGTGGCGATCAACTTTACCCAAATGTATGTGTTCAACACTTTATTTGTTTGTTATGATGTTGATGTAGCTATGTACCATTACCCTATATATATACGTCCCCCAATTAACCAATTTCAAGAAAAGTATTTATCAACGAATAATGCTTTAGTGTGAGCAATTAAGATAAATAATCTGTATTATCCGCTTATTGGTTGAACAACACACTGCCTTATTTATAGCTAGAGATAGAGCTTATGTGATCTCTTTCTAGTTATGTCGTATGTCTGTTTCTTCCGCAAGAACAAAACAAAAGTCCGTATCGGACATATGTATCTTATTACTGCCATAGTATAGTCTGAAAACTATATACAGTACAACCAAGTGGTCCAAAGACATTAAGCCCGCGTATTAAAATAGAGATAAGATAATAAGATATTATGATATAATATTATGATTACCATACAGACTACCATATCTGGAATCCGTATGCTTAAATCTTACTTTCTATGACTTATAATTCCCGAAGTTCTTATATTCTTTATATTAGGAAAACCAGACATCGAACCTAACAAATTATTTATTATTATATATTATTTATATAAATAAGACACCATAATACAATTTGGTATATATCCATCCACTATAAATTTTCCATTCCATTTACTATTTTAAATTTTTTATAGGTATTGCCATATTGGTAATTGTTAATTAAGATCCGACAATTTCACCCTAACACTATGAATGTCGCAGTTTGAGATTCTTGAGGTCCCTGCATCGCAATTTTATTTTAATATCCTGCCACGGCCACTCCATTTTTTCACCATCTGGCCACGCTCACTCTAACGCCCAAAAATGTAAAAAAACTAAAAATTCGAAAATCTCGGATGAGAAAGAAAGTAGACTTAGGCATACGTATTTAATAGATTTCTCCATCAGTTAGTAAACATGCTTTTCTGGCAAAAATTGGAAATACGTCTTTTTACCTCTTACCTAATCCTTATCTTACGTATAACAAGACTTGACAACAATAACAATTTCCGTTGTAACTTTTATTAAATGTTTTGGCTTACTTGTTGATGCGAGGATTCTAAATAAACTTTTTATTCTTAAGATTTGGTCAGGAAAATGGTGTATTAAGGATGAGCAAAAACTACTCGCCGAGCTGGGTAACTTAACAACAGGCACCGGGAACTGCGCGACAACATACTATGAGACTTCCAACGGGTTTTCAACAAACTCAATATCAGGATCTGGGCCGACCTTATCTGGGAGTGACACGTCAATGTTGTATGATAGTATTGCAACGATTTCGCAAGCTCAAAACTCACTTTATACACCGACGATCGGTACATCAATAGGTATGAAAGTCACTCAAGTGACCGATTTTACCCGTTATTGTTTTTTATATTATATCTTATTTTCACTATTATTTTTATTATTATTATTAAATTTTAATATCTTATATTTACAATGTATAATTTTGTTTTACTTAATATTCATTTTAACCTAACCTATGCAGGAAGCAGTTCGCTTACACCTTTAGTCCCTATAAACATGCATGAAATGAAACTTAGTGCAAATCCAATACAGGAACAGACAATAGCTCCTTTTTATACAGGTAAGACATATTGTTGTTTCTGAGATACTAGGAAACTAAAAAATCATATAGAGACCAAAATTTTGTTCGCATCTCTCTTAAAATGAGTCCAAGGGGATCTATGTAAGAACTAAGTGCCTTCCAACTGAAATCCTCTTGCTAATTATAAAAAAAGAATAATAATATTTTTGTATATTTCTTAATTTTGTGTAGTGCAGACCTTCGACTTCTTAAGTTTCTTAAAGCCAGTGCAAAAGAGTTAAAAAATTCGAGCGGCCACAATTTTTTTTCTAGGCCAAAGCTAAATTTATGTAAGAAATTTATATTACGGCAGATTTAACGCAGTGTCAGCTAGGGCAGAAAAAAAATTAAGTCACGAACATTGAAGTTGTGACCAAGTGAAAGTTGGGAGTAAACTTAAAGATTTTAGAATAAAGCGAAAGTTTTATGCAAATGTGCACACCCCCGCCCACATTATTATTTTCAAGAACAATAACTAAAGTTCATTATATTTTGAAAATTATAATTATATAAAATTATAAGGATATTATAAAACACATAAACACGTAAAACAATTTACTGCACATGGAGGTACAAGAGTTTATTTAAATTTAGTAGGATATATTATAATTTTATTGCATATATGTTAGCTCTAGCATTTGACGGCAACTACTCATCTATGACCAGCGTGGAAAACGTCCCTTCATCAGCCGGACAAGGTAGCATTTCACTGTCTGAGACCTCCAATGCGGTCAATCTTTGCCCGATAAGTACTGGAACTGTCCATGCGGAAAATAATAGCCGTGCTAAGGAGCCTCAAATAAATAGGGAGGAAGGCAGTGAAGGAAATATTAAGAAATCTGGAAAACTCAATTCCAATTCCGAATCCAGCGATCATATTCCCCTGCCACACCTACATCATATTACCGAAGAGCAATTAATAAGAGAAAGCAGACGACCCCCCTTAAATCCAACTACGCACCCATCTTCTCTTATACTTCTGCAGCCAAGCAGAGGAACCTCATCAATTAGTGTCAACCCATCCGATGATCAATTAGACGTTGAACATAACCTACGAAATAATGTAGGTCTTTACTCAACGCCCACAGTGCTACCAAGTTTTAATCAGTACACCCCAGGCAAGTTAAAAATATATGCGTAAAACGCCAATGAGAAGAGTATCCGAAGACTGTCTTATACTTGCACTTTTATATCTTGCACACGGACGGGGAATTTATAAAACTGAAGTTCAAGTTCAACATAATATAAATCAAAACATACTAAGAAACTTATCTAATACAATGCTGACTTATACTGTCATAAAGTTATACATAGTTATAAAGTTTCTTTTCAAGTAAAGCTAGATAGCTGATCACTTTAAAAAAATACACAATTTTTTATAAAATACCTAATAAAAAATTATTAAAGTTAATTCAATCCATACTATTTTACAATTTATTGTAAAAAAACACGAATTAAAAAATATGTATACCATTAAAAAATTTAAATTAGTCTCAAGTGAAATATTTTACAACTTTTTATTACATCCACAAAATGATTAGAAAACAAGAAGAAACGCTATAATCTAGTGCCGCGACTATACGATTTCCGTTACTGCTTTACACAATTTAAATATATTCATTTTGCTAGTGGAAATAGAGAAAGTGCCACCTTTTGTAAAAAAGCGTGTTGAGTAACTGATGGTCACGTCACTTTTATTAATTATGTGATATTATTATTAATTATTATTTTCCCGAAAAAAACAAAAAAAAAGTTTTAGAAAAGAATAACATATTTTGAAAATTAAAAATGTTTCGCTAAAGTATAAAATAGAATCAAAATATATTTACCAATATAATAAAAAAAGAAAAATCGTTTTATATTAGAAAACACACTGATTTTTAAGAGTTTATTTCTAACAAATTTTTACCTATAATATTGCTAAAGCTCTTCTACCTAACTCGATTACCCGTATGAATCTGAGGTATCGGACACCATAAGAGTTAAAGAATGGGATCAAGCATGCATTTTAATTGAAATACATCGATCATATATGATTATGCTGAAAGATTGCCTTTTATGTCTATTTCGAAAGAAAATAAAACATTGCATAGAAAAATTGCCAGTTATGTTGGGAAACTAAAGTATGAAAGCAGTTAAGAAGTTGTAGTAGTGCAATAGCGATAAAAGAGAAGAAATAAGATTTTTATTAGCAACGAAATTTCAATTTAAGTTGATTATATTTTTTCGCGCAAAGAGCAGCATTTTTATTTTAATACGGTCTTTAAAACGTAAATCAGGATCTATAATCAGTTTCGTATTAGCTTTTTCAATACAAAATATGTTTCAATGTTTAATTTAGTTAAATTCTATAGTTTTGCTTGCGACCTTCAGTTATATATTATTTATTATAAGATTATACCAAAAATATTCCCTTCATTTGCAGGTTGTAGCTCAGTTGTGCCCACCACAGATTACGCCTACAACCCCCCCTATACACAATATGGTGGTCCATATGGATCCTACGGCTATGGAACTAGCGGCGGCTTAATAAGTAAACAAAGATTTTTTAAAGGCATTCATAAAACTTGTTTTTGTATATATTTAAATACACCGAGAAATAGTTTTAATTCCACAAAATGCAAATTTTACTAACTTCTCTTTTTTTAATTTATGTAAACGAGTGTAGAGAGTATTTGATTCTTTAATTAACTGATGTTGCACTCTTAATGAGTCATATTCAAAAGCTATTTATCATAGATAATAGATTCAATTATTTCTATTACTTTTTATGTTTTTTTAGATTCCCCCTACTACTACGAAAGCGGACAATCTCAGTCGGTATTAACGCAAGACCTGCACCAAAACACTAGGTCACCCTTAGCTGCAACACGAGCGAATTCTCTGGCTTCGGCAGCTTCTCCAGGTAGCGGAAGCGCGTGCACAAAATCCGAATCCTCAGACATTTTTCTTGTTTAATGTGGATTAAAAGAAAGGAAATAGATTATTTAAAGCTCATTTTTTGCTGTTTTTGCTTTTACAAGGCCTCAAAATAAGGCAGATTTTCATAACTGATGTTTAAATAGGAAACGGGTTATAATTCCCAGTAATTCGCATTTATAAAAAGAAATTTAGAACAGTAGAACATTTTTTAAACCTAATATTATGCGTTCTTTGCTTTTCGTATAAAAATAAGAGCGGGTCCCTGCAATAATTTAAAATTTACATATAAGAATAGGTAGGTTAATCAAAAACTTTACCAAAAAGAAAAAAGATTTAATTATTTATTAACCGATTTCGTATATGCCACTTTTTTTACAAACTTGCATTTATTGATTCATTTAAGTTATAACTTTAGGAGGCTCCTAAAAATATTTGAAAGTGTAAAGTGTTAAGTATAACAGACATAGTAAACTATTCACAAACATAAAAAACCAAAATGTCCATTAAGGAGATAATTAACCAAAAACATAAAACTAAAGTTTAAAAAACTTGAAAAATATATATCTCAATTAATTTTGTTCATGCGGCAAAACAGATCAAAATTCATGTAAAAATGTACATACCTAAATGACTTAGAAAACGTTATTTAGAAAATATATCCACTAAGCTTTTGAGTAGTTTACAAAAATAACACTGTGCACATTCGCTTAATTTTGTCATAAAGGTATTAAAAAGTAAAAAGAATCATTATCTTATCAATTAAGTCACACGATTCAGATTGTTTTTAAATTTTAATAATTCTGCTTTGATATTATTATTTAGTACTAATATTCGACTTTAAAATGTAATACTTTGACTTTTGACTAAAATTTATCCTGCAGTCAGGTTCCTTTGATGTTTTATGAACAATTAAACATTGTAGAACAGAAGAATTCTTCAGATTCTTCTCATACATTTTTAATATACAACAAATAAATTCTTGGAAAAGCGTAACTCAAAGACGTGTAATATGTATATGTATGTTATTTTAAGATTTTTAGAAACTTATGCTTTTCAATTTTATTTCAAATACTCCAGTAGGCTTAGTATAAATATAAGTAACCACTTAGAATAAGAAAGCACAAACCAAATTTAAATGTATTTAGAAATTAATGTGTGTATTTAAATAAAAATATTAAAATAAAAATATTTTTTTATTTTAATTTTTTGGTGTAAATCATCTAATATTATATATAATAGGCCAATTTATATTTAGTATATTTCAAAATGCCAAAATATGAAAATGTTAATTTTAATTCAAACGGCGAAGGCCAATAGATTAATATATCATGGATCGGTATGCCTAGTATGATTAATAATGAATTCGTTTCTATACCACTTACGAGATAAACTAAAGAGCGTTAGATGTACATATATTGGGCGGAAAATCTCAACATGAAGTTTTGAAATTTTATTTTATGTCCGTCTGTGCGCTTGTCCACCTCTTCGTCTGCATGTAAGAGCACTGAGATCTAAGAAATTATACGACATATAAATTTGGGATTAAGCATGCAGATTCTTTAGATGCCTACGTAGCTACAAATCCTGAAAAACTTCGCCATTACGTGTCAATCTTTTAAACTATTTTGAATAAGAAATTGGGATTAAGCATGAAGTTTCTAGGAATGCCACCGCAGCTTGTAGTTTTCAGCATCTGGCCACCCCCAATATAACGGATACAATATGAAGAAACTAAAAATTATGAAGAAGAAAATTCTCCATTAACGGTTACGGCGGCTCCTTCCTCGTGGTTTTTCTGAGCCTCAAATGCGACAGTTTTGCTTATTAACATTACCACCGATGTGAAAATTCATTCATTTATTCATCAGAAAACACAATATTTCGGTAAAAATGGTCATCTTCGACCAAGCGCTCCTGAGCCCAATCCGCGAACCGAAAAGGCATAAACCGATAGCCATGCGGCTTAAGCTGCTAAACCAACTGAATCTTATATGGCCTTAGGGCCTTAGACGGAGGTTTTTGCTTAAAATCCGTTGCAGGAAAGTCCGCGAAATGTCCAACTCTAGAGCACGGTGCCGAATCGACGTCGACGGATTGTTATTGACAATTTCGGCCACTGCAGCGATATTTTCGACCGACCTCTCTAGATGAGCATATAAACGTGTTATTTTATCCATCAACGATCCCGTCTCATGCACACGCTTCACAAAACTATCCACAAACTGCCTGGAAGGCGCTATATTTTTTCCGAATTATGAACGCAATTTTCTTAAAGTTTCGGTTGAAGACTCTCTACTTTGGAAGACAGTTTTCAATATTTACCAATTTTCTTCGAGCGTAAACTTAACCATTTCGTAAGTCGCAAACCTTCTACTAAATATCTGACACATTGACAAAGACATATAAAATGTCAAAGTCAAAATTATCGATAGTTCAAAAAGCAAACGCTACATGGGCCATGTTACGATTTATGATTCGGGCTATTCACATATTACGTAATCACCTAGGGGGAGAGTGAGTCGGCGAGTTGATTATATTTGATTATTAGAAGGCGTATGTTAAATGATTACGTAATAATTTTAAAAAAATAATACCCTTTTTCGGCTTGCATTCTGAATCCAAAAATGTGAATGTGCACGTAAAACATGCACACAAAAATGAGACTGCAAGCGAAATTAAATATGCCTTGTGGTTCATTCATACAAAAAAAAATTAGGTAGCTAAGCAATACGGGGTTCAAGCCTTTTTTTATGATTACGTAATAATTGGAGGGGGAGGTGAGTTACGCAAATGATTACATGAAGGAGGGTGCCAAAAATTTGGAAAACCGTGATTACGTAATATATGAATAGCCTTTTGATTTGACCTTGTAATATTTTTATACCCGTTACTCGTCGACTAAAAGGGTATATTAGATTCGTTGAAAGGTATGTAACAGGTATGTAAAAGACAGCGTTTCCAATCCCATAAAGTATATATATTCTTTATCAGGATTCATAATTCTACATGGTTTTGGGCGTTGCCGGCTGAAAACTCGTGGAACGATTCAGTGGTATCTATTAAATAAGTATTCTTAAGCTTACTAGCTTAACTTACTAGCTCTTATAGTTCCCGAGATTTTTGCATTTTTGGTTTTCCGGGTTATGTGGGCGTGAGGATGGGCGTGGCTAGATGGAAACCATCATAGAAACCTATATGCTTAAACCGAACTTTCTATCACTTATAGTTACCAAGATAGTAGCTTTTCTACAAAAAGCGAAAACCATCTTTCGAACTTGGTGGGCGTAAGAGTGGATGTGGCCGTTAATGGTACCACCTTGCGCTGGCATCTCAAGATTATGCATACTTAATCTCAACTTTCTAGCACTAATAGTTCGTGAGATTTCGGAGCTTTTAGTTTTTATTGATTTGTGGGCGTTAGAGTGGGCGTGACAGGATGCTGCGTTGGGACCTTAAGAATCTTCATACTTAATCTCAACTTGTATCTATTATAGTTCCAGAGATATCAGCGCTCATACGGACAGACGGACATGGCTTAATCGACTTTGCTATTGATGCTGATCAATAATATGTATACTTTATAGGGTTGGAAACGCTTCCTTCTACCTGTTACATACTTTTCAACGAATCTAGTATATCCTTTTCCTCTACGAGTAACGGTCTTTTTTGACAAAAGGTGACGCTTTTGCCATTCTAACTAGAAAAATGAATATTTTACAATTGTGAAAAACAGTAACGAGTATGTTATTTGTTGTTGTTTTGAACTTCTTTCTAACTTTTAGGGTGTTATACAGTAGTTGCAGTTATAATATATGGAAGTCGGAATGAGTCGTACCAAACTATTAATCATATAACCTTCATATAGATAGCACAGGATCCTTATCAATTGATCCTTATTTTAGCCTTCTTGCTTATGGTCGTTAAATTTAAGTTTTACTCAAAATAATGAAAATTATAAAGGAAAAAGGCTAACAAAATTATTTAAGGCCAATCAAGTTGGTTGAGTTATCATTTCTTCAATTATGTAATATACATACATACAATAGAAGTTAGAAGAATATATTTGAAATCTGACCTTTTTTCTGATCTTTTTTGTATTTTTGAGGAACTTAAATAAAACTTAAAAGATTTAGTATATTTAAAGTTTTGCTAATTATAATTTACCTTTTTGCTCACATATACTACCGGTGACTGACCTTTATTGTAAGTCGTGAAAACTAAATATAACTTGAAAGATTTAGTCCATTTCACGTTTAGTCGATGTACCGTGAACAAATGTTGCCCTGTAACCTTCTCCAGAAAAAGAAATACAGTCTAATTCTATTCAAAATTAAGATGAATATAAAATTAACAAATAAAAATATTACATTTTAATAGTACATGTTTAAGTTTACAAATTTACGCTTTTATGGTCTTTTTAAAAATAAAATGCTTTTACATTTCGATATGTTTCTTAATCTAAGTTTTTTGTAAAATAATAAATTAATAACAGCTCCAACATTATTAAAAAACTCAAATGCTTTGGCTATTTGGATTCCTTTTAGAATATTTAATAATTAATTATTTAGCTTAAATTATGGGGACGGAGAAACCTCCTTCTATGCATTAGCGAAGAAATGCAGTTGAAGTTTGTTAGACAAGTGCATGTTACATTCTTAAGTCAGGGTGAACAAACAATAAATGTAGTAGGTCTTAGATATATATATATATTTGTATGCCTATAAGCTTTTATTATAGATCTAGCGACGTTGGTTATATAATAATTGTACTATACCTTAGCTATAACGTGATGGCGCTAATATTACATGTGCATGTATAAGGTGTATCACTCACCGCCACTGACTTAGTTTTTACAGTAATACAATTGCAACAAATACTCTTCGCAAAATTATATTTAAATGCGCGTTTTTACAATTATTTGTGCATGCGGACTCATTTAAACTGATTTAACTATTGAATAAATGTTGATATAGTAGTATATATTTTAAAAGCACATTTACATATTTAAGATCCAGTTTTGAGGAAAAATTTAAGATAATACATAATTCACTGTTGAAAAATATTGGTGTTATCCCATTCAAGTTGATTGATATGAGCAAACCCGTTCTTTAAAGCTGATAAAAGAAATCAATATTACAAAATAAAATAACGGTTATTGATTAATAAATACTCTACCTTCTTCATCCTCAGAGTCAGAATTTTCTGATTCTGAACTATCCTCAGATGCAACATCTGCTTGCATCGGATTTATAGTTATAGTCAAAGCCGAGTCATCCCAAACCAAACCATCGTCAATGATCTAAATTTTTGGAAGGATATGAGTTGTTATGTGTGTTTTTTGTACTATAATCCATTTGAGAACAAAATATTTTTCTAATAACATAATTAAAAAGAAACAAGACCAAAACAACTTCTTATGTATATTATTCTTAAATGTATTTTAAAATATTTAGCAAGTGAAACTGCTTAAGGCTTAATTTAAAAATAAACAAAAAGTCCAGTGTCAAACACTAATAATGTTGGCGTCAAAAACCTTTTCTGTTTGTGGGAGATTCTTTTAAAATAAAATTGCTATCCGCTAGAAGACTTTGAATATTAATGCTTAACTCCAACTTTATACAATGTTTATATATTTTATATATTTTTTATATACTTTACAAGTAATAAGTTTAAAAACGGACAGTTTGTTGGTCAAGCAATGTAATAACATCATAACACACACCTAATTGATTATATGCCAATTTACATGCGAATGCTTATAAAAATGTTGTTGGCTTCCCAGTACTTCCATATAAATAGACCGATAGTCCTTTACCAATTCGAGTTTGCGAAAAAAATATTTGTAACGCTTTTAAAAAGATGTTATCTCAAAATTTTTTCAATTTTAATTTTACTTTCGTAAAGTAATATAATAATTCAGAAGTTTTAAAACATAAAATTCTTGAAGTAATATGAATTAAAAAGCTAAAATGTTTTTATATCACGGCAAGTCTAATATATTACTCTCTCCAATGCTCTGTTAACTAAAGACAGTATCCCATGCAACATATAATTTTGTTACAACCCCCATTAATAGTATTAAATTTAAATTTTCTCCAATATTAGAGGATAAAAGTTAATACATGCTGCATCGCAGCAATAAATATACTTACTTTAGGACATGGCTGGTGGCGGTCAGTATATTTATGGTTGTTCTTTAAACGTGCAATAGAAACACCACAGAGCAAAACGGCCAAAAAAACACTTACAAAAATGATGAGCATTGTAAGGTGTGAGCCGTCAGCTAAAAAATATATGATTTAATTTAATAAAATGTATAAAAAGTAATATAATGAGTTACCTTTATGTACAAAAGAACGAATATGAGATTTCGGTTCTTGCACATCATTTGTGTGCAGCATAGAATATGAGTAAACCTTTGAATCTGAAAAATAAAATAAATAAATATGTATATATTTTTAATATTACATTCGTAACGGAAACTCACCACTGGCCTGATTTTCATTGTCACTTATCGATCCTCTATTAAGATGATACGTTGATTCAGTGTTTGTGTTGCCAATATCATTTACATTTGATAATAATGACGAAGGGGGTAGATTTGTAGACTTAAACAATGTCTGTTTAGGATGCAGCACAGTGAGTGTCAGTGTATATTCTGCACTTTTGTATTGAGAGCTTAGCTGAGCACAAGAAAGCTTAAATACGCGATTTAGATAATAAGCAGGTTTCTTATTACTGTAAACAAGGGATCGTAACACATTTAAATAATTGTGAACCGTGTCTTTTCCTATCATTTCAACTCCATCCTTATTTATATTTGTCTTAATATCCATGCTAGACGACAAAGACTCGTCACCATCTATTTGAATTTCCTCATGATCCGGATTTAATGAAGGAAATACAACAACGCTACAAGAATCAAGATGATATTTTCCTTCCATTTTTCCTCTGTTTTTCGAAAGCGAGTCAATGTATATTTGGTCCAAAATGTGTACGCCCAATTTAATTTCTTGATATGATACCAACTTATTGGAAGTTCCTTAAAAAAATAATTAAAGAATTAAGCAAGCAGAAACAATATATTCGAAAACAACTGTAAGATGAAATATATTCAACTGTCGGTAACCTCATTACACATGTAAGTCCCTAAAACCTAAATTTTGAAAATTTCATAGGCGTAACAGATGTCATTGCGAGTTAATAAATATAACTTAGCGTATGCTTTATCCCAAAAGTGGAGCTACTATAAAAATGCTTATTTTATTGAATAACATTGGATAACTAATATTTAATATTAAGGGCACTCGCAAACTTTTAATAACAAGTGCTGAAACAAATTTTTTAAAGTTCCGCCTGTAGTTCTCCGTAAGTACTTGTCTAAAACTATTGCGATTTACGTACCAGATATTGATATTTTTGCGAAAACCGATTGCAGATCTTGTTGGTAGGCCTCCGGCTGTGAAATTGATTTTAATTTTTTAATAGTTTCTGACAAAGATGTAGTCATATTTTCATTTACCGACGCCGATCTGACATCAATATCAATACCGAGTGGAACTATTGGTTCGTTAACCATTATATATGTTTCAATTGGCGGTAAGCGAAGCGAACTTTCATTACCACAGGTTAGGGCTGTACGCATTTCTATGTTGCGGCGCCCTACGGTTGGGGTTTGTTTAATATTTATATACTGTATTTTACGTATCAGTTGTTCGATATCGTGTTTTGTTTTGGCTTCAATGTAGATTTCATTCATTTGAATGTTTACTTCAACGTGGGCGTTTACGGAGTCCGATTTTTTTGTGTGCAATTGCTTAGGCGATAATAAGTGCTCAGCACACGTGGTTCCACATTTAATGTCTTCGGTCGTCAAAACACCTTTCAGGGTGACTTTAACTTCAGAAATATCCCCAGTAAAACCATGTTTTAATCTATTTTCCAAACTCTGATAACAGGCACCGATAGCTAAAGAAGTATTAACTCCATGAGCGGCGTGTAATGGCCAATCGTCTATTACCTCTGGGTTGCTACGGCGATCTTCAATAGAATTTTCAAAACGCACACCATCAATGAATAAATCAACTTTGGCAGAGTCCTCAACATTAAGTACATAGTGATGCCATTCATTATCGCAAACCTCGGGTATTTTCCAACGCCATTCAGCGGGACTAAATATATTTAGATCGCCTTCGTTAAAGTTTTTTCTTAATAAAAGAATAAGCCGACAATTGCGAACAAATAATGCCATGTGGTGTCGGTTCAATTTGTGGTCATCAGCGCTGCATACAATATGCTCCTTAACATGTTTATTAGATACACCTTGACTATTATGCCGAAACATTGTAAGAATGCTAAAAGCATGTGTTGAGAAATCGTAATGGTCAATAATAGAGTCCGGAACCACTACTCCAGTGTTCCCATCAAAGTGAAATATGGGTTCTGCACCTTCGTCATAGCTTAGTTCTTTAGTCCATTCTGCACCATGTGGTAGAAGATCTATCATTTTTTTACTTGAAGAGCAGTTTGATATGTCCCGATCGCATCCGAAGGATATGTGTTTAGTCTAAAAATATTTTTCAACAGAAAATATTTGATCACATTTTACTCATTCACTCGTAGAGTAAAATAGTATAAATTATTCCTTGGAAATTATGTAACACGTAGAAGGAAGCGTTTCCAACGCTGTAAAGTATAGTAATTTCATTTTCTAGCTCTTATAGTTCACGTTGCGTAGGCATCCAACATTGTATGTTTTATAGTTCCTGAGATCTGTTCAGACGGACAGACGAACGGTCTTGGGTGTATTAAAACGACAAGATTATATTCTAGAATATATACTTCATATTGTCGGAAACGCTTGCTTCTACCCTTGACATACTCTTATATATAAGATATAAATTGCATGCATGTTACAAGTTTCACGGTTGAGTTTAACTTTTAAAGTTTATAAGGACCATGATCGATTCAAATGTATATTTCGGCTTACTTTAAGAGATATCGATGCTTGAATACTTAGGTCTTCATTCCTGCAAGAAATGTCACATAAGTCCAAGTGGGCATTGGGAAACAATTGCAGGCTTTCAGTGCTACCGGACTAGAAATAATAATATTATTTTTTTATGTAGTATGCCAACGCTATACATACCGTATAATCAATGCGTTCTGGCATGCCTAAAAATTTTGTTTCACAGACTCGCCGAACTTTAATGCTGACCATTATGGCGGCTGATTCTTTCATTGCACAATCATAGGCAACAACTGATAGGATGTGGTTATGTGATACCTTATGGGAAAGTGGCTCAGTATTTTTGATTGAACCCTCGTTATCTATTGAGAATGGTTCATCATTATTAAGTATCTCATATTTGCAAACATCGCCAAAAAGGGGAGTACAGTCCTTATCGGAAGCTTCAACCCGTAAGATCTCATTGTAAAGTCGCCCTTCGTCTACTTCAGTTACGTATGATGGTTCTAAGAATGTTGGTGCATATTCATTTATGTCAATAACAGTAATGTGGACATTCGCTGTATTTGAAGGTGTTCCATCGCAGTACACCGCAACTATTTCAAAATGATAACTTTTACGTTTTTCACAATTTAATGATCGACTTGCTTTTAAAATTCCGAGGTTATTAGCCAAATCAATCTGAAAAATAAACTTCAAGTGATATTGAATAAACAGTAAAAAAAACTTACCTCAAATGGAATCTCATGATACGGTTTTTTGAGAATATGAAAATTGCATATTTTTTCTTCGTCGACTTTAATTAATGGAGTTATTTCCACGAGTGTTTCGTTTTCTCGAATCAGACCATGATACGACTTTTCTAATATAATCTCTAAAAAATATAAATATTAAGAATGTAATTTGTTAATCTATTTGTAAAATATTATTTCGTATTTCCGGATCACTGGATGTGTCATTTTTATTTTGTGCGACGCCGACCACTTTATAGATCAGGTGCGGTGGACATTACTATGGGCTCTATAGTTTAGAGGATACCAAGTTAGAAATTTCAATGAATTTCTTGCGATGTTAACCTTATTAAATATATTTTTTTCATTTATAGTTTTTCTTAAGATTTTATAAGTTTTTTTTACATAGGACGTGTAGCAACAATCTCTAAATAGTTGGTATATGAAAACCTTAAACATCTGGTTGCAAAAGGTTTATGTTAGCCCGGATTTTTTTTTGAAAAAATTTTACGGAATGCATCACAATTGTACATATCTGTACGAATTTGTCAATGTGTGGACCGACTACAAACATGAAGTGCACCCGTTTCTAATGATTCTAAAGTATATAATAAATAATTACTAATGGCGGATAATAACGTTTTAAGCATGTGTTCCTTACAAAGTTAAGGCGTATTACTACCTTTTTGTGTTAAATATTCATCATCATTTTCACTTGAAGTTACAACTCCTGCAACCAGCACTGCCGGCAACAATACTACAAGGTAAATCCAGCAAAAGTATTTCAGCACGGTCATGGTCATAGATAAAGTTTTTCCAAACCAAAGACGTAATATTTATGTTACTCTGAAATGGAAAATAGATTTTATATCAAGATAGGATGGTAAACAAAACACAGAGCTTTAGGCTTTAGTTTCACTTACATACATACATAAGTCTGAATTCTTAAGGATATATATTTAGTTTATTAACAGAATAAGGCCAACAAAATCATTCTTAAGCTCGTTCGGGTCAATATTAGCGAAATAAATCCAAACATACCTTCATACATAAGTATGTATGTATTAACCATATGTACATAGTCTTTAGAGATACACATCGGTTACTTCACCCGGCACTTAGCCTCGTTTAAATACTTATACATTTGTATATATACAAATTATATTTATAACATATTTCTGATCTGTGACTAGTGATCAGGAAAAAATACATCATTAAGTCGGACAAGTCTTTTAGTTTAGTTTCACATTGTTAATACATGTGTACATATGTAAGTACATACAGTGGCTCCAAGCTTATTTCGTGCAAGAAAAAATCGAATTTTTAATTTGATACTGCTACTAAACCAGCAGAGGTATCAAAAAAATTTAAACGCAGTAATGTTAAGAATGTCGCATATTATTAAAATAATAACAAAAGTTTTTACTAATTTAAAAAACAAAAGAATTTTTCATACAAAAACTAAAAAATAGGGCAACTGCGACGCACAAGCTTATTTCGTGCAAGCACTTTAACGGTTAATAACTCTAAACTAGGACTTTTTAATCCATTTATTTTTCTTAATACTAGTAAAAATATATTAACAAAAGCATATTTAAAAGTTTTCGAGGCTGGGGGCACCCAAAAATTACGGATTAACGAGGATTTTCAAACTATGGCGCCACGAATAATAGTCAATAGTTTGTTGAGCAAAGCGAATTAGTCCTTAAACATTTTAAGGATGGGAAAACCCAGGAAATGGTTGCCTCAAGCCCTAGTACAAACCCATACATAACCCAAACGCTTTTTTACGAAAATCGGGGGGCAGAAAGGGGCGGTAATGCACCGAACTAAATTTTTAATGACCAGGAGGAGGTACGTATTGTCCCAAAAGTTATTTATTGTTGTTATTATTTTAATAATATGCGACATTCTTAACATTACTGCGTTTAAATTTTTTTGATACCTCTGCTGGTTTAGTAGCAGTATCAAATTAAAAATTCGATTTTTTCTTGCACGAAATAAGCTTGGAGCCACTGTACATAATTGTGAAAACTGCAATTGTATCTGAATCGTTCATAATTTAACAAGATTCACCATGACACTTTTTTTTATAATTTAAAAACAATCAACTCCCAATTTCTTTCTTCTTAACGCACGTTTTGTATGTATATGTACTACCCAAAAAAGGTATGTATATATGTATACAGTTTAACAACAATAACGTCAGCTGCATGCTGAAATACCAAAATGTTTTTAACAAGTGTATATATATCAATATATATTTATATATATAAGCATTCCGGGGTGTATATATATATGTAAATAGTAATGATATATATATGTACATATGCATGTGTTTGTATCTATAAGATACACATTCTGTAAAGGTTGTATGCCTTTTTTTCTGGTGTTTTTATTTATCATTGGGTCTCCTCTGTATATATTATTTTGCGAAAGATTAAATATATTAAATCTGCAGATAAACTGATTTTAATTTAATAGTCAAATCTTAATCAAAAACTATGGGTACACTAAAGCAAAAGCCAGAAAAAAATCGATAATATGTTACTTTACTTCGTTTCTCACTTCTTGTCAGTAAAAGAGCAGCTCTTTGTTTATATAAAAGCAACTTTAAGTTTAAATAAAATTTCCTCAATATCCTAGTTGTTTATCCGACATTTTTAGATACTTGTATAAAATATATCAATCTTAAAATGAACTAAAAAATACCTCTGTGCAGGGCTGAGCAACCAAATGTTATCTCTTCAACAGAATCTAAACATGAAACTTATTTTTTCGAGACCTTGTTCAGACTGTTAAGGCTCTGTTCGGAATTTTAGTATTTTTCTTTTTGTCTTTCTCCAAAAAATATTGAAAATAGATATCAATGACAACTGAGGTTATTCATCCTTATGCCCTTTTAATTTTTTATTCTAATATTGAAATACATGCAATGTATTTTCCAAAAAAAATATTTAAGTCAGTATATTCTGAAACTTTTACATACACATATATGCGGTATGTAAACCTTTGCGTCAAATGTGTTTTGTAACACAGTTGCTAATATATAGTTTTCTGTAATAATAAAATTGCAATAATACCTTTTACAAAAACTTGTTCAATAGGAAGATACAAGCTAATTTTGAGATTTAACATCAATTTTATTAGAAAAAGGACAAGGGCAGGTATTCATTTTATACGTCTGGTTCTAAAGGGTTCGCTTATATGACTACTTAATCATATAGCAAGTCTTGGCTATAAAGCAATACAGCTGACAATGTAATACTTATGTCCGAATCCATTGCATTTACATTTTCATAGATGTATGTTTATAATTTAACTTAAAATAAATAAATAATTTATTAATAAAATTAATTATTAATCCTGTTTAAATAAAATAAACATACATTTTTTTTAACTTTTAACATTAACGGTTTATGTATTTACTAAGTAGTATATACATTTTTCTTTCTTGCATTTAAGTTAAGAAACTGAAACTGAAAAAAGTATAAAATAGGCATTTTCAATAAATAAGCACTTTTTGTCTTCCTAAAGCTTAAAGCTCACGTTTAGTATTTTTTGTTATAGGGTGGGTTTGTATTTTTATTAGTGGTGGTCAGCCATACTTCAATTCTTAAATGTCCTGTCGTAAGCAATAATTTCTGTTGTTAAACCTTTAAAGCTTACTACTAAGAGTTACGGAATGTAATTTTTGCTACATAGCCGACATCGAATAATGGTAAAACGCTCTTTATACTTTTGCGGATTTAATACATTTGTTCTTATTAGATTAAAAAGAAACGTGGAACCATAATAAAGAGAAACACAATAGAGCAATATATCCTGAACAGAATATGTATTTTATACATAATATTTTCAACACTCATAATTGCGAATGCCTTGCCCCCTGTAATACGCGTAGGTAAGCGTACATAAATATTTCTAAGATTCTAAGATCGACAATTACTGATGCTCAATTAATAGGTGCAATATTTGCCGAAGATGAACGTGAAAGCAGTGTCGAATCGGCCTTTAAATATGCAATTTATCGTATTAATAAGGAAAAAACACTTCTTCCTAATACACAACTTGTGTACGATATTGAATATGTTCCCAGAGATGACTCTTTTCGCACCACCAAAAAAGTGTGTCGCCAGTTGGAAGCAGGTGTTCAGGCAATTTTTGGTCCGACAGATGCTCTTCTTGCTGGACATGTACAATCCATATGCGAAGCTTATGACATACCCCATATTGAAGTTCGAATCGATCTTGAAAATAACTCTAAGGAATTGTCAATCAATTTGTATCCGTCGTACACTCTCTTAACTCTAGCTTATAGAGATATAATGGTCTACTTAAACTGGACTAAGGTGGCAATTATATATGAAGAAGATTATGGTAAATATTATTATAATATTCCTCGTTAAAATTTTTTTTTTTGGTAAAAAATCATTTGTAATATTTTTAACAAAGGCAGCTTTGTGAGTTTATCAAATATCCAAAAGTCACAATTAGAAAATTAGTCGATTAAATTGACAAAAATTACATTTATGTAACTTTATATGTATAAACAAATTAAACTTGTAAATGTGTCGCTTTCTTTCCTGTTATAAAATTATATTTATAGATATTTAATTACATCTGGATTATGAAATTCAAAAATGGAATTTAAAGATAAACGTTGATTTCTTACGTTACAGTTGGACTGCCTGATTTCTTAATAAAATTACACTCTTCATTTTAATTTATGTTTAGCTTTCGTAGCTATAAATAAATTTAGTTCGCTTGAGTGATCTATTTAAATGAATTGTACTTCAATTTTTCGGCCAGGACTTCCTGCTTAAAATAAAAACGTTCATACCTAACCACACAAAAACATCGAAATGTAGTTCTTATAAATATTTTTCTTATATATTCTTTTTTAAGGACTTTTTAACTTGATGCACTCATCCACAGAGACGAAAGCTGAAATGTATATAAGGCAAGCCAGTCCAGAATCCTATCGTCAAGTCTTACGAGCAATCCGTCAGAAGGAAATTTACAAAATTATAGTGGATACAAATCCATCCCACATAAAAACTTTTTTTAGATCTGTAAGGATTTTTGAATTAACATGTTTATATACATATACACATGCTAGTGCTATACATAAACACTAAGTTGCAGCAAGAAGTTACGCAATAGTGCCAATTGCAGGGATAATGGTGACCCCTTACTTTGTTAACCATTTTCAAAAGTATTGGGCTAAATAAACTTGAAGCCATTTCCTATTTTACAGACAGACGCCACTACCTATGTAAAGCTTTATATCCTTAATTTCTTTATTAACTTTGAAATTATATTAAGAGTACAAATTTTTCAACATCTGCCTACTTAAGTTTAATTAGTTACCGAGATCTCGGCGTTTATACGGAGTCCGAAAAGCTTTCTTTCACCTGTTACATACTTTCCAGCGCAAATAATACACTCTTATGTACTGCAACTAACTGAATAAATTATTCATTTCATTTCATTTCATTTTCGATGAACAATATATAAATGTTACACACCATAGAAATGTATCTTTCTCCTGTTTAATATGCATTTTTTTAAATCTAAACTTAATATTTTTTTTTATATCTTAAACAAATAATTTATTAAAAATCGCAACTTATGTTTCCATTCCATAATTTTAAGAGGTACCCAACGAAACAGCGTTTTAAGTATAAATTCGTATTGATAATATGATTATTATTTTCAGATTTTGCAACTTCAAATGAATGATCACCGATATCATTATATGTTCACAACATTCGTAAGTACATAAATAATAAGTGATTATTGCTGAAAAGAAATTATTTTTGGTCTATTACATAATTTGTCAGAACATTGTTTAAAGCCTACATATATAAACAACCTTTCAATTTTTTTGCAGGACTTGGAAACTTATGATCTAGAGGATTTCAGATATAACAGCGTGAATATAACTGCATTTCGTTTGGTCGATGTCAATAGCAAAAGATATCTTGAAGTTATTGATCAAATGCAGAAATTACAACATAATGGATTGGAAAATATCAATGGAATTCCTTATATACAGGTAAACAACTAAATGCACTCAAAAGCCTACAAAAAATGACCCAATTTTTCCATATTTTTAGACAGAGTCCGCCCTAATGTTTGATTCTGTGTATGCGTTTGCGTCTGGGTTGCACTTTTTAAATTTAGATGGTCCTCCTAATTTTTCTATCAAAAATCTCTCCTGCACCTCTGATCAAACCTGGGAAAATGGGCTTTTATTGTATAACCACATAAATACAGTAAGTTTTATTATTTTTATTTATCGTTAAAGAAGTAAATACTTTTTTTTCAAATTATAAATATAAGATAAGATATTTAAATACTATTTCTGATGAGATATATATACAAATAGTTCTCTATTATTAGGCTGCCAAACAATACAATAATAAACCAAATAACTAACATTTCAGGCCATTACAGACGGATTAACAGGCAATATTAATTTCGTGGAGGGCCGCCGAAACAATTTTAAACTTGATATTCTGAAATTGAAGCAAGAGAAAATTCAAAAGGTTGGATATTGGCATCCAGTAAGTGGTGTTAACATCTCGGACCCAACAGCTTTCTACGATTCCAATATTGCAAATATAACATTAGTTGTTATGACAAGAGAGGTGGGTTTTAAAAAATGTTTAATGGTAAGAAAGGATTAATAGTTAAACTACATAAAATTTCCCATTGCTTAAATTCACAAATGCTTAATCTGTAGATTTTGTTGTGTTTATAGTAACTTTATTTTAACTTAATGTCTTTGTGGAACGGTCAAGTGTTATTTACCCACTCTCTCCCTCACTAGTGCGTTTATCATTGCCGTGGAAACGCCAAAAACGATTAGTCCTAAACTAGGAGCGCATTGGTCGATGTATAACCATTACTTTGTTAATGCACTAATAGCCTGTGTAGATTAATGCAAATTGTTAGCCATCAATATAAACATCACTCAATTTCTGAATACGTGGATGGACTCTTCTTCCGCAATAAAGGGTTAGAATAAGATTTAAAAGCATTTGTAGCTGAGTAACTCGGCCTTAAAATGCCGATTTCGGAAAGTGAAGTGTTAAAGTAAAGTAAGTAATTTTATAACCATCACAGTCATTGCGAGAGAAATCGCATTGAGGTAATTCAGTAGGCTGGCAGTGGCGAAATATGTGCTGCAGATGACTGCATTTTGATGTGAGGTAGTGGTTAACATTAACTTATTACTTATTCTTAAAACTAATTATGAATGACCAAAAACTTAATACAACACGTAGTTTTTATACCGCATTATATTCCATTTTGGTTTGTTAATTTTATAAGAAAGTTTATTACATTAGTATCCTTTTAATTTATTTCTAGGAACGGCCATATGTTATGGTTAAAGAAGAAAAAAATCTTACAGGAAATATAAGATTTGAAGGATTTTGTATAGATCTTCTTAAAGCGATCGCTCAACAAGTTGGATTTCAGTACAAAATTGAATTAGTTCCCGATAATATGTACGGTGTTTACATACCAGAGACTAATTCATGGAATGGAATTGTACAAGAGTTAATGGAAAGGGCAAGTACATACATATATATATACAAACACAAAAATTTTGGTACTAAAGTATAGATAAATTATATTTCTACCCGTTATTCCTTCAGTAGGAGTGCGTACTGTAGGTAGAAAAAAGGCGTTGCCGGCCATATAAAGTACGAGGTGTGTTCAAAAAGTAAGGTGACTTTTCAAATTTCTCGGGCAACATATTTTCGATTATCGTTTTTTTTGTTTTGTTATATTGGTACACTCTTCCCTAACATCTGTACCAAGTTTCAATGGAACATCCTCTTTTGTTTGGTTGTGAGAGGCGTAAAGTTACAAGTTATTTTGCGAGCTCGGCGATTTTTTGCTTTTTTCGGTCTTGGCTCGTCTGGGCTCTTCCATTGGGACGATTGGGCTTTGGTTTCGATATCATAACCATATACCCATGATTCGTCACCAGTTATGACCCTTTTGAGTAAATCTGGGTCGTCGTTGACGTCATTCAACAGCTCTTGAGCGATGCTCATGCGACGGTTCTTTTGGTCAAAATTCAGCAATTTCGGAACAAACTTCGCTGACACACGACTCATACCCAAAACGTTTGAAAAAATTTCATGGCACGAGCCAAGCGATATACCGACATCTTCAGCAACTTCTCTGATAGTGATTCGACGATTTTCCAAAACAATTTTCGTCACTGCTTGAACGTTTTCATCAGTTGTTGACGTGCTTGGGCGTCCAGAGCGAGGCTGGTCATTGGCATCTTCCCGGCCATCTTGGAAGAGTTTGTACCACTTGTACACATTTTTTTACTCAGAACAGTTTCACCGTATGCCACTGTCAACATTTCAAGTGTTTCAGAGCACTTAATTTTATTTTTTACACAAAATTTGATGCAAATCCTTTGATCCATATTTTTCGATAGCAAAAAATCGCCGAGCTCGCAAAACAACTTGTAACTTTACGCCTCTCACAACCAAACAAAAGAGGATGTTCCATTGAAACTTGGTACAGATGTTAGGGAAGAGTGTACCAATATAACAAAACAAAAAAAACGATAATCGAAAATATGTTGCCCGAGAAATTTGAAAAGTCACCTTACTTTTTGAACACACCTCGTATATGTATATTCTTCATTCCATATCCGCCTGTCCGTGTAATCAACGTGTCGAGTCTGACAAATTGGGAACGTTAAGGGATAGGAAGTTGGTATCAGCCATGCTGACTTAAAGTATAAAGTCATACTTTGAAGCTATACTGTACATGTGGGGTGATATAGAATATTATAAATTAGTTAAATTTTATATGATTGAGATACATTACACTTTATTATTGAGAGTCATCTATATATATATTTATTTCGAAGCACTCGACTATAGAGTTCTTTATTGTTTTTCATTATAAACTCTTAATAATAATTACTTCTCAGCGTGCTGATCTGGCTGTAGCTTCAATGACAATTAACTACGCTCGGGAGAGTGTTATTGACTTTACAAAACCATTTATGAATTTGGGCATTGGTATATTATTTAAGGTAAATATATATAATTTTCCTTTTTTAAATATATGTATATATAGTAATGCAAACTGTAGTCTTATGGATTTAAATTTTGAGATTCCCCTCACATATATGGCATAATTTAATAGGTGCCGACAAGTCAACCTACACGACTGTTCTCCTTTATGAACCCTTTGGCAATCGAGATATGGCTTTATGTGCTAGCTGCTTATATATTAGTATCTTTCGCGCTCTTTGTGATGGCTCGATTTTCTCCATATGAGTGGAAAAACCCCCACCCATGCTACAAGGAAACGGATATAGTGGAAAATCAGTTTTCCGTATCAAACAGTTTTTGGTTTATAACAGGAACATTTTTACGTCAAGGATCCGGAATTAACCCTAAGGTATACACAACCATAGTCTTTGATGTATAAATATTGGAATGCTTGTATATAATTATGTCCTTATTTTATATTGACCGCAATGTAAAAAGATAATTAAATTATTTGATGCTGTTTTTTAGATTTCAGATCGAGCTCAAACGAAATTTTTCTCCTTCCTTTCTCCACTTGCCGTTGAAATTTGGTTTTATATTGCATTTGGATATATTTTTGTATCAATCTGCATTTGGATTGTCGCTCGATTATCACCGATCGAATGGGTTAATTCAAAGCCACCGTGTTCAAGAGCTTGTGACCATATATTGCGCGAAATTCAAAAAGAAAATTGTTTTGATGAACAATTGGAATTAACAAACCGGAAAACTAAGTCAGAAAACTATGCTGAATATTTTAATGCAAACAACAAAATAAGGAAATCGATTGATGATGTTGAACATAATGAAACTTTATGTGGACATGTTACATTACCTTTGCCTCTATCTAATGATGCTGAACATGATGCTTTGGATAATAATACAGTGGATTTAGTTCAAATACAAAACAATTTTACATTAAAAAATAGTTTTTGGTTTGCCATTGGTGCTCTTATGCAACAAGGCTCTGACTTATATCCTAGGGTACGAATATTTCATTATGTTTTTAGAACAGTGCATAACAAGTAAAGAATAATTACCTGAAAATGCTAATTCAAAGGTCATGAAAATAATTTTATAATTTGGTTATTATGAACTGCATGACGTAAATAAATTTACGTGTGGTTTTTATTGATTGAGAATATGTCTTTACAGTTAAACTTAAAAAACTGAATTTGCCCTAAACGAATAAATGGGATATTGCTGGAGACAAACTGTGTATCACCAGCCTTTTAGTTTGTATATATTCTAACCATGATAACTATATAAACATTTTTATCTATGCCGAAAACTCTAAACGATGGTTATTGTATTTTTGATGCAATGCTAAAAACAATGCGTAAAGAATCTCTTAATAAGATTTTTTTTAATTTCTTGAAGAGTGGGAAAGAGGAAAGACGATTTTCGGCTTTCCATTATTGAATGTGCAACTGTTAAACCTCAATACGTTTAGACCTTGTTGAATTGTGGAATAAGTAGTCTTGCTGTAGAAGAATATTGATAAGTTAAGGAAGTTACAGTAAATATATTACATTTAAGGTAGTGGTGTTACAGAGAATTCTGATCCTTTTTGAACTGTTTGCTTGAAATACAATCAAAAGACACAGTTAGACTTTCAGATTTTGAAAACGATTCAACAATTTGCGAATTAAGTGTAATTTAAATGTTTCATTTGCTTTCCGGATTGTTTTGTTGTATTAATTTTTAATGATAGTATTATATCAATATATTAATAAGAAGAGACCCGTAAGATAAATATAAAAATATGATTATCTTTTTAGGCAACGTCGACCCGTATTGTTGGTGGATGCTGGTTTTTTTTTTGCCTGATAATTATATCATCATATACCGCAAACTTAGCTGCATTTTTGACAGTTGAACGAATGATTTCACCAATAGAAAGCGCGACTGACTTGGCCGAGCAAACGGAAATATCATATGGAACTTTGGAAGGTGGATCAACAATGACATTTTTCAGGGTAATTATTTTAATTGATGACTTTAATTTTTTTTTTTTTTTGTATTATTCATAAGTGTTACTAGTCGTAGTTGTAAAAAAAAGTTCGATATAACCAAAAGATACATAAAGAAAATAAAAAAAATTTGACTCTGCTTATAATCGTTATAGCTCGAAACATCGTATAATTTTGCTAGCAACAATTGACGGCATACACAATTTACAAGCGCCAATTATTTCAATAACAATATAAAACATGTTTAATGACTGACGGTGAAGTCCCCAGTCTAATTAATTACAAATCTTCCAATTTAACAAATTTTATTAGCATTATTATAATTATTATTAATTTTAGGTACAAAACTACTTGAAGTTTTGTTTTAGTCTTTCGCGTTTTAAAGGGGGTTAGAATGGACTAGGTATCTAACATACGTATCGATGAAAATAATATATTGTTTTACCTTACGTGTAACAAAAATAATTAATATTATAAGGCCTTACATAAGTTGCGAGATCACCGCCAGTTGATATATATATGCCGTAGTTCAAGGTTTTATCAGATTGCTTTTTAAAAATAGGTCTAGAGTTTTTTGCGGCTAGTATGTTATTTTGAAATCAACAAGTGGGTTAAGAGAATAATAGGCATCTGATAGTCGCAGGACTTAACTGTGTCATATATTTTTGTTTTCATTTAGATAGATCAGGAAATTTTAAGGTGTTAAAGTGACTAAGTCTAGTGAACTATTTTTTTACACTTATATAATTACTTTAAATTTAATTGCTTTTTTAATTAGGATTCTAAAATTGGTGTATATCAAAAAATGTGGCGTTATATGGAAAATCGTAAGTCAGCTGTGTTTGTTAAAACATACGAAGATGGTATTAAAAGAGTAATGGAAGGAAGCTATGCGTTTTTAATGGAATCTACCATGTTGGATTATGCTGTTCAACGTGATTGCAATTTAACCCAAATAGGAGGATTGCTTGATTCTAAGGGCTATGGAATCGCCACACCCAAAGGTTCTCCGTGGAGAGATAAAATTTCTCTTGCCATTTTAGAGCTACAAGAAAAAGGTATAATCCAAATTTTATATGACAAATGGTGGAAAAATACGGGTGATGTTTGTAACAGAGATGATAAAAGCAAGGAGTCCAAAGCAAATGCACTTGGAGTAGAAAATATAGGTAAAATTTATTTACGATCCTTTATAAAACAGTCAATAAAAAAAAACAATATATTATTTTAGGTGGCGTTTTTGTTGTTCTTCTCTGTGGGCTTGCACTTGCCGTTGTTGTGGCCATATTCGAGTTTTGTTGGAACTCCAGAAAAAATATGAATATCGAAAATCAATCATTGTGTTCAGAAATGGCACAGGAACTTCGTTTTGCAATGCACTGCCATGGATCGAAAACACAGCACAGACCACGAAAACGGAGTTGCTTGAAATGCACTTCTGGACCAACATACGTTCCAAGCAATATGAGTACGCCAAACGTAGGCGTTCACTATAATTATTTTAATTAAATGACAGCCTACTAATATAGATTACTTCTATCAACTTAATTATTATTTCATGAATTCTGAAATTAAAAATAAAATTAAAGTTTAAAACAAAGTGTAACTTACATTGTTGGTATTATTAGCAATGACGATATGGTGATATCTCTGGCAAGTGGATATAATCTTATCTAATAATCTATTGACAAAAAATGTTATACAGATCAAACCAAAACATAAATTTTAATATTAAATATTGGGTAGAGCGAAGCTGAATGATAAAATAAATTTCAGCTGCGGTGGCATTGAATATGTACATAAGCTTAATACCAGCTCTTAAAGTCGTACTTATGGTTCCTGATAGTTTCCTTTGACCTAAAAGTTCCTTTGGACTAGTGGTCTTACCATGAACAGGAACATGGCTGAAATTCAAGTCAGACCATAAACTGAGCAAAATGGTATGAATCCCGCTAATTCGCGAACAGATTCTGAATTAACTGTGGTGATTAGCTAGCCATCGAAAATATTTGACTTTATATTTGTTTATTTGTAGATGTTTATTAGCTGACGGCTGACATGGAATATATTAAACGCAAAAAGTTTCAGTAAATTTATGTTTTAAAAAAACCACAGCCACAGTTTTCGCGGTTGATTGTAAGCTAAGAATTTTAAGAATCTGTGCAAACAGCACAAATATTTTTTCTTTTGCTATATTTCTTTAAGGTTCAACGCCAACCCTAATTAATAGGAATTACCTAGGGTTACAATATCCGTATATCATTTTATTTTGTTACAATTTATAATGTACAGCATATTTTACAATAAAAGATTTTCTTAAATTAATGATGCATTATTTTTATAATTTCGATTTATTAAACATCAACCATGCGTAGATATCCCCAGGACTTTGTGAATGATGTATAATTGGTTACTTATACATTTCGTTTATAAATGTTTGTTTTCATCATGTCTATTGTCCGTTTTTTAAATTTTATAAAATTTTTAATTATTGTCGCAGAACTTACAATTAAATTGTTTATGTATTTAATATAAGCATATAAGCATGTCCAAGTGAATTTTTAATATGGCTTACAGTTAACAACACATGTAAATTGTTTACGTCATCAGAGTAAATTTTTAATGTAATTTTGTATAACTCAACTTAGAGGTTAGTTAAAACTGTATAGTCTAATAAATTTAAACTCCTTTCGTTAAATATAAATAAATTCATATTGATCAAAATGATATTGCTATAATAAACTAAAATATAAACATTTATTGTGCTGATAAAATATAATAAATGATGAACTTAACATACAAATTTTGATTTGAACAGTAAGTTAGATTAATAAAGGATCTAAATAAAACCTCACTAAATATGACGATACATATATGTATGTATGCTCACATAAACAGTTCATGCTAAACGAATACAGAGCACCTTTTTTTTTAAAAAAAGTTTGTATATAGTTCGATATGTTAAATATTACACGATTTTTGCATATACCTTGCTTAGTAGGCTAGTCTAAACCACGTAGCCATACTAGATATTTTCAAAACTTTGATTAAATCAGTGTAATGTATTTGTAGCGTTTTTTTTTTGTTCTATTGTTTTTTATTTTCTAGATTGTTGACACGTTTTAACAAGCTATTCTTGTTTTAATAAATATGTATAACCAATGGAATGGATAGAAGAAGACAGAACAAATAGGATACAAAGTCTTCAAAGTGTCGATTGTTTTTCTTATTTATTGTCTAAATTTCTAATAACAAAAGTTTTTGTTATTGAGCTTGGGTTCCAAAATTATTTGACACCAGTAATTTAATAGCATATTTTTGTTTTACATTAGAGTTATGTTAGTTATTTGTATACGCGACTGAAAAGTAAAATCTACTTAAAGATCGTGATATGTTTTCAGTAATGTTTAGTAAAACATTAGCTTTACATCATTTTTAACTAGGTACTTCCGTGAATGTGGAACTTTAGCAATTAAATGCTTAATATTATTTCCGAAATACAGAATTATTTTGACTATAAGCCCATAAAATCTTATTTGCGATTGATTGTTATTGGCTGGAAGCATTTTGTTAGTTGAATTTCAAAAGTATCATTACTATTTACGTATTATGTATTGTTCATCCTCAAAACTATCAATTGCTCGAGCTATTAATGTGTGCATCTTTATAGTTTGTGCTATTAAGAGTTTTTTTAAAGAAAACGATTTTGATATATAACACCAATGCGAAAAAACAAACGGAGCTAAAGTAATCATAATCATCATAATAATCATTTAGCCTCAATTTATACTTGATTCAAATTATTATGTCGGTTAATGAAATGTTTTGAATGTATTCTAACTTAATAAATATAAAGATGCACCTTAAGTAAGTAATTTATATGAACATATTGACATGTGGAATTTGTCTATAAACATACAGCAAAATATTAATAAATGGTGTTAAATCGTTGATTCTCTACACATGTAGTTTAAACCAATTCGAAGACATTTAAATTCGCCATAAGTTAGTCAAGTTTGCATATACACTTTTATAAACAATGAGATGTATTTACACTTTGTCTTCAAGTTACTAAGAGATAAGGTGGAATTTATAATAAAGAGATTCATTAAACATTGTGGGGCTTAGGTTAGCTCGTTTAATAATTTTCGAAGTCGTATAGTCCCAGCTCAAATTTATCAGTTTCGGGTATTTGTTTATTAAACAATTTTAATTGATCGGAACTTTCCAAGGATGTAATATAATTGTAATTATGTTTGTTATTGTAGTCTTCAAATTTATCCAGTTGGGAGTGAAAACCATTTCTTTTAGAAGTAATTTTGTTTTTTGTTATTCCTTGTGGCGACGTTTTGAAATTCCATGTTATTAATCCTCTTAGAAAGCGGTGAAAATGATCATTTATTTGCGGCTTTAATGTAGAAAAATTAAAATTATTACATTTTTAGGAACCAATTAATTATTATTATTAATTAGTTAATATCACAAAAAAAAAAACGATCAATATATGTTTGTATGTTTATTATTTAATATCGAAAGCAATCAAATCAAGTACGCTCAATAAAAAAGTATTTAATCGGAAACGCTTCCTTCTACCTGTTACATACTTTCCAACGAATCCAGTATACCCTTTTTTACTCTACGAGTACCTGATATAAAAAGTTATTCGAGCCATTAAGCAATTTAAAACGTATTATAGATCAGTTTATATTTTCGAATTTGTATTAAATAAAATATTGGGTATTGAGCTTTCTTTCTAGCATGTAAATCACAGGTATTTTATGTTGCAAAGATCTTTGGATCTTATGAAAATGGAATCACTCCAACCGTTTTCTCTGCTACGGTACAAGACCAAATGTAATGTAATTTAAAAAGGCTTTTATATAAAAAAAATGTAATTAATAGTTACCTCCTTTAGAAATGATCGATTTCGCTCTCTGAAGTGTGATTTTCGAATTGGGTATGTCCTTGGAATACCAATAACAGAAACATCTTTTTCAAAAGAATCGCTTGAAAACAGATCAGTTGCTGGAATCTTAATTCGTGCAGATCGATTACTTCCGGGAAAAAGTCCTTTAAGTTCTTTATTAGCTTGAATTTCCTTTTTATTGTAAGCAGGGGAATTGCCGATTCGGCGCGTGGTTGCTCTGACGCTGGTTTTATATCCATTTTTATTACTTTTATCACCTTGTTCATTTAATATTGAGATGCGATTATCGTCACTATATTGGTAACTATTTCCGTCAGGACTTCGATTTTCGTCCATTAATATCGAATCAGGAAAGCTACCGGATTGCGGATAATAATTCGCAAGTATGCTGGTGATTTGAATTATTATAATTTTTTGTTTTTTTTTATTTTGAAATTTGCCATTATACTTACTTTTTTCCATTAGTAATTTCTTTAAGTGCAGCAGCACGTGCTGCCAACTCCTCGTCTCTACGTTGCTCTGTTAATTCCTTAGCTCGCTCAGTCCAGATTAGTTCTTTAAGTCTTTGAAAACTGCCTTGTATAGCCACAGAATCTTTATTTTCTTTTGTATTAGTTCCAGTACCACCATTTGGGACTCCCATATATCGATGTTTACTTGATCTACGTGATGAAGAAGAACCTCCGTTTTGTGGCCGAGTTTCAGCTCCATAATAACGAGATTGACTTGAACCGGGAGCATTTAATCCAACTTCAGCCAATCTTTGATGGTGTTCAAGTGGAATGCGTTGTGGTGTATTTGGCTCTCGGCTTACAACACGACCAAAGACGGGCGACCTGGCTCTTTCTCTAGCGCTCATTCTTAGTCTAATAACAATAAAATAAAATGAAAGAGTGTGAGGCAAAAATTCAAAAATATTACAGTAATTTTTTAAATAAATGTCTAAACTGCAAATTAGAATTACATATTACGTATTACATATTACAATTACGTATTCATATAATAACTTCGTTGTCAAGGTACTCTACCAATACTTACTACTACATTTTATTAAAAATAAAAAAACAAGAAGAAACGCTATATTCGATTGCCGCGACTATAAGATAGCCGGTACTGTTTTACACAATTGTAAAATATTCATTGTGCTATTGGAAATTCACAAAGCGTCACCTATTGTCAGAGAAAGCATGTTGAGTAACTGATTGTGACGTCACTGTCCATGTGAGGCCTTAAAACCTAAATTTCTTCATAAATAGCGAAAGATTTTACCGATTTAAAAAATCTTTGGTAAATCGATAGATATTGACGCCCTCCTTTACGCCCACCAAGCTTGAAAGATGGCATTCGCATTTTGTAGAAAAGCTGACATTTCGGTAACTATATGTGATAGAAAGTTTGGATTAAGCATGTATGTCCTTATGATGCTCCAAATGCTAATTGTTTTTTCCCATCTAGCCACGCCCACCTCAACGCTCACAAAACCCGGAAAACTAAAAATGATAGAAAGTTAGGCTTAGAAATACGTATTTAAGAAATTCCCCAGCAGCTTTGAGTGAGTTTTTATCCTGCCACGGGTACTCTAACGTCCACAAACCGAGAAAAACTGTGGCATTCATAATATATTAATGTATTACTTCCTTTGACCTTGTATAACATTTTTATCAGTATTTATCTATTTACCAAATATATTTTAAGTCGCTGGTTATAAAGAAATTTAGGTTATAAGGCCTGACATGGACAGTGACGTCACAATCAGTTAGTAATCATGCTTTTTCGACAAAATGTGGCGCTTTGTCAATTTCCACTATCAAAATGAATATTTTAAAAAATTGTGTAAATCTGTAAAGGGGATCTTATAGTCGCGGCACTCGACTATAAAGTTTCTCGTTTTTAAATAGGTTTAAATAGGCAGGCATTTAAAAAATCTGCATGATAAATCCTAACTTTCCAGTTTTTATAGTTCTTGAGAACTCAGCGATCAAACGGATATGCAAAATTGACTTTGCTACTGATCCTCACACATTTTACCTTTTTACTTTACCTGTAATTGGTGAAAATACTACATGGGTAAACACTTACGATCCCAATATTCTTGAGTTTAATAAAAGAGGTTCCCAAACATTATAAGTAAAAGGATCCCGATACGTTGGTATTTCATTCGTGATTTCTGCGGCTCGGGATTGTCTTTTTGAAAAACTATATGAAAAAGTTTAAATTATTTATATTTTCTTTGAAGTTTAGTTTAAAATAAACTTACATCCACATGGCTCGAAGTTGTTCACATGTTGGCTCCTGTGAGTTAAGTGAAAATGTTTTTGGCACAAAGACTTCTCCTACTGTCCTTACACCACCGGAACTTAGGATATGTGAAGATTCTTCATTTTTTATTCCGTTATTATTATTTAAATTTCTTTCCCGACTGCGAGCGCTAAGATAGTTTGCATTTCCAGCCCTGACAGTTGCCAATATTACCAATACATCTAATTGTATATACTTAATCTGCAATGAAATAATTTTTGTTAAATATTTGCGACTTAATAATGGCTTTACACACTTAGGCGCCATGAATTGTATTTTCTTCTTGGTATTCTCTATTTCTTTTTGGGGTATGTTAAATTGCTAACTATGTTTGCAAATGACACTCTCAGCTTAAATATAAATATTGAGACAAACTAAGCTTTTCCAACCAACCAAAATTATAATTATCACTATGTATAAACTTCCAACATTTTTTTACGTTTTGCTGAGAAAAACTAAAAATACTTGGAAAGAAAAAATGTACCATCTGATTATTTGTTCGGATTTCCATCCTTCATTAACTACGATATACCGCTTTTTTTAATACTTACCAATATGCGGCTGCAATGCATTTTCCCGTTGTTATTTTAAAATTCTGAATGTTCCAAATATATTATCGCCTCTGTTAAGTGCATCGGATTAATATATGTTTGAATACGTGGATATCCCTGTCATTTCGGAAGAATTTCGATAAAAATGAATAACTTTTATATAATAATGCTACAAATTTTAAAAAATGCATGCATAAATTTAAATGTGAAATGAAAAACGTTTTGGTACTCAATATCAGTTTATTGTTTGAATTTAAACTTCGGGTTTCGAATTTAATAAATCTTTTAGGCATTCCAAAGCCATAAGAAGAGTTCGTGAAGATCAATTTAGTTTTTTCAATTTTAATTAAGTTGAGACAAAAATTACCTCGACCCTTAACCTATGAGCCTTAGTTTATTCGAGCTAGATCCTATTTGTCCGCAATAGGTAAGTTTTTAAAATACATTTATTTGTTACCAAAACAAAATAATACACAATAAAAAATCAAATTTTTCTTTAACACTACAAGATTGGTATCTTTTTAATTTGGAAAAAAAATTTAAAGATATTTTGAATAAATATTTTTGTTATATTTTTTTTTCAAAACAAAAATCCTACCAGTAGATGTCGCTGTATAATGAAAAAAGACTTTCTAATATTGCAATATATATTGATAAAACCGTACAAAATGCATGTTTCTCAACAAGTCGTAATGCCACTGCAAATGTAACTTATTAAATACATATCAAATTATACATTATTAAGGGGGCCGTTCACCCGGCGAATTTTAGGTAGTTATACGAGTAACTCGTAAATTAAATAAATGTAATTTATTCGTTGAGTAGTAATAGGTAGAATATATTCTTTATCAAGACCATCATGGCTAAATCGACTCGGCTTTTTATCCTTATAAAGGAAATATACTTCAATTTACCTTTAACATACTAGTTTTAGGAACCAATGCATTGGTCATGCTAATCCGTTCAACCTACACATTTTATTTAATAGCTTTCAAAATAAGGGTTCTGTTCTAAAATTTTGCGTTTTAAACTGTATACATTGAGATATTGTCATAAATCTTAAAATCGATGTTTAAACTAACGATGCGTGGGAATTTTCACGATCTGCCCGATAAATCCTTCTGTGGGATTGGTCGTACTTTATTCTCCTGTTATATTAATTGCTTTAAATTTGTCATATACTTCAAACTAAAACGGCAAAGTATTAGTTCAAGATTTAACATACAATTGGTCGAAATAAAAATTATTTATGTGCATTTCAAAGTGCAGGTGGATGCTTAATTTAATACTGGTGCAATTAGCTTTAAAAATGTGCAAATGCTCGTATTTCCTCATAAATATTTCATTTACTTTTTCCGGCATTTTTGGCATTTTCCAATTATGCAAATATGCATTTTATGAAAGGGGCATTTCTTCGTCCAAGAACAAAAAAAACGAATGCACTTTTGATGCCATGTCTTAAAGAAAATCCACAAGTCAGATCTCATCCTGCTGAAAAATACCGTATTTTAAAAATAACTTAAATGGATACATACAATAAAAGTGTAGCTAGTGGTTACAAATCTTTATTCGAGGGACCTCTTATAACAACTTAAATAATTACAAATCATTAATTTACCTTGTCTTCCAGTTCCTTGCCAACTATTATTAATGATGACTTGATGAATGCAATTTCGTAAAAGTTAATTACTTATAACCTAAGACTTAAAAAAATTTAAAATGATGCAATTTTCAATAATTTTCATTTCCCATTTGAAAAATTGTATAACTATGTGATGATTGGTTATCATCTTAGATTTCATACATATTTGTATATATGTTATTTTAAGGAAGTAACAAAATAAGGCATGCGCAGATAGAAAGATATTGAGTTAAGGCTCCATTAAAGCTTTAAAAAAACACTTACATATTATTAGTATACAAAATGTATTGTTTGAAACTGTATTTGAAATCTCAGACTTATATTATTTTAATTTTGTATTTATACATATAGTTTAAGAAAATATGAGCACTTTTTATTTATACGTAATATACCAACAATTAGATAATAAGACGTTTACACATAAATAACCATCAATCAAACACTGAAAACTGCACTGTTACTTAAAAAAACACCTCTTTAAAAAATAAGTATACATTGTTACCTGTATTCAAAAAATTATTCAAAGACTTCTCTACAACTCGGCTGAAACTTAACTAAATCAGGATTGGATTTTATCTTAAGCAGTTTGCATTCTAAATACACGCGTGCGCAATGTTGGTAAAATCAGAGCTTTCAGTTAAGTTTAGCATATCCCGCAATAATGTGAAGAGTTCTAAATTGAAAGCTTTTATCTTACACACAATTGACTTTTTATTATTCTTTTTTGGAAACAAAAGCTTTTTACCCCTGGGTATGGTTGACTTAAGTTTCAAACACTAAGAAAAAATAAGGCTTCATTTATAAATATGGAAATTATTTAAACAAAAAGAATGTGAGAACAAACAAACCCTGTTTTTCTTTTATCAATCTCTTATTTGTATACCAGTTACAGTAAAAGGGAACATTGTATTTGTTGAAGAGTATGTAACAGACGGAATATTTGCAATGTTGGGAACTATAGGGGCTAAGCTTAGGCATACGTATTCTAAAGATCCCACGCAACTCGTCCAAATTATTCAAATTTATGTTTTAATTTTACCCTGTATAGGTATTGTAGGTTATAACGCCTCGCGTTTTTTTTCTGACAAAAGATGGCGCTAAATAAAAAATAATAAATAAATAAAATTCTGTTGTTTGTGGACGTCAGAGGGATCGTGGCTAGATGGATACTGGTAACTACCAGTGATAGAAATTTGGAATTAGGTAGTAGTAATGATTCCCCGCCGTAGTAATTAACACGCCCACTCTAACGCCCACAAACCGCAGAAATCTGTGGCGTCAATAATATTATAGTGTGTGTATTCGTTTAACCTTGTATAACAAATTTTTATCAATTTCTATCAACTTACCAAGGATTTTTTATCTCGTCTTTTATCTTGTTTTACCTTGCAAATTTACTAAATTTTTAAACGCCGGAAAATATATTTCTATATAATTATTATTAATCTTATTTAACGTAAAAGCTTTAACCTTTAACCTTTGAAGTACATTACCGAACTTGGTAAGGAGAGTCCTGTTACACTCAGATAAGTATAAATTATTTTACCACGAAAAATGACTTAGTAAATTATTGGTGGTGTAAATGTATTTGAAGCTTACAGTAGCTTTCGCTTTCAAATAATGCTTTTGTCTTGGCTATAATTAAATAGTTTTTTAGTTTCTGTTGTTGTGTACATACCAATAGATATGTTTTGAATAATTAAGGAAAATGAGTGAAAATATTAAAGTTGTAGTCCGATGTCGACCTATGAACCAAAGTGAAAATGAAAAAAAACGTGAAGTAAGCGTTTGTATTTATTACTATTATCTTGTTAAAAATATAAGTATCATTTTAACAAGCAAGGAAGATAGCTCGAGTACTTTAAATATCACCATTGCCTTACAGTTCAAAGCATTTCAGCTCAATTATGTAGTCGTACGATTTTTAATTATCCCTCTTAAAACACAGGTTATAAAAAACACACAATGCAGTAATTAGCGTTAAGCTGAGTCATACTTCTAGACTCTGCTCAATTATTATGCTAGAATCGATTATAGGGTGAATATTATTACAATGTGTTTATTGCAACATTACAAACATTGGACAATTATTTTTTATTTGAAGCACGTAAGCTCTATGATTTAATAATCCTGTTCTTTATTTAAAATGTAATTTATTTTCTTAGAAACTGTAATTATACCCGTTATGGTACACAGTTTCCAGTGACCAGTTTCTTTGCTAAAACATAAGAACATATTAACATAAATTACTAATGAAATTTTAAAACGGCATAACATTTTTAAAGTTAAAACTTTAGCTCAGGAACTGTAAGACATTCATATACAGCAAGAAGAAATTATATTAGATTACTTCACTACTAGAAACCTGTTATTCTGTTAACAAGTTTTAACTTTTCTGATTCGGGATAATTTGGAAAAATTTACCAAGAAGTTGAGCTCAAATCAGAAATAAAAAGGTATGTAGATGTTTCTGTTTTTAAAAATGTATTTTTTGTCAGTTGAATATAACGGTTATTCTTATCTTTAATAAAAGCCATTTCAGCAGCAATTGAAAAACCACAATTTTAAAGCATTATGTAATATTTAAAAAATTTTGTTTTACTGCAGAATATTGTTGAAATTAATGAATATTCAGTTTCTGTGGCAAATCCGTCAGCTAGCCTCACCCAAAAAAAAATGTTCACATTCGATAGTGTTTATAATACGATTACGAAAACTGATGTTATTTATAACGAAATGTGCTATTCATTAGTGGAGAGTACCATCGAGGGATACAATGGAACTATTTTCGCTTACGGACAGACGGGTTGTGGAAAAACACACACAATGCAGGTACTGCCATTAACAATCAATCATATTCATTTCATATATTATATAAGGATTCAAAATTTATTCCGTCTTTAATCCTAACCAACCAAAAAATTATTACAAAAAAATTATGGCAGCATGGAAATAATTATATATATATATTAATCAATACTCATTCATTAACATTATATATAAATAAAACAAGAAGAAACCCTATAGTCGAATCCCGCGACTAAAAGATATCCGTTACTGTTTTACACAATTTTAAAATATTCATTTTGCTAGTGGAAATTTACAAAGCACCAACTGATTTTTGGTTTCCTGGTTTTGTGGGCGTTAGGGTTGGCGTGTCTAGATGGGAAAAAACAATTAGCATTTTAGCATCAAAAAAAACCCACATTCTTAATCCGAACTTTCTCTCACTTATATTTACATAGACAGTGACGTTACAATAATTTAGTAAACATGCTTTTTTGCTTTTGTTTTTTTTTATGTAAAACAGTAAGGGGTATCTTATAATCGCGGCACTCGACTATAGCGTTTCTTCTTGTTTTAATATTAGTTAAGTGATTATAATCACCGAACGGAATAATTTGATTTTGTAATTTACATAGTTACCCGTTACAAAGATTTAAAAAATTTGATTGCGTTTCGTTTAAAACGGTATAATTAGTAAATGACAGATTTCCTAGCCTATAGAGCAAATATCCTTGATCAGGAATAATAACCGGGTTGATTATCGTGTCTGTCTGTTCGTATGAATGAAGAAAATGAAGAAGCCGTGGCGTCCATGTTATAGTTTTTTCATTTATATTATGAAGACTTCTAAAATCTAGTCCTTATAACATTCATTTTTTAAGAAACTTTAAAATAATGTTCCGATTTGAAACATTTTTGGTGATATGTATCACCAAAAAAAATGTTTAAGAACATCAGTACGACGGATTGTGGTCGATGCGGTGGCATCATTGGAAACTGCATGCTTAATTTCCGAGATCTCAGCGTTCCTAAAAAAAACCGTTTTTGCTCGATGGGCGCAACAGTGGGCGTGCCCGGGCAATGGTACCACTTTAAGATGCGCTTGCATCTCAATAATATACATGCTTAATCTCAACTTTCCAGACTTTGTAGTATCTGATATCCCAGCGATTTTATTTTTGGTGCGGCATCGTGGCAGGACGCTGCGTAGGCATCTCAAGAATCTTCATGAATAATCCCCACTTTCTAATAAAGTTTCTGACATCAGCGTTTATACTGACGAATAAACGGTCATTTGCTCAGATTTAGTTGTTGAACATCATCATAAATATACTTTAGAGGGTCGGAAACGCTTCATTCTACCTGTTTCATACTTTTTAAAATATATTTCACGAGTAACGGGTGTTTTATGTTCTCGGCTTTCCACTATAGCGTCCATTTCTGTTATATCTTTTAAGGGAGACGGAAACTTGAATAACAGTGGAATAATTCATAAATGCTTCGACCATATTTTTGAAACAATATCAATGGCAACAAATGTCAGATATTTGGCATTAGTAAGCTATTTGGAAATTTACAATGAAAGTATTCGCGACTTGCTCAATACAAATGAAAATACAAGAATGATAAATCACTCTCTCAAAGAAATTCCAGGTATTGGAGTCTCCGTTCCCACGCTGACTACTCATCCCGTTATTAATACAAACCAATGTTACAATTGGTTAAGTCTGGGGAATAAAAACCGAGTTACTGCAGCAACATTAATGAATGAAAAGAGCTCACGTTCGCATACTATATTTACTATCACTTTGGAGCAGTCCCCATTTTTCTCTAGTGTGGCATCGGAAAATAACTTGGGAGGGATACGTCGCGGAAAACTAAGCTTAGTTGACCTAGCAGGATCAGAGAGACAAAGTAAGACAGGAGCCCAGGGTGAACGGCTTAAGGAAGCGTCTAAAATAAACCTATCACTTTCTGCACTTGGAAACGTAATTTCATCTTTGGTTGATGGTAAAGCAAAGCATGTGCCCTTTAGGGATTCAAAACTTACGCGCTTGCTCCAGGTAATTTCGGAAGAAAACAAATGTATACCTTTAAAAATACCCTTTAAAGTTTTTTTTAGGATTCCTTAGGAGGAAACACAAAAACTCTTATGATTTCCTGTATTTCACCATCAGAGTCAGATTATGATGAAACCCTTTCTACACTTCGTTACGCAAGTAGAGCAAAGAACATTTCAAATAAACCAACAATAAATGAAGATCCAAAAGATGCAAAACTTCGTCAGTATCAAAATGAAATATTACATTTAAAAAGAATGCTCGAAGAGACTCAACAAAAAAGCCATTACAGAAATAACGATAAAATTAAATCAAACGAACTACCCATGGCAAACTTAAATGATAAATATTTTAATTCCAAAGAACATGTTGACATTATTAGATCAATTCAAGATATAGGCGTGTCTGTTAAAACATTGAAATCAATATCCACTAAGCCAAGTGTCTCTTCTGTCCAAGCAGCAGACGATATGCAACTTCAAGCCAGAAGTCGCATCGACTTCATTAAACGAACTTTAATTGGAGGTGAGCGCGTTAATGATTTAGGCCTAAAAGAAAAGCACAAGGCTCAAAAATGTGCAGCACAACGGCACTTAAGTGCCATAGCATATGCATTAAGTAGAGTCAAATGTGATGATCGAGAGCTTTTGCAGGGACATTATGCAAATATTACCCAAGAAATAAATATAAAAAATGATCACATTAGCAAATGTAAAGAAAAAATTAAAATGCTTGAAATGGAAGTTTCCGATTTAAATTCAGAGTTTCAGTTGGATAGGGAGGATTATTTAGACGAAATTCGAAATCTTGGACGTCATATACAGTTTTATCAGCAATTGCTTTGTAAATGTTACCCACTTTTTCAAAAAAATGGAAGAAACTGGTAAGAACTAATTTTGTCTAACTTTTTATTACTAAGCAATAGAGCTGTGAAATAGTCTCTATGGCTTATGAATACCTACCTGCATGTTTTAGCATAAAATAGTCTCACAGTCGATTCGCCTTTTGTCCGCATGAAAAAAAGGCTTTGCGTTTTAAAATCGCTATAAAAAAAACGAGTGTATATTTTTCAAAATTTTTTTTTTTTGATAGCCTCAACATTATGGTTCTTAGCCTCTGCCTCGGCTGGCCTTACAGTTTTTTTTTTTGGTATGGCCCTCAATGGCCCTGATGGTGACTTCAATCTCGTGCTTTAGGTCGTCAATCGTCTCTGTGTGGTTGGCGTAACACTTATCCTTGACGGTACCCCACAAAAAATGGTCCAACGGGGACAAATCGCAGCTGCGAGGCGGCCAGTTGACATCGCCGTTTCGGCTTATTATACGATTTTCGAACATACCGCGCAAAAGATCGATTATGACGTTGGCTGTGTTGCACGTAGCGCCATCCTGCTTGAATCATATTTCATCTATGTCTTCCTCTTCCATTAGGGGAATACAAAAATTCTTCCAACATGCCGCGATGGCGGACACCATTACCGGTTACGGTGGCTCTTTCCTCGTTTTCAAAGAAAAACTGCCCAATGATGCAACCCGACCACATACCGCACCAAACAGTCACTCATTGTGGGATGCATTGGTTTCTCCAAGACGAAGTTTGGATTTTCTGAATCTCAAATGCGACAGTTTTGATTATTAACATCCAACTCTTGAGCACGGTGGCGAGTTGACACATTTATTGACATATCTGACATATTTACAATGACATTCGAAATGTCAAAGTCAAAATTTCGATTGTCAAAGTCAAAATTATCGAAAGTTCAAAAAGCAACCGCTATATGGGCCACCCCATATAAAAGCTAGAAAGTTGGGATTAAGTAAATACAATCATGAAATCCCAGCGCATCTTATGGTGGTACCGTTATCCTTCTGTTACGCCCAACTCGAAAGACTATTTTCGCTTTTTGTAGAAAGACTAAAATTTGTGTTATAAGGCCTCTAATGGACAGTGTTAGTCAGTTAGTGAACATGTTTTTTTGACAAAAGGTGGCGCTTTGGGAATTTCCACTAGCAAAATGAATATTCTTGTTGTATCACGATTTCTTTGTAACTCAAAAAATATGTTTTTTATACCTGTTACTCTTAAGTAAAAGGATATGTTAGATTCGTTGAAAACTATGTAACAGGTAGAAGGGAGCACTTCCGACCCTCTAATATTCTTGATCAGTATAAACAGCGAAGTCCACTAACCCATAACCATCTGTCCGTCCGTCCGTCTGGCCGTATGAACGCTAAGATCTCATGAACTATAAGAGATACAAAGTTGAGATTAAGCATTCAGATTCTGGAGGTCCCTACGAAGCGCAAGTTCATTTCATCATCCGCGGAAAACTTTGGCGTCCTTAATATTATTATGAATGTCTTTATTTGGCCTTGTATAAAATTTTTGTCATCATCTATCGAATTACCAACGATTTTTTATATCGGAAAATTATTTCGCTATTTATGAAGAAATATAGATTATAAGGCCTCACATGGACTCAACATGTTTTTTCTTTGTGAATTTCCACAAAATTAATATTTTAAAATTGTATAAAACAGTAATGGTATAGTCACGGCACTCGAATATAGCGTTTCTTCTTTTTTAATTTAATCTATAATTATAACGTAGGACTCCGGAAACTGTAATGCAAAATTCTTCATGGAATGAGGATCTGAAAACTTGGAGGATTCCAGAAATCGATTCATTAAAACTTCCCCCGGCTACTTTAAAATCTGGAGTGTATCGTATTCAAAATTCAGGGTTTGGCTGTAATAACTTTATGTATGTAAACGAAAACGCCAAGCAAGATGTTAAGGCAACTGAAGTACGTATTTAATTTACACTGTATAAAGCAGTTTAAACGTTTTAAAAAGACAAATTTGTGAAAGGTGTATCGGATATTAATACAAGCCAGCGACACCTAAAGTTATTACTTTAACTTATTATCCTGTTCTTTTTCTAAGCTAATTAGTTTGTCCCCAGTTATTGGTAATTGTTTTGTAAAACTACACACGCAGTAGAACTTGCTTTCGTTTTTTTTTTTTAAATTTTATTTTTAAATCCTAAGTATATTTAAGGTGAAATTTACATTTATTAATATTTTTCGTTATAGATAAAAAATCCAAGCAATTCAAAAGAAAAATTCAACATCAATATACAAAATAACTACTTTCGAACAAGTCGACACCAAATTAAGAATTCAAAGAACTCGGAAACACTTCACAACAATTAAACGGTTATGATAAAACCACATAGTTAAGGGATAATTATTCTGTTATTTATATATTAACAAAAATATTTGTTCCATTCTAGAAGGAGAAAAAATATACTTTGGACACATATTTTCTTTGTAATTTATAAAAGGCTTACAGAATTTGTATAAGAATATTGCACAATGCGCGAAATGCTCAGCACAACATATGTACTCTAAGAGCTACTTGTTACTTGGGGATTTTTTATGGTTCATCAATCTATCACTCCCAAAAGTCATTGGAGATTATATAAACATTTTAAATATTCCCAATATTTAAATTTAACAAAATAAATATTTCATTAGGAGGAACGCATTGACTATTTACGCACATATTGACACGATAACTAGAGGGGTATTCAAGTATGTATACCCGAAAAAGTATATGTACATTTAAAAATGTTATATCATTAATTATAAACTTCAATCAATACTAAGCGTGAAGGCAAATAATATGTTCAAATAACACTAAGTGTTATCCTGCAGGAGTCTCTAGCGATAATAGATATCGCCAACTTAAGTTGTTTAAAATAATGGTGTTCGATGCAGCAGTAACCATAAATTGATAAATTTAAATATCATTGGCTAATGTTTGTTTTGATGAAATTTTGTATTCTCCTATGTTTGTAAGCAGGGCGATCGCGAAACAGCTTCGGTACCAAGCGTGGAGGCAAATAATATGTTCAGATAAAAGAACGTGTTATCTTGCAGGAGTCTCTGCAAGATAATTTAATTTAATTTAATTCCCCAAAACAATAATTAGTGTTACAAATGCTTTTAGATGCACAAAAATTCCGGTAGTGAAGTATATACTATTCATGACGACGATAATGAATTACTTAATAATTTACGAAGTATTATATTTCGTCAAAAAAAATTCGTAAGAAGGGTTTGAATTCAATAGAATTCTCCTAATTGTTTATAATAAGATTCCTTAATATGATATACTATCAATATTTTCATGGATGACTTTATTACTTAGTACATATATAGTAAATGTGTTCAATACAAATATTAATAAACCTATCTCTATACCTATCTAATTTATAGTATACAACCTACCAGATATATTTCTTAGAACAAATAAATGGACACTATAATTGACTTTAATGTAAGTAGGTGTCTTTGTATTAAATTGTACATACTAAGTTAAAAAGTGATTAAGTAAATATATATAACGCACACCCTAATTTCTGCTTTTTAGGTAAAGGTAAAAGATTTAACTCTCGTCAATTTTGTTAAAAACATAAAGTGCATTTTAAATTTGTGATTTATTGAGAGACATAAGAAACATAATTATGAAACGGTAATTACGATTTTCGTAATTATTACAAATTTTGATAGAGTTCGAGTTTGGAATAGGGCTGAATATACATTTTTAGTCTGCATACACCACAAAGGGAACATGGCTTTCTGAAACGCTTTCCCGTAACTCAACTTTAATGTATTTTATAGATTTATCTTCATTTTGGCTGTTTGACTCAAGGTTTGAGCAATCATTTTTCCGCGAAATGCTGGTATTCCTCCTTCAATTAAATTAAGTTAAAAATTTTTAATTGGTCCAAAAAGTAAAGGTCACAAAAACATAGCTTATTAATAAAGAACTTACTTAGCTTTCGCATGAGTCAATATGTGCGATTTTAGATTTGTTGATTGAGCAAACTTTTTATTGCAAGCATCAAACGGACAAACAAATGGTCTGTCTCCGGTATGTATCCTTACATGTGTTCTGTAAATAAATTGATAGCATAATAAAATATTTGGTAAAAAGGTATAAATGCAATACAATTCAGAAAAACGCCTAGTTAGGGATAGGATCGAGCTAAGATCAGTATTTTAAACATACAGATATACATGTAAATAAAACAAGAAAAAACGATATATTTGAGCTACTATAAGATACCCGTTACTGTTTTATGAAGAGTTCTACCGTATTAAAGGTAGTTTTTTAATATTCTCTGACATAAATACTCTATCGACAAAAAACTGAGTTTGTTGACTGAAACGATCGAGTAATCGATGCATTTAACCTGGCGAAGCCAAACTCGATTGCCTATGGCCAATTGCTTCATTCAAGAAATATGTGTGCTTTAGGAGCGCTGGCATGTCAAGAATATGTATGCTTAATCCCAGCGTTAATCTTAGCGTTCATACTGATAGATTCATTCTGATAAAGAGTATATATACGCTTCTGTTAAATTATTTTCAGCGAATACATTATACTTTTTTAATTTACAAGTAGCGGGTATAAAACTAGAAAATCAAAGAAGAAATATTTGTTTGCTAACTCTTTTTTAATACGATTTGGACACGCGTAATAATAGGACAAAAATTAAACCACCTCACTTTTTTATTTTAATAGTCTCAGTTAAATATTATCATATATTAATATTATCATATTTCTTTAGTACTTTTTTTTAGCAGTGATTTTATATTATTTAAAGTATGAAAGTCTTTGCATCGCCTTTGTAAAATCGTTATTAAGATATCTTTAAACATATACTATAAGTAAATTATAGATCGAAACCGAAAATTCTACTGTAGGCCAGTACGGGGGTTACAGCAGTCCAAAAATGACGTAGAGAAAACTTATGGGCCGCCCTGGGATTTTAACAGATGCGGATACTTGAATTTTCAATGTGAAAGGTTCCTAACATCTAAAAGTGCTTGTTTAGGCATTAATATGTATGACAGCCGATGGATATCAAAAAAGAGTCATCAAGAAACTGAATACATTTCAGCATGCTAGGGTAAATAAAACAAACCCAAAACTTTTTGGGTTAGGGTGGGCGTGGGCCGAGATATCGGGTTTTCTTGAAAATGCGAAAACCGTCTTTTGAGTTTGGTGGGCGTATGAGTGGGTGTGGCCAGATAATAGTACCACTAAAAGATGCGCTGGGATCCAAAGTTTATACATACTGAATTTCTACTTTCTAGCTCTAATAGTTCTCGAGATTTCAGCGATTATAGTTTTTCGCGATTTGTGGGCGTTAGAGTGGGCGTGGCAGGATGCTGAAATAACTCTTCATGCTTAATCTCAACTTTGTATCTGCTATAGTTCCTGAGATCTCAGCGTTCATACGGACGTACGGACGGCCGAACATGGCTCAATCTACTTCGCTATCGATCCTGATCAAGAAAATATATACTTTATAGGGTCGGAAACGCTTCCTTCTATCTGCTACATACTTTTTAACGAATCTAGTATACCCTTTTACTCTAGGAGTAACGGGTATAAAAATATGTTATGGCTAGGGGTTTGAGAGTAATTTGAAAAATACACAGTAGGGTAAGATATAGAAATATTTTATCTTAGGATTTTTACAGTTTTATTGATTTGCATACACCAGGGACCGATCGTAAACTATTAGACCCTAAATCAACAAATTGACATTACATTAACATTTTTTAGTATACAATAAACTCAATACCCAATAGCTAATTTAATATTCATTTGAACTATTATATATATAAACTTTTTTACTTTACCTTAAGTTAAAATCCAGTGAAAATCGTTTTCCACATCCTTCAAACGTACACTGAAATGGCTTTTCTCCTGTGTGAACCAACTGATGTCTTTTAAGCTTTGAACTTTCTACGAAAGCTTTTCCACATTCTGCACAAACATGAACACGAGGACCATGAGTGTGCAAGTGCTTGCGCATCGCAGAAGAATCTCTAAAACTTTTATGACAACCCTTATGGGGGACAATCTATTTTTTATCAGTTGGGTAAGCCACTGCGACTTCGGAAAGATTTAAATTTAAATCAGCACTTCCAGACGATCCTAAATTTAAAAATAAAATTCAAATTCAAATATGTAGTAACTTAGGTTTTTGTAACAGTTATTACCAGTATTGTTGTGGTACACTAATTGAGAAGATGTTGCCTGCCTTTCGTGAACGCCAAAATCGAATGGCACTGAGTTTGTCAATGTTTGCAGATCCGCAGTATTGTCAGTACATAATATTCTATGATTATCAATCGTTATAGCGGCAGTTTCGTTTACTAATTGTAAAGTTGTGGAATCCGTAGTCAAGATTGTATCTTCGAAACTTATGTTTGATTTATCTAAAATCTTTGTAGACAAATTACTTTTATTGGATAATATTCCCTCCTCTTTTGTTAGCTGTTCTTTATTTGGAGCTGAGCCTAAAGGGTGATCCCTTTCAAAAGTTTGCGGTTTTTGAGTTAAGATAGATTCGACCCCTTCAAAGTCTTTGTTTCGTTGGTAAGTGTTTCGATCAAAATCCAAGTCTTTATCTTTTAAAAATTCCGCGTCTCCAATATTTTGATCTGAACCAGAGAATTCATCATCGGATAAACCGGATGCCCACATCGTAACACTAAACTCCCCTTCCATAGTTTTTATTTGCACGAGTTTTTGTTCCCATCGTCTTGTTTTTCCACCTTGAATTAGTGGTGTTGTATCTAGGGTTAAAAAAGGTAAACCGCTGTCGCCAGTACCAGATTCTTCTGTATTAGTGCTGTTGTGAAGCAGGCTAGCTGACATAACTTTAGTTTCTTGATTTTCCGCAGAGCTAACATTTTTACAACAGTTTATATTTATTTGATGATCAAAGTTGGTCTGTTTTCTTCTGAAAGTGTATACCTTTTAATATTTGGTAAAGTTAAATAATTCAAAAAAATGTACTCACATTTTAGAGGACAGCACATTTTCAGATGCTTTCAACTGATTCTTTTCATAATAATTAATTGCGTTTCCATTGTCGTTCGGCTCTGAACAGACAACTGATTCAAATACATTACATCTATTTAATTGGATGTGGTTGCTAGGAGGCATACCAACTAGAATAATAATTATTTATTTAAGAAGGCACTATTACGTTTATATATGTATATATTCAATCAAAAAGGCATTTTTAAAAGAAAATGTATATGAGCGTACAAATCTATACTCAATAAAATAAAAGTTTATTTTTCATATAAAAGTAAATTTTAAATTTTTAATTTTCTTAAACATTTTAGTGACAATCAAGAGAATAATTCCTAACTAACTAATTTTCTTAAAACATGAAATAGGTTCCAAATTTATCTGTGTGAATTCTTTAGGATTTTTAAACAATCCTAATCCTTAAGACAGTTTATATGTACATATGTATGTACACCTCCTGTATATGATTCCTACATATATGTATATAATGTATTTGTTGTATATATTCATATTTTATATTTATTCATTATATATACATATATTCATTAATAATAAGTTTGGAAAGTTTATTACGACTTCTTTAAAATTCGTATTTTTTGTAAATGTTACACACATATGTGAATAAATGTACATACATACATACATATGTACATATGTATGTAAAAAAAATTTGAGTGAGACAGTCGCTTTTATTTATAGCCGGTATGGTGTATTTGTATGATAGAAAAAACTAACTTACCATTACTAATATTTTGTACATTTATTTTTTGAATACCGTTTCGGTTGACTATATCTTCTTCTTCGTAATGTTCACTTTTTAGAAGAATGCCATAACGTTCATATGCCATATTTACAATGTTTTGATCCAGTAAAAGTGGTAGTTTACAGATAGTGTACAAGCATTTTTTACGCATGTATCACTGCAGGCACATGTCTTAGGTATTTTTTTTTAATATTTCCTGAGCGTCGTATTTCCTGAGCCTATTTAATGGATCTGAAAGGAGGGACATTTGTGTAAGATGTAAATATCTAACACTACATGTATTTTCTAATAGATTTGTAAGAAAAAATGTGTTTTTTATCAAAATAAAAAACAAATAATAAGTAAAAAATTTATTTGTAGTTAACTTACTTTGGATTCATATTTTTCAGATTAACATATAATAACACACCAGCCAACTTTAAAAATAAGGGCCAAACAATTAGTCAAGTGAACATAAGTCAAGATGAAATTTCCCGATACATTTATAAATACATTATTTGTTTATACAGTTTCTTTATTAAAAACAAAATAAAACAAAAATATGTAAGCAATATTTATCAAACCGATAACCGATGCCTTAAAATATAGATAATGGTATTCAGGTTCCATTTCCATAAAATACTTGTATCTAGTATTTTATATAAGCGGTGCAAAGATATAACGAGTTCCCACATCGATAAAAATATATTTAATTGTATTGAGTGGAGCTTCGTAAAGCGTATATCATAATTATATTATAGCAAATATAAAATTTAAAACTTAAAAAGCTTTTAAGAAATTAAAGAAAATTATCCTGTTATATAAAGGCTAAAATAGCATAAAATACATTACATAAGGCCCGTTTGCATTAGGATAAAATGAGTATTGATTTAAAAGTTCAGCTTGCTTTACGTTTTTAATTTTTTTGCCTGTTGTTATCGATACTATCTTGATAAAAACAATCAAAGCAAAAAAAAAGAGGAAAACACAAGGGCCCGTTTGCATTTGTAACATTTAATGTTTTGAATGTAAGCTTTTTCATGCATAATGATATATAAAACATATCAATCTATTAAATCAACTCATCTATTAATCACAAATATTGTATCTTATAAATTCAAAAACGCGTCCATCTACGCGTTACATACTTTTCAAGAAATTCAGTATAACATTTAACGAGTCATATACGGGTGTGATTCAATTCTGTTCTTAAATTAAAAAAAAAATATATCAGTTGACTGTACATGTATTGTTAAACCCGTTACTTGTAAAGTAAAATGGTATATTGTATTCTTTGAAAAGTATGTATATATATAACTGGTCTGGATTAATAGCAGAGTCGATTAAGCTGTTTTCGGAAACGTTGAGATCTCGGTAACTATACGTGAATGAAAGTTGTGACGAAGCTTGTAGTTTTTAATAATGCCCCTAATGCGTATTATTTTTTCCCATCTGGCCACGCCCACTGTAACGTCCAAAAAACGCGAAAATCCAAAAAACGCTGAGATCTTGAAGATCTATAAGAGCTAAAATGTAGCGTAGCATCCGTATTCTAGAAATGTCAACGTAGCTCGTGGTGATTTTTATTTCGACCACGCCCACTGTAACATTCATAACATTAAAGTTTATATTTTGATTTAATCTTATATAATATTTTATGCCAATACATATCAATTTACCAAAAAGTTTTCAGATCGGAACTTTATTTCGCGATTTTATAATAAATTTTATAATAAACCTCACAAAGGAAGTGACAAAAGGTGGGCATTGTCAGTTTCTAGTCCCTAGCAAAACGAATATGTATTTAAAAATTGGATAAAACAGTAACGGGTATCTTATAGTTGCGGCTCTCGGCTATAGCGTTTCTTTAATTTTTTCAAATTAATATATTTACTTCATCTTGAATATTATAGCTTTTATTTATTTGTTATTTAGGCCAGTAAATAAACAATATTTATTAAAAACTCAACCGCGTGTTTATTCACCCTCTTCAACATTGAAAACGTAAATTTTATTTGAATTAATCTTTTTATATACCTTAAAAATTTAGTGACTTTTCTGATGGTCTTTAAATATTTGTTTTGATTTCAAAATAAGAATTTTATTTGTTTAATAAGCTTTTAAATACTTTTTGTGAGAGCTTTTTCTCATTTAAAATTAACTAAACTTTGTATATTGTATCTATACACATGCACAAAATTTGAAAGACTTAAAAACTTTTAGAGTATACATAGGAGCAGTTTATATTATTGGCTCTTCAACTTCGGAACGACAGTCTTTATTTCAGTAATACTAAAAGCGTGCTGTGCTAGTTTGAAGAATTTGTAATGATTATAAAACAATAGTAAAACATTTTATATTTATCAAATACCTCTTATAAATTTTAATAAGCTTAATAAGTTATGGTGCATAGTTTAAAAACAATACACAGAAGCAGTTCATATTATTGTCTCTTCAAATGTCTCAAAATGACGACCTTTATTTCAGTAATACAAGAAGTATAGTGTGCTAGTTCAAAGAATTTGTGTTGATTATAAAACATTAGCATAACGTTTCTGATTAATCAAACAACTTTTTTTAATTAAAATAAGCTTAATAAGTTATTGTGCATAGATTGCAAACAAAGATTACAGTAATAGGAATACAAATAAATGCGGTTTCATTAAATAGACATTTTATATAAAAAATTAAAACACAAAATCATTTTTTCGCTTATGATTTTTTCATACTTAAATGTAATCCCGCCTTGTTACTGCAGACACATAATTGCACATGTGTGCATGTGTGTATCCATATGTTCATTACAAAATGAACGTGAACACACACAAAAGCTTCCTAATTATATATATAAACATCCCAGGTATAAAGATCATAAATATATTTTTATCTATTCCAAAAAGCACTTAAATGTGCACTAACAAAATGGATTGAAGCCCACAATTAAACGAATTTTAATAAAAAAAAAATTTACTTCAATTTTGTTTAAAGTGAAAATCAATACAAAGAATTGAATATATATTTTGTATATTTATGTTGATATCTTAAATGTTTTTATCTGTGTACGAATTGATTTAGAGCACTAGAATAGACGGAAAGTGCGAAAAAATCAACATGGACACTCTAAACACAAATATTACGTTTGAATCATCGGAAAATAGTTTACCATCAAAGAAAGGAAAATCGAAAAAATCTAAAACTACGAAATATGATAGCCAAAACATAAATATGGTAAGACAAGTACACAGTTAAGAGATAACGTTACATATACGAATAAATATTGATATTGACATAATTAGTCAAAGCGGTCTACCTGTGAGGAACACAGATGTTTTACTTAAAACAGCCTATTAAATTATTTAATTAATAAATATATTTTAATTCCTATTTGTATAACATCTTAAAAAATTCATTTTCATATTATATTTATAGAAAAAAAGTTTTACCAAATTTGATGAACTTCAAAAACGTAATCTGATTCATGTACGTTCACGAGATTCTAAAAAAGCTCAAGAAGTTTTTCGAGTAAGCTAAGTATCATAAAGATAAATTGATTGCATTACCACTTTATAAATATTCAATATACATATTTTTCTCGCAGTATTTAAATTACATTTTTAATTTACATTTTATTAGTCTACAACTGCTGAGCATCCTGACAGATGCCGTCAATGCAATAAAACGGTATACAAAATGGAGGAAGTCATTCTTCAATTGAAAACAGGAACGACTATTTTTCATAAAATGTGCTTACGTTGCAAGGATTGTGGCAAACAACTTAAGTAGGTACCTAAATGACTTATTGCAGTAGGCATGACTCATGGTTATATCGACTTGGCAACTTGGTCGGAAACGCTTAGTTCCACCTATGAAATACTTTTCGATGAATTCAATATTCTATGTTGCTCTACGAGTAACAGGTATATAATATTGCATGAATTGGGATTGATATCCATGTATTTTAGAGATGTAGGATATTATGAATTTACACAAAAGCCACAAAAATACATTATTAATATATACAATAATAAGCTAAGAACTCTAAAGTATTTAATGTTTTGAGTTCGTTACCCTTTGTATAATTATTTATACATTGTGACATCCCCAGATCTGACAGCTATAACATCCATGACGGAACTTTTTATTGTTCTATACATTTTAAATCTATCTTTTCACCGAAGATAGTTTATGAAGAAATTACTACGCGAAAACCAGAGCTAATAATACGAGAGAATCAACCAATAGAATTACCACCGGATGTCGCAAGAGGTAAAAATGTTAATTTTCATTATTACAGGTACCTTAAAGAAGTCTTGCTAAAATCTACAAAATGCTTTCCCAAAATTATTAATGTTAGTGATTTATTTTTTTTAATAGCTATCGAAATAACAAAAAAAATTTACAAGTTTGGCTTAAATGAAGGTATTATATTTTTGTAAATACCAATGTACCATACAACATTTTTAATCAGTAAAATATTTCACTATTTATTTAGAAATTAATTTTTAAAGCGTAATTGGGACTGGGAAAATCATTACATGATACATTATATGATGAATAAAAGAAATTTTTTTGAACTCAATTAATATTGCAGCATCTGACAAACCCAGTCTTGGACTTGATGAACTTCAACAACTTGATGTGCGCTCAAAATTTAAGGTATTCGAAAATGGGTGTAAGGAACATAATAATAATCTACAAGAACGTCAAGATAACATAACACACTGTAATGCTATAACACAAAATAAGTCAATACGGTCCACGCTAACCAAACTTCAAAAGCTCGGGATAACTAATTCAGAACCAAGAAAATTATCTGATATTAACACCAGAAATGATTTGAATACCGATGACGAAAGCGATACTGATATATTGTACTCCAGGAAAGATATTGAAAGAGAAAGACCTCAGGGCTTGGGAGACGCGATGAACGATATAAGATCGAAATTTGAGCACGGTCAGGCTATGTTAAAAGAAGAACGTCGCGAAGAAAGAAAACAAGAATTACAGAGTATAAGATCTCGATTATTTTTGGGAAAGCAAGCAAAAATAAAAGAAATGTATCAATTAGCTGTTGCTGAATCAGAACAACGAGGTAACTCGGTGGGTAAGACGTCGGATATTAATGTCATTACGGCCACTCAACAAATCAAGGATCGGTTCGAGAATGGCGATGTTTTTAACGATAATAGAATCCAATCAAAAGAGCCCATTTTTGGAATGCAAGCAGATGAGAATGTTTTTGAATCTGGTATGGATAAACAATAAAATATTTATACCTTGCTATATATTTTATTTATTACTTATACAGCAATTAGTAAGTCATCCCGAAGTATTTTTATGGAGATGGATGCCAATATAAGTTCCATATCAAGCAAAAGCTGTGTAAAAAATGTTCAGTCCGATAAAAAAATATTATATCATAATCAAATGTGTCAAGAGGTAAGCCCAAATTAAATATAACAACACGTATAATTTATAAATTGTTCCAAAACATTTAGAATTCGAACGTTGATGTTATAAAATCCGATTCAAAACAAGAAGAAGTCAAAGTCACCACTGAAGAGTTAGCAAAAAGGTTTAAATTCTTCGAAGAATACTCCCCGGATGAAAAAAAAAAAAAAAAATTTTGCATGACACCGCCACGTGAGGATGTTCAGAATTTGCTCGCTATTGATTTGGACACGGATGTATCACACGACTTATTCGATGATACCGTTTTGAATAATACGAAAACCACGACAACAATTTTAACAAAGTTTCGCGAAATGGAAGAACAAAAATTAAATGATAAGAACAAGGAAAGAAACCCAAAACCATTAAAGTGCTTCACTCCGCCACCTGAAATTGATAATCATTTAAAATCAGATACTGAGGAGGATAATTATAGTGATAGCGAGCAAAATAGCGATGACGATGAAGAAGAATTTGAAAATGTTCCTCCTAACTCATATCACAAGGATGAAGCCCTTTATGAGGTAATCTCATTAACTTAAATGCTATACAAAAATTGTACACAATTTTTTCAAAGTTCCAATAACTTAACGCTAAGGAAACATTTTTTATAAAAAAGGCATGCACATAAGTAAGAAGTGAGCTGTGAAGCGATCCGCAGCGCAAGATATCTTAAACTGCAAAAGGTACAAAGTAGGGATTAAGGATACATACGCAGAAATTTTTTTTAGGTTAACCAACCCCAATTAAAACAAGAGGAAACGCTATAGTCGAGTGCCGCGACTATAAGATACCCGTTACTGTTTTATACAATTTAAAATATTCATTTTGCTAGTGGAAATTCACAAGGCGCCACCTATTGTCAGACAAAGCATGTTGAGTTTTGGGTGTGGCTTGATCGGAACAATTCGCATTGGGAGCATCATAAAAATCTACATGCTAAATCCGAGCTTTCTTCACTTATAGTTAACGAGATATCAGCTTTTCTAGAAAATGCGATAACCGTCCTTTTAAGATGTGCTGGCATCTCAAGATTATACATACTTAATTTCTTGCTCTAATAGTTCCCGAGATTTCAGCGGTTTTAGTTTTTCTTAGATTTGTGGGCGTTAGAGTGGGCGTGGCAAGATGCTGTAAAAACTTGCGCTGCGTAGGGACCTCAAGAATCTTCATGGTTTACTCAACTGTGTATCTTTTATAGTTCCTGAGATCTCAGCGTTCATACTTAGAGACGGACAGATTCATCCTAAACAAGAATATATATACTTTATAGGGTCGGAAACGCTTTCTTCTACCTGTTACATACTTTTCAACGAATCTAATATACCCTTTTACTCTACGAGTAACGGGTATAAAAATTTCCAAAATTATTACATCATTTTATAAGAAAACATATTAATACATAGATATTATTTACATATTGACCACTGGCCGCTTTTCAATTCAGATTAGGTTATTTTTTAAATCTGTTTTCTTTTTTTAATTTTTATGTTTTAAGAAATTGCGTTTATATTCTCTATACTCACACTATCAGTCGCTCCTTGCCTTCACCTGTTCCAAATTCTGCGGCTCAGATAAAATATAGCTTTTTATTATTTTAAAGGCTCAAAATTCAGCTCGGGCTAAACAATTGCGAGCAAAGTTCGAAAAATGGCAAATTAACGAAATAGAGCGCGAGCTCAACGAAGGACGGGAAAACGTTTCGAAGCTCATTTCAAATGAATCAATTGAAAGTGCAAAAACGTAAGGCTCTTACGGTGTTTAAAAAACATTGCATAATAATATCAATCTATTTCAGAATACGGGAACGCTTTGAAAATTTAAACAATTTTGACACTCATCTGGAAAATACACAAAAAGCTGAAATAAAACGATTTGTTGTGAGTGAAAAAAAAATAAATCAAAGTATTTGATTTATCCCTTTATTTTGGTAACACGATGATCTTTAAATGACGAAATATCACCAAAAAGCGATTTGAAATAAAATTATGGACCCCCAGAAGCTTTGAAATAACATCTTACACTTTATATATCTTATATAAATACATTTTTGACATTTTAAATGTGACAAATACAATGTGGTTATATTTATTTATTCTATAGCCTTATCTATAAATTCCAAGAATCGTTTGGCATATTGTTCGGGGTCGCATGTTGATATACCATCAACATTACTGCCGTATTTAACGGTTTTTGCTGCTTTAGCTGCCTAAAATAAAAAAATTATTAGTAATATATTAATTATAATAAATGTAAGCTTTCAAATACCTGTTTTTTTACACCATATTGAGTAAGCACGTCAATTATTGCTACAAAGTATATTTCGCGTTTTTCTGTAACAGAAAATGTAAATAAATATTGAGCAATATGAAAGAATAATAGGTATCAGTTTTTAAAGTAAAAACAAGAGGAAAAGCTATAGTCGAGTGCCGCGACTATAAGATACCCGTTACTGTTTTACACAATTTTAATATATTCATTTTGCTAGTTAAAATTCCTCAAGCGCCACCTATTGTCGGAGAAACCATGTTGAGTAACTGATAGTGACGTCACTGCCCATATGAGGCCTTATAATATAAATTTCTTCATAAATAGGAAAATAATGATCCGAATTGAAAAATCTTTGGTAAATCGATATATATTAACAGAAATAAGTTATACAAGGTCAAACTAAAGCATTCATTCATTCATGTAGCTCTTATAGTTTCCGAGATTTTTGCATTTTTGGTTTTCCGGGATTGGTGGGCGTGGCTAAATGGGAAAAATTAATTTGCATTTGAAGCATCATAAAAACCTACATGCTTAATCCGAACTTTCTGTCGTTTATAGTTACCGAGAAATCGGCTTTTCTAGAAAATGCGAAAACATACGCCTTGTGGGCGTATGGGTGTCGCCGGATAGTAGTACTACTATAAGATACACTGGCATCTAAAGATTATAGATTCTATATTTCAACTTTCTACCTCTAATAGATTTATGGGCGTTAGCGTGGGCGTGGCAGGATGCTGTAATAAACTTGCGCCGCGTATGGACCTCAAAAATCTGTCTGCTTAATCTCAACTCTGTGTCTCTTATAGTTCCTGAGATCTTCATACGGACGGACGGACAGACGGGCATGGCTTAATCGCCTTCGCTATTGATACTGATCAAGAATATATATACTTTATAGGGTCGGAAACGCTTCCTTTACTTGTTACATACTTTTCATCTTATCTTATCTCATCGAATCTAATATACCCTATTACTGTATGAGTAACGGGTATAATATAATACAAATTTTATTTCCCGAACAGAAAACGGGTTGGCAAATCCAATGGTATTAGTATGGTAAACAAATAAAACAAATACAATAACAATACAATAAACAATAAAAAAACAATATTATTCATTCATTATTCATACATAACCCGCTTTTTGGATTTTCGTTTGTTGTGGGAGCTAGAGTAGGCGTGACAAGATGCTGAAATAAACTTGTGCTGCGTAGGCATCTTAAGAAACTGCATGCTTTATTGTATATCTTATACGGACGGACATGTCATAATCGACTCGGCTTTTAATCCGATATTGATATATATACATATATGTTTATGTATAAGGTCGGGAACGCTTTCTTCTGCTTGTTACAAACTTTTCAACAATGAATACAACATATCCTTTCACTCTACTATTAACGGGAATAAATACAACAGCTAAACTAGTAGGTACACATAACAGACATGGAGTTAGTTTTCGTTATCAAATAGACCAAAATAAATAAAACCTTTAATTATGGGCTGAAGGGACAAACTTATTTTAATTTAGACAACCTTTATAATTTTATAACTTAACATAAACCGAAAGTCTAAATGTTACCATTATTATAAAAAGAGAAGTGCACAAATATAAAAAGTTTTATAAGGGGTTTCGTTTAACATGACGTGTTATATGGTTAATTATTTTAATTTACTGGTTAAAAGCTAAGAAGAAGATTAGGAAAAGTGTAACCTTAAATTACCTTCAATACTTGGAATGTCATATATATCAACTTCGTAAACGACTTCTTTATATTGTGCTCCCCTTGGAGAATCAGGTGGAGTGTTATACGTCCAGCTAACACAAAAAAATACTTAAATATAATTGACTTTAAATTAAATCATTTTTATTTACCGTTCGCCACTATCACATTCCTCGCTCTCGCTGTTTTCACTGCGACCGGCAGCTGGAACATTATCCCCTTGTAATGCTTCCTCCTCTGCACGCACGCAATCGTGCACGCCAACCAACAAAGAGTAGTCCATAATATGCAACTTGGTCAAAAGCTTTATAGAAATGTTTAATTATATTAGTAGAAGTTCATAAAGAATCTACAATATTTTTTCGTCACAAACTTGTTTATAGCGACTGCGTTTATTTGGGTACTACTTCTTTGAATAAGAAAATTTAAAATAAAAAACAAGAAGCGCTAAAGATTGTTTTTCATTTAGGTATTCTAAGATTTAACTAACATATTTATTTTGAAGTTGTGCATTGCTTATTAACAATCATCAGAAGAATATGAAACAAGGACGCTGTAATTTGCGGATTGTAATCCGAAATTTGTAGATTTTACCGTACAAAGAACGGACACAACAAGAAACTTAAATCAATATCAATAAATATTGTAGTTATTATGTATGTTATATTATTATTATGCTTACATCCACATCGTTGTTCAAGGTTTCCATTAGTTTTTTTTTAGCTTCCTTTCCAATGTCCAATTTTACTTTTTGTTTTATAAAATCATTGTCCTTCAAAGTCGGCAATTGCTTTTCTAGTTCCTTTTCGGATGCCTCCCTATCCACGGTACTGCCTTTTAAATCAAATTTTCTATAAGATAAAAGTTTTAATTTATATATGATCAGCGTAAATATTAATATAATTCTTACTTGTGAATAGTTAAATGAGAGCTAAAAACATTCCTCATAACAACGAAGTAATATTGCACGCTCTCTACAGTTACTCGATACATTCCCAAGTATTGTGGTAACAATGTTTTTCCGTGTCTTTCAACAACATACTAAAAATTGTGATAATGGATACTGATATAATTTAATTTAATTTTTAACTCACCGGGTGATATTGCTTTAAAAATGCGTGCATACGCTCAATTTCTTCAGATGTTAAACTTTTAATTATAAAAAACCTATCATAACTTTGATAAAACTGTGCCCCTGACTTTCCAGATGAGTCAATTCGTAATGGTTGAGATCGAGTTAACGACTCGCGGTAATCAACATCGTCAACTCCAAATCGTTCACGTAGATTTCGAAACACGAGGGGGCAATATTCTTTTACTTTGAAATGTGACGGCATGTTTTCTCTTAAAAGTTAAAACCATCAATAAAATATTACATTATTAAAATTTTCTTATTTTTATAATACCCTTGCAGGTATTAAATTTTTAACCAGAAGCTCGCAACGCAATAAAGCGAAGCTTATATACATATGTATATATATTTTTAAACAAGTTAGTATTCTTGATCCAAGTCCATATACCCATTCATCTGTTTCAATGCAAATTAACAACTTTTTTAAATTCAGATACTTTTAAAATGTAAAAAATTAAACGAGCGGACAAATCACTTACAGTTGCTTGCAGAGATAACTCAAAAACATAAATGCTATATTTTGGGTATTGATATTAAAATATTTAATAGCTTAATTAAACATTTTTAGCATAAAAACAATGCTATTCCTAACATAAGATTTCCAATAGAAAAGACCTAAAAAGATTGCTATTGGAAGCAATTTTCTATTTGCGAAAATCTCTTTTGAAACAATCAGAAATAGGCCTTCTTCAACGGGAACTCGCCTTTTGAATGTCCCAAAAGCAAAAAAAGAACAGAAAATATCAAAATATGAATTAAGATTTTTGCGTTAGCGTAGGCGCAAAATAAAATAAAAAATGTGTTTTTATGTTGAAGTTGAATGTTAGCTATTTAAATGTTAACAAAAATTTTTGAGTTATAATTCTTAGATACACTGTGTAGGAGTCATAAAAAGCCTACAAATACACTATTTACATATAAAAAAAATCTCATAAATGGAATAAACATTTTGTATATTTATAGACTTAAACGCTTTACAAGTACTTTCTTTAAAAAAAAATTTAAGACGCTTTAATAATTAACATGACTTGGTTATAACTGCAAGGGTTTATGAAATCGGATAGCCGAAGTAAGCTTTAATTTGTTTATTTTCTTACTTATTAAATAAGTGATTGTCCACCTTGATTTTTGAATAAGCACGAAAGTCGTCTGGCAGAAGCATTACAGGTATGTTAACGTGACTTAATTCATTAATCTGAAAGTAAATATAAATTTGATGATCCTTGCTTCCTTGATTAAAATAATAAAACGTACAGTGTGATTTATTCCCCACATGAACACACTTAATATCGGTTCATTGGCTCTAAATAGTTTAACCTTTTGATGTTTTACCCTAAAATGCTTTTTTTTCAAAATGCGTGGCTGTGATGTCGATGAGATCTTCTTATCCATAATTTGGCTGATGAATACGACTTAAAAGATCAAAGAAATTTAAATATAAATAACAAATTTTCAATGTCACATAATTACGAAGCGAAGCATTCAGAATTATATAGATATATATGTACAAAGTACTTAAGTATTTAAGACTTAACAGAATCAATTAACAAACACATGTACATACATATAAATATACACAGCTGTAATGTATTTGTTTACTAATTTATATTAACAAGTCGGCACTGCTGGTATTGAATTTGCATATCCTTAATACTTAATGCTCGGTGCATTCAAAATAAATACATTTCGCTTGTAAAATTAATATAACTGCCTATTTCTTCATAGACCTAATTAATCGTGACTTGCTTTTGATGAGAAAAATGTGTAGTTTACATAAATTTACAGACAGAAAAAATGTATCGATACATTTAGATATTTGGTATTATATATATGTATTCATGCATCTTTTTGGTTGAGCATTGTAATACCAAAATCCAACAGAACACAGCCTAGCGGAACGGTTGGGATTTTTTACATCTGTTTTTTTCCTATAAGGCTCCCAGTTTTAGCTTGTTTATACTGTTGTAAAGCAATCACCTATGTTATTTTTTCTTAATTCATTTGAAATATATTATTAATAGCATTTTCAAACATAAATAAATTTTAAATAGCCCAGTAAAAAAATTGGTATAATTTTGGACATGCTTTTATATACATTTTTTTTTTAAACATATATTTTCCTGTCCGTTAATTTGACGGTTTTTACAAGAGGATTACCAAGAACGTTAGATATTTTCGAATCAATATGACGGCAGCTTATATCAAAAGCTAGATGATGAAAAAGGGAGTCAGATCTATGTAGGTCGATTAAATAAAAGCTTCGAAATAATAATTTCCCTTGCTTTCGTTGTAAAATTATAAGGATATTAAAACCTAATAAGTAATCATAAATCCTTCAACATACACGCAGGCCCAATATACTTATATAATACAAATACATACGAATACAATACGAAATTTCAAGACAAAAACTTACCTTTATCGTCATAGTTTATTATTTTTTTTGCAAGAATATGGGATTTATGTATGTATGTATAAACATATGTACATATGTTCACCACACAATATTAATACGATTGCTTACTGACATTTCTCTCACCGCTATTAAAAGCACGATATATGTATATATGTACATCTTCATAAATATACATATGTATGTGCGATCGCTTACTGTCATTTTCTCACCACTATTTAAAGCTCTAGCCATGTTATGAAATTTGAGATATTCATAACCACTTATCCGCCTGTTCGGCTGCATGCTATATAGTTTAAAGAATATTAAATTTGTTTTAATTTAGTTATTGGAGTCAGTATAAATATAAATAAACCTATATATAGTTCTCTTTTTTCAAACATGACGGAATCTGGAATCGATTTGGGCTTTGATATGGAGTTCGATCTAAATATAAGCCTGTTAAATGATAACGAGAATATGGATTTTTTACCAAATGTAACTGTAGCAGGCAATTCTGAAAATGTGGAGTTCTATAAATTAAAGTCATCAACGCGCTGCTTACGGTCCGATGACATGTAAGTAGCTTCTGAAAGGCATAAATGTACATAAATTAAGAGAATTTATAAATTATATATGTATGTACATACATATTTACATATATTAATGTACGTTTTCTATGGGCAAGCTCATGGTTATTTTAATTTTTAAGATCAATATTACATACATAGTATATGTACATACATACATATGTATGTATTTCTGAAAGTACACCACTTTACATACCTATGCACATATGTATGTACATACATATGTATATGTATGCATGTGCACAAGCATGATATTATTTGATGTGTAATTAGCGCTATATTATTATCTTATCATACAAAAACATGTACAAACAACAAATACGAAATTATGTATACATATTTATATATGTGCGTAGATATGTTTATACACACGCACATATAAATTATATTTATACATAATATGAAAACTTTATTTTTATGTACATTGTATACGCGTATAAACTATAAATTATAAAAAATATATAAAGAATTAAAAATTTGAACAATCAATTATAAATTTTAAATTTACAAAATATACTGACTTTTACACATTTTTGACTTAACTAAATATAAATTGAGAGAAATATGAAAGTAATGTACTGTTGTTTGCAATTGTGCGGACTTAGTGTCTGAAATGTATTTTACATAAAACAAAGTTGTATACATTTTAACCCAGCTGTTTACTTAATAATTTATACATACATATGTATCTTTCTGTATATATATATATATATATATATATTTATATTATATATATATATATGCATTTATAACGATCCCAAAGTGGCTGGGTGGTTTTACAATCTATGTGTTAACTTTCGCTCAACGCCTAAGTTATAAAATAATTATATGCCATTTTCTGAAAACTATTCTTTCAGAATTTGAGGAATAAATAATGTAAGAATGTAAAATTCATTTACGCTATGATTCTCTCAGAGAGCCAACAATAAGTAGATACAAATTGAGGAACCCTACATTTTTGGCATCATTTAGTCTTATTTTACCAAAGAATGCGTACAAGAGGCCTTTTTTTATTTGCTAGATAGATACAAGGTTTAGGTCATTCATATACTCTAAACTGTTTGTCAGTCGTTACAAAAATGTTTACTTACTGGAGCAAAAAAAGTATACCAAGCAAAGTTGATATGAAAAAAACAAAAACTATAACCAAATGTATTAGACCAGAAGAAATGGATAAGGAAAAGCCGGAACAGCCGACTATTAATACCCATGTCCTGGAGTTTCAAGATTTTTTGAGGCGGGTTCAAACTTTACAAATGTCTCATATAGATGCAAACGATAACCAAGTTTTAACAGGCAATCGGTACAATATTGAAATCGGCGAGGAACTGCGGGAAGCTAACAATATTGGCCAAAAATCATCAGTACTACGATCCACTAAATGTGATTGTATGCCTATGCCTGCAGCCAATGTACGTGTAACTGTTGGTATCGATAAAGATTTAGAAATGATTCTTGAAATGGATCCCAGTATTGTAGATTTAGGTGACGTTGGTATTGCCGAAATGGCAGGGCCGCGCCTAGTGGGTTTACCTCCACTTTCGGGGGGGTAGGTATTTTGACCTTGTTTGGGGTCTTACATTTAAAGTCTTTAAAAAATGTGTAATTTTTAATATAAAATAAATTAACAGACCGACATTCAAAACTGCCACTCCCACTTCACGAACGCAACTCAAGCTTCAATTACAACGGGAACAACATCAACAGCAGCAGCAACAACAGCAAATTCAACAGCATACACTGGATACGGCAGACCAAAAAATGCACATATTATTTGGCAATGGACAGGGATCCATAGAATCGGAATTTATCGATAGCGGTAGTACCAGCGCTTGTGGCAGTGGATCATCCAGTTTAGAACAAATGTCACAATTTGCGCAAATGGATAACTTAATCAATGCGTCAAATGCAGTTAAATTAAAAGTTCCTCTTCAAAGTATTGGTGTAGATGTCCCACCCCAAGTGCTGCAGGTAACAGATATCATAAAATATATTAAATAATTCTTAATAAAAGAGGATTACAGGTCAGCACAGTTCTTGAAAACCCGACCAGATATCATGTTATTCAAAAGCAGAAGAATCAAGTGAGACAATATCTGAGCGAATCTTTTAAACCGTCTATATGGGGCTGCAATAATACCGACGTAGGTATCATTTATTTAGGATAATAAATGTAATTAAGATATTCTTTTTAATCCGTAGGTTAAAATGGAAAACAACTCATCGGCGATGATCAATCTTCAAGGTTCATCTTTAGAAAAAGGAATTTGCCTCCCATCGGAGCGTACCAACAGTTTTGGATCCGATACGGCTGTTATTGCTAAAAGATCGATGAGTTCTAACGACTCAATGGCTAATTCCCCGTTTTCTGGTACTTTTCCAAGAAATGATAACTTGAATCCCAATGAGTCAATATCATTAGCTCATGGTAACGAAGTTTCTGGAGAATCAGCAATTGCACAAAAAACCAACCAGTTGGGATATGTAAAATCTAATTCAAACCTAAATGTATCTACCACGCGTACTTCTTCGGGAATGATTAATTCCATTAAAATATCTAGTACAGCAAGTTCTTTACAGTCTACTTCAGCCCCCATTTCGCCGAGCTTAAGCTCGGTTGCAACAAGTGCCTCAGAGGTGAGTTTTATAGTGAATTATGAATTCACTTTTTTTAAGACAAGAATAGTTTTTGAATGAACTTTTTTTAAAGGTATTCATTCGAAATGTGTATATATAAACAAATACAATGAACAAAAAATTAGTAAGCCAAACTTTGGATATAAAATAAAAAACAAGAAGCACTCTAAGTTGAGTGCCGCGACTATAATATACCCATTACTGTTTTACACAATTTTAAAATATCCATTTTGGTACTGAAAATTCACAAAGCGCCACCTATTGTCAGCATGTAGAGCAACTGTTTTCCCTGGTTTTCTGGGTGTTAGGGTGGGCGTGGCTGGATGAAAAAAATAATTAGCATTTAGGGCATCACAAGAACCTACATGCGTAATCCAAACTTTCTATTACTTATAGTTACCGCGATGTCAGCTTTTCTACAAATTGCGAAAAATACTTAGTTTTAACTTTCTAGCTCTAATAGTTCCTGAGATTTCAGCGATTTTAGTTTTTCGTGATTTGTGGGTGTTATAGTGGGCGTGGCAGGATGCTGAAATAAACTTGCGCTGCGTAGGGCCCTCAAGAATCTTCATGCTTAATATCAATTTAATATCTTATAGTTCATGAGATCTCAGCGTTCATACGAACAGACGGACGGACAGACGTACGTGGCTCAATCGACTTCGCTATTGATCCTGATCAAAAATATATATACTTTATAAGGTATTCCTTCTACCTATTATACCCTTTTTAACGTATACCTTTTAATCTACGAGTAACGGGTATAATAAGTAAGCAAAGATTTGATATAATTAACAAAAAAATTTTATTTTTATTTTAAAAGGCATTGATAAAAATCATATATGAACCACAAAACAACTTGAACACAGTTTTGGAAGATTGTAATTTGAGTTAGTTACCTTTCACGGGTATAGGAAGTTTTATCTTGATAGCATATTATTGTTTATTCAACTTTGTTAAATATGTTAATTAATGGAAAAACCTTTTATCTTAATTATAACTGTTTATATTTTACAGCTACCATCATTCGACAGCGATGTAAGTATTAGCAGAAAGAAGAAGGAGGAACAAAATAAGGAAGTTCTTACACAATAACATTACCCGTTATTACGATTGCCAATTTTAAATATAGTTCACGGCACATGCTAAGGCGTATTATCCTAATCTTATCATAACATGGCTTGCAACATGGCTATACTGTCTTGGGTGGTAATCTACATTAAGAATAAGTTCTTTGTGTTTCTTTCCTTCATTTTCCTTCACTCTATGATTAAAGTAATGTTTTAAATACAAAAATATTTTTTAAAACAAAACTTACATAAACAAGGGAATATTTTTTTTATAAACGTATATGTTTAATTCAATATATGATTATTAAATATTTTTATTTTATTTGAAACCTAATATCGTTTTAGCCAGATGACCTTTTTGATGATATTCTGCAAAATGACTCATTTAATTTTGATAAAAACTTCAGCTCTGAACTTTCCATTAAACAGGAGCCTCAAAACTTAACTGACGCTGAAATAAATGCGTTGGCAAAAGATAGGCAAAAGAAGGACAACCACAATATGAGTATATTTAAAACATTTTAATGTTTTCTTTAGGAATGATATAATACCTATATTATTTTCAGTTGAACGGAGGCGTCGTTTTAATATCAATGATAGAATTAAAGAACTTGGTACTCTTTTGCCAAAGGGCAGTGATGCTTTTTACGAAGTTGTTCGAGATATTCGTCCAAACAAAGGGACAATCTTGAAGTCCTCTGTTGACTACATTAAATGCTTGAAACATGAGGTGACTCGCTTAAGACAAAATGAGTGTCGTCAACGTCAAGTAGAGTTGCAAAATCGAAAACTTATGTCTCGAATTAGGGTAAGTATAATCACCTGAGAATAAACGTTGTAATCTAACATATACTTTTTCAAGGAGCTGGAAATACAAGCAAAGTCCCAGGGAATTTCTTTATCAGAATACCACCCTCCATCAGCTTCGGCACCCACACAAGCTAACGTGTATCTTAAAAACTCAAGTCTATCGCCTTCTGTTTCCCGAAGTCGTCGATCACTGTTCGACCAGCCCATAGAGAAAAAGGTAAGTTTGAGCGTATAAAATTAATTTTCTATTTTTAAATAACTTGTATTAAAATGTAGGTGATAAGCATTAGCGATGTGAATATGGGAATGAATCAAATTGATGAACTCATGGAGGATTGCAAGCATCCAGTTCAAGGCGGCGATCCAATGTTGTCTTCACACAGTCACATGCAGTCTGCTCCACAATCGCCGAGTTCAAAGCCAATGGATTATGGAAGTTTTGAACCACAAAAAATCTCAGAGGCTGATGCTGTACGCCTTTTTAGGGGCAAGACAAATTTATTAATAGATGACTTATGCAGTATAAACTGCAGTACTTCATGTTTTATTCAGAACCAATTGCCCAAACACCAGGGACGCCCCAGTCATTGCCATCCACCCCGAGCAAAGGAAATTCACAGTTTATCTGATTCAGCCACAAGCTCTGAGTTTAGCAGGCTTGAACAATGCGAAGATCCACTGCTGTCATCTTCCCATAGGTCACTGGGAACAGTAGACGAAGACCATCATAGTTCTATAGATATGTCTGCGGTAATGATAAACGACTCCTTTTCCTCTTTGGCAGATGATAACAACAGTGAACCCATGCTTCTTACTCCTGACACCTTAGATATTGATTTGTAAACTAACAATATTTATGTAGAAATGATTATAGTTTACTTGTGTCATTTTTTTGTGGTTGTATGGCTCAGACTTAATTTGTAACAGATAACAATATATAATAACAAAAAGTAAAACCACTATAGATTTTTGTAAACTATGCAAATAATTGGATCTATACAGATTTCATTAAATAAATGGTAGCCTAAACATAAATGTTGTATAGAACCGGTATAACCAACTATATTAATTTCTACAATATATTAATTTCTTAAGTTCTAATAATTTTAAGGAACTGTGAGGAAACAAATTATAATAATAATAAGCAAAAAATCATAGATATACCCAAAAATATAAAAAAAATAATCATTAAAGCTATTAAGTTTTAACCGTGCCTACCATGTTCGAGCTATATTTATTGCCATTATATCTTAAGCGTAAGCGTTTAGGAGAGAAAGCACAACCACAATAACCCTATATAAAAAAATAAAAACAAAGTATAACCAAAGGTTATAAATCATTTTGTTAACAATATTATTATTATATTTTTTACATTTATTCTAAAGTTTCGAAATTTAAATCAAATGATAAACGTTTGTTTTTTCAATACCAATACCATGTTCTCCATACTCTTTATTAAAATACCACTGCGTTGAAAGTGTTGTGATAAATATTTGTATTACCAATGACAAATGTATTATGCGTAAAATATAAATGATAAGTGATCTTTTGTAATAATATATAATTTTCTAAATTTGATAAATATATATATCTACATTGCAAATTTTAATAAATTGTCATGCCTGTTGTCAAAATAATAGTTACCACAATCGCAAATCTCTCCTTATTTTAGAAAAAAAATGAAAATATGAATACCAGCTTCTTTTACGTTTTCAAAAAAATTATTTTATAACTAAAGAAGTTTTTATTTAACTTTATGGTTACCATAATGATATATATATATTTGTAAATGTGATTTCGGTAAAATGTACTCTATAATGTCTTAGTTATAATTTTAAAATTTCAAAATTATGTACTTGACCTGACCTTTAGTCTTTGTTCATCTGCATCAAAATTAGTCAATTTGCAGCAAAACTACACATATTAAATTTTTCTGAATGGATCAAGGTTTAAAATAATACAATGTGCTATACTTATAATAATAATAAAAAGCCAAACGGTATCTATATCTATATTGGGCTTTAGAGTAGGCTATACGTAATACCAACACATCATATATAGTTACTAAATAACGCTGACGCCATTTTTCGAGCTTGGTTGGGCGTAACAGTGGTCGGGACCACTTTAAGATGCGGTACCATTTCAAGATTATTCATGCCTAGCCCCAACTCTCTAGCTCTAATAGTTCTTGAGATATCAGCGGATGCTGAAATAAACTTGCGCTGGATAGGCATCTCATCTCCAATCTGCAGGCTTAATTCCTTTGTATCTCTTATAGTTCATGAGATTTCAGCGTTCATACGGACGGAGGGATAGACGGACCTGCCCTAATCGGCTGGGCTATTGATCCTGATCAAGAATATATATACTTAATAGGGTCGGACACGCTTCCTTCTACCTGCTATACCCTTTTCAACGAAAACAATATACCCTTTTAATCTACTAGTAACGGGTATAATAAGTAAGCAAAGATTTGATATAATTAACAAAAAAAATTTTTTTAGATTAAAAGGCATTGATTAAAATCATATATGAAGACAAAACAACTTGAACACAGTTTTGGGGGATTTTAATTTGACTTAGTTAACTGCGCGATTATAGGAATTTTTATCTTAATAGTATATCATTGCTTATTCAACTTTGTTAAATTGTTAATAAATTAAAAAACTTTTTAATTTAGTTATAACTGTTAATATTTTACAGCTACCATCATTTGACAACGATGTAAGTATAAGCAGAAAGAAAAAGGAGGAACAAAATAAGGATGTTCTAACGCAATAACATTACCCGTCATTACGATTGCCAATTTAAAATATAGTTCACGGCACATGCTAAGGCATAGTATCTTAATCTTATCTTAATATATACAATAAAAGTCTGATTTAAAAAGAATGATCGACCGATAAGTAATGACAAAAATAATATAATGGCGTTTCCTTCATTTCCTTTCATCCTATGATAAACGTAATGTTTTAAATACAAAATTATTTAAATTAATTATTTATTTAAGCAAAACTTTTATTAATAAGGGAACATTTTTTATGAAAGTATATGTTTAATCCAATATATGATTATTTAATATTTCATTTTATTTAAAACCTAATATCGTTTTAGACAGATAACCTTTATATACTGCAAAATGACTCATTTAATTTTGATAAAAATTTTAGCGCTGTACTTTCCATTAAACAGGAGTCTCAAAACTTAACTAACAATAAAATAAATGCGTTGGCAAAAGATAGGCAAAAGAAGGACAACCACAATATGAGTAAATTTAAAACTTTTAATTATTAACTAAAAGAGCTAGAAAGTTAGGCTTAAGAATACGTATTTAAGGGTTGCCACTGCAACTTCCCACCAGTTTTTATCCAGCCACGCCCACTATAACGCCACAAACCGCGAAACACTCTGGCGTCAATAATAATATTATGAATGCCTTCGTTTGACATTGTACAACTTATTTCTGTTAATATCTATCGATTTACCAAAGATTTTTCAAATTGGAACATTATTTCGTTATTTATAAAGAAATTTAGGTTATAAGGCCTCATATGGGCAGTGACGTCACTATCAGTTACTAGACATGCTTTCTCCGACAATAGGTGGCGCTTGGGGAATTTTAACTAGCAAAATGAATATTTTAAAATTGTGTAAAACAGTAAATGCGAATTGTTTTTTTTTTCATTTAGTCACGCCCACCCTAACGCCCACAAAACCCGAATAACCAAAAATGCAAAAATCTCGGGAACTAAAAGAGCTAGAAAGTTAGGCTTAAGAATACGTATTTAAGGGTTGCCACTGCAACTTCCCACCAGTTTTTATCCAGCCACGCCCACTCTAACGCCCACAAACCGCGAAACACTCTGGCGTCAATAATAATATTATGAATGCCTTCGTTTGACATTGTACAACTTATTTCTGTTAATATCTATCGATTTACCATAGATTTTTCAAATCGGAACATTATTTCGGTATTTATTTATTTATTTAGGTTATAAGGCCTCACATGGGCAGTGACGTCACTATCAGTTACTCGACATGCTTTCTCCGACAATAGGTGGCGCTTGGGGAATTTTAACTAGCAAAATGAAAATTTCAAAATTGTGTAAAACAGTAACGGGTATCTCATAGTCGCGGCACTCGACTATAGCGTTTCCTCTTTAGGAATGATTAAATAATGAGGCGTCGTTTTAATATCAAGGATATAAATGAAGAACTTGGTACTCTTTTGCCAAAGGGCAATGATGCCCAAACAAAGGGACAATCTTGAAGTCCGCTGTTGACTACATTAAATACTTGAAACAGGAGGTGATTCGCTTAAGACAAAATGAGTGTCGTGTCGTTATGCCTCGAATAAGGGTATGTATAATCACCTGAGAATAGACGTTGTTAACATACACTTTTTCAAGGAGCTGGAAATACAAGCAAAGTCTCAGCGAATTTCGTTATCATAATACCACCCGTCATTAGCTTCGGCAGCTACACAAGCTAATGTATATCTTAAAAACTCAAGTCTATCGCATTCGTCGATTACTGTTTGACCAGCCCATGGAGAAAAAGGTAAGTTACAGCGTATAAAATTAATTTTCTATTTTTAAATAACTTGTATTAAAATGTAGGTGATAAGCATTAGCGATGTGAATATGGGAATGAATCAAATTGATGAGCTCATGGAGGATTGCAAGCATCCAGTTCAAGGCGGCGATCCAATGTTGTCTTCACACAGTCACATGCAGTCTGCTCCACAATCGCCGAGTTCAAAGCCAATGGATTATGGAAGTTTTGAACCACAAAAAATCTCAGAGGCTGATGCTGTACGCCTTTTTAGGGGCAAGACAAATTTATTAATAGATGACTTATGCAGTATAAACTGCAGTACTTCATGTTTTATTCAGAACCAATTGCCCAAACACCAGGGACGCCCCAGTCATTGCCATCCACCCCGAGCAAAGGAAATTCACAGTTTATCTGATTCAGCCACAAGCTCTGAGCTTAGCAGGCTTGAACAATGCGAAGATCCACTGCTGTCATCTTCCCATAGGTCACTGGGAACAGTAGACGAAGACCATCATAGTTCTATAGATATGTCTGCGGTAATGATAAACGACTTTTGTTGATTTTTGTAAACTCTGCAAATAATTGTATCTATACAGATTTCATTAAATAAATGGTAGCCTAAACACAAATGTTGTATAGAACCGGTATAACCGACTATATTAATTTCTACAATATATTAATTTCTTAAGTTCTATTAATTTTGAAAATCTGTGAGGAAAGAAATTATAATAATAATAATCAAAACGAGGATGGAAGCTAACTTCGGCAAGCCGAAGTTTTAATACCCTTGCAGATTTCACGAATGAAAATTTGACTAAAATAGAAACAGGAATTAAAATGCAGTTTTCACTATATTGTTCCTATGGGAGCTATAGGATATAAACAGTGTTGAAGCAGACGGACATGGCTCAATCGACTTCGCTATCGATCACGATCAAGAATATATATACTTTATAGGGTCGGAAACGCTTCCTTCTATCTGTTACATATTTTTCAACAAATATAGTATACAAAAAAAAATAGTGTAATTATGAGTTTCAATAAAATTACAAGACTATTACTTCAACTTTACAGCTTATCGAAAAAAATTTTAACATTATCTTGCAATAAATAGCTTTGTGCTCCCAACAAACATCTTTTCAGAGGCTACCGTGCCTATCATATTAAAATCAAGAGAAGTGATAGGTGTGAAGGGCCCAAGTAAAAAATAAAGCGATTAAATCTCCCCTAAAGTGATTATAGAATTTCCGAACTGTGCAGTAAATCTGCTCACCACGATATTCAAAAGCATGATGAAATTGGGCTATTATCCGTAACAATGGAAAAAGTCTGTAATGACCATGGAAAGGACAATATGGGCCGATCAGTCTCCTGCCGCGCCTATCGAAGATATTTGAAAAGCTGCTCCTGAGTCGTATAAAGCAACACCTACAGTGCCATAATGCTGAATTGAATCCCCTCCGAGATACAAAATACATTTGAAAGTCGAGAGTATTGTTCCGCAGTCTTTCTGGATGTCGCACAGGCCTTCGACCGCGTCTGGCTGGATGGCTTAATTTATAAAATTAAAACCTTGCTTCCACAGAACACCCATAAAATACTGGAGTCATATCTTGTGCATAGAAGTTTCGCAGTACGATGTACGGACTTCCTCTCCGAATACCTCAGGGTAGCGTGCTTGGAACAACACTATATAATTTACACAGCAGACCTTCCGATAACCAGTCTCACAACAACGTCAACATTTGCTGATGATACTGCCATTTTAAGTCGATCAAAGTGCCCCATAAGAACTGAGAACTATAACTGGTCCTCGTGGTACATACGGAATGAAAACATTCACAGAGATTTAAATGTGGGATCTGTTAAAACGAAATCGAAAATGTAAATGCGAAATATACGATCAAGCTACATGCTCTTCTAAATAGGCTTTCGCGGTCTCTAACATGGCGACTTACGGCTCCGGAGAATAGATCTCCCCACCCAGCAACAACAGCTAGGGCCGTTCTCCTAAAAAATTAATTTTTAAATTTATGTATTAGGCTATGATTTGAACACTTGTTGCCAGTCTCGAAGACAGATGATTCAATAAATAAATACCGAAATTACAAAAAAAAACATCTTGCAAAGGAAATATATATTCTTAAGGTGAACATGATACATACCTAACACAAGTTCTGCACAAAAGTCGGAACGAATTTCTATACATGTACAAGTTTATTTGGGGTCTAGTTTTCAGCATTGGACAATACAAATACTTATCTTAAAATTTATTGAATATTTTTAAATTATTTTTTTGCCAATTCAGCTGAAAGCCAATCTAGTCCTTCATATAATCCGTGACCCTGGGTAGCGCAAGTAGCTTGAATAAACCACTAAAAAAAATAAATATTAATACTATAGTAAAATTAAGACGTAAAACTCATATATACGTGACGATTCCTTAATTGGTTTAGGTGTAACTTGTCTGTTAGCTCGGCAGCTGTCATTGCGTTAGGTAGGTCCTGCTTGTTAGCAAAGACTAACAGAACAGCATCTCTAAGCTCGTCCTCCTGAAGCTAAAATTGCGAAAAAATAGAGGATTGAGGGCAACGTTGATAAATACTCTTGAAATAAACAAAATACCATGTTCTGTAGTTCTTTTTCAGCTTCATTGATACGATCACGATCGTTGGAGTCCACGACAAAAATCAAACCTTGTGTATTTTGAAAATAATGACGCCACAATGGACGAATTTTATCTTGGCCGCCAACATCCCAAACGGTAAAACAGATATTTTTATATTCTACAGTTTCAACGTTAAATCCAATAGTTGGAATGGTGGTGACTATTTCTCCCAACTTTAATTTGTATAGTATAGTCGTTTTTCCCGCAGCATCCAATCCAACTATTTAAAAAATATTTCAAGTTTTGCGTTATTTGCTGCTTGTTATTATTAAGGAATATACGACAATAATAATCTAATATTTATGGTATTGTTTTCAGACAAAAGGATCCGTATTTCATTTCAACGACTTACCCATAAGAATACGCATTTGTTTTTTACCAAACAGACGAGTCAGAAGGCTAGATATCGTTAGTCCCATTTCGTGTTTAGGAGTGCTATATTTTGTGTAGGTTCTACTTTTTTCAGTAAATTGACGTGTAACCTAGTCATTCGATTAGTGAGGCCGTATATTAAAAAATGTTAATAAACAAATCTTTTTTAATATCGCCTAGTACTTAAGATGTTTGTTTTGATACAATAAAAGGGAACACAAAATCCGAAATACCCGATACACACAACCGCTGCAAAGAATAGATGCACTATTTTGCAAACAAATAAACTGCAACAGGAGCAAGAAGACAACTAAAGCTCTCTCGAAGTATCATATATCAAATGTTAATTTTTATTTAACCTTTAATAAATTCGAATAGATAAGGTTTTTTTAAGTTCAAGAAAATATAGGAGAATAAATTTCTGATAACATCGATTAAAAAGCATTTAACTTTTTTAAAATAATAATAATTTAGAATAAATGTCCAAATACCCAGATATAGCTTAGGCGTATTGGCGACTGCGGTTCCTTCTTAAAAACCGCATGATGTGGGAAGATGCAAGAACTACATGCCTATTCGAGGAAGTTCTCTTCACTTAACTGCTTCTACTGCTCACCGCAGACGCTATTGCTTAAGCAAATTTGCCGTTCCAACTGTAAGAAGCTTTTGAGCGCCATCTAATGACATCTTCCTAGAACCACAGCTGGATCTATGTATGTGGTAAAGGGCAACCATACTACGTAACTGCTGCAGAGGTCTCCTTCCATGGCTAAGGAGCGGTCTGGAATGGTCTTGACCAATGCCTCAATGCCCAAAAACACTAGATACAGTGTAACTGAACTGTTTCCCTCACTCCTACCGCTCGTCCTTATATAGACGAGCGTGTATTCTGGGCTATTGCTTTGCCGGGCAACCCGATCCTGGTGTCAGCAACATGATTTGCGACTCGAACGGGATTGGCCAGTGAGAGCCCTCGTATATAGTCCCAACGCTGTTGCACGAAGCTGAGATTGGAAAGCAGGAAGAAATCGAATTGAAAACATATGCAAAATCAAGTTCTACTGAAAAATTATGACTGATTTCAAAATACGAAGATTGAATACTTGCAACGACGACCGCCCTGGACCCATCCCAAAAACAGATGCTCGGTTTCTAGACCGTTTTAGATGCAGGGACTGTGCTACGTGTTCCGATACTATGGTTGTCTCAGATCCTTGATCGACCAGAGTCCGAGCTTCGTTCGGCGAGCAGTGAAGAAATGAACTTTAAACAACTGATACATAATTTAGAGCTGCTTACTATATCTCTAATCCTATAGCAGTCTAGGGCCAAAAAGGTTGTGCGACGACGCAGGATATAGTCGCCACTAGAGCGCTCTTGCGCACTGTGCCCTCGCAATCGTTTTCTCGGTGTGGTATAATCTGGTCCAGTACTGAAGTCGTATCAAGCCGATCGTTCAAAAATGATTTTAAATCCTTATAAGATGGAATGGGATTACCGCTTTGGGAGCACCACCAAACGCTGTAGGTCGTTTTGGGTAACTTCGATGCTACGTAAAGCGCCAACCAGTGCTGTGATTCCCATCCAAGGCCTGAACGCACCCTTCCAAGTTTACAATCACCGAGAATCCGTCTCCTGAAACGCGCTCCGTAGTTCCTCAACTAAGTCTAGAATTTATTTCCTCGATTGCGAATTATATCTAAAATGCTGTAACATAGATTTCAGGGACTGGTAACAATTTGCCTGAAATTTGACCAAGTGCTCCAAAGAGAATTCTACGATTTGTTCTAGTTCTGGTGTATGGTTCATGAAACAAATCTGCCCATATAAAAGAAAATGTGGTATCTTACTAGAAATGCAGATCGGCTGATCTTTTATATATAAGTTAACGAAGAAAACTACGCACAGGCCTGGGAACATTTGTCTAAATATTGAAGTATCCTAACTAACAGAAAAGATAGATGGGCTCTCTATGAACAATAACTTAGAAGGTTAAAGAATTGCTACCGCTACACACGATGTTCGATTTCTAGGATCAAGGAATCAGAGTTTAAAAATCCGGAAGAATGTATAAGAAGGATCCAAAAAATTGTATATGTCCATCATCTACAGGCAGCAAAGGACCCTGTTGTGCTTTCTGTAAGAAGGGAAACGTCTCCCTCTTCAAATGTGAATGTTTTTGATCAAGAGTCAAGAGTAAGACTAAATTGGCTATTGCAAAATAAAATGTATATCAAATGCTCCAGCACTGACCAAAAAACTACAGTGTGTCGCACTAGAATATGCTTTAAATGCAATAAAAGCCATCATACGTTGGTTCATCTGGAAACCGCTTCGGAATTAGCCGAGCCACGAGCATAAGCTGTAGGCGCTGCAAGCACCAATACCTACAATCTAATTGCCACTGCCACAGTGTTAGTGCAAGCAAATAACGGTAAGAGTGCCAGCTTTAGAACTTTAGGACTAACATAATACTGATTAACGCCCATAGAGATCAATTTTTGGTCTACCGATGAGGAATTCCAACAGTGCATGATAGTAGCGAAAGTTCTACACATCTGCTTTGATCATCAAAATGTATACAGTGCAGAAAACTGGTGTAAATTTCAATTATTTAACAATAACTTATTAACGGATTTTAAGGCCATTGAAACCAAGTCTAACATGGTTTTTTTGGAAGACAAAAAATGGAAAATCATCTGCCACACAAATTGAAGCGATTAATTTAAAAAAAACAACTGTTCCGTTCACATAAAGTTATAAGTCTCAGCGTTTCGACAAAAATCGAAAACCGTCTTTCCAACTTCGTGGGCATAACCGTGGCATAACCATGGGTTTTTATGGTGATTTGTGGCCGTTTGATGGGTCGTGGCAGGATGCTAAGATAAACTTGCGCTGCGCAGGTTGCCTCAAGTATCTGCATACTTAATACCAACTTCAGGCGTTTCCGGCTGTTGAAGTCAACTTGTACTGCGTAGGCATACCTCGAATCTACTTGCCTACTTTTAACTTTTATAGTACCAGAGATCTCAGAGCTTATCAAGGCTATATTAATTAACATTGAATATCCTTTACCTATTAACGGTCAAAATATTAAGTTGTCAAAAAAGTCTTGCGGTATTTTTATTGAATTTTCAATTGTTGTAAAATTGGTTACAATAATGCGATTCAAGTCAAATATGCGCCGTTTTGTTCGATGACGCGTTCCCAAGGAGATGCCAACTTCATAATGCCCCTCTCATAAAAGCTCGCTTCCCTATTGGGATAAAACTCGGAGCGTGGCGCATCTTGGACCACTTCTACACCAGAACGAAAGCGTTGATACCATCGTTGTGCGGCGGAAATGAATCGGGTCCATAAACTGCACAAATTTTATTGGCGGCTTGAGATGCATATTTGCCTTTATCGTAGTGGTACTGTAAAATATGGCATATTTTCTCTTTATTTTGCTCCATGATTGCGACGCTATAACTCACGAACGACTTAAAAGAAAAGACAATCAATCAAACACGTGTTAGCGCGTGAAATGAGCTTTCCAAAAAGTATAGTATAGTATAGTATAGTATAGTATATAGTATAACCTGATGCGACGAATAAAACAAGAACTACGCTCTTTCAGCGCCAACTAGCGAAAACCCCGCATCACATGGGCAGTGACGTCACTAAAAGCATACTCAACATACTTCCTCCGACAATAGGTGGCGCCTTGTAAATTTCCACTAGCAAAATAATATTTTAAAATTGTGTAAAACAGTGACGGGTATCTTATAGTCGCGGTACTCGACTATAGCGTTTCCTCAACAATAATTACATGAGTACTATTTTATATATACATTTTGGCTAAATTAGAATTATCTTAAATGAGGTGATATAAGTTTGTATTTTTTTTGAAATGGTATTATTTTTAATTTGTTTGGTAGTGTGGGGTTTGAGATGGATTCTAGTGGATTGGTGTTTTTAAATGTTAATTGTCTTTGGTAGTTCAGTGACTTGCAGTTAGTCAGTAAATGATTAATTGATTAGGCATCGTTGGTATCATTGCAGAACAGGCAGGTCCTGGTTTCAGTTGGGTCCATATAATGTGTATGTGTAATTTTTGTGTGTCCAAGCCTGAGCCTTGTTATTATTATCTGGTCTCTACGTGTGACCGATGAGTGAATGTTTTTGATAATTTGGTGGCAGTTGAGTTCGGGATGATTAATTGCTTGGTACCAGCGTAAAGTTTTGGATATATTTAATTGCATTTTCGAGAGATATGTATTTTTAATATATTTTAATATGTGGTTGTCTTGTAGCGTTTTTTGCTAGGGCGTCTGCAAGTTCGTTTCCAGGTATTCCTACGTGACCGGGGGTCCAAAGTAATTATACCCGTTACTCGTAGAGTAAAAGGGTATACTAGAGTCGTTGAAAAGTATGTAACAGGTAGAAGGAAGCGACCCTATAAAGTATATATATTCATGATCAGGATGAATAAAGAAGACGAATGAGCCATGTTCGTCTGCTTGTCCGTCTGTCCATATGAGCGCTGAGATCTCAGGAACTATAAGAGATGCAAAATATAGATTAACCATGATTCTTGAGGTCCCTACGCAGCGCAAGTTTATTACAGCATCCTGCCACGCCCACTCTAACGCTCACAAATCGCAAAAAACTAAAATTGCTGAAATCTCTTGGAGCTAGAAAGTTAAAATTCAGAAAGTAAAATCTTTTGACCCACCCATACGCCCACAAGGCTCACTAGACGGTTTTCGGATTTTCTAGAAAAGCTGATATCTCGGTAACTATAAGAGATAGAAAGTTTGGATTAAGCATGTAGGGTTTTATGATGATCCCAATGCGAATTACTTTTTTCCGATCAAGCCACACTTACTCTAACCCACAAAACCCGAAAAACAAAAAATTCAAAAATCTCGAAAACTATAAGAGCTGCAAAATTTAGCTTAGGAAGACGTATTTAAGAGATGCCTGTGCAACTTGCCACGAAGTTGCATCTGGCCGCGCCCACTCTAACGCCGACAGATCGCGGAAAACTGTGGCGTCTATAATATTGTTATGAATGCCTTCGATTGACCTTGTATAACTTATTTCTGTTAATATCTATCGATTTACCAACGATTTTTTAAATCGGAACATTATTTCGCTATTTAATTTTATTTAATATTTTAAAATTGTGTAAAACAGTGACGGGTATCTTATAGTCGCGGCACTCGACTATAGCGTTTCTTCTTGTTTCAATTTATTATTGTATTTTTGTAGAAGGTTACGGGCCGTTGAGATATAGTGTTTGCTGTTGTTAGTGTTTTTTATTGCGTCGATGGCAGTCTGAGCATATGCAAAATTTGCCTCTTTTAGTTTAATGTACTTGCAGTGCTTCTACTATTGTTTGCTTGAGATCCGTCGGTGTAAATGTATGTGTATTTGTGCTCGTCTTTTGTCTTAATTTCTGTAAATTGTAATCTGAAAATTTCAGGAGGGTTACTTTTTTTGTCGAATTTATTTAGCGATGTATCCATTTTTAGAGGGCTTTTGTTCCAGGGCGGTGTGGTTGGTGTAGGTGGTGTTAATTGTTTAAATGGTAGTTGGTGGACTTGTGAGTATTTTATAATACGATCTGTTCTTTATTTGTATTGTGGACGTTTTGGCGGGCGATATGCTTTTAAAATTTTAATTATTGGTGAGGCTTTGGCGTTAGCTAGGGACTTAATGATTTTTGACGTAAGGAACTCTCGTCTGTCTTCTAAGGCGTCTGCATTTGCTTCGTAAAGTATGTTATTTTTTGGGGTGGTTCTGAAGGCTCCGATGGCACTTCTAAAGGCTGTGTTTATTGGTGACTTTACTTTGCGCAGTAATGTGTGCGGCCAGTAGCCGTAGATTGGAAGATCTTAGTCTGCTTTGAGACGATGGTTGCTTTTGTTACGTTTAGGTGTCTAGATGTGTTGCAGTTAAACTTTGCGCTTGAGAGACATTTTATTACGTTAATATACTGTTTTAGGTAGTTGTTTAGTAGTTCCGTGTGAGTTTTCCATCTGTATTTGCTATTGAAATGAAAACCAAGGATTTTTAGTGATGTTACTTCTTGCATTTGCGTGTTTCCTGTTGTTATGGTGCAGTTACAATTATGTTTTCTGTAAACATGGAGGTGTTTGCATTTTCTGGTAGATAACATGGCTCCGGAGTATTATCGAATTTAGGTTTATATTTAGGCTTTTTTTTGTTTTTTAGTTTTAGGATGATGTTAAAGTCATCTGCGTATGCGCTTAGGCTGATGTTCGGGGGAAGTGTATGTTTTTTTGTTAGTGAGTTATATGCAATCTCAAAAAGATTCAACTGTGTTATTAGTGTTTTGTTTTCTGGATGGGTTGAATAGATAGTGTATGTGTTTTTGAGGGTTAATGCCGCAAAAGCGTCGGATGTTGCTCCAGTTCGTTTTGGGTTGGGTGACCGGTGAGATTTGGGATGTGAATTTGTGAATGCTTGCTTCTTTACTTTGTTTGAGTGTTAGTTTAAATAGGGCATTTGCCCTTTTGTACTGTACAATGTTTTTTGTAGATATGTTTCTTTTAAGAGCGTTCCATTTTTTCATTTTATCCGCTCGTAGTTTTTGAGATTGTTGTTCCACCATCGTACATTATGTGTTTGTGCTATTGCCTTGTGAGCGCTCGAAAGGATAATTTTTTGTATTGTTGCAGCTTCTTTGTTTATGTTTGTGCTTGGTGGTCGTGCGCAGAGAAGTTTTCTGTTGGCTTGGCAAATTTATGCCATTTTGCCTTATCCATAATGAAAGTGGGTTTCCGTGTGGTTGATTGTAGGTTAGCAGTATTTGATTTGAAGAGGTTAATTATGATGGGGAAGTGATCGCTTCCAAAAAGGTTATCTTCTGTGCGTCAGGTACTGTCAATTTTAGGAGTGGGCTGCCGAGAGTCAGATCGACATTTGTTAGTGAGATGTGTGTGCTGAAATGTGTTGGAGATATATCGTTTAGAAGAATGTAGTTAGATTGTGTTATGTATTTCTTTAGTATTTTCCCTCTAGGATTGTTTCGCTTTGAGACCCAGTTTTTGTGCCAGCCGTTGAAGTAACGAGTGACAATTGTGGGTGTGGAAAAGTTGTCTAATACAGCCTGAAGATTTCGTAGTGAGAACGATTTGTTTGGAGCGATGTATGCCGAAATAAGTCTGAATTTGATTTTCGAGGTTAATTCTCAGCATACTGCGTCAATGTCATCGTTTAGGGTTATTTCTCTGGTTTGCAAAGATTTATGAGCCAGGATGGCTGCGCCTCCGTGTGACGGTGATGTTTTTTTTTCTATTAGGGAGTAATTAACAGGTATTGGTATATTGAGGTATTTTATATGAGTTTCTTGTAATGCTATTAAAAGCAGTGGGTTTTTTTAATGATTAATTGGAGTTCGCAGTAGTTGTTAAGGTATCCGTTCATATTCCATTGTACAATGTCATTTTAAAGGTTGATTGGTTGTTGTTGAGGTGGTGGATGATTTTGTGCCTTTTTATTGTCTACTGTTGGCTCTGGCTTTTTTATTTTTGCTTGATTAGCTTTTGTGAGTTTTTGGTTTGTAGTTATTTTTTTGTTTTTGTCGCAGTTTAAGGTCCAGTGCAGATTGGGTTGTTGATCGAGATAGTGTAGGTCTTGTGTGGGTGGTTTGCTTTGGCGGGTATCTTGCGCGTTTTTATTATGATTGCTGAGTGTTGATGTTGTTGTTTTGCTTGGTGTTATAGTGTTGGTTAGATTTTTTGATACAATTGAGGCGAAGCTTATTGGAATTGGATAGTTATGGCGAGTGTGTTATATTTTAAGTGCTGTTTTGTGATGTACTTTTTCTGTAATTTTAATGTTTATTAGTTCTTGTTGTTTTTTTAATGTTGGACAGTTGCGGTCTAGTGGGCTGCGTTTGGAGTCGATATCGGCGATGTTTATGCACTTAATGCTTCTTTGTTCATAGTGGCATGTCTCATTTACCTCTGCATGAACTTAAGCAGAGCAGTTCCTACACAGTTCGTTAGGGTTCTTACAGGATGGGTTTGGGTGTCCAAAGCGTAAGCATATCATGCACTTTAAGGGCATCGAGATATATGGGCGTACGCGTATTTTTTCGTATCCAATGTTAAGGAATTCTGGGAGGGTAAGTGAAGCAAATGTAATACTGATTAGACCAATTTCAGTCGTGGATTGATCTTTTTTTTTAAATATTTTTCGTACTTCGGTGACTTTTTGTGGTTTTACTTCGTCTAAGATTTCTGCTTCGCTTATGGTGCGAAGTAGGTTGCAATATATTACTTCTTTAGAGAAATTTAGGGTTTTATGTTCAGAGACAGTTACTTCAATGTTCGCAATTTTGTTTAATTTAAGTAATTTGTTTGCTTGTAAGGTGTTTTTAGTTTTTATCAAAATGTATCCGGCACGAATGTTTTTGCAAAACTGCACCTCACCATCGCAAGTAAAGTCAATCGTTTTTTAAGTATGAAAGATTTTCGAGGGATTTGTTGTCTGGTCCGATAATGATAATGAATTTTGGTTCGACTGGGTTTTTGCTGTACATTGATGTACCACTTCTTATGTCCGGTGGTTTGTCCATTGTTGTAGTTTTTCGAGCTGGCGCCGGGCACTTGGATTTTGAGTTATTTGTTTTTGCTTTTTTCTATTTTGTTTTACGTACTTGTTTGTTTTTTTCTGATAAACAGTTGTTAGTTGTTGTTTTTGGATGTTGGTATAGGTAGACTACGAGAGCTCAATAGTAACACGTCTTTTCTCTGCGAGGTTTGATATGATACTGAAAATACATTTTATTCTCTAAGAATGTTGTAGATACGTTTATAGGTATATGCTTACGTTTATACGTATATGATTCAATATTACCTATTAGATAAAAGTAAAAATAGTAAGCAAATTAAGTTTACAATCCGGTATCAGGCTTTTTATTAGGATGAAATAAAGTTGACAACATTAAACAAAATTTTCTAACAATTTCTTTAAGCTTTACTCAAATAACGCGTACACGGTTTTTTTGTATTTAAAATGCCTTATTTTTAATTTTATTTTGTGAGATCTCTTCATTCCAATACTAGAGCAATGCAAATAAGGGCCAAGACGTATTCAGCTTATCACTTGTATGGCAGTGCGTTGTCCTTTTATCAGAAAACAAAATAATTTGCTGCATCTAATCTCTTGAATGGCGTGTTGTGTATTGTCAAAAATTAGCTACATATCATTTGACTGTAATGTTAACTTATTCGAATGAAGCGACAAATTGGATTTTTCGATTATCTCAATAGATTTGTCAATTGCGTACGAGCTAGTTAGATTAACCAATGATTCTTGTGCACTATCTATGGCCACGGTCCTTGAATCGAATGCGTAGCTAGTATCTGCAGGTAAATTTGGTGTGGTTGAAGCCGAGTATTCTCCTAAGACATCTAGGCTTGAAACTTGCTCCAATTGTGTCAATGAATTTGCTGAGCTATTCAACGAACCAGAGAACTTTAATAATCCTGAAACATATTTAAAAGATGACAAGAATTCAATATAAGAGGAGAGAGTGAATTTACGGTTATTTTCATTATTTTTCATTTGCGGTAAGTATGAAAGTGTGGGTGCATAATATCTCGCTGCTCCAACGTCCACCGCAGTCAAAACACTTACTCCACCGGAGTCAGCTGAATGCGATGAAGGTAAATGTGGTGACGCAACTGTAGTTTTTTTAAAGCTATCTACTAATATATCAGCGTTCGTTAGAGGTGCTTTTGTTGCACTTAATGATCCCTCTGGAACGCATTTAGTAAGTCTAAAGTCCGTTTCTCCAACACCAAGCTGTTTTAGATGAAGACTGGAATGGCTCTTATCCTTTTTGATTGTTAAAGATATAGATGTAGCAGATGTTGACGATTGCGTTATTTCGGGTACTACGTCCTTATTTCGGGCTGTGAAAATAAATAAAAATAAAGAATATTTACATTAAAAAAATATTTATATTTATTTTTACCTGGTACTGGAGATTGGTTCCCGCTAAGACTAGCACCACTGATGCCACCACAGCCACTTGAGCTACTTGGCGGTCTCGGTAGGCGACGGCGAAGCCATGGATGCTTTAAAGCCTCGGAAGGTGTTAATCGTTTGTCTGCATCCCATTCTAAGCAGCCTCGTATAAAATTAAGAAAGAGTGGATCTTTGCATCCATCCAGAGCTTTTGATAGACTCTTTGAGCATGGAGGGCCACGAGGCTTACCTCGACGTGATTGGCCACCAATTAGGACGACCATTCCATCAGACATTGTTCGAACTGTACAGTATCGTGGATACCCTTTAGGGTTAAAAAAGGATTTTGACCTCTTTGAGTTTGCTAGTATATTTTTATTAGGCATTCCCAAGACTTCTATTATGCAAGCTAATTGGTCGCTTTCATTTTCACCAGGAAACAAAGCATGTCCTGATAGCAACTCTGCTAGTATGCAACCCAACGACCACATGTCAATAGCTCTGCCATATTTCGCTCCCAAAATTACCTCTGGGGCGCGATAAAATCGTGACTGTATGTATGTGTAAATACGCTGATTCTCAAAGCAGGATGAACCAAAGTCAATTACCTAAAAAAACGAAAAGTATATTACTTTTACTTTACTTTTTTACTTTTTAAACTATAAGCCTAAAAAATTTAACTAAGTAAAGAAATAACCAAAATTGTATGTTTTTATTCTTGCGCTATAATAAACAATATTTATGCATTTGGCAATTACTTAAATTTATTTAAAACAAAACTATAAGCCTAAAAAATTTAACTAAGTAAAGAAATAACCAAAATTGTATGTTTTTATTCTTGCGCTATAATAAACAATATTTATGCATTTGGCAATTACTTAATCATATTCGTAGCTTTTAGATAATATCGATCTTAGTTAAGATTGCAAAATCATGAAAAAGCATGAATTCTAAATTAATATTTTCAAAATACAAGTTAAAATAATGAACTTATAAAAGCAGTGATTATAATAGGAATATCAACTTCACACTCTAGGAAATTGATTAAAACTAACTTTAAAATTTAAAATGGTATAGTAAAGCTTATTTTATTAGCTTTTAATATATATATATATATTGATATATTTATTATATTATATATACATATTAAGACTTTATTTAAAATTAAAAGAGAATTCAAAGAAAATCAAGAAGAAATTTCGCAAAATTAAACAAATTTACAAAATTATTTTTATGAACGTAAGTTATAAAAAATAAAGTACGAAAAGTTTAGGCGAAAAGAATATTGCAATGTAAGTATACGATCCTGTAGTGTTTTTTATTAATGCCACATAGAGTAAGTAAGAATCTCGAAGTCTCAGGTCTGATGCGCAGGGTTTACGGATGCATATACACTATAATATAATCGTTTTACCATAAGAAATATTATAAATTATTTAAACCAACAAATGATTGAACAAATTAATCACATTGAGCTAAATATCTTAGAAAAAATAAAGTTTTGTCAAGAGCGGTGGTCAATAAGCAATAGATAATAAAATCCGATTAATAGCTATTTTCTTGTGTGCAACTATTCGGCTATCAACATTAAACAAACCACGTTACTCCGTAAAGCGTCCTTATTCTATCAAGTATATTTTGCGACGAAACAATAATACTGCATACTCTTATATACTTGCCTTTATACCAGAACGACCCTGCTGTTTTAATAAAACATTTTCTGGTTTCATATCGCAATGAATAATGTCATTTTTATAGAGTGCATCCAAACATTGAAGGAGAGAGTGTGCAAACTTCCGTACCAGCTGCAAACTGAAGCCCTTGAATCCATTTTTTTTAATTAATTCGTACAGATTGATGCTAAGCAGCTCAAATGTAATGCAAGTATGATTGCGAAATGTAAAATAGTCAAACATATGTATTATATTCATAGTGTTGTATTTATCATGGCGACGTAAATGATGAAGAATGCGAATTTCCTCTTGTGCCTGACGGTGAAACCGCTTTTCGTTTCGCACTATTTTTAGGGCAACGTGCTCATGAGTTTTATGATCATACGCTTTAATCACCTGTCCAAAGCTGCCCTTGCCGATTATTTTGAGCATTTCATACCGATATGCCACGTGATCATGAGGTACATGAATATAAGCACCTTGCTCATTATCATAATCAGAATTATTTGGACCGTAGACTCCTGGCCTTTTCTTTGCATTTGCACCAATAAAATATATCTGGGGATAGGCGAGTATTTCCGTGCGCTCGTAGGGAGTCAGCTTGTGCATGTATAAAATCATTACTTGTTGTGGGGAAACAACGAGAATTTTTGGTTTCTCTTGCAACTCGCTTTTTTGTTGCCCAGACATTATAATTTGCTCGTGAAATGGAAAAGAATCATTTTCCAATACTGCAGTTTCTTTGAACAAAACTAGCGATTCACATTCGGGTTCCGATTTTGAAATCGAAGCTAAATATATGCCGGGAACCTCTGTTTTTTTTGAAACTGTAGTTACATTAGGCAGAGATATTGCTGGAACATTTAAAAAAATCTTATAAAATGGTTCATATAAATTGCAAATTGGATGTTACCTTGAATAGACCCCATAACCTCACCATCATCGGAAGTGGATATTTTCTTGATATCTGCAGTGTAATTGGAAAACTTATTTGATGGCTGCTGTTGCAAGTCTTCGTTACTACCATGAACCATCGATCCATAACTACTATTGTAATATTGCAGTCCACTGTCCCGAAGTGGATGATGAATTGAGTTATGAGAATTAGTTTGAGTGATACCAGTCTGGGTAGAACTTGGGTTAATCATCTGAATTTTAAGCTGAGGTAGTGATATTGGCGATGTAAGTGCTTCTGCGATTTGTATTTCTTCCACAGGAATTGTGCTAAAATTATTTTCACCCTTACATATGGTATTTTTGCTTAACTTGTGTGGTTCAGATAATTCAATTTGATTATGTTTTTGCTGTGGACCAACCATACTGCGACTACTGCGCCTATTATTTATTAAATTTCGAAATATTGGTTATAAACAGTAAGAACCTATTTTAGCTGGGTTTAGTTTTATTTTATATATTTTATATCTTTGCAGAATCTTGTTAAAAGAAATTCTATAATGGGTTTTCCCTTCAAATAACAATTTACTGTTTATTGATATAATTTCAGAGCTTAAAATAACGTCGTAACTCGTAGAGGACTTTTGTTTTTAAATTATACATATTCATTTGTTGTAGTTTTAAGATATTTTTTATGTTTAATATTACTTGAATATCAAAACATATTTTTATTAGTCATTATTATTAGCATTTAGTTTAACAATCTTTAATACATTTTTTATATTTCGGCTTTTCAGTTATAGATGTTATTATTTATCTCCGACATACCAATGAAATACAATTACAGAAGATCTCATTCTTTAATGTATTATACTTCAAAGTTTGTTTTCCAGTCAAAATGTTTTAGCTCAGGCTAGCGTTCCTGTCTGTCACATCATGCATTTCTTTTAAATCAGAAGTATTTTCCAAAGTAATATATAATATGATTTCGAATAATTGTCGATATTACAATTTGTGAAGCAGACGTCCATACACATTTGGTTGTATGGTATGAATAAATTTAAAATCGTTTTTGTATATGCTAAAATAAACAAATCACTTTATTAATAGTCAAAAAAATCAAATCATATTTAGAATTCTAAAGCTTTACCAAACAAACATTACATTACATTTATGTTTTTTTGTATGTGTTTGTCACACATTAAATATTATATTATAATGAAAATAGTAATCCCTTGGTGCAATCATTTAGATATTTTGTCAACACTGGAGTTTTAAGTATGAATGTATGCATGAGAAGCTTACATACATATGTACACAAAATGCACACCGCTTAGTTTTATTTCGAAGAGTTTTAAAAAATCGAACTTAACACTAAACTTGTATTTCTATATTGTCTTGGTTTATTATAATTGCCCTAAAGAAAAGTTATTTGCATTTTACAAGTACATTCGAATACACAATTTTCTGACCGACCAAAGTGAAGAAGAATGTGACCAAATCCTAACCGAGATAATTTTCCACCAGGTCAAATAATAAGGCGCATTAGTATTGCTGACCAATAGTCGAGCCACGCATAGCTTAGCTGCTTGAACTGACGCAAAAATTGATGCAGAACTTTTTCACAGAGCGGAAATAGTTAGCAAAACAAAACATATAATAAATTAATATAATGATAATTATTTTATATATATTATACAAGATTTTTAATATGACTAGAAATTAACTAAGGTGAATCATACTGGAATTGTTTTTGGGTATAGTTTGTAAATGCTTACGCACGATTCTTTCCATTCTTTTTAATAATAATAAAAATTGTTGTAAAAGAAGTAGTTGGTTTGAGCGTTAGCCAATTAATACATACCTTATAACTTTTCTTTAAGTGTTAATTGTGTTCTTAGCATATATTAACCTTTTGGTAGATATTAATAAATCTTTATCGACGTTAATAATAATAAAAACAAGAATAGCACTCAAGACTTTTACGCGATTTGCTTTGCAGTGCAACATTTTTAAGAGAAGCAATAATAAATTTGTGGGAACACGATTTTGTAATTGCAAGTTAATAAAGTAAAAGCATGCTAGTTAACAATAAAAATAAAAATGTTATATTGCTACGGTTATGCGTATTCACTTGTTCCAAAATGGAGAATAACCAGTTGTTTCCCTCTGAGCTATCGGAAATCGATTATTAATCAAAGGATAGAAAGGTTGCCGTTGAAGAGTTAAGTTCTCTGTGCAAAATACAAATACGTTGTTAAGCAATAAAATTATAAATAAAATTGAAGAATCAAAATTGTTTCGTTAATATGTAAATAGCAATATCAATATTGTTTCTGCGTTACAATATTTTGCAATCATGATTTTTCCACTGTAATTTACACGGTACATGACTACCACCCTATGTTTCGCTCTGATTAGTTATCGTGCAATTCACTTATATATAAATATGCCTGTAACATATAAATGTTGTGAATAACGGTTGACTTTAAATAAAAAATTTGTTAGCAAGAGTGATAAAGTATAAAGAACAGTAAAGGTAATTTAGAAAATACAATGAAAATATTTTAAAATAATTGACTTTCAGTTTCAGGATTGTGTGGAAACATTTATATTCATTTTGTCATATATGTATGTCATGTAATAAGTATGTACACATTAATGGTGTATTTCAACATAAATAATAATAGCCTTCATTTCTCTAATGATATTTGAAATATATATATACATTACATACATAAATGTTTACATTTTTTTAAATTAATGTTTTTGAATTTTTAAATTTGAATTTGGTTAAAAAAATAGTTTTTAATGTTTAAAAAATCAGTATATGAAAAAGATATTTTTTAGGAATATAATTGGCATAATTCATATGCATATACATATATACATATTCATGTACATATATGTACATATGTTTGTAAATTTCCTTATTCATATGTATTGTATGAAGATCTTAAACCATTTGCAAACATTTATTATAATATATCGTTGCATACTTTTTGGTAAATCAATATAGGATTTTTGTTCTGAACTAATAAAATATATTGTCTAATAAGTTTAAAAAACATTGCTTTAAACTGTATAAGTGTTATGCAAATTGAATTTGGGAAATTGGTGTTTATAACCGTTACTCGTAGGTAGAAGGAATCGTTTCCAACCGTACAAAGTACGGCGTATATTTTTGATCAGAATCAATAGCCAAGTCGATTAAGCCGTGTACGCTGTCCGTATGAACGTTGAGATCTCAGGAACTATAATATACACAAAGTATATTTCCTTATGTAGAAATGTATTGTATGAAGTTCACATTTATTATATTATATCGTTGCATACTTTTTGGGTAAATTCATACTTAGTTTTTGTTCTGAACTGTTAACATATTTCGTCTTATGTGTTTAAAAAAATTGCTTTAAACTTTATAAGTACTATGCAAATGTTACTTTATCATTTAAAGATTGGTTAAAATTGGAAACCCGCTGTTTATACCCGTTTCTCGTAGGTAGAAGGAAGCGTTTCCGACCCTAAAAAGTATATATTATATATTCTTGATCAGAATCGATAGCCAAGTCGATTAAGCCATGTCCGCTGTTGAGATCTCAGGAACTATAAGAGATACAAAATTGGGGTGAACATGCAGGTTCTTTTGTTTCAAAAATTGCGAAAAACTAAATTCACCTATATCATGTATAATCTTGAGATGCCAGTACAATTATTTTAAAATTGGATAAAACAGTAAAGTGTATCTTATAGACAAGGAACAAATTGGTAGACACACAAGCAGATACAGTGACAAACTAATAAGAAATCGCAGCCCTCTTGCTAGGAATCTACTGCCGGCTAGACCACTGAGACGTCTAAAACGGCAATGTTTTGCGAAAACAATTAGAAGACAATGAGACATTTTCACATTTGGAAACCTTTTAAAGTAATTAGGTTTGGTTTGAAATTACAGTTGCCCACAATCTTGAGATGCCAGTCCATTTGTTTAAAAATTGGATAAAAGAGTTACGTTAATCTTATAGACAAGGCACTCGACTATAGCGTTTCTTGCTTTGATACATAATAAATCGTAGTAGTACTTTTTACTTTTCTAAATAAATATCAGTATAGTACTTGTATTTGTTTTTTAATAACTTTTGTACAAAATGTACCTCATGTATAATATAAACCAATGTAATATAGAGATTTGATATAAATTTTGAAGTCTCAATGAATTAATTGCAAATCAGCTGCCCGATTTCTAATAGGTAATAAACCTATAAATAAAGGCTAAATTTAATAAATATAATTTATTTATAATAACCATCTGGAAAAATTGTTTAAGTTAAACAGGAATTGGCTACTTATACTATGGCTGCTATAGATCCGGTGCCTGGGAAAAGTAAATGAAAAGACAGAGGATCGAAAAAAGGACTTGTTGTGTTTTTAAAGACAAAAAATTAAAACGATTGTTTCCTCACTTTTCAGTCAATTGAAATATAATTTCGGCGATGTAATTGGCTTGGCTAGGTTTCTTCGGTACTTTATAATCGTCGCAACATGTACCGCTTTGGTGTAATCCGAATCTAGAAGAAAACAAGAATAAACGCTATAGTCGAGTGCCGCGACTATAAGATACCCGTTACTGTTTTATACAATTTTAAAGTATTCATTTTGCTAGTGGAAATTCCCAAAGCGCCACTTATTGTCGGAGAAAGCATGTTGAGTATCTGATAGTGACCTCACTGCCCATATGAGGCCTTATAACCTAAATTTTTTCATAAATAGCGAAATAATCTTCCAATTTGCAAAATCTTTGGTAAATCGAAAGATATTGTCAAAAATATGTTATAGAAGGTCAAACGAAGGCACACACTATAATATTATGGTCGCCACAGTTTTCCGCGGTTTGTGGGCGTTAGAGTGGGCGTGGCCAATTGAAAACTGGGGATTGCTGTGGCATCATTTAAATACGTATTCTTAAGCACAACTTTCTAGCTCTTAAAGTTCCTGAGGTTTTCCCAATTTTGGTTTTTCGGGTTTTTTGGGCGTGTCTTGATCGGAAAAAACAATTCGCATTAGGGGCATCATAAAAACCTACATGTTTAATCCGAACTTTCTATCACTTATAGTTACAGAGCGTTAAAGTTAAAACCGTCTTTAGAGCTTGGTGGGCGTAAGAGTGGGTGGGCCGGATAGTGGTACCACTATAATATGCGCTGGCATCTAAATATTATACATACTAAATTTCAACTTTCTAGCTCTAGTAGTTCCAGAGATTTCAGCGGTTTCATTATTTCGTGATTTGTGGGCGTTAGAGTGGGTGTGGCAGAAGAATGCTGTAATAAACTTGCGCTGCGTTTGGACCTCAAAAATCTTCATCTTAATCTCAACTTTGTATCTCTGATAGTTCCTAAGATCTCAGCGTTCATACGTACAGACGGACAGACGGACATGGCTTAATCGACTTCACTATTGTTACTGATCAAGAATATATCAACTTTATAGGGTCGGAAACGCTTCTTTCTACCTGTTAGATATTTTTCAATGAATCTATTATAGGGTAGAGTATAGTTCTACTAGTAAAACTCTACGAGTAACGGGTATAAAAACGGACGAAAACAGGACAAAACCAAAGAGCTGTTTTACCAGATGGGTGATGTTTCCAAATTTTTATCTGAGAAACAAGAAAAAAAGATATAGTCGAGTGCCGCGACTGTAAGATACCGGTTACTGTTTTACACAATATTAAAATATTAATTTTGCTAGTGGCAAGTGACAAAGTGCCACCTTTTGTCAAAAAAGCATGCTAGCTAACTATTAGTGATCTCACTGTCCATGTAAGGCCCATTTCTTCATAAAAAGCGAATATTCTGATTTGAAAAATATTTGAGTGTCCATCTCTTATAGTTACCAATATACAAAAAGCGAAAACCTTTTTCGAGCTTGGCGTAGTCGGAAAGTTGTTTCACCTTAAGCTGTGGCATCTCAAGATTATACGTATATCCGAAATTTCTAGCTCTAATAGTTCCTGAGATTTCAGCGATTTTAGTTTTCTGTGGGCGTTGAGTGAAAAAGAAGAAATAAACTTGCGCTGCGTAGAAACCTCAAGAATCTTCATAATTAATCTCGACTTTGTATCTCCTATAGTTCCTGAGATCTTAGCTTTCAAACGGACAAAAGGTGAAAAGGATAAAAAAGGTCAGATCTGTTTAAAAGCGGATAAATTGGCACCTACGCCCTATTGGTCGTTTTAAACATTAAGGTCAGATACGATTCCATCGCGTTACATTGGCATATCGTATTTTAAGTTCAATGCTGCAATCTACAAATGTTATGTCTGGCTATCGGGAAAATTGAGCATAATCGAATATTTTTGGCTTCACTTTTTGAATACGACAGATTTATTATCCTTCTTGTTCAGTCATGAAAAATATTTCCTAGTTAAGATCGAAGTTATTCACAAGAAAATCGTCTAAATATAAAGAAAACTATGTAAGATATACTGCTATACTATATACTAGTTAATATACTATAAAGTTTAACCAAACATTATATTTTTTTACTTGTAATTGCAGAATCAAGAATTAAATAATCCTGATCGGTATTTTTTTTGCAAAATGATTGATCCCAGTTCAAGCGAGGAGGAAGGAGATGATGACCCAATTGCAAATGTGGTATCGAAAGGTCGAATTTCTCATGCGCCCAAGGGCGCTGGTACCGCTTCTATAATAGGTGGATGCACAGGATCTGGCGTAGGATCAAATATTCCTATATCTGGCTCTAACGGTGATTTGGCCGTGAATCAAAGACAATCTAATATAAGTTATATTTCTAACCGAAATGATGTTGGAAATATTAGTGTGGCAGCGGGTCTAGGAGTCTCCTCTAACAAAAATGAACAAATACATAGTAGCCGAGTTGATACCGGGAGTCTAGAGGTACCCAACAATGGTATTCCGAGGTTAGTATTTGTATTATTATAAATTCTTAACAAAGTTTAAACAATTCACAAAATTCACAGCTTAAATTAATTGTTTATCAGTAAACGTAAAGCAAAGGGGTTTATTAAATACGTTGATACGTATGTAAAACGTTAAAGAAAGAGAAACAGGAACGCTACAGCCGAATGCTATGACTTGATAGTACACTTATCTCTGTTAACCTTCTTTGTAACATTTTAAAACGCTATAGATAATTTTTTTTAAATTACGGTATATTATTTATCGAATCTTCTGTCTTCGAGACTAACGACAAGTATTCAAATTATAGCCTAATACACACATATAATTAGATTAAATTAAGTTTTTTTTAGGAGAACGGCCCTAGACATTGTTGCTGGGTAGGGAAATGTCTTCACCTGAGTCGTGAATGGCTAGAACACTAGGTTAAAGATCGCGGAAGCCTATTTGGATGAGCCTGTTGCTTGATCGTATACTTTGCTTTTATATTGTCGATTTCGTCATTAACAGATCCCACATTTCAATCTCTGTGAGTTTTTTCATTCTGTATGTACCACCGTGCACCAGTTATAGTTCTCAGTATTTTTGATGGAACTCTCTGTATTACTTCTAGATTGCTAACGCATGCGTTTCCCCATAGGTCGAAGCCATATTTCCAAATTGGCTTGAGAAATATGAAAGTCTTAGATCTGCCGTATTTTCAATCCTCACACAATAAGCGAAAAAGTATTATACTAAGTACATCTGGTTTTTAGCGAATGGTCTCTTTGCTTTATGAAAAAATGAAACTTAAGTACTTACTAAAATATGTGTTTATTATTATTTAGTGGTATTTCGCAAGAAACTTTAAATCAAAGTATCGGATCTTCGAGGGCCAACTCATTACCAAGACCATTGTCACCGTCGCCATCTTTAAGTAGCGAGAAGCCTGAAACTGGAGATTCGCATGTAAGTAAAATAAAAAGACATTTAAAATGAGAACAGTGTAACTCCACCTTTATATGAAAGCAAACCTTTTAATGTTAAAATCAGTTGCTTTTTATTTCTTATAATTTTCTAAACCCTTTTTCGCCTTTGTCTTGTCTCAATATTTGATTGCCCGCTTTTGTTTGCCTTAAAGTTGCGTTTAGATATTATGATCGTTAAAATAGTTTAAGAAATTAAACTTTTGACTTGTAGATTTGATTTATCTTTGTTTTTTTCAGGACAAACATGAACGTGAAGAAGAGGAACGCAAACGACGAATTCAGCTATATGTATTTATATCGCGCTGCATTTCATATCCGTTTAATGCTAAACAGCCCACTGATATGACAAAGCGGCAAACAAAAATAACCAAACAGCAATTAGAAATTATAACTCAACGATTTCAAGTAAGATTTAAAGTAAAAGTCCTGATATATGCTAGGAAGGCTGGTTTGAAGAAGGCTATGGTTTATACTCGCTACTCGCATAGAAAAAGATTAAAGTGTAGGGGTAAATAACCTTTTCTGTCCCTATAAAGCCGGGGTGCTCAAAATCGTCTTACGGGAGAACATTTACTCATACAAATAAAAGAAGGCGTGCGTATATTTAGTAAGGTTTTTTTGTTGCTTTGCAGCTGGACACTGAGAGAAAAAAGTGTATCACTCATTTTACTAACCCGCAAAATGAGAAATATGCTCTAAATTACAAACAGAAGGTATAAGGAATAAATTCCCGTGCAATTGTTCGAAGATGTTTTAGGAAGAAAAAGAGGAAAAAATGAAAAGAGGAAAACGAAAAATTGTTAGTGTAATATCGCCGCGAGTGCTCAAAGCTTACGGAAAGAACGTTTGACGCGAAGTTTTGAATATTCAAGAATTCGTCCATAGATTCTACGAGATCAGTTTATTGCGGGTTATGAACCACATAAGTCGGAGGGCTATAATTATACCAGTTACTCGTAGAGTAAAGGGTATACTAGATTCGTTGAAAAGTATGTATATATTCTTGATCAGGATCAATAGCGAAGTCGATTGCTTGTTCGTCTGGCCGTCTGTCCTTCTGTCCGTCTGTCCGTCCGTCCGTCCGTGTGAACGCTGAGATCTCATGAACTATAACAGATACAACGTTGAGATTAAGCATGAAGATTCTTGAGGTCCCTAAGTTTATTTCAGCATCCTGCCACGCCCACTCTAACGCCGACAAAAATCTCAGGAACTATTAGAGCTAGAGAGTTGAAATTCAGCATGTACAATCTTGAGACGCCAGCGCATCATTATCCGGCCACACTCACTCTTACGCCCACCAAGCTCAAATGACGGTTTTCGCATTTTCTAGAAAAGCTGATATCTCGGTAACTATAAGTGCTAGAAAGTTCGGATTAAACATGTAGGTTTTGCCCCTTATGCGAATTGTTTTTTTTTCGATTAAGCCACGCCCACAAAACCCGAAAAACCAAAAATGCGAAAACCTCGGGATCTTTAAGAGCTAGAAAGTTGTGCTTAAGAATACGTATTTAAATGATGCCACAGCAACCCCTAGTTTTCATTTGGCCACCCCCACTCTAACGCCCACAAACCGCGGAAAATTATGGCGTCTCAAGAATCTGCGCGCTTAATCCCAGCTGTGCACGCCTATAGTTCCTAAGATCACAATTTTATACTGCTGTATATATATATTTTTGACAATATCTTTTGATTTACCAAAGATTTTGCAAATCGGAACATTATTTCGCAATTTATGAAGAAATTTAGGTTATAAGGCCTCATATGGGCAGTGAGGTCACTATCAGATACTCAACATGCTTTCTCCGGAAATAGGTGACGATTTGGGAATTTTCACTAGCAAAATGAATATTTTAAAATTGTGTAAAACACTAACGGCTATCTTATAGTCGCGGCCCTCGACTATATGGTTTCCTCTTGTTTTTCCTAAACACGATAGGAGGGAGATGTGGCGGTGAAGTGTATACATGTATTCTTGGTAAGGATCAATCTGTCCATCTGTCGTATAAAAGCTGTGATCTTAGGAACTATAGGCGTGCACAGCTGGGATTAAGCACGCAGATTCTTGAGATGTCCATGCAGCGCAAGTTATAATTAAGCATACATATTTAGGAGATGCAACCGCCGCTCAAGGTGATTTTATCACCCGACCATGCCCATTCTAACGCCCCCATTTTTTATATTTAAAATTTTTTTTGGCTTGGGCTTATATAACATGACATTTTTGTCTATGCCTATTGATCACAAAAAAACAAAAAGCATCTAGAATTATAAACCTTTGCACTATTTTAGGCGTTTTTAAAAGGTGAAACCCAAATAATGGCAGATGAAGCATTTCAAAACGCTGTTCAGAGTTATCATGACGTTTTTCTTAAATCAGAAAGAGTTTTAAAAATGGTCCAATCTGGTGCATCATCCCAACATGACTTTCGTGAAGTTTTTCGAAACAATATAGAAAAACGGGTCAGGTATTAAAATCAATGACTATTTATCCAAAATTTTGGTGAATGAAAGTTACGTTTATTTAAGATCCTTACCTGAGATCGATGGTCTTAGTAAGGAAACCGTTTTAACTTCTTGGATGGCAAAATTCGACATAATATTAAAAGGAACTGGAGAGGAGGATTCGAAGCGACCAACTCGGATGCAGCAATCACTAAATAGTGAACTAATTCTATCGAAAGAGCAATTATATGACATGTTTCAACAAATATTGTTAGTTAAAAAATTTGAGCATCAAATTTTATTTAACGCCTTGATGGTAAATTTATTTATTTTTATGTTAAACTTCCGATTTAATTAATATATATAATATTTTAGTTAGACTCTGCCGATGAACAAGCAGCAGCTATAAGACGGGAATTAGATGGACGAATGCAGCGAGTAGGAGAAATGGAAAAGAATCGCAAACTAATGCCCAAATTTGTACTTAAAGAAATGGAGTCTCTTTACGTTGAGGAATTAAAGTCGTCAATAAACCTTCTAATGGCCAATCTTGAATCTCTTCCAGTATCAAAAGGAAATATGGATAGTAAATATGGACTTCAGAAGCTTAAACGTTATAATCACAGGTTAAATAACTTTATTAAATTGTTGAATACTTAACTAATCTTATTCCATTTTTCAGTACTCCGTCATTTTTGTAAGTAACCATTAACCAATATTCCATGTCGTTTAGAATAAATTCTGTTATAAAGGGTGTTTTTTTAGAGGTATAAAACTTTAAATTTAAAAAAAAAAATGGATTATTTGATAGACATGATTTTTTTGTTCGAAAGATTATCTTGTGGCATTACATTTTAAATATGTTTTCTGTCACGGCTGCTTCGGATGTAGCTCTATTAATGATGAATTGTCAAACCAAACTGAGAACCAATGGCTTGTCAGCTGTTAAACGTGTCGCCATCTTAAACCCTGAAGCCAACTTAAAATTCTATACCTCTAAAAAAACACAATTTATATTTGTACTAATAATAAAGTTGAACTAGAAGAAATAAACATTGAGAGCTAACCAATTGGGATTCAACAACAGAATCCTGTGACGCCCAAGTAGGACAAGTTTATATAGAACATCACAAAAATATCTTAACTTATAATATTTTTGTTCTCACAATTCTATATATATATCGAAAAGTGTATAGTTCGTCTTAAAGTGCATTTGATAATATGCAAAAAACCAGGTATAGCAAAACACAACGTAGTTTTTATCATATCATATATTTAGCTGCTAAAGAAGTCAAGTATTTTTTAAAATAAATTGAATATTTAAATAACATTTTATTTTATACCTGTTCAAAGAATTGAAGCACACTTTTGACCGTATGACACTATTCATATTCTTGGCCAGCAAAAAAAGTGAAGTAAATATTTTAAGTTTAAGAAATTCAATTGCTAAAATATACCGAAATACAAAATGATGCTAATAAGCCACAAGAGTTAGGCAGTAATAGCTTGCCTCGACAAAAATGCGCTTTGTTTTTAACCTTAAGTCAATCCATGATTTTTATTTAAAGGGGACCGGTAAACTTGACATGTATACAATATTCTAATATTTAGTAAAAAGTATTTGCATATATTTTGAATTCTATACGATAAATTCTGTTTTATTTGTGGTTTCTTAATAAAAAAGAAAATTGATACTGCGATCCCACGGATCCTTATCTAAGTTGGAGGGTGACTCAGAGGATGGTTCTACGCAACTGACAAAATTAGATGTTGTACTTACCTTTCAATTGGAAGTGATCGTTATGGAGGTTAAAGGACTTAAATCACTAGCGCCCAATCGTATTGTTTACTGCACAATGGAAGTTGAAAATGGCGAAAAGCTTCAAACTGATCAAGCAGAGGCATCAAAACCAATGTGAGAGCCTACCACAAAATTTCTTCAACTTACATATTTTTTCCAATAGGTGGGATACACAAGGCGATTTTACGACCACACATCCACTCCCTATTGTCAAGGTAAAACTATATACAGAGAACCCCGGTATGTTGGCATTAGAGGATAAGGAACTAGGAAAAGTAACTCTTAAACCCACTCCACTATCTTCAAAAGTGAGCGTTAATTTAATATACATAATTTTATATAAAATATTTTATTTTGAATTAGTCACCCGAGTGGCACCGAATGATTGTTCCAAAAAACCTTCCAGATCAAGACATTCGTATTAAAATCGCTTGTCGACTGGATAAACCATTAAATATGAAACATTGTGGGTAGGTATAATGAATTTGTATTCCATTACATTTCGGCTTAAAAATTTTTTTAATTTATTTAATGAGACACCTTTATGCAATCGGGAAATCTGTATGGAAAAAATGGAAGAGACGCTACTTTGTCTTAGTTCAAGTATCCCAATATACATTTGCCATGTGCAGTTATAAAGAGAAAAAATCAGAACCGTCTGAGATGATGCAGCTTGATGGATATACAGTAGATTATATTGAAGCCGCAAGTGGTATATTAATATAACTTTTAACAATGAGAATAAGTAATTTTATTACAAACATTTACATTTAGCAAACCTGATGTTTGGCATCGATTTAAATGGAGGCCGTTATTTTTTCAACGCTGTTCGTGAGGGTGATAGCATTTCGTTTGCTTGCGATGATGAGAACGAATGCAGTCTTTGGGTCATGGCTATGTACAGAGCAACTGGTCAGTCCCATAAACCAACTCCACCAATCACACAAGACAAAAATTCTGCAATGTCGAAGATTCAAGGTGGTAAGTGATTTGTTTTAAAAGTCGTGTAGGAATTTTCCAAATATGGTTTAAACTAAAAAAAAAAGAAGATAGGCTGTTTTATGTAAATATGCTACCAGTATATAACGCCGTTTATTATTTTAATTGAGCCATGTGTCGCATACACATATTTTATATCTTAAAGCCTTTTCAAAAATATTAGTTAGTTAGATTAACAAAATATTAATATAAAAAAGTTTTATAAGCGGCTTTAAATTACATATAATTGCCTAATTTCCTGCTTATTCCTCATATTTGATATATGATCGGCAGTGTTACTAATAATTGGAATGAAAAAAGGTTATAAGACATTGAGTCACATAATAGAAATTGATATTTCTTACTCTTTGCAAATCAGAGCAAATATGATTTCTTCATGTTTTATTTATAGTCATGTTTGTGTGGTATGGCTGGTTAGAAGGCTGGCTGGCTCTTCCTTCTACTGCCGTCTGTTGGGGTGGGAAGTGGCAAGGAAGCGTGTTTGTAGAAGGCCTCTTGGTAGCGGCTTCGATGTAATTTTTTGTTATTTGGAAAGATGGAACTTAAGAGATACTAGCGGATCGCAGGTTTGTTTCAGAATTAGGCTATGCCCACTCTAAACTTGCCAACCGCAAAAAACTGTGGCGTCAAAAGCACCTTAACCTTATATAACATTTTGTGTAAATACCTATCAATGTACAACAAAATTTTCAAATGGGAATGTTCAATACCTATAAAAACAAAGAAAAGTGGGATTAACATACATTTTCTAAAGCTGATATCACAGTTGAAGGTGATTTCATCATTCGGCCGTACCCAACGCACAAACGCAAACCGACAAACCGCCAAAAACTGAAACGTTCATAATATTTCGATTTATGTTTTATGTATACCAATTGATTAACCAAAAATGTTTCAAATCGGAACATGTATTTCATTGTATATGTCCTATGTCTATGTATTATAATTTATTTGTAGTTCTGTGTCGCTCATAAAATTACTAATATCTGTTAGCAAAATTATTTTTTTAATATTGATTAGAAAAGTAATAGGTTTCTCATAGTTTGGGCCCTTGACTACAGCGCTTCTTCTTATACTAGATTCGTTGAAAAATATGTAACAGATAGAAGGAAGCGTTTCCGACCCTATAAAGTATATATATTCTTGATCAGGATCAATAACTAAGTCGATTGAGCCTGAAAGCTGAGATCTCAGGAACTATAACGTATACAAAGTTGAGATTAAGCATGAAGATTCTTAAGGTCCCGACGCAGCGCAAGTTTATTTCAGCATCCTGCCACGCCCACTCTAACGCCCACAAAAATCTCAGGAACTATTAGAGCTAGAAGGTTTAAATTCAGCATGTACAATTTTGAGATGCCAGCGCATCTTATGGTGGTATCATTATCCGGCCACACCCACTCTTACGCCCACCAGCTGATATCTCTGTAACTATAAGTGATAAAAAGTTCGGAAGAAGTTACTTAAGAATACGTATTTGAAAGATGCCACTGCAACTTGCTCCTACTTTTCATCTGGCCCCGCCCACTCTAACGCCCACAAACCGCAGAAAACTGTGGCGTCCATAATATTATAGTGTATGTCTTAGTTTGACCTTGTATGACATATTTTTGTCAATATCTATCGATTTACCAAAGATTTTGCAAATCGGAACATTTCGCTATTTATGAAGAAATTTAGGTTATAAGGCCTCACAGGGCAGTGAGGTCAATATCAGTTACTCAACATGCTTTCTCCGACAATAGGTGGCGCTTTGAAAATTTTCGTTATCAAAATGAATATTTTAAAATTGTGTAACGTGTATCTTATAGTCGCGGCACTCGACTATAGCGTTTCCTCTTGTTTTTATCTCAGATGCTGACAAAGCCCGGAAACATGGAATGGAGGATTTTATTAGCACCGACCCATGTACCTTTGACCATGCTACACTTTTTAAAACATTACAAAACCTTACACTGGAATATAGGCTTAACGATCCATACGCGTCTCTGGTAAGTTAATTAAATGTTTTAGTAGACTTTATACAACGATAATTAAACAAAATGTTTTACAATGTTATATACTAAAATATGAATTTAATGCCTAAATAGATATCTGCTATGATACAGCCTTGACCAGCTTTAAGGTGTGTTTTGGGTCGTTGTCTTGTTGAAAGACCCATCTCAAAGGCATGTTTTCCTCAGAATATGGTAGCATAACGTCAGCGAGTATTCTTTTATACCCAAATCGGATCATAATATCAGTTATGCGATGTATCGGACCAACGCCATGCCAAGAAAAACAGCCCCAAACCTTTATTCATCCGCCTCCGTGCTTAACGGTTTTCTTTGTGAACGGGAGTCGAATTCTTTACCTTTTGGACGTCGTACATAACGTCTAGAGTCGTTACCAAAAAGGTTTATTTTTGATTCGTCGCTCCATAACACATTGTTCCATTTCTTAGAACCTTCTGGTCCAGACCAAGCCAAATGATTTTACTCTCATCTGTAAATTTTTTTTCCGAAATAAAGGAACTTTTTGGGTATATTTCCTGTTAGGCCGGAACTTTTAAGTCCGCGCCGAACCGTTCGAGATGATATTCCATTGTCGATTTCAGCGGCAATTGACTTGGAAAACATAAAGGGATCCTTTTTTGATAGACTGACGATGCGGGGTTTTCTGCCCATCTGGAGAATATACCTAATATGCAAGAAATCATTAAAAATCAACATACCGTAGTCCAATTCTAAACTTAATCCTTTCAAATTTGTAAATAGCGGAAGTGTATTTATAATTTTGACCAGTCCAAAAACGACCATCCAGAACAAAGTTAGGCTTAGCACTGAAGTAATGGGGTTCCCCATTTTCATTTTTGATTTAAATGTTTAACAACACTATAACCTTTCAAAATAGAATCAACTAGCTTTAATCGAGCTATGTCTCAAGAAATGATACCTTTACCTATGTACTTATTATTTTGGCCAATAGTGTATATACTATTTACGAAGCTAAGAATAATAGTATTATTAGAACTTAATAAAAAGACAATCTGTAGTTTTTTAGGTCAGAATTTTGTTAGAAGCGGAAGCGTGCGGAAGTTCAAAATGGAAAGAGAAGGCATGCTTCCGACAGTGCTAGCGAGGAAGCTGGAGTCATCTACGCCAAATGTTTTATTTAGTCTCCCTCACTTTTAATTGCACGAGCAAGACACCGATCAATCCCATATCAGTATAAATTTATAATAATAGTGTTTATTTAATTTTCAGGGGTGGTTTAGTCCTGGACAAGTTTTTGTGTTGGACGAATATTGCGCCCGTTACGGGGTGCGGGGATGTTACCGGCATTTATGCTATCTTTCTGACCTACTGGATCGCGCCGAAAAACAACACATGATAGATCCGACGCTTATTCATTATTCCTTTGCATTCTGTGCAAGCCATGTTCATGGAAATCGGTACTTGTGGTATATATTAATAAGCTTTTTAAATTGTAATAAATATTTACAGACCTGATGGAGTAGGTAGCATAACTCATGAGGAAAAGGAAAAGTTTTCGGAAATCAAAGAACGCCTACGCCAGTTGCTGGAGTTTCAAATAACAAATTTTAGGTATTGCTTTCCATTTGGCCGCCCTGAAGGTGCGCTTAAAGCTACACTATCGTTGCTGGAAAGAGTTTTAATGAAAGACATTGTTACCCCGGTTCCACCTGAAGAAGTTCGTCAAATGATTAAAAAAAGCTTAGAGACGGCAGCACTTGTTAATTACACGCGTCTCTCCAATAAGGCTAGAATCGAAGGTAAGAAAATAATGTTTATATAGGAACGAAAAAATTTGTTTAGTTGCTTTTCCACTTAGACACTTCTTTTTCAGATAGACAGATATAAGCCAATAAAAAGTCAAAATGTGTTAATACGAGGTGTGTTCAAAAAGTAAGGTGACTTTTCAAATTTCGCGGGCAACATATTTTCGATTATCGTTTTTTTTGTTTTGTTATATTGGTACACTCTTCCCTAACATCTGTACCAAGTTTCAATGGAACATCCTCTTTTGTTTGGTTGTGAGAGGCGTAAAGTTACAAGTTGTTTTGCGAGCTCGGCGATTTTTTGCTATCGAAAAATATGGATCAAAGGATTTGCATCAAATTTTGTGTAAAAAATAAAATTAAGTGCTCTGAAACACTTGAAATGTTGACAGTGGCATACGGTGAAACTGTTCTGAGTAAAAAAAATGTGTACAAGTGGTACAAACTCTTCCAAGATGGCCGGGAAGATGCCAATGACCAGCCTCGCTCTGGACGCCCAAGCACGTCAACAACTGATGAAAACGTTCAAGCAGTGACGAAAATTTTTTTGGAAAATCGTCGAATCACTATCAGAGAAGTTGCTGAAGATGTCGGTATATCGCTTGGCTCGTGCCATGAAATTTTTTCAAACGTTTTGGGTATGAGTCGTGTGTCAGCGAAGTTTGTTCCGAAATTGCTGAATTTTGAGCAAAAGAACCGTCGCATGAGCATCGCTCAAGAGCTGTTGAATGACGTCAACGACGACCCAGATTTACTCAAAAGGGTCATAACTGGTGACGAATCATGGGTATATGGTTATGATATCGAAACCAAAGCTCAATCGTCCCAATGGAAGAGCCCAGACGAGCCAAGACCGAAAAAAGCAAAAAATCGCCGAGCTCGCAAAACAACTTGTAACTTTACGCCTCTCACAACCAAACAAAAGAGGATGTTCCATTGAAACTTGGTACAGATGTTAGGGAAGAGTGTACCAATATAACAAAACAAAAAAAACGATAATCGAAAATATGTTGCCCGCAAAATTTGAAAAGTCACCTTACTTTTTGAACACACCTCGTATATCTTAAAAAAAATTGTATATGGCGTTAATTAGCTTGATTATTTCAAAACTAATTTAAGACTTTTATCATCATAATTAAAAGTTATCAAACAGTCTTTTAACTAGATATATGTATCAGATTTGCCGCTAATTCCATTTCTTTACGATGTATTTCTAACATAAATGAAGTATAACTTACGTTTGGTATATCTCAAGACAGTCTGAATTTCTGTAGTATCTTTACTCTGGCTGTTCTCTCCGTACAGAATTATTTTTTGGTTGCAGGACGTGAAGAATCATATTGATAGTTTAAATGCAGCATTTCCATTTCCATTTTTGGCTTCTGCCCATGATGTAGCTTCCGAGTGTGGTCCATCTTATGCTCAAGGTCTCTAGGGTGATATTTTTCTTGTTAAAACACAAATCGACTAACAAATTTTTAGTATATTAAATATATTTAAGGAAGAAACTGTTGAATGTTAAAAATTATATATTAAAATTGATTAAAAGGGTTAAGTTGATAACGATTAAAGGAATTATATCAAAAATGGAGCAAGTGCCTTGAAAAATGATCATATAATATAATCGAAGTATGAGTAACAATCCACCGTAAACTTTAAAATCAAAATAGTATTTAAAATTTAATTAGTGCAATTTATATGGAATACATTTTAAATTTAGAGATAACCTACTTATTCACAGAAGACTTGCGAGGTGAAGTTATTGTACCGGCGCCAAAAAAACTTGAGGATTTAATACATTTAGCAGAACTTTGTGTTGATTTATTACAACAAAACGAGGAACATTACGGAGAAGTAAGTGGTGCTATTAATATAAAATTGATTATTTTGCATATGCCTTGTTTTAAAAACTTTTATTTTAAAAATATCTATAGATACGAGGTGTGTTCAAAAAGTAAGGTGACTTTTCAAATTTCTCGGGCAACATATTTTCGATTATCGATTTTTTTGTTTTGTTATATTGGTACACTCTTCCCTAACATCTGTACCAAGTTTCAATGGAACATCCTCTTTTGTTTGGTTGTGAGAGGCGTAAAGTTACAAGTTGTTTTGCGAGCTCGGCGATTTTTTGCTTTTTTCGGTCTTGGCTCGCCTGGGCTCTTCCATTGGGACGATTGGGCTTTGGTTTCGATATCATAACCATATACCCATGATTCGTCACCAGTTATGACCCTTTTGAGTAAATCTGGGTCGTCGTTGACGTCATTCAACAGCTCTTGAGCGATGCTCATGCGACGGTTCTTTTGCTCAAAATTCAGCAATTTCGGAACAAACTTCGCTGACACACGACTCATACCCAAAACGTTTGAAAAATTTCATGGCACGAGCCAAGCGATATACCGACATCTTCAGCAACTTCTCTGATAGTGATTCGACGATTTTCCAAAACAATTTTCGTCACTGCTTGAACGTTTTCATCAGTTGTTGACGTGCTTGGGCGTCCAGAGCGAGGCTGGTCATTGGCATCTTCCCGGCCATCTTGGAAGAGTTTGTACCACTTGTACACATTTTTTTTACTCAGAACAGTTTCACCGTATGCCACTGTCAACATTTCAAGTGTTTCAGAGCACTTAATTTTATTTTTTACACAAAATTTGATGCAAATCCTTTGATCCATATTTTTCGATAGCAAAAAATCGCCGAGCTCGCAAAACAACTTGTAACTTTACGCCTCTCACAACCAAACAAAAGAGGATGTTCCATTGAAACTTGGTACAGATGTTAGGGAAGAGTGTACCAATATAACAAAACAAAAAAATCGATAATCGAAAATATGTTGCCCGAGAAATTTGAAAAGTCACCTTACTTTTTGAACACACCTCGTATATCCAAATTAATATATCTATGTGACCTCTACAAACACAAATAATTTTTTTAATGTCATTTGAAACTACAATATTTTATTTTAATTGTTTTGGAATTTGGGTCGCGTGGTGCGAATATATTACAACGAACTGTGATATATTTTTCTCATTTGTTTCACCAGCTTGTGACTTATATATTACATTAAAACAATGTCAAATTTTTCACATAACATGAACATATTGGTTTATGATTGTTGATTGTGTTTTTAATGTAAATAATTGTATTTTATGTATTCAGTTTTACTAATGAATGACTATTAATAAATGCATATATAAATTTTGTACTATATTTTCTGAAAATTATATATGTTCGATGTTAGTGGCTTTTGCGGAAAAACACACAGTATCCTTTAGAAAACTAGAAAACTTTAAGAACTATCTGTTTAACTTGAAAACTGTAAAAATTTAATAGGGATTCTCCGAAAACCACAAAATTTTGTTAAGAATAATCATACGAATGGAGTGTATGTTTAAGCCAAACATGTTATTATTTAACATAGATAAGTCAATATTATAATAATGCAAATTGTATTTTGTTTTACCATTTTATTAAAGCTTACATGTGATAGGGATAGGGATATTTATTAAGTGGTTTTCATTTAATTAAATAATAAGGTATTTAAAAAGGTAGCAAGTGTATTGGTAGAGACGGTGTCCAAAATATCCGTCTAAAAATTTGAATTATTTTTGATGGCAGGACACGTAGTAACTGAGCGCACCAAGAGAAATTTACACAAAAAAAGATACTACTGATTTTGTGGTCGGACTGATTATTGAATTAATTAATTAAGTCAGCATTTATAGTTAATACCAAGACTATGCAGTCCCTTGGTTTTGTATGTATGAATCAAATTGCTGTTTAAGGTTGTACAATCTGCACCAAGAGAAATTGCAATTACGACTGTTTATATACACAAAAAAGAAAAAACAGATTTTGTGGTCCGACTAATTACTGAATTAACTGATTATGTTGCTAATACAGAAAGGTACCTAAGAAAGTCAGCCTATATAGTTAATTCCAAGTATATGAGGTCCCTTGGTTTTGTATGTATGAATCAAATTGCTGTTTAAGGTTGTACAATCTGTATGTCCAAATCTAGCTCTTATTGTTCCTTAGCAGCTTATTACTCCAATCTCAATACAGACATAGCAGGTCATAGCTTACGTAATTACGTACGCACTAGTTAAGAAGCGTGAAAAAAGAAATAAGGAACTTTGATTATCTACAGATATTTATTATGATTGATACAGCTTGGGAGCTTTTAAATAGTGTGAATTTGACCCTATAATAATATTTTTTTCAAATATTACAAGCATTGTATTTACTTAACCTGTTTAACACATGCATAATTTATTTAGGCGCGGAAAAATGATAAAAATGGATAACAATAAAATACGCACGGATGATGGTGTTGTAACATGCCTTCTTGGCAATTTTATCCGTAATAAAACAGGTTACGTACGCACTAATTAAGAAACCTGAAAAAATAAATTAGGAACTTCGAATATTTATATATATTTATTATTAAAGATAATGCATTTTAAGTTTTATGAAAGATACGTTTTGAGAGTTTTAGAATAGTGAGAATTTTACACTGTACAAGTATATCTGAGTTTATTTATTTATAATATTACAAGAATTTTAAGTACTTACACCTATTTTACACATATGCCCAATTTATTTAGCTGCGCAAACATGATAAAAAGGATAAAATTGATATACGAACTGAAGATGGTGTTGTAACAGGAGGCCAATATGTAAGCGAAGTTGAGTTAAGCGCTAGTACTGGACTAATTAACGAACCTGAACTGGCCACTGCATCATCAACTGGTGGATCGACATTCCGTTACTGTATGCCGACACATGCAGTATATACCTCGCCAGTACCAACGGCATGTATCGTTGACAACCGTAGGCTTTAAAAATTAGACTTGGCAATTACTCAGCAACAGGATATTTAAATTTTATTATTGGTTTTGCACTTTTCGTGGATTCACTAAAATCAGACCAGACCTGAGAGTGTGCCATTTTTCCATTTTTGCTAAGACTACAGTCATAAAAATGCGCCTAAAATTTTAAAAGAAACTCAATATTTCAATATCAATCTGGAAAAACAATATACCGGATCGTTTAAAATTAGAAATTGTTAAAGAAGGAACCTGTTGTTATGAAGTATATGCATTTCTGATCAGAGTCACTGGGCTTGTCAATACTGCAGGTTGAACCATTTCAAGCTCACCAGAACCCAAAAACTGATAGTCAACACAATACGCTTATATTTCTTTCTGTTCATTTACTATACAAGTTGGCAATTCATTTAAACCCACAAAAAAATTGTCTTTTAAAATTAATTGAGGTAGAAAGGTTTATACTTCACACCGTAGCAAAATGTATAATCACTATTCTTTATAACGGATTAAAAAGTTATACAGCACGGAAATTGAATGACCACTTTTCTTAACTGTATAATGTTTTGTGTATAACATTTAAAAAAATTAACAAAACGTGTAAAAAAATGTTGAGTAATATTGTCAAGAATCTTACAAAGGTGTATTATTTTTATATTATAATATCCCTAAAGCATGTAAACAAAATTTCTCATGTTCGCTCATTTGCATATCATGGAAAATGTAGACCTATTTAAATAATATCCAAATATAAATATGCAAATATACTGTCATATAGCTGGATATGCCGAAATTAACTCAGGTGCTTATGCTGATACTCGTTTTGGTCGAAAATAAGTTCTTTTAAATAAACACTCATCTTAATGAGTAAATTATACATTTGAACCAGAGAACGGCACCTGAATCACACTCATACATTTCGAGTGTTTGTCGCACTCATGAACAGCAAGAAAAGAGCACACCCAAGTGCACAGATCGCTTTGTGTGTTTTAAGTGTTTGCGTTTTTGTCAGCCACTGAATTCTATGCACATGATTCTAATGCACAGACACCCGACACACTCATAGCAAATGAAGGGAGTGTCTGAGATACCCATGTTTTTGGGAAAAGTGAGTCGGGTGTCTTGAAATGATTCGAGTGTCTTCAAATGATTCGAGTGTTTCGGGTGTCTGCATTGCATGAGCAGGTCATTGAGGGTTGACCGAATAATTTCACATGAAAGGAAGGTAGGAAATCCCAATAATGGTCCCTTAAAAAATGCCAAATATTTTAGGATTTTCCGTGTCAGGTCATTTACCTGCTATTCACAGTGCAATTGACTTATGATCTGTATTCTTATACGCATGTGCAAAAAACGGGAATACATTGATGGCTTGATGACGACACGGAAAATCCTAAAATATTGATGCAATGTAAGTTTTTTTTTGGGTTTTTTAAGACTTTGTCATTGAAGACTAATCACTTGTAATGATTATAAACTCTTATTTTTTAATATTAGTTACTGAAGACGGCAATAATTTTTATTATTACAAATATACTTTTCTAAGATTAAAATTAATCCAAACGAAAACAAATTATTTTGCGATTTTTAAGGGGCATATTTATGTTAAATTATTGGGATTTCCTTCCTTCCTTTCATGTAAAATTATTCGGTCAACCCTCAATGACCTGCTCATGCAATACAGCTGAAGACACCCGAAACACTCAGATCAGTTGAAGACACCAGAAACACTCGAATCATTTCAAGACACCCGACTCACTTTTCCCAAAAACATGGATGTCTCAGACACTCCCTTCATTTGCTATGAGTGTGTCGGGTGTCAGTTCAAAAGAGTACTGGGTGCGCAAGTGCATATTCGAAATGAGCTGCGCAAGACACACACCCTTATTTTAGGGTGCCGATCACACTCTGAGTGCCGAAAAGGCACTCATGATTCGAGTGCACTCATTGTCTGGGTGTACCCTTGCCGTTCTCTTATTTGAACATTATAATCTTACCCAATGGCTAAAATTATATTCTAAAGGTTGATTGCCAAAAACCATTTTTGAAAAGTTTTTATGAAAATATATTAATATAGCATGCAAAATTAAAAATCTTTTTAACTTCTGTTTAAAGATTTAAAAATCTGTTGAAAGTAGTCTAACACTTACTGTTTTGATATTTATGGCCTATTTTAATTCAGTTCATATTAATTTGTTTTATTTAGAGTGTTTTTTCTTCTTAGACTAAAAGATGTCGAAAAAATAATATATATTTATTTAAAGTTTGCTTACACTTTTCTAATGAAGATCTAGAACCTTGCCTTTGTAACGTTTTTATTACATATAAACAAACAAAGTAAATATCACCATGATCTGCTAAAACACTTTTGTGTACACACATACATATTAGTCTATATATTTGTAATATTTTCTTTTAAAAATAGTGCACTTTAAAAATATTGCCTGAAATTTGGTTATAGACTATAAATATTTGTTTATTTTTAAATTAATCAATAATATGTATTCATTTTTTCTCCAGGCCTTTGCATGGTTTAGTGACTTGCTGGTTGAACACGCGGAGATATTTTGGTCCCTTTTTGCAGTTGATATGGATAGAGTCTTATCAGAGCAGGCTCCTGATACATGGGATTCTTTTCCATTGTTTCAAATTTTAAATGATTATTTAAGAGCTGATGGTGAGTGAACATTGCAAAATTTATTGAGTGAAACCGCCTTAAATTTTTTAGCTATTATTTTTTTTTTAAATAATCAAAGAAATTAGTTTTAATACAAACCTGTTAATTATGCGATCTTTTGCCGCTCATCAACTTATCAAAAATTAGTACGCAAATATTAAAGGAATGTTAATTTCCAGTTTTATCAGTTAGATGATGCCATTGCTTTGTTTGATGTTTCAAAAATGTTTAATTTTATGTCTTATATTTATTTTTTTTTAATTTCTTTATATTTAATAACTTTGTACCTCTTGTAAATACATTTTAATATTCTTGACAAGAATCTTTAAAATGGTATAACATCTTTTTAGGCTGTAACCGTTACTCTTAAAATGTATATATATTCTTAATCAGTTTGTCCGTCCGTATGTCTGTATGAACGATGAGATCTTAGAAACCATAATAGCAATAAAATAATTTTAATTCTACATATTGTAGAAATGCTAGAGCAGCTCAGGGTAGTTTCATCATCCGGTGACCTCTCTCTTCTAACACCAACAAAAAAGTTGCGTCTATAACATTAGGGTTTATATTTGACCTTATATACACATATATTTTTTGTCAATACCAATCATCAAACCAAATATTTTAAAAAACGAAATATTTTGTTTAGTAAATTATTAGAAATATGGATTACAACGTCTCACATGGGCAAACAGGTTTTAAGTGATTCTGGCAATAAGGGCTAGTAAAGTAGTACACGGCGTCAATTTGTGCTAACAAATTTAATACCCTAGTAGGCCTAATATATAAATAACTATTTTTCCTTTTTAATTTCTTTGTCGTATGCCGGACAAGATTTTATAAAATGACTTTTTTTTAGATAATTTGCGCAATGGACGCTTTCATCAGCATCTTCGCGACACTTTTGCACCATTAGTGGTGCGCTACGTGGATTTAATGGAATCATCAATAGCTCAGTCAATACATAAGGGATTTGAAAAAGAGCGCTGGGAAAGCAAAGGGTAAAGAGATTTTTTTTTTTTAATTTTCATTTAAATGTAAATGATACATTTTATCGATAATATATGCACATATTGCAAACATTCATAGAACTATTCTAATTGAATTGGCCAAAAACTATTTCAAAATTTTATAAAACAAATCAATTGGTCGGATTCGACGATATTAAGTTGGAAGTCAGTCTGGCAAGGTCACACATACGTACATATATTAAAAGAGGTCAAATTATATATTCTGCATTAAACGCAGTGTTTATGTTGTATTTATATTCTTATTCTATAAAACTTCAGGATTAACGCTGCTTTGAACCCTGCAGCATTAAACAATGCTGCCCAGGCGCTCAATACAGCAGCTCTCAACCCATCAATGCTACTCAGCGGTAAAAAAGATCAAGTAAATTTTTATGTGCCGAAGTTACCAAAGCAATCAAATTCAACAGCGGCCTGCGACGATATGAGGTTTTTAAATAAAAAGTCATCATATATAAAAGTAGATTTTACCATTGTCTGCATTTGGTTTTGCATTTTCTGTTCTGCCAAATATTACGCATTGCCGATTGTTCAAATTTCCAGCATTTAAATGCATTTCTCAAGATATAAAATATAAGCCAGTATATCATTCTTAGATTACCTATTAAGTTAAAATAAAATATTACTCTTAATATATATAATTTACTAGCTTTGTTCAGTTTATTGCAAAAAAGGTATAGGTAAAGAGGTTTTTTTAGCTTACAAATTCTATATGTATACAAATGGGAAAATATATTTAGAAAACGTTAATGCACTAAAAAATTGTGTTTGTAAGAGAAAGGATAAGATTGCTAATATTCTGCATTATAAATCAAATTAAAATATATTATAAAATTATTATTAACAAGTTCTGCTGTAAATTATCTCAATTTATCTTCATGGAAAATTGTTTGTTTTCGTTTTATTCTGGACTAATTACTTAGCAACCCGTGACATTAATCGACATATTAAAAAGCGTTTTTTGTTATTGCTATCAGATTATAATAAATCAAACAGGAATTCCGCTGTGCGGCAACAGGGTCAGTTTTTATTCCAAGCAATTAGGAATTAGTTATATGTTAAATAATGTAAAGTTACTTTTTAAACCAAATTATAAAACTATTGTTTTTTTTTTATAAATTATACAAAATGCTTTTTATGATAATGTTTTATATATAGATATAGGATAATATTCTATAACACCCATATTGAGCTGAAACAATGAACAAACATTATTGCCAATGCAGCTAAAAATTATAATGCCTCGTTCATCACAACGTATACAAACCCAATCAAATTTTAATTTTTTTTTTAATTATCTTTAAAAATATTAGTAAATTTAGGAGTATATTTTATACAATTTTAGAAACTGCTTATTTAATATCGTTTAGGGAACCATTCACTTGTCTCGACATTTGGGTAAATCCATTTTAGCGATTTTTGCAATGTCTGTATTCAGAGAAATCGAATATTACGTTTTGACATCATGGTGATCTGTCAGCGACTAGCTAATGTCTCTAATTAGTAAACAATAATTCTGTCAACTTACACATATAAGGCTTGACAAAATTAACAACTACATATATACAAAATGATTTTTTGTTCATGCCCAGTATTTTTGATCGAATTTGAGTCATTTTCGACTCTCCTAGAAAATTAAAATGAGCATAAGTGCGCTCGAAATAGATACTGTGTTCGGGAGAAAATTGAACCCTAGCCACGACACTTCCTAAAGAGTCGTATTCGACTGCTCAGGAAGAGTTGTTTTCGACTCATTTTCCTCGCAAGAAGGGAGTCTTTTTCAAGTCATATTTTAATCGAAACTCGCCCGTTTTCGACTCATTTTCCTCGTAAGAGGCGAGTCTTTTTCGAGTCATATAAGAATCGAAAATAAGTGAAATATTCAATAATATTTTGTTCTGGTATTTTTTATTTATTATATATATATGATATGTGTATCAAATAGCAACTAAACTAAATCACGCGCGGTTAAGCTACAAGTTCTCTCACCGAATGTTAATGCAAAGCAAAAAATAATCTCATTTCAATCATCTGGATGCTTGCTTTACAATTTTGGTTTTGCTATTTTATATATCGTATTTGCAGATCATTTACGACTCATTTTCGAGTCATTTTCTAGTCGCGCGTAAAAGGAATCTTTTTTTAATCATTTCAACGACTCGAAGAAGACTCGTCAAGCTGATAAATCCAAAAACGATCTTCCAATTGCTTGCTGGGTGAGGATGTTGTGCCTACCAGATATATTAATTTACATTCATAGAAAGATGTTACACAAGATACTCATAGGACATTAAAGTTAAATCAATTCGCTGAAAAGTATGGAACATGTAGAGAAAAGTGTATACGACTCTTAAAAGTACATATATGTAAATATTCTTGATCAGGATAAGTAGCCGAATCGATGTAGTCATGTCCGTCTTTCCGTATAAACCGCGATAAACTATACGCCTAAAAAGTTGGGAGTAAGATTATTTCAGCAACTGGCCACGTCGACCCTAAACTTTAATTAAAATGTTAAAAAATTGGTTTTTATTCGAATTTTTTTTCAATTCCTCTCGATAGACAAAAGTTTTTAATTTTCAAGTTATTAATAGTTCCTCAGTGACAAATGATAAATTTAATTCGGGCACAACATTTTATGAAATAAACAAGAAAAATATACATCATATATGGTTAAAACAAAGTAAACATTATTTACGCCGGACCTTTTAGGTCTAAGTAAAAAATCTCTGCATATGTTTGACCTGCAATGCGACCATAAATGTGACGTGTAGGAGAACTATAGTTTTATCGAGTTCAAAATATAATATTGTAGGATTTTAAAATTTTCTCAGAAATGAAACAATTTAAACTTTTAACTTTTGGACTATATTATTAATAACATTAACAATAAAAAAAGGATGTAGCCAAAACGTATAATATTAAGGTTAAATTTTTCTATTTATTTGAAATACATTTTTGTGCCGATACCTATCGATTAACCGAAACTTTAAAATCGAAACAATATTTACAATTTGTTAGCTATATAAGGTTTTAGGGCCTTACCGGAGCAGTGACGTTACCGTCTGCTTATACGCATGCTTTATATGGTTCTAACCACGGACGGTCCGTTTTTAAAGAATCCATTTTTCGAACAACAAAATTTAAAATTTGTTTAAAGATCAACGAGATTCTGATTGACATTGTTTTATTTACTTTATATGATAATACAGCTTGATTTATTCAGTCAGTTTTAATAAGTGGAAAATATACATTTTGGTGCATATAAAATCAATTAAACAGAATGCATAAATAAATGCTTATAGTGGTAGCATGCTTTTTAATATTTATATTTTTCTATTAAATTTGAGAATAGCACTTTAGGCCTAAATAGTAGAAGTTACAATTAAAATCCAATTAAATTTCAATTAATAAATTGAGTTAGCCGAATAGTTTGTACCATCGAAACAGTGTTTAATGTTGTGTTAAGTGCTGAGTATAAACAGACTATAAACTCCATTGATCTGTTTATTTATTTAGGAATGCTTTTTTATTTCACTTTATAAATAGGTCTTATTAAAAGTTGTTACCAAAAAGTCTAACTTATTTAAATTTATTTTAAATTTCGCATTTTTATGCATAGAAATGGGTGTGCTACTTCTGAGGATTTATTTTGGAAACTAGATGCTTTACAGTCTTTTATAAGAGACCTACACTGGCCAGATGCGGAGTTTCGACAACATTTAGAACAGCGACTAAAAATGATGGCCGTCGATATGATAGAACAATGCATACAAAGAACTGATTCGTCTTTTCAGTCATGGCTGAAAAAAAACATTGCCTTTATATCCACTGATTATATTCTACCTTCTGAAATGTGCGCTATGGTCAATGTGATATTAGATGCTAAAAATCAAAGCTTTAAATTGACCACTATCGATGGCATTGATTTGGTAAGTTATTTAATTTTGTTTTATTACAAATTTACTTTTAATTACTTTTTTTATTTTTAGTATAAATTTCATGCAAAAATTGACGATCAAATTGACAAAGCGAATGTAGCTATGACACAAGGTCTAAGCAGTAAACTTATGTCAGTGCTAGAGTCGACTTTGTCAAAGCTAGCACGTTACGATGAAGGTAGCTTAATCGGCTCGATTCTTAGTTTTACAAATGTTTCGAGCTCAGGAAAGGATCTTGGACAAGGATATGTAAATTTCTTTAGGAATAATATGGATCAAGTACGAGGAAAGATTGGTGACGATTTATGGACCCTGAATTTTTTTGAGCAGTGGTATTCGCAGCAGATAAATATGCTATGTAATTGGCTGTCGGAACGTTTGGATCACGCTCTACACTATGCTCAAGTTTCGTCTATTTCTCATATAACTAAGGTAATACAAAAGAAGTTATTGGGTTTTATGGCATGTTTTGTAATAAGTGTTTTGGCTGTTCCCGGTCCTACCCCAATGTAATTTATTATTTAAATATAAAGTAATTTGTAATATAAATTAAAACTTATCAGAATATATGAAAGGCTGCACAGGAATGGTGTAACTTCATAAATTTAATGAAGTCTGTTAAATCAATAATACAAAAAAATAAAAATTTTGTGTCGCTCAAAACATCGCATCTATATTCTCTATTTCTTTTAATTTAGAAAATATATTCCGACTTTGAACTACAAGGGGTATTGGAAGATAAATTGAACTCCAAAGCATATCAGGCAGTCGCGCAGCGCATGGCAACTGAGGAAGCAACATGTGCTTTAACAATGCCTGACGTTAGCGAAGATGAGTATGTTGTTTTGTGCATTATATGGAACCTCTATAAATATAAAATGTCTTACAGGCCCTGCGATGATATTCGAGAAGGAGAGGAGGAAGATAATGGTGACGAATCTACCTCTAACTTACCAAGGGGCTTACCTAAACCAAAAGTGGCCGCCGCGCAAGCTGCTGCTGTTACCAATGTAGTGGCCGGACGTGTGGGGAACTTACTGGGCAAAGGTATTGGCGGCCTTAGTTCAAAGTTAGGAAGTGGAAGTTGGTTTTAGAAGCTGGTAGTATTTTTTATACTTTTGGAAATCAAAGTTTTAATTTACTTAATTTCTCCCAATTTTTTTTAAATAAATTTATTGTATATTTCTTAAATATTTAAGATGCCAATATTGATATACACGTAAACAGCTTCTAAAAGGACCTCAAACCCTTTGTCAATAAGTTTTAAACCAAAAGTTAAATTATTTAGCTACTTTATTATAGGAAACCCATTACTATTAATTCAGCTTCTTTAGGGTTATATAAAGGTACAATATCCACCCTATTTCTTCTTTATTAAAAATAACGTATAAAATCAACTTATTCTGAACAAATCATAAATATTTATATGTTATTTTTAAATATTTCGATAATACTTGCTTCTCATAACTGAAAATAAAGTTGTTACCTGACAAAACTTGCTTTCTCTATAAAATTCAATATATTATCTAAAGTTGTCCTATCTGAACACATCATTTTGGCTTATCAGATGGTTGAAAAACTCCCGCTAATGGTCAATATGTAACTTTCAAGTAAAGTTGGGATTGGTCTTTAAAGATTTAATAGAAAGGTAATTGTTTCATTTGTTGGCTCAACCACAATGACTATCCCCAATAATTCTGAAATTAACACTTTCTTTACAGTCAGAATATTAAATTGCTGAGTTACTACCTGTTAATAGATATATGAATAAAACTGCATATTTGCTTTTACATGTTTTGGCTATTTAATGTTTTTACAGGAATAAAAATTAACATTTATAATATTTCATAATAACAAAATTTATTTAAAAGTAATTAAGAAACATATAAAATTTGCTCTGTCGAACTTCTGCTTAGAGCCACGACTGAAGTAAACTTCTATTTCTTACATCGTTATACATTGTTATAAAAACATTTGTATGTCATATGTTTAATTTAAAATTAAAATTTACTTTAATTCATACATCCATAATTATCTATTTTTATAAAAGCTTACTTATTTAAAAACAGTTACTTAGTTCCTTATTTTTATTCTTATATTTCAGCATCTAATATTGCTAACAAACTGTCTGCTTATATTAGAGTTTGTATTCTTGTGCGACAGTGTTAAATATATTTTTATCATCTTTTGAGTTACCGAAATCAAAATATTTTTATCACCGTCAGTTATAAAATTGGCTTTACATAGTTTTCAGGAAATGAAAAAAAATCTTGGATATCTGATACTAGGCACTCGACTATAACGTATCTTTTTGTTATTATAAGCCTTCAGAAATGGGAAAATAAATATTCAGAGACAGAAATCTTTAGTAAAACTAGAAATCCTATATTGACAAAATATTTAAAATAACCATAATGTGAGTCAAAACATGTGTCTGGTATCGGAATATCGAAACCTTATGCACGGGAGGTGGTACCTGAAGGTTATAAAAAAATGTTATAATTACGAAAAGCATTTGATGTAAAATAAACTTTAATGTAAAATGCGTTCGGTAAAAACAGAAATCGTGATCGATCTACAAATTCAAGCGCTAACATATCGGCGATGAGTTTTAATTATTGGCAAGCTCTAGTCAAGCTCTCGATCGCCGAAATTGCAAAGGGTGGCCCGAATAAGCTCAAAAAACTACTTAGCTGCAACAAACTTGTAGCTATTATTACTCATAATTCTTTATTTTTCATCTTAAAATATTATCACGTCCAAATTTTAACAAAAAAATCTTTAAAAACTAGCAAAACTCAGTTTCAGTTTATTTATTGTTTTATGGCAAAAGAATAATTACACAATGCTACTTTTAAGAAAAGAAAACTTGATGTCAACAAAAAGATAATTAGATTTGTAATATTTATTTATATCTTATGACAGTTTATTTGTGAAATTCAAGAAGCTGTAAATAGTTAACAGTCAAAAGAATAATAATAATGCAATGTTTTTTAGTAGTATGTGATGAAAATAACTTTTTAACGAGAAAAACTCATTTCAGCTCATAAACATCGAAGATTATTTCCATGCAACTAAAAAAACACAAAAAACTATTTTTCTGGTAAATGAAACCACATTAAAAAAATTTATCAACAAAATACATTTTTTTAAAAGCCTAAAATTAAAACGTTTGTCATTTGAATGTAATTGTACACAATTTTTTTTTGCTACAAAGCTACTCGCTTTTTCTATTGCCCATTTAATGTTTTTTTTGGGCTACTGTTATGCACGTTTTCTGTCGATCAATTTTTAAAAATAAAATCACTAACTAATGTACAATAACTGTTCAGATTATGCCATGTCTCAAGCACTAAATTTAGTTCGTTGGAATATTTTGCTTACTAGACCTTTTGAAAAACACTTTAATTATACCCGTTACTCGTAGAGTAAAAGGGTATACTAGATTCGTTGAAAAGTATGTAACAGATAGAAGGAAGCGTTTCCGACCCTATGAAGGTTATAAATTCTTGATCAGGATCAATAGCGGAGTCGATTGAGCCATGTCCGTCCGTCCGACCGTCTGTCCGTCCGACCATCCGACCGTCTGTCCGTCCGTCCGCCCGACCGTCTGTCCGTCCGTCCGCCCGACCGTCTGTCCGTCCGTCTGTCCGTCCGTCCGGCCGTTCGTCCGTCCGTCTGTCAGTCCATCGTGTCAAACCGCGAAACAATGTGGCGTCTATAATAATATTATGAATCCCTTCGTTTGACCTTGTATAACTTTTTTTTGTTAATATCTATCGATTTTTCAAATCGGAACATTATTACGCTATTTTTCAAGAAATTTAGGTTATAAGGCCTCACATGGGCAGTGAGGTTACTATCAGTTACTCGACATGCTTTTTCCGACAATAGGTGGCTCTAGGGTAATTTCCACTAGCAAAATGAATATTTTAAAATTATGTAAAACAGTAACGGGTATCTAATAGTCGCGGCACTCGACTATAGCGTTTCCTCTTGTTTTGATATAGAATAGGTTGCTTACTAGTTAGCAAATACCTTAATAACGTTTATTGGACATATTTCTCATACTGGCGGCTTTATGTTGATTTACATTACTTATGCATAAATTGCACATAATATTATGCTTAAATTTAATTTTAATTATAAATAAAGTATACATGTACACGTATATAGTATATACTTAAACTGTGTATAAATTACAGGTTAAATTTTGACAATATTTTATATGCATTTTTTATTCAATATGAAATTGTTATACAAGAAATATAGATATAGGTATATACAGGGTGTGCCATTTATTATAGGCCGATTAAACATTTATTAACTTAAAAGAAACAACCCTATTTTTGAGTTAGTATAATTTAATATCGGTAGATACAATTCATTTGGAATTAAAAAACAATATAAATTAAATGTCCACCTTTATTGGCCACGGCAAATTGTTCTCTTTTTGCCGCATTTTTCATCATTCTCTTGAGCATATCGGTCGGTATAGCTCTATTTTCGACACGGATGCTGTCCTTTAGCTCGTCAAGGGTTTGAGGATTACAGGCATAAACTTTGCTCTTCAAATAACCCCACAGAAAGATCTCGGTAGCCAGTCTATATCGTTATTTGAGTTAACCCCATTGACTTGTTACTTTCAATACACATTTGCACTATTTTAGCGCGTTGTTTCATCATGTAGCAAACCATGGTTGAAATTCTACTAATCTACTACTAATCGGTTAATATCGAAGAAAAAAATAATCAATAGTTAAAACGGCTCATAAAATATGGCGCAACCCTGTATGCAAACGCCAATGTGCATACGGCAATATGCATAAATTATACTTAAATTACACATTATTAATACAATTAAAAAAATAAAAAAAAATTAAAATTAGTTATAGACGTGAATTTATAGTACAACGAAAGTAAACTGTAATGGTAAAAGGATGGTGACAGACGAGCAATTTATCACCCATTTTGACATAAATATGTACAACAGCTAGTTATTTAAATATCATAGTAGCTGCGTAGGCTCGCGAGCTTTGATGATGATAGACATTTTCACACTATGCTTACAGTATATATAATTGGACATTGCATGCAATCTAAAAAACCCAATTTAAAATCTACACGTTGTCTGTACCTTTAGTTATATATATGTTATCTACAATACATCTACATGTTATCTATATGACATGTTATCTATATGACACGTTATCTATATGACATGTTATCTATATGACATGTTATCTATATGACATGTTATCTACATAATACCAGAATAAATATATGTATGTTTATAAATTTGTTTACATTTTAATAGAGGGCGCTTTGTACACGATGAAGGCCTTAGATTACTATGTTTTAAAGCATGGTTTTTAAAATAGATGGCGCTTCATAATAAAGTCAGTAAAAATATGCTGCACACAAAAATTTGGAGCAGACTTAGAATTGAGATGTAGACAAAAGATAAAGTTGTTAAAAAGAGGCTGACGCACATCTAAACGTTCACAGCTAACTTCGTAACCCCGTAAAAAGGCTTACGCTGGAGGAGCACGGGGTTTCAGACAAACTGCGCGGGCTATAAATCGGAAACGCTCAAAAAGACAGCGAAAAACATTAAACGTTTAAAAACAAAATTTAGTAAGTCAAAAGTGACGCATACATTTTTCAAATAAATTACTATACATAATTTGATTATACGCTGTATAAGTTTATTTATAAAATACATTCTTTAGGTTTTTCCAAATCCAAATAAATAGGAAAGCAAATACCCAATGACCAATCATCAAAAGTCAATTACTTTATTGCTCATACCTTGTGCAGTCGAACCTTGCATATTTAAGACCCGAAAACCTGCATTATTACTATAGACACAAAAAAGTCGGCGTTAATTCTAGTACTTTACAAAGACCAAAAAGGGGAACGGCATTATTTTCGGAAGATTCTCAGTCTCTGCAAACTATAAAGAGCAGCTTTGAACCATTCCCAGTGATTATAATTTTTTAAATATCGTGACCCCACTTAAATTCATCTAAGTAACAAAGAGCAGCACATTACAAAGAGCACAAAAAAAGAATCCTCAGTAAATAAATGTGATCCCCGGAAGGAATTTTTAGTGTCAGATTCCAATATCAAGGAGAGTGCAGATCTGGAAAGTTCTTGGGTTTTTTTTAGTAGAATAGATGATTAAATAAAAGGACATATATATTTAAGTATTAACGTTTCATAATAGTAGCATATTCTATAATTTATTGCTTACCAATACCAGCAAATAAAAGTAACAAAAAATAGCAACACAAAGATAAAAAGTACATTAAATCAAAGAAAACAAAGTTAAGAGAAAAAGAATTAATGGTTCTATAAGGAATTAAAAATGAACATTATTAAAACGTTTTACATTAAATAATCAATAAAATATTTACACAAAATTAAAATAGGGACTTATATATTTACTAAGAACTTCAGGAAGTAATTTCTTTTATAAAGGGTGTTTTTTTTTAGAGGTATAAAACTTTAAGTTGGCATTACTGTTCAAGATGACGACTGATTTAACAGCTGTCAAGTGATTTATTTTATTTGGATTGGCAATTCTTCATGGATAGACTCACGCCTAAACTACGATTGCACGCGTTGGTGGTTGCGGGGGAGGTATCCCTGCGTTTTCCTTTGGAGGGCTATCCTTTCCTCTCCAAACGTAGTATGATCTGACTTCCTGTCTGTTGTTTATTTACAAATTATAAGAGGGTGCTGCAACCAGCTAATCCAGTCTTGGAAAAAGCTCTGCCGGTTCGCA